CCTTCATCACAGTTTCAATCAATCTGCGACGCCGACGCAAACGACGCTCCTTCTCAAAGTCGTTCGCTACACTCTTTGTCTCTTTGCAGACACCCACACTCTTTCACACAACCACCACAGTCACTCATTCAGTCGCGCGTTCGTTAGCTTTTTGAAACGGATTGATTCCGAGCAGTACCGTCCAAAAACCACACACGTATCCAACAAATAGCAGCAACATCAATCAGTCACTACGATAAAACAAATTCGATCAAGATCAAGAACGATGCAGACCTTCAACAAGCTCGCAATGGCGGGCCTCGCCGCGGTGGCCAGTGCCAAGGTCGTCGAGCGCCGAGGATACAATGGAACGTTGACGACATTGACCGTTATGGACACCACGACGTACACGATCACCAGCTGCGCACCAGAAGTGACCGACTGCCCGTCGCGCCCAGAGAGCCAGAGCGTGGTCACCGTTACCGACACTGTCTCAGTTGCCACGACTGTCTGCCCAATTGAGCAGGCCAGCTCTGCTCACTCCGCCATCCTGTCCAGCTACTCTGCGACAGCATCTTCGCCTGTCGCACCTGTCGCATACTCGAGCACCAGCTTCAGCTTTGCACCAAGCACGACCAGCGCCTCAAGCAGCGCCAGTTCTACTGCATCGAGCTCCAGCAGCAACTCCTCGCCAGTGGCACCAGTCTCTGGCTCTTCCTCCAGCTCTGCCCCGGCGCCGTCTGGTTATGCCAGCCCGACTGGATCTTACTCCGCCACGATCCCATACACTTCATCTGCTTACTCGTTCGCGCCCACTGGCTATTCCGCATCCAGCGCGAGCCCCGTCTCGTCCAGCGCTTCTTCCAGCTCTGCCTCCTCCACCTCATCGTCCAGCTACTCATCTGGTTCGTCTCCGGTCGCTCCCGTCGGCACTGGTCCTTCTTCCAGCGCAGGAAACGTCCCATCTGGCTACGGTGCACACCCATGGGGACCAACCAGCACCAGCTCTGGTAGCAGCCCAGTTGCACCTTACCCGATCAGCAGCTCTACCGCCACCTCTGCTTCTACTATTGTCAGCAACACCACCTTGACATACACTCTTGGTTCCGGCACGAGTGCGTCCGTTGTTACCACCACGCTCCACTCCACCTCGACCAAGTACCTCACCTCGGTAAGACTTCGATAGAACAAATCGAAGCGCATGAATCACGCTAACTTGACTTCCAGACCATCTACATGACCCGTGCCTCGTCCAGCGCATCTGTCGCTGGCCCAACTGGTGGCGCGTCTGCTTCTGGCTCTGCTTCTGCTGGTGCCTCGACCAACACCCAGACCATCCACTCCACTTCGACTGTGACCAACTACATTACTGTCTTCCCAGTCTCCAGCGGCACTGGCTCTGGCGCTGCTTCTGCGACTGGCGCATACGGTGCTAGCAATGCTCTCTATCCATCTGGGAGTGCTGGTTCCGGATCTGGCTGCGCTCCTGGCTCCACCGTCACCATCACCGAAAAGGAGACCATTACCGTCACTGCTGGCACATCCTCCACTGGCGCTGTCGTGTCGCCCATCCAGTCGAGCTCTGCCCCATACTACCCAACTGGCGGCCCAGCCTCCAACAGCGGCTCGGCATCCAGCACCTGCCTAAGCACCGGCTTCGTGACAATCCACAAGCCCAAGCCTACTGGTGCCTCCGCATCAGCATCGTCCAGCTCATCGACCTCGGTCGTCGCACCAGTCAGCGCTTCCAGCTCCTCATCCAGCGTGAGCGCCTCATCGAGCGCCACCGGCACTCTGCCCGCCTGGTCCAAGCCCTCCAGCTACTGGATGTAAGCGCGTCACGACAACTTGAGTTAAAAGGACAATAAATCAGCCACAATACTCACGAAATAACGAACGCAGCGTACCAACGCACACCTACCTGCATGCTTGTACAAAAAAGCGCTCTACCTCCATTGTGGCATTCAGCGAGTGATACTCCCACGCAAGTCCGGGCGGGCTCCAGTTTTACCGGCTTGCGAGCATATTCTTGTTGCGTTATTGGATTCGATATTTGCTATTTTCTTCTCTTTGTGTGGTCTTTCTGGCGGGGATGCATTCCCAGCAAGTCGACGGGCTTGGCTAGATCCGAGCTCGTCGTGCTTCTCTGGCTGGGGTTGGTGGCGGCGGCAGGTTGGCTGGCAGGCAGGATTAGAGATCACGCATCTGGTACCGGCTGGGCTGGGAAGATGCCGTATTACTGTATCGCTTTGTCGTGTGTAGCTGTAGCTGTTTGTAATGCTAAGTCCTGTCCGCACTGCATATCGAGTCTTCGTTCGTTGCTGCGCTCTCCACCCCGCCAGGTCAAGGTCAGCCATCATGACACTTAACGCTTTTCAAAACCTCCGTAGCGAGCCTGTATTGTAGGTTTATACATTGACATTATATTGGTCCATACTAGCTGGTCTCGACGTACTGTATGTACACCATAGTCATCACCCCATCTACGGTTTGACCACGTACTCAAATGGCAGATTCAGATTAGTCAAGAATGTCGTCTTATCTTGACCAATGGGCACAATGCTTGTGTTGGCAATGCCACATGCGACCTCAAAGTCACCCGCCGCCTTAGTCTTCGATGCGATGATTGACTGATACTGATTCAGCGGGCAGCTTCGTCCTGGACCTTGCTGACAGTATGGGACAGGATAGACCTCATCATTGAGCTTGATACGCATGTACAGACCTCGCGATCCGCAGTTCAGGCGCTCGAAGCTGACGGTCCCACGCATAGTGACGAAGTTGCTGGATTTGAAGATGCGACTCTGCGGGATGTAGGTTGCTGGGAGCTGCGGTTCTTGATCGAACACACCGATGGCCGCAGCAAGCTGGTTGACTTGTCCGTCATTCGAGAACGTTGCGATGAGTGGATTTGGGTGGAACGGTGTGGAGGCGTTGCCATTCGGGTATGTGGCATTTGGTCCGTCAACGAAGCGCTGGACGAGCGCGGTGAGGAAGGGTAACATCAAGTTCTTCTCGAGCTTGGTGCCAAGGCCTGTGCCGTACCAGTAGCGAATGTCCTGAGAATACTCATACGCCAAGATTTCCTGCTGAGTGAAGGCGTCGCACCATGGACTGCGACGGCCAGTGATTTGTGTTTCAAAGCCGCAGAGGTAGGGGAATTGCGTCACATCCGACGCCGTGAAATTCAGGTTGCCACGGAACAGACTGTTGATACGCTTGACGATCGGAGGCACATAGATGTTGGCCCAGGTCGTGGCATTGTCCCCACCACTGTTGTCGTTGTAATTGGCACAAAGATCAGAAGCCGCTAAGGAGTTGGCAATCGATCTCGGGTCGGAGTTGTTAAGCACGTAGACACTACCATCGACAGTGGCGTTGGGGCCAAGGTAGCCTCGGGCGAACAGTCGAGCTGAGTCTACGACACGAAAGACGGACTGCTGGTAACGATTGGCCCAAAGCACGAATGGAGTGTTTTCGGTGTAAAAGTCTGGATACTGCCAGCGATAGTCCACGCCCATGTCGTACAGCTCCTTGTAGCCACCTAGGGAGAGCTCGGACAGTTCCGGTGCAGGGTTGCGAAGTGCTGATTTCCACGACTGGAGGAACTGGAACTCTGGAGCCCAGGTACTGAAGGAAGCATTTTGTATCTGTGTTGATTAGCTCATCTCGGATCATAAAAGCTTATGGAACCCACCTTCGCTGCCAAATTCACCCAGGTGTTGTATGAACCTGGATCAGGGTAGCGAGAGCCATGACGAGAGAGAAAGCCGGCCTGGTCGACGGAACAACCTGGCGGAGGGTCGGTCGAGATACCAAAGACGTTCGGGCCAGAGAAGTATGGACTGTTACCACCAAGATGTTGTGTGGGATCGAAGTTGTCCCACCACTGAGCAGTAGCGCCAATGGCGAGTAGTGCAATGGCGGTGGTAGCCATAGTCAACATACCGAGGGTGCCTACCTGTTCGCGAAGACCGTCTACATGAGGGAGATTATATATGCAAAGCTGAGATCCTCCCGCTTTTGGCATCTTGTCACCATGTCATGTTGTTGAGGCGAGGAAGCTCTTCCATGGAAGAATCCGCTTCGCTTCGTGGAGATCAGATATAATCATGTTCACGTTGCCTGTTGATTGGTGATGGACAGCTCGGTTTGCTGAAGACGATGGGGTCTACTGTGGTCGGTATATTTAGCGTCCTTTTCCAAGATCGTAGCACAGAGCAGAGGCTCGACTTCCTCGACTAGAGTATATGCCGTAGCTGAGTACGAATGCAGGACCCATCCGTCTTGGAGAGGGATTGTCTCAAGCCAGCACAGATGTCCCGAGACTCAGCCTATCAATCGGATCTTCGGATGGAGGGTGAACGAAACGTGCATGTGGACCCGAACATGCCGATGATCGATTGCAACCTGCCTCTGCACTATGTCGAACTCTGTACTACGATATTGTCCTTTCTGATCGCATATATGTAGCCATGTATGCTGGAAAGAAGATTGAAATTCGCGCCACGCACCGCTACGAGTTCCGCAGGTACCGTCAGTAATATCAGATCTCGAAGTGCAGCTCTGCCGGTGCTGCGATTATTCCGTGCAGATGTCTCTGATGACCACGCATACGGCTGTGGTAAGGTTTAGCCACTCCTCCGGACAAACGTTACGGCAGGCCGTCTCATCATGCACCATTTATCCACCAATCCGCACATGATCGGCCGGTGGTCCACCTTGTGTGTGGACGGCTAAACCTTTGCCTAGCCTAAAGCCAGCGCCCTTGTTGCTTCTGCATGCGACATGCGACGGTTGTATCGCCCATTGGGAAGTTCTAACATTCCGAAGCCGGATAAGGCAGATGTTACAGATCTCACTGCCTGGGTATTTCTTCTTCGACGTTGAGCTTCGTCTTATCGCCTTCGTTTCTGGCATAACTACACCGAAAGCACGGTAGCACACGCGCCTGTCAGGTCGACGACAGCGTTGAAGGCCACTCGAACGGCAATGCTGTGGTTGACGACAGCCCAGCAAGTTCGACCTTCCACCTGCACTCACCTGGGTCACGGCGCACACGATATCTCGATCCGGTGACGAAAGGTGCAGGTCGGACTCAATTTCATTAACAATTCTTCATAGGCAGCAGGGTGTCAGGCATTTGACCCTGGACCTGCTGCCATGACGAAAGGAAATGGTGTGATGAAGATCGAAGAGATCATTCACAACGAGACTCCTCGGCTTCTCGTGCTATATGACAAGGGACAAGACGACATCGTCAAGACTGTAGCGGATGTGATTGGACAAAAGTTCGTATTGGTCGACAAGGTCGAGAAGATTGAAGGACATGCGGAGAATATCGTGGTCGGGTTGGAGAATGCTGCAGTTGTTCAGGTGTCCCACATTGGTCAGCTTAAGCGAATCATCATCACGACACACTGCATTGATGCTGCCGACCTCCGCGACGAAGATGTGACATCAAGGTGTGACTATGAGTATCTTTATTTGCAGAAGCAATTCGATCGACGCGATCTTGCTCGTTTTCTCGGTTTCGTTCTCGGTCAGATCAAGCCTCACGAAGACTTACGAAAGAAGACCAGGACGACGTTGCTGTCGACGACGTTCCCCGATATCCGAGCTGCCTTGCCCAACCTTGATATCTTATCTGTGGGTGCAGACTCTGTCGAATTACGTGTTGATCTGCTGAAGGACGCCGATGCAGATGCTTCAAACGCCACTGTGCCAAGCATCAAATATGTTGGAGAGCAGGTGATGCTCTTGCGACAACGAACCGAGCTTCCCATCATATTCACTACTCGGTGCACAAAGGAAAATGGCAGGTTTCCAATGGACGATCCTATGCTGTTCTATCAGTATCTTCGGAAGGCAATGCAGTGGGGTTGTGAATACGTCGACGTGGAACTCTGGCTGCCGACCGAGATCAGGTCCCAATTGGCAGCTGAGAAAGGCAGCAGCAAGATCATCTCTGCATGGCACGACTTTACTGGCAGCTTCAAGTGGTCATCGGCGGAGGCACAGCAACTCTTCAAGCAAGGCGCTGTCTATGGAGATGTCGTAAAAATGATAGCATTGGTAAATACCACGGAGGAGAACTATGAGTTGGAGTACTTCCGATCCATAATTCAGACAGCATACTCGCATCCGCCACTCTCCGGGCTGAACATGGGTCCTGTAGGCCAGCTGTCCCGGACACTAAACAAGGTATTCACGCCGATCACGCATCCATTGCTGCCCATGGTGGCCGCGCCAGGTCAATTGAGTGCTGCTGAGATCAACAGCATGTTGCATTCAATGGGTCAGGTACGTGTCCATCATTGTGTCGAACAGACCGAAAGCAGGAACGCTGACAACAGCTTACTTAGATTCCTAAACTTGATATCTATGCGATCGGTAACGTTCGCCAGAATGGTCAAGCAGTCTTTTTCGAGAAGTGCCTCAATGAGCTCAGTCTGCCGCACCAATTGCTCTGCATCGAGCGCATCTCCCAAGGTTCGATCGAGCGTTTCATTAGCCGGCCCTCATTCGGCGGTGCGCATATCAGTCCGCCTTTACCAGCAAACGCACCGTATCTACCCAGGCTGTCGAATGCTGCTTCCGCCATTGGCCAGATAGATACCGTTGTCGCTCACAATACGCCAGGTGGAAAGCTGCTGGTTGGCGATAATGCGACTTGGAAAGGCATTCGTGCAACTCTGACAAACGACTTCGTGCCATCAGCATACGCAGGACAAGCTGCTCTTATCCTGGCTAGTCAAGAGTCGCAAGCATCCGCTGCTATCTTTGCTCTGACGAGCCTGGATATCGGGCCGATCTACACCATCGGGTTTCAGGCCAAGCACTCGGTCGCTACAGACATCCAACAGTTTCGGGGCGTCGAGGATATGAAGAAAGTAGATGAACCGTTCGTCATAGTATCTGCATTACCGGCCGACAAATCCTTCATCGTCTCGCCACTCATCAAGCACTACAGTCACAGTGGCAGACGACCTGCGCAACGTGCCGGCAAAGTCTTCGTCGACCTTTCAAATGGTGTGCGTGGTAAGGGCGATTCTGTAGCAACTGCTGAGTCCTTGGGATGGCTGGCATATGGCACTGCAGATATCAATGCGTGGACCACGGTTGAAACGCTACGCCTACTGGTCGGACAGAACGTTCCGTTCGATTTCGTCAGGCTGGCAGCAGGGCGGAGCCTGTACTGATGCAGGGCTGAGGCCGTGATGAAGTGTTACGGGATCACAGTACCATGACTCGGCCTTCAGCGCTGATGTATGATCAATGCGCCAAGAATGTGTGATGTGCAGAGCGGCAGACTAGGGATATCGTGATGGACGTACGAGATTGATGAGTTTGGTATCATAAGCGACCCGAATTTTCCTCCTGTCTTTTATTGTGGCTCAATCGATAGATTCCTGGTGATTGTGACTCGCCAAATCCTGATCGGGAGGAGTTATTCTGGTGAACGTCTCATAGTACGGCACTTGCTGGTACAGTTCGTGCATCCAAAAGCTACATTTCGGAATCATTACTTAGGCGATCAAGTTTCCCACACAGATAATGTTATCGCCCTGCTCGGGCTAACCGCCTTAGGTCTGTCAAAACCCACGAGGGTCCACGAGGATCATGAGTCTTGGACACGCTTGGACGGGCCTTCTCGAAGGACAGACGAAACAGGCTTACATGTCAGTCGTCGGCTCAGCTTGCAGGCACTATAGGCTGCACGTAAGTAGCTCAGGGGAATGCAGGACAGCGGTACCGACACCCTTCCAAGAGCACTGCATATTCTGCCCGCCTGACGGTGTCACAAGCCGTTGCAATCAAAATGTAGACAAGTCCAGACGGTGAGCTTTCACTCGATCACCCGAGCTTTCCATGCTTCCATTCCCCTCGGCTCATGCTTCAGCCACGCGATTGCTACTGGCGCGAACAACCCTGCGCAAGACTGTCTCTCCCCGCTCGCGATGCCTGCAGCTTAGGGAGTCTAAATGAAATGCACGTACAGCGGTACATTATGAGGATTGCGGCTCCACAAACTCTGGGTTTGCATAGCAAAGTTTATTGGTAGCATCTCGTGGTTGCGTACAGACTCACTGCCCGTTCGTCCAGAGTTTCGTCCGTCTTCTGCAAACCTCACCGCAGACCCATCGCCTGCCATGTACTGGGTGCTCACGTCTGTCGACGATTGACGATGCCATGATGGCGACCACAGCTATCGCTGCGTCGAACGACCAATATTCCATGATGTCCAGGCCCCAAATCGGCATTGACCGTCTGCCGGTAAGAAGACAAAGCAACGAGCCCAAGGAAGCCATGAACTGCAAAAGCTGTCGCAAACGAAAGGTTAGCACCACGGAAAACTGGCGGCCAATGGCGTCGTAGAAGCTGACGAGCTCAAGATCAAATGCAATCGAATCCGACCTAGCTGTGAGGCATGCCAAGTCTTCAACTGTGCTTGCATCTATGGTAGGTTCCGGTTTAGAGTGATGGAGTTGCGCGCGGCTGACATCGACAATCATAGACGCGATACCGAAGAAGCGTGGACCGAAGACCGATGTGCTCGAGGCGCTCTTGAAAAGAGTCAATGGCCTTGAGAAGCGACTGAAGGATGAAAAGAAACCTGATTCCGCGGATGGTCAGACTGATGAGGAGCAGCCAGATGAGCAGGTGCAGCAGTTGCGGAAGGTGGCAGCCCGCAATGGCGAGGAGAAAGCAACGATACAAGTCAGAGCAGTCGAGTTATTACAGGACGAGCAGCCGGCGCATCAGCAAGTGAATCAGCAAGCGACTCCGCAAATCATACAGCAACACCGGACTCACCACAACGTGCAACAACCCATACAAGCGCTACCTGCTACAGATGCATTGATCGACACCTACTTCGCTCGAGTACATGGCAAGCCGTACTACGTCTTGGACGAACCCGCCACAAGACAGCGGTTACGGGATGGTAACCTGCCTCACTTCTTGCTGTCAGCTATCCATGCAGTATCGATCCGGTATTGCAGTCACTTGTACGCGGATCTCAGCACCGCAAACAGGCATAGTCAGGAATGTGCGTTGCAGTCTCGGGCAGACATTGACGTGGACGAACCAAGCATAGAGCATCTGCAGGCCTTGTTACTACTGGCCATGGCGGCATACCAGTCCGGCAAAGGGAAGAAGTGCTATATGCTCTTGACGCATGCGGTAAGTATGGCCTTTGGACTAAGTCTGCATCGGGAGCTACCGCCTCAGCTTCGCATTGCTCCGTCAGAACGTGAAGGCAGGAGGAAGCTGTTCTGGACCTGCTATCTTATGGACCATTTCACCGTAGCAGGATCGAAACGTCCGTCCTTGATCTCGGACGAGTCGATATGCTTACGATTACCCGCTTGGTTGCCTCCTGGAGCGCATGGTTGGGTCGATGGAAGCTACTTTCCGAATGGCACAAGCCTCCCGTACGCTGCGGGAGTCGGTAATGCAGGTCAGGGAAGTGGTGCTATGCTAGTAGAAATATCGCGTGTGTTGGGAGTCACAAATCGCTATCTGGCTGCTGGAGGCGTCAAAGGCGACTCTCACTTTCCATGGCATGCTCAGTCGACGTTGTCAAGGATCCGATCCGACCTAGACTACTGGGCGGCCAACACGCAGGATGCTTTCACAACGATCGAAGCCTTGTTCGGCCAACCAGATACTTCTACTCTCGTGCTTAGCAAGCTGATCTACCACCTGATCCACTGTCTTGTGTACCGGCCTTTCTTGCCAGTAGATCTGGCAGAGCTGTCTGGCACAGGTCAGCATCAATCGTGGCAAATCGAGGCAACCAACCTCTGCTTTTTGCACGCCAACGCTATCGCCGAGCTAGTCGAGATCGGCCAAAGCACCTCTCTAATGGACTGGCCTTCATTTGTCGGATACTGTATCTGCACCGCGGGCACCATTCATGTCCATGGAGCACATTATATGGCACTCCGAGAAGGAGACGTATTTGCTCACAGCGCCGACTTTCTGAGCCGAGAGATGGCTCAGCTGCATGAGTTGCGCTTCGCCTGGGTGGGTGTGCAGCATCAGCGCGAGACACTACAGACAGTCTACTCGAGCCATTCGCAGCTTGTGAAGTCGCTCTCGACAAGCCCGACGAGATTTTCACCAGTATTCCAGATGGAAGACTTCTTCGATCGATATCCTGGATCATATATCGATGGTGCCCATTGTTCCTTCACAGATGTTGACCCTGCAGTCCTTATGGACAGCATCAGCAATTATAATGGCTACGGGTATAACTCTGCAGACGCCTGGATGAATAGTACGACAGCATCGTTACAAACACAGCCCATGGTTCCAACACAGTATATGACACAGAACCAAATGCCCACCGTGCACAGGAAGGCGAAACGTCGGCGTACTACCGCAGCAACGATACCTCACCCGGCGGTCTCGAGCAACGGAGCCGGTGCTGCCTCAGCCGAGCGAAGAGTCTCGACTGAGTCCTTCTTGCCCAAAGGGCAGCAGCACCAGCAGCCACAATCCCAGCCAATACATATACCTGATGACACACCACAGTACAACGGTCACCAGACTGGCGCGTCGCGAAATGACAATAACGAATACGCAATCATAGATGACCAAATCCAGAACCCGACGTTCACCCAAAGCGCTCTCTCCCCGTCCTTCAACTACAGCCCTATGCCACCCGCCATGCCTCTGCAAAGAAGCCTAAGCAATGAGGCCAACAATTGCATGAGCAGAGACAATTTCAATTACGGCTACAACTTCGAGCAACGGACACCAGGAGGTTTCAGCCAGAGCGCAGAAAGCACACATACTGATCCACAAGATAAAGATCCTTTCCTGACTTTGCTGGAACAATTGGCACAGAATGAGGGAAACGGTGATGCTAACGGACCGAGCGAGCTTGATTTCTTTCTCACTGGGCAGGGGTGAAGGGTTGTAATTGAGCTTATAATGCATAGCGCCAAAATGGTCTAAGAAAGTATACTGTAAGATATCATATCTGCATGAGTACAAATTCTGTTCGTAGCATTATTTAAGGCCAGGCCAAAAGCATGAGAATAAAATTGTAAGAGAAATGCTAGCACATGCATTTGCTGCGACTTCATAGCAGACCCGGGATGACAGCCTTCCTATTCCCTACTCTCTCCTTGCCGAACTTCTTGATGTACCACTGTCTACCCTGTAGTGCCCGCGGCAGCATGGTCGAAATCTCGTTGATCAGGAACGTTCTAGCTGGTACGCAATCCCATCCACCAACCATCCAGAAACCGGCCCACTCGAGCCACTCACAAAAGTAGTGGGGGTACAGGACATAATGGAATAGACCATTCTTAGGAAGCATGTAGAGCTTGTCCACGCCTTCAATGGATTTCCCTTCCTCTTTAGCCTTTTGCTGTTGGCGCTTAAGAGCACTCCGGCGGATCTCGCGGAGGTCGTCGTCGTGGAACATGTTTCCTAGGAAGGACCAGCCCCAGATGATGAGACCGACTTCGATGTAGTAGAGTTTTCCTGACCAGTCCCAGATGGTGGTGGGACCGTAGCCAGCGAGCCATCCGCCTATCGAGAGGCCATTGATGATTTGCCAAGCGAAGGCGGAGATAAAAACGAAAGGATGGATAGGTGACATGCTAGGGTTGAGAACTAGAGGCGAAAGGATGGCGCGGTAGATGTAGTGGATTGTGTAGACGCCGGCCATCGTCCAGTTGGCCCAGGGAAGTGCTTGTGGGGTAGCGAAGCCGACCGTCGACGGGATCGAAAACATGCAGTACAGGACCATCGTCATGCCTGGTATTTCCATCAGGAACCAGGCCCATTTTCCTGGGAGATTGAATTTGCTTTCGATGGAAGTTTTGCCTTGTGGATAGAACTCGGAGAGCCATTGGGCAGCTGTGAACTGGTGGTCTGTTAGTATTTGAGTCTGTGACTGGTATCTGGAAGACGTACGAGTGGGAAGAATTGCCAGGCAAAGCTCAACAGCGCCCAATTCTCTCGTGATGGTGGAAGGATGCCTGGAATCAGGACTGGGAGGTTTGGTAGCACGCCTGCCATGGTTATGGTGCAGACTGGAGGAAGTCAGTAATACACAGCTTCTTCTATGGGGGTGAGGTCAAGCTGCCTTCCCTTTTGGCAGCACTGCTTGTGCTCAAGATGTGTGTATAAGATCGTGGTATATATATAGTTTGTGGTGACGTACTGTGATGCGGCCGCTCCCGCTGTACGACGTGCCGGAGGTTATTGTGCAGCGAACCTCTACTCCAATCTTTTCTCCCTGCTGCGATTCCCACATCATCTGGGTATATGGCTTGACATACTCCCATTCAGCAGCAACATGCCCTCGTGGATGGAGTGTCGGACAATGACTCCCGACAACAAGACGATTGGGCACGAACGGTTTACCGAGCTCTACTCTACTTGGGGCACACGAAGATCGATCGAGGTCACCAGGAACTGTACAAATTCGAAACGGACAAGCACGCCTTTAATCAGTCTCAAATGGTCCTTCATTTGGGGAGATACTGCCTACTATCTCTGTTCCTGGAACCTAATTCTGGTCTTCCTTCGCTTCAGCCATCCTGTTTCGTGTCAACTTATGACGTCGGCGCAGTCGCGTGTTGGTAGATCATTCGTTTAACAAGCAAGATAGCAGGTTTACAATGTACACGCACATCAGGTGTCGCGTGTAAGCGAGAGTCTTGTCTTACGACATAGCTAAGAGGTGAGTATATGAGAAAGCGTTGACTCTCCTTCACCATCTTCATCACGTCCTGTACCTTCTATCGAACCAAGCAAGAAGTGCCCCGTTTCTTACCAACAAGCCCTTCCAACAACAACGCTCATCAATCACAATGGCCCGTACTCGCACCACCACAGCTCCCGGCCACGAAGGCGGCATCATGTCTCGCCTTCGCCGTCGCAACAACAACGCGAAAGTCACGACCAGTGAGCACACGAACCCCATTACTGGTGCCCACACCCGAACCAAGAAGACAACTACCCACCCAAATGGTCTCGGTCACCACGGCCATGGCGGACGAGGACCAATGGCTACCTCAAACCACACCCACGCCACTCATCGCACGGCCAACACCCGTACCACAGGCACTACAGCTGCGCCTCTGCAACACCACCACCGAAAACCTAGTATGGGTGACAAGGTCAGTGGTGCTATGATGAAGCTTAAGGGTAGCTTGACAGGGAAGACTGGTGTTAAAGTAAGATCTATTTTCTTGTATGCCTGGATTGTTTGCTGACGAATACGATAGGCAGCTGGCACTCGCCGCATGCACGGCACCGACGGCAAGGGCAGCCACCGCGTGTATTAGAGAACCATGGTCAGAGGGTTGAGAATGGACGCTCGATAACGAGCATGTTATGATACCCATGTAGCGAGCGTGTATAGTAATGTATTCTTGTACGATAACAGATCAAGTTCAGTCTCAAAGGTTTGTGCTGCCTGGCGTTGAGAAGGCTCCAGCGCCCTGACATCTCGGTCAAGGACACTGATGCCCACTCTTGCACACAGTCGCCACTGTGTCAACCCACTTTGCTTGTGTCGGTTCGTCCTCCCTATTACCTCTCGTCCATCCTCGCCCAGTAATCCCCTCCGATTTTTGTGCCTCAATTGATTTTCATTGCCATTTTCAAGTTTTTGGGGTGTCGACTGGTCTCGCCGCACGGCACACCACACACCAGTGCGGCGATCCCAGCCAACAGTTTATGGTTTTAAATAAACTGTGGGCCCCATGGCGACACAGAGCCCAAGGCAGCTCTAATCCTCCAACTTCACCGACCGACGAGAAAGCACACGGCCCCTCAACTCCTTCTGCCCTCCAACATCCCTTAGAGCTAGCCTGAACTACCCTTTCCATCGCCGCCTTGTCTCCATACCACGATGTGCTTGCGAACTTCGATCCCTTCTTGTCTTTGCCGTTCCACCTTGATGTGATTGTGGTTCCCGATCCTTACTTGTGTCTACCGTTTCGTGAACTTGTCTGAGTCGGACCGTGATGTTTGTCTCGATGTGAAAGTCGACTCATTGCACAGCAGCAGCCATACGACGCCATGGTTGTTCCATCTTGTGCAGCTTCGAAGAAGACTGGAACGGTCCCATCCGAGGCGCCAGGGACCGGCGAGCAGCTTTGATCTGCCGCTCCACCGGCTCTGTCGAAGACGTCGAGGGCTCAAACGCTTGGTCGAATGAGCGTCTGAGTGTCTTCTTGGCTGGCGATGTCGCTACGACTGCTGCTGGTAGTGTTGCTGGTGAGGATGGCAGGTTGAGGTCCTCTGGCTTGTAGTAACGGTCGGCTATCGATGATCGGATGAGGGCATCGTGATTGATCGTGATCTTGCCTTGGATGAAATCGGCCAAGCGTTGTTGAACAATGCTTGCAGAAGCCTCGGTGAGGTACTTCTTGCCGTCGGCAAAGGTGACCAGGCATTGCGTCTCAATCTTGAAGAAGTGGTCGAGATGAATGTAACTTTGCTTTTTCATCTTCTGGCCCGTTGTCATCTGGAGTACCGGGTCTGCGCTATGTGGTACGGTGTTTTCATGTTGCATAGCCAGATACCGTCGTCGACTTGTGTTCTCGGGGCTCCGGAACCTGTCCTGGATCGTCTGATCGTTGAAGCTTGTCGTCTGGAGACAGGTTGCTGTGCGCTTGTCTTTGGACAGTGCTGCGATGTACACTGGGTGGTGATCGGAACCCGGATGGATGTCCCACTTCCAGAATTCGGAGTCTTTTGGAACCATGCTGAAGTTCAAGAAGGCAATCAGACCGACTCGAGCTTGGTCAAGCGTCGGTCCTGCAGACGGTGAAGTCGATACTACACATGTCGTCTGAGCTGACGGGCTGGGCATTCGGCGCGATCTCCAGTTGCTGCTGGTAGCCGCACGAGATGTGCCTAAAGAAGTCATCGTGCGTTGACTTGAGAACGATGATGTGTGAGGTCGTTCAGCGGTGATATTCTTGTCTTGTGATAATGTAGTGCTGTTAAGCATGAAATGTGGTCAAGATATGTGTTGCGTCTGTAGGCTTCAAAAGCGTCCGCATACAGTACGATAAATTTTGTGTTGTAAAGAGAGAGAGAGAGCAAGAGATCGCAGCGAGGTTACGATATTCATACTGTGCGAACCTACTCTAGACGATTCTACTCACGAGCTGGTAATCGTAATGGCACCTCATCAACAGGTGAACGAGGCCGAAAGCTTCTATCGAGTTCCTAGCTTCGACAACGACTCCACCAAGGCAAGATGGGGTTCCAAGCTTGTCTGTCGAGACGAAGAGCTCCCAAGAGACGCCGTTCCAGTGCAATTCGGGAGCTATATGGCATTGCAGCCTTTGGGCAGACTAATGCCACTTCAGCATGCTCAATATCAGACGTAGCATCCTCTCCAGCGGCGAGACGGTCCTTTGCGACACGCCAAATCGCGTGCAGCACAGAAGCTTTGTTGACTTTTTACCTGATCTGGAGGCGCAGTTTGTTGTGATGACCATTGTCCAGCTATCCAGAGGCCGAGAGTAAGCATCTCGACAACGCGAAAAGCTCGCGTAGGCTCGTGAGTAACGCCAGCTACATGGAAGATCGGAGAGTCCCACGAGATACCGAGACGTATCCCTGTTAAGAGAGGTGCTTGGGTAAGCCGTAGTCTGGAGTCTGTCCACGTGGTGGTGGGCCTTCATCTGCGAAAGATCAACAGTGTCGGAGAACCGTCATGGTCCGGAGATCATCTGGATCAGAACTCACGGCTGCTGTATAGATGCGTTTTGACATACCGTATGCAGGTGAAAGCAAGAGCTGTGCAATATCTTCAGCCTTGACGGCGGTGAGGTGAGATGTGAGGCGCACGGACCTCCACAATTAACCCAAACGTGAGCGCATCATCTCAGGCATAACATACATGTCGCAAGTACATTATTCCATGAGAGTGACGTGTCGACCGGGAGTCACATGGTCTAGAAGCCAGTCTACGGTCAGGAGATGAGTATAGTGTACAATCTGATATGATTATCTTGAAACGCGACAAATCTCCTCAACTACTTCCATCATCTTCCCGAATCACAGCGGTAGTCTTGGAGCACCTCGACGGCATCCGTCGCGCTCATCGGGGCGCAGCGCCAGTGGGATCGTCGTGTATCGAAGCAGCGCAACCATAATAAGGCTACAACTGCATCTCGCCTCTCCCTGGCGACTCATGGGGCAATACACTGGCAGCGATGGGTAGCATCCCTTAGGCATGGCCATCCGGCACATATGACACTTTGATCGACACAGCGATACCAAGCTCGTCAGGCGAACATTGTCTGAAACCAGGTGGACCAACTGAACGGTCTGATGCTGAAGCCGGATTGCGTGTTGTCCCGTCTAATATTGATCTCATGCACGCCTGAATGACCTCGACTGACCATGGAGAAGGTGGTCTTTCTTCGATCTCCACGCTTGAAGGCCTGCCAGCTCGATGAAGAAGACTTGTGAAATGTTAATATACCCTCCGGTGATTCGTGTGGGGTCGCGGATCCTGCACGTCGATGAATGGAGGGTCAGAGTAGTACGACCGATCGGGTTGTCGAGGCGATTGGGCAAGTATAGCTGACGACTTCTGCCAGATTTTGGTGTCGACATCGCCTGATGGAAATGCCGAGAGGGGATCTAGCAGGTACCGGTCTGCACTAGAAGTACATGCTTCGTTGCTGATGGACTTCTGCCTTGAACAAGGCAGCACCCGTATTCCAGTGAGTCGTAAGATCATTGCCCTGGACGCCTTAGCTCTACGCTTGCAGCACGACACGTTAATGAGGGTTCCAGCTGTGCCCAGCTTCAAACGATCGAGGCAGGAATCCTTCGACTTATTCTTCCAGGTGAACATTGCTGCAAGTAGAAACAAGGAATGCTCTGCCATCAAAGTTTAGTTGTGTCTTTGTTTCGGATCTGTCTTTGTGGTGCGAGGCCTCTCTTCAGCGTGAGTTTCTTCTTGTACAGGGTATACATACGCGCTTCATAAAGATTCTATTCACACGTTTATCCAAGCATGCACGCTATCGCTTCGAACGCGTCTCGATAACATTACGGAGGTGTAGCCAATAATCGGAAGTCGGGTGGGCAAGCGCGTGACCATCTGGCGATTTTCTCTAGGCCTGATCGCTTGTAACCCAGGACGCGCTCTTGCCATTGTCGCCAAATGTTTTTGTGCTGGGCGAGTCCCTCCTGCTCTCTCAGCGGTGTCATACAGCGATCCACATCACGCTGACCACGATATCCATGCCCTTGCCCTCTCCACCCTCGTACTTGTGCGACCACATCCCATCCTTCTCATTATTCCAGAAAGCCCCACTCGCACTATGCATCCCCCTCCGTCCAACCTTCCCATTGCCTACGGCGACCTCCGCCTCACCTTCACTCCCGCTCGGTCGCGGATCAGAAAGGTGCTGGATGATGGTGCTGTTGACGCAGAACTTGTATCGTGGTGACTGGAACTGCGGCGGCTCTGCACTGCTGGTGGTGTCGGAGGAGGTCGTCGTGGACTCGGAGATGACGGCTTTGAGGATGGAGTTAATGATCTGGTTGTTCCAGGTTTGGGTTGAGGCGTGGTCGTAGTGCGAGGCGGTACTGAGGGCGGAGTCGCAGGCGTCGTTGGCTATTTGTTTGAGGCGGTTGGCTGGAATGGGCTGTACGATGTTAGTATATCATCTCTCCGCTAGTCCGAGCAAAAGATGTAGTATCGACCAGTCCGGCCTGGAGGCTTTCTGGCAAAACGGACGATTTTGGAGAACATACAGAGTTTGCCATTGCACTGCGGTGTTTGAGGCGATGGTAGTAGTGATATCGTGGAAGGATCTCCTTGCTCGTGTTAGATCCTATCTTGCACTTGCTTCCCTCTCGCGCTGTTGACGTGTAACGACGAAGGACCGTGATTAGATGTCTGTTGCAGCACGAGAGCCCAAACACACGTTCACCCCAAAACACGCTTGAAATGCAAGGCATTCCCAAAGTGGGGCGACTTCATGCCCGTCACGAGTCAAGCTGTGCATCGGCACGAAGCGACGGTCGTAACCGAGCCAACGAGAACAGAGCATGTGAAACGTGACGAAGGCGGGGAGAGCGTTTCTGACTGCAGCTGGCTTGCTTGTGCTTTTTGGGCCAAAGCTTCGCCGGCGAGCTTTTCTGTGGGCACGAGCACTTCTCACACTCGTCGTCTGCCATTGAGGTTGCTTGAAGGACTGTGAGGCACGATCATATACGTACAAGAGGCTCAAGAAGATATCTCACAGGAAGGGACGAGATACAACATTACCAGCTTCCACCTCGGCATATCATTAGAAGTACCCTCCCATTGGGATCTCGAGAGCCAATATGTCCAGCCAACCTCTCCTCCAAACTGCACCGGGTATGCACCATACACTCTGCTAATCCTACAAAGCTAACAATATTGCTAATAGGCAAACGCATCGCCCTCCCCGTCCGCGTCGAACCGAAAGTCTTCTTCGCAAACGAACGCACGTTCCTCTCCTGGCTAAACTTCACCGTCATCCTCGGCGGCCTCGCCGTTGGCCTCCTCAACTTCGGCGACCGCGTGGGCCAGATCAGCGCTGGACTCTTCACCCTCGTGGCGTTGGCGGCTATGCTCTATGCGCTCGTGACTTTCCATTGGAGGGCGAAGAGTATTCGGATGCGAGGGCAGGGAGGGTTTGACGATAGGTTTGGGCCGACGGTGTTGGCTGTGGCGTTGTTGGCGGCGATTGTGGTCAATTTTGTTCTGAGGTTTACTGGGGCTGGTGGGGATCATAGGTAAATTTTGGGTATGGATGGGTGGATGAGGAGGGATCGATGTGGTTGCTCTCTGTAGGGTGAAGAGGAACCAGAGAGTGGGGCGATGGAGATGTGTAAGATGAAAAAACTCATGGCTAAAGGGTTGGAGGTCTACTACGAAGCCTTTGGAAAGTGTTGGCACACCAATGCGACTTTTGTACATGGGCGGTACGTTTGTGCATGCCGTATAGTGACAAGTTGAGTCTAGATATGTTACACATGGCCTCTTTGAAATTACTCATTGGACATTGCAGGTAGAGACTGCATACTGCAGAACCGAGTCGGCTGCAGTGTCTGCACACACGCTTGCTAACAGGAGGTCTGGCCAAATTGGGGAATGAATGCAAGCTGGAAGCAGATAATCCGAGATGTCTTACAGAAGCGGCGTGCTCTACTGACTTCCACTCCCTCATTGGTGTGAGCTACAGTATATCATCCCCGAGTGGCTTGCATTCACTTACTTCGCAAGTACTTCGGATTCATTTGCTTAGTAGCCGCCGTCATCTTGGTGCACAGGTTCATCCTCAGAGCCTCATCCTAACCCTCGTCCTCATTCTCTTCTTCGTCTACCCGGCCAGACATGACACCATCATATATCGACTCCGGAACGGTGATAGTAGCGAGGGTGGACGTGGTCGTAAGTATCAGCGCTGCCTGGCGAGATGAGAGGGCAGTACTTCGTTGAATGTCTGTGTGGATAGTCTCAAGGGGTATGTTGAAGGCGATGGTGTAACTGTGAGTTGGTGCCTGAGCAGAAAGGTGCTTTGGATGTAAAGTCCCGAAATCATCACATTGGAAGTGTGCGGTACCATGCAAATTCTAGAGCAGAAGAGGAAGGCACTCATTCACTTACGAGGCGAAGGAACATGGTAGCCCAGTGTCCGCCAATTTGGCATATCTGCCACATCAGCTAAGCACTGACGGGGTAATTGGTCCGATTGCGCAGATTATCATGGCTCTTGACCCTAGAAGGTGTCGATTTGACTCGTTCGTGTGAAGTCAGCTTAAGATAGAGTGGTCAAGAATAATCTGCGAGGCAGTGGATTTATCACCAGCAGCTAAGACAGGGCCAAGAGCGTGCAGGTAGTCGCAGAGGAGATATATACATACCCCACTACCTTTGTCGTCTACGCTCCGTCGCAGCTGCTCCTGTCTGAATACATGCTAATGCTCTGCGCAATATGCGAAGCATGGTGAAATCCCTCTGGATGATTGTCCTAATATCATCGCCGACAAACTGGGTGGCGAAGATCATTGGCCTCTGGACAGGTCAGAGATACTGCATAGTGTTTCTCAACATTTAGACGCAAAGTCCTCATAGCATAGCTCGGGCACTGCAACACGAGTGAGATGGGTCTTGGCAGACCGTATGGGATTCTTTCTTGGCTACACTTTTTGAACTCGTGGCTGTGATAAGATCGAGGCCGCCGAGTCTTCGAAAGAGCCATGGACTACTCAAGAGGAAATGCTCGTCATCGTCTTTGCCGTCCTGAAGGTGAGCAGATGGTGGTGAACAGAGATGCATACTGATTCAGGATTTCGGCAGGCAGAGCGACGTTTGCTTGTTCCTACTGCCTCGCCACAAGCCACTCTCACAGAAGTAATACGCGTATGTCATAAGTGCTCGATGGCTAGGACTGATATGCTTCCATACCTCATGTTTGTGGATGGAACGAAGTGCGAGACATGAAATTTGCCGATTTCTGAGCAGTGGCACGTGCGGGGTGACGTTCAGGCGATGGTCGCGCTTGATACGCGAAAACGCGCCAGCAACGCGACCACTTTCTAAACATCCCGCCTAGCCACCAGTCGACTATATCTTCCTGCAGGCCGCATTGCATTGTGCTCTCACATCGACATCACCACGCTCCACTTCCCATTTACCAGATACTGCTTGAAGAGCTGTAATTGTGGGAGGCAAAGGCACTTCTTGATCATTTCATACCAAATCTTCCAAGCACGAGGGACAGACCTCGCCGCCGCTGTCGAAGATGTATGTCTTCAAGCGTGGTATGTAATCTCAAGATGTGCCTCATAGTAAAGATTAGCTGACACGAGACCAAGATGGCCGCAAGGAGCGGGTGCAATTCGACAAGATCACAGCCCGTGTGTCGAGGTTATGTTATGGCCTCGATCCAGACCATGTCGACCCGGCTGCAATCACCATGAAGGTCATCTCTGGTGTCTACCAGGGCGTGACAACCATTCAGCTCGACGACTTGGTGAGTAACTACGCTTGTATACTTAGCCGCCACCTACTGACTTCGTCTTCAGGCCGCCGAGACTGCGGCATACATGACCACCACCCACCCAGACTACGCCATTCTCGCCGCCCGCGTTGCAGTCTCCAACTTGCACAAACAGACGAAGAAGCAGTGGTCCGCTGTGGTCGAGGACCTGTACAGATATGTCAATCCCAAGACGAGAAAGCCAGCACCGATGATCTCGGAGCAGACATACAAGACAGTCATGGAACACGCCGATGAACTTAACAGCGCCATCGTCTACGACCGTGACTTCAACTACCAATACTTCGGCTTCAAGACGCTGGAGCGCTCATATCTCCTCCGCATCGATGGCAAGGTCGCCGAGAGACCGCAGCACATGATAATGCGTGTCGCTGTCGGAATCCACGGCGATGATATCGAGGCTGCTTTGGAGACATACAACCTCATGTCCAACAAGTACTTCACACATGCCTCGCCCACACTGTTCATGGCTGGCACACCATCCGCACAGCTCGCATCATGCTTCTTGGTAGCTATGAAGGATGATAGCATTGATGGCATCTACGACACCCTCAAGACCTGTGCTATGATCTCAAAGAACGCGGGCGGCATCGGACTCAATGTCCACAACATTCGTGCTACTGGCTCCTACATTGGCGGCACGAACGGCACATCAAATGGTCTTGTTCCCATGCTCCGTGTCTATAACAATACGGCACGATACGTCGATCAAGGTGGCAACAAGCGCCCAGGTGCTTTCGCCATCTATCTTGAGCCATGGCACGCGGATGTCTTCTCCTTCCTTGATCTGCGCAAGAACCACGGCAAGGAGGAAGTGCGTGCCCGTGATCTCTTCTACGCTCTTTGGATCCCAGATCTGTTCATGAAGCGAGTCGAGCAGAACAGCACCTGGACGCTCATGTGTCCGAACGAGTGCCCTGGCCTCGGAGATGTCTATGGTGATGAGTTCGAGGCACTTTACGAGAAGTACGAGGCTGAAGGCCGCGGTCGCGACACCATCCGTGCACAAAAGCTGTGGTATGCTATCCTTGAGGCTCAGACCGAGACTGGCAATCCTTTCATGTGCTACAAGGATGCTGCGAACCGCAAGAGCAATCAGAAGAATCTTGGTACCATCCGCAGCTCCAATCTCTGCACGGAGATCATGGAATACTCTGCTCCAGATGAGGTCGCCGTGTGCAATCTTGCCTCACTGGCTTTGCCGACATATGTTGACATCGCCAATGAGAAATACGACTTCGCGAAGCTTCACGAGGTGGTCAAGGTCGTCACCAAGAACTTGAACAAGATCATCAACCTTAACCACTACCCAGTGGTCGAGGCACGCAATAGCAACTTCCGACACAGGCCTATCGGTCTTGGCGTCAACGGTCTTGCTGATGCCTTCTTGGCTCTGCGCATGCCTTTCGACTCTCCTAAGGCTCGTCAACTCAACATTCAGATCTTCGAGACTATCTACCATGCTGCGCTTGAGTCCTCGTGCGAGCTCGCTGCTGAGCTTGGTCCTTACGAGACATATCAAGGCTCTCCTGTCTCGCAAGGCGAGCTTCAGTACGACATGTGGGGCGTGACACCTACAGACCTCTGGGACTGGGAGTCACTCAAAGCCAAGATCGCACAGCACGGTGTACGCAACTCGCTTCTTGTTGCGCCCATGCCAACCGCGTCGACCTCGCAGATCATGGGCTTCAACGAGTGCTTCGAGCCATACACGAGCAACATCTACTCTCGTCGTGTACTTGCTGGCGAGTTTCAGGTTGTCAACCCATGGTTGCTCAAGGACTTGGTCGACCGTGGTCTCTGGTCCGACAACATGAAGAACCGCATCATCGCCGACAGCGGTTCCATCCAGCGAATTCCGAACATTCCAGATGACCTCAAGGCTCTCTACAAAACCGTCTGGGAGATCAGCCAGCGTCACATTGTGCAGATGGCTGCGGATCGCGGTGCCTTCATCGATCAGTCTCAGTCGCTGAACATCCATATGAAGGAGCCTACCATGGGCAAGATTACTAGCATGCACTTCACTGGCTGGAAGCTAGGTTTGAAGACCGGCATGTACTATCTCCGTACCATGGCGGCTTCTGCACCCATCCAGTTCACTGTCGACCAGGAGAAGCTGAAGGTTGTTGACACGAACGTAGCGAAAGCTCTCGGCGCTAAGAAGCGGAACGTTTCTGGTGCATATCAGGCTGTTGCGTCTCCTCAACCACAAGGCACGCCTGTGCCACGCCCAATGTTCGAGGCCAAGTCCATCGGTAACGGCATACCCAAGGATGTCGTTACGCCAGCTACTACTCCTCCCCCACAGCCAGAACGCCAGGCACGGAAGCTTGAGCGCTCATCATCTGCGGTCGTCAACCCACCCTTCCAGGCAGATATCGACGAAGGCGAATCGCCCGAAGTCTTGGCTCTGGATGGCACAAACGGCGCCACACCCAAGGGCGAGGACCTACCTGCGCCTGCACTTCCTGAAGAGGAAGATGTAGAGAAGAAGGCCAAGCAGGCTGAGGACGACAAGGATGCTAGTGAAGGTCGCGAGGGCGATATCTATGCTGAGGCCGTGCTGGCCTGCAGTATTGAGAACCCTGAGTCTTGTGTTATGTGTAGTGGTTGATGGAGGAATGAATATGCTTTATCACTCTTTTGTTGCATGACAAGGCGTTACGAATGGATACCATATGGGATATGCTACTGGACTTGGCTAGAATTGCGATGCTGCGAGGGATTGTGGGAATAATGCTAGCTATTTGTACCGTTGATCGTGTATTGCATAGAGTGAAATGAACAATCGCAATCAGCCCTATTATTTCTAAATACCATTGTAAATATGAGGCTTGCCATATCGCTCGTTCAATGGTTCGCTCCCACAAAGTGCATATTCTCAGCCAAAGATGACACAGTGGCCTGACGGGCGCTCTCATCAAGTACATGCTTACGTCGTACTTAGGAGGGTCGTCGAAGATACCGCCTCGATATGGCACTCTTGAAACTCGCCTCCCGGCTCACTGCATGCCAGGCGATGAAGAAGTGACAGAATTCAAGAAGCGGAGCAAGTATTATAGTTCAAGGTGTATAAAATAGAAACACTGTTCTCTGAAACGGAGGGACATTGTTGAATGGTAAAGTCGCTTATGTTATAGGCCAAAGAGGAGCCATTGCTCGGCCAGAATCTGTGAATCGTGTTGAGCAGTCGTCTCTACTATACCATCGTGGAGCACTGAAACGAAATCAACTCGAAGCAACAAATTCAGCAGCTTGCCCGCTTCACCTGCTTGTCAGAAGCAAGCACCCAGCCAGAAAAGACAGCCAGAAAACACAGCCTGAAGGATCGCAGTAAGATGCTTCCAAGCTGGCAGGGAGTGTAGTACGGTGGAGCGGACATAATCAGTGTCTCGTCGTTGCGGTAAGCTTAAACGATACGCTCAATATATACAAAACTTACAACATCATCATTCCCACTTCTACTCCCACTCTCATCCTCACGAAACCACACTAGCGCCCCCACTCTCAATCGCCTCCATCTCCGCCTCCGTCCACCGCGTCCTGTGAAAGCGTCGCGGCAACTCACTCCTATCCCAGAACTCCCCCTGCTTGGGCTTCACACTCCCCAATTCCCGGCCTGAATGCCCTCCTATCGCACCGTACGGACTCGATGTCTGCGCTGCTCCTCCAGATCCAGGAGGAGCAGGTTGTCGGTTGGAGGAGGTGGACTGGGAGGAGGATTGGGAATTGCTGCTGCTGCTACTGCTCTGTTCGCGGCCGCCGAGAGGGCCGTGGGAGGTTACGCGGTCGCGGTAGGAAGCGAAGGATTCTGGGAGTCTTTCTGTTGGGGAGGCGGGGTGGGCGTGGGGGGTGTGGTCGATTTCTGGGTTATGGCATGTTAGTATCTACATTCATTGTAGGTGAGAGCCGTCGATGCAGTCGTACGCTTAGGTGTATGTCGCTTGCCCAGGAACTTTATCAATGGTGTTCGGCCCTGCCGCAGAGCTCGTGTCGCTTGCATGGGTGCGGCTGCTTGATCCTTCTTGCTGAGATCGCCTGAGGGCTATACCGTAGATCGATCAAGAAGGTGAGTATGATTTGGGAGCTGGGTAGATATAGAGAGGTTATGCAAATGAGTAGGAATTATGTTGTCCAGAGCTTGGCGTTGATAGCTCGGAAGCTGGGGGCTGGCGCTAGCGTTGACATACGGGGATTAGATCAGATACATGCAGTGTCCATTCACCTCAATCACAATTAATACCAACATGCACAACCTAATGTTCGAAGAGGGCTCGAGATCATGTTAAGAGGTCGCACAATTTGTCACATGCATCGATGAAAGACTGCAACGAGAGTGGTGGAAGGACTAGGTGGTGAGGCCGATGAGTGATCCGGATTAACAACGTTGACATGAACACGGATCTTGATGATATAAACTCCATCTCATCAGCAGAATCTGAAGGACCGACACAGCCTACAAGAACGGAAATCTGCAACTATCGTAGAGCACGAACCCAAGAGCCAATCCAGAGCAAAAATGCAAGAACTAATCCTCTACTCCCATATCCCCCCAACCCGGCACGCTCAAGTCCTCCAGATCCTCGCCGGCATAACCGCCTCCCGTCCCACCCCAACCCTGGAGCAAACACTCCTCTACATCCAACCCCCCGCCACCCTGACCGGCGCCGCCAAAAAGGCCCAAGCGAACCGTCAAACCCAGGTCAAACCTCAGAAATCCACCTACGTCAAATTGATCCGAGACGTCCAGAACGATGGCGATAAGACTCCCTGGACTCTTCGCACGGAGGAAGTACCTCAAGCCGGCATCACGAACGTAATAAGTCGAACCATCACAGAACGCCTACTTTCAGACCAAGATCTCGAGGCCTTCAGGCAAACAACCGGTAACAAAACAAAATACTGCAATCAATTCCTCGCGTCCCCCGGCCACCGCTTCATCCACAATAACCTCATCATCCGCATCTCCCGGATCTTGACCGTACCTGATGGAACTGGGGCGTTGGAGCCGTTGGATGCTCCGGTGCCGGAGGTGAGGGAGTGTCGGGTTGTGGATTCCTCCGGGGCGTATCTTTTTGAGGTTACGGTGAGGGTGGAGGATGGGGCGAACTCGAAATTGGTGGAGATGGGGATGGGGGAGATTTTGGGGTTTAGGCGGTTGGTGGAGGGGGTGGTGGATTTGAGGGTTCCGGAGAGGTTGGCATTGGATTCGAGGATTAAGTGAGGGAGTGCTGCTTTTAGGACCCCGGTCGTGGCGGTTCGCAACATGTTTGATCAGTCGCCACGCCACGGCTTCCGACCGACGCCGACGATTATCTGGGGCTGCACTGCTAGCGTAGCCTGTGGGTCTTTTGTGTGTCACGGAGGACATTTGCATCCGAGCAAGGGACGAGGACAGCTGGTAGTATTGCCAACTCACCTCCTACCATACGACAGCACTGTCCACCCAGTTTACCAGCAGTGCTCGACATGACATCGGAGGTCGATACCCTCGTTGGACACTGTAGACTGTGATGGACGCCAGCACGTAGTCGAAGGGGCACGTGAGGCATGGACACCATATATTATTATCATTATAGCTTCAGATTACTATACCGATCAACGAGATTGCCTTTCATGCGAAAGCTTGTTGTGCAATTGACTTCGACTTGCATCGAACGGACGCAGGGTTTAAGCTGCGATCATTGCTCCCTTGGCATTGCGATGGCCCATGAATAAATATACTGAGTACAGACCGTCAGCAGGCTGCATGTGCTCAAATCAGACAGTCCTTCAATCACACCACAGTATCGAGTTCAGCAAGACAATGTGGACATCATACCTCGTTCTCATGCTGTGGCGAAAACGAAGGTTGGGCTGTAAAGCTCAAGCCACATGCGTCAAGTGAGGGTCACGCGAAAGCTGGAGCGAAAGCTGGAGCGAAAAAATGCAGACCCCTCACCACTTTGCAAAGCATGCAGCTGGGAAGGTCAAAGTAGGGGTACAAAAGACAAAGGGACCAGAGGTCCAGTATGACTACGGGTGAGGCAGGCCGGAGTATAGCTCGGTGGTATTCCTTCTTGTTCTTCTTCTTCTACTGCTACTCGCTCGCACCATTTACATCCTCACCACAAGACATAGTCCTCGATCGTGATACCACTTGCATTCTTGCCATCAATACCAAGCCGACAGTGTAACATGTAAACAGCAACAAACAACGATATAGACAGATACCAGAGACCAACAGAACAGCAGCGCAGCGCAATGGCCGCCGACAAGCCCTCAAACACACACGACGAACACCCCAACCTTGACCCCTCCCACGAAGCCGCCCTCACCGGCGCCCTCGCCCTCGCCAACCTCTTCAGCAACTGCGTCGAAGCCTTCGGCCTAATCCACCCCGCCCACAAATGGGAAAAAGAAGAACAACTCCTCCTCTCCCGCCTGGGAATCCAACAAGCCCGCCTCCTGATCTGGGGCGACGTAGTCGGGATCTGTTCCCCACCCAAAACCGTCACCGATCGCGCCGTGCCCAAACACCCAAGCGCCGCGTATCCAGATGTCACCGAGGCGACGTTCTTCGGCGCCCGAGATGCGAGGTTGGATGAAAGTGGTGTGAGGACGGAAGTCGAGAATGCGTTGGGGGCGATTGTGGATCGCTCGGCGGGCGCGAGTCGGGATGAGATGATGGAGCGGTATGGGCTCAAGCCGCCGAAACGGTTCACCGTAATCCGGGAGCCGGCGTTGGATGTGCAGCGGCTGGAGGGGTTTCGGGAAAGGTATGAGTTGTTGCAGGAGGTCGGGGAGACGTATGCGCATTTGGGGGCGCGGAGGAGCAATTCGATCGTGGCTACTAGTTGGACTATAGCGGATAATCTGAGGTTCGCGACGTTCATTGCGTTGACCACGCAGAAGGTGGATGAGTTGGTCAAGCTGATGGGGGTGCAGGATAATGTTGATAGGGGGATGAGGGTGGATATTAAGAGTCTGGGGTGGCATTTGACGGCGGATAAGTCGAAGTTAGCTTCCGATACTTCGAAGTTGAAGCTTCTGCAGGCCGTCTGTGACGCTGATTATCCCGAGTATACTGCTGCGGTGCAGACGGCGCTGGAGAACATCAATCGGGAGAACGTGGAGAACTTTGGGGTGGCGAATCCGTATATGACGGTGCCTGCATCCCCGGCTCACCCTTCGAATCTCCCGAAACCGAACCATGCGCATACGAATGGGAGCGGGGAGAAGAATAAGCGGCCGGGTCTCTTCAGCATCTTCAAGTCGGGCTTCGGGAAATCGAGCAACAAGGTCCCCAGCAGCAAGCGCGGCCGCAACCTCAGCGTCTCCTCCATTGAGCCCCCTCGCTCGTATTCAGATGCCGGACCCACGACGTCCTTCTCACCAGATGCGCCCCGTATGACGGACGAGGATGGAGCACCACTGGAGCCTCTTCGAAGCAAGTCGGTAGGTGCGATTTTGGATACGCCGACGACGACGATCGATGAGGTGTTTATCAAGAACAGGCTGGAGCAGATGCGCACGCATGATAGTGAGGGTGATCGAAATCCGCTTGAGCAGACGGAGACGGTGGGGAGTGTGATCTCGAGGCATGATCAGTATCATGGGATTGGGAGGGTGGATACGAAGGATCAGAGGCAGGGGTGGTGAGGAAATGACTTGAGCAGGGGAGTGCCAGAAGACGAAGTGACGTTGAAGATGCGATTTATGAGTGATGATGCTGGATTTTTTTTTTCCAAGGGTCTCGGTTTGGATGTGGATGGACTTATACCCCTTTGGCTTACTTCGTGATGGTGTTTTTTGTTTACTTTTGAGCAGTAAGTAATGCATGTACTAATAAGATTGATTCGTATACTCTTCACTTACATGGGTATGCTACAGTAGATTTCATTCATAGTGCACCTTGAGTTGCATCGGCGAATCATCGTAGGTCGATGCTTGGCAGATCTTGTGCTCCACGAAGGAAGGTCGACTCACTGACTAAAAGAGAAGGTGCTGTTAAGAAAGTAGAAGGCACGACCCTGGAGCTTGACCTTTGTCTCCGCCGACCGTTAACAGCCGAAATGTCTTCCGACCTCACAATTTCTACCAGACTGTTGTACTAAATCTCGTGCTCCATGGACACCATGCTATCTCTCTTCCAAATCAGACCCTTGCAAGGTAAAGGCCAAGGCGTCTTCGCCACTTCCATCATCCCTTCCGGCACGACAATCATGCAAGATCGGAAGATAATGCGGAGTCCACAGTCAAACCGATCTGTCTTCTCTCATGCGACCGAAACGGAAGTCGAGCGAGCTTTCAACGGAATGAGCAGGCACAATCAGGAGCGGTATTTAGCCATGTCTACTGGTGGCGCCACAAACAATGATCCCCAGGAGAAAGCGGAACGCACGGGTCCACTAGAACGAGACTCATACCATACTACTGGCCGCGAGTCCACGGACAACAAGCAGAAATTACTAGACATCTACCGCGCCAACGCTTTCGGCGAGGACGGAGGAGGAGAGAAATACATGTTCTTCGATATTTGCCGTATCAATCACGCCTGCGTACCCAACGCTGAGCTTCTCAATCAGGGGGACGAAGGCGTGGCTGATGGTGGTTTGGAGACCGTCGTAGCGCTGCAAACGATAGACAAGGGCGAGGAGATCACGATTTGTTATAATATGCTCTTCTGCCGTATGACGAGGGTTCAGCGAAAGGCGTATGCGCGGAGGGTGTGGGGGTTTGAGTGCGGGTGTGCAGGGTGTCTTCCTCCTACTCGACCGGACGCCGTGAGCACGACATATGGGTTGAGGACAGGGAGGGGAGGGATGGGCATGAGCATGAGTATGAGTGAAGCGCGAAGAACCTTGATCAACTCCCTCGTCTCCCGACTCGAAGGCCGCTCCGCTCCAGACTGGACCATCCTGCTCGGCCTCAGGAGTACCATTCCAACACCCAAACAACCTCCCATCGATATCATATCTCCATTGCCATTGAGTCCAGCACAGCAAACAACCGCCCTAAACGTCCTCCTCGCCAGCCTCCTCCTCGCGGAGAATCTAGCCGGGACTACGGTCCTGAACGCTTACACGACGGCAACTATGACGTTGATGAAGCAGATCGAGGCTGATCCGGCCGTTGAGGGCGACGGTGAGGGCGATGGGGTGTATGTACAGGTAGCATGCCGTTTTGCGAAGAAATGGATGCAGCTAAGTATGAAGCACGGTGCGCATGTTCGTGGGACGCTGAGCCAGGAGACGATGGGGTGGAAGAAAGCGTGGGAGGGGAGGGTTCAGCGATCGGGCAGATTGAGAGAAGGGTTCGCGGCAGTGGATGGAGCCAAAGAAGATAGAATCAAACGGGGGTTGAGGTGGTAGGTCTCTCGGTGTAAAGGTCTGTACAGAGGTTTCACGAGCAGCTTGCAAAGGGGGTTCGCACGAGCAGCATCGTGTCTCATCCATTCAAGGACCAGACTCCCTACCACTAGGCGTGCCAACATCCTCCTTAGCATCCACAAACCCCTCCCCATCACTGCTCTCCCTCTCCCTTTCATCTCGTCCCGGGACCGAAAGCGCACCAACCCCAGCACTCTCCGCAGCACCCACCGCCGCCTTCTCCGCCGCCTTCTCAGCCTTAACCCTCTCCCTCTCAACCAAATTCCGATGAACCTCCCTCCTCGTAGCCTCCTCCCTCGACTTCCTCAACCGCTCCACCTCCTCCACCCCCCCACTTTTCTTCAACTTCCCTTCTTCAACAAAAGACCCCAGTTCCCTCTGAAACTCCCCTTCCTTCCTACTTTCCAACTCCCGCTGCCTCGCCTTCTCCGCCCGCTCAATCGCCTCCAACCGATCCTCATGGTTCGGCTCCAGCGCCCTCACCTCCCCCAAAACACCATCATGCGCCATCTTCGGATCCCTCCCGCCCGCCCCAAAATCCAAATTGAGCGGCTTCAGATTCCTCGAACTCGACCGCGACCCATCCCCCTGCAAACCCACCGGATTCACTCCATCCGGTTTATGCAAATTCTGCTGCTTAGTAGCCTGCTCCACCAACCCAAACGTCACAGCCGCCTTCTCCAAATCATCTTCCAAATCCGCCGCCAACTCCTCCTGCATCGTCAATAATTCCCGCTCATCACACACAACCTGCAACTCCTTCTCCCAGATCTTCGTCCACACCGGCTTCTCCTTCCGCAGGAACTCCTGCAGCTTTTTGAGTTCAGATGTAGCGTGACTGACATCTTTACTCACGCTCTCGAGTTGCCGGGGTAAGGGGCGCACACCGCGGGTCACGACATCCTTGCGGAGGTCCTCGACGAGATCTTGCAGGTCGTCGACGCGATTGACGATTTTTTCGCTGTCGGCCGAGAGTTGGGTTTTGCCTTTGTTGACGTAGGCGCGGCCGGTGTTGCTATCGAGATCCGGGACTGTGGCGGCCGCGGCGGCTTTCTTCACATTGGTCGCTTTGGAGCGGATGGTGGTCATGGAGGCGTTCATGTCGGAGACGAAGGAATTGTAGGTTTGACGCACGACGGCGAGGTCGCGGCGGAGTGTGCGGACTTCTTCTAGTTGGGTGGATTTGTCTTTGACGGAGATGCTGCGGGTGTGGCTTGCGCCGGAGGCGGTTCGGGAGGGGATTGTGGTGGTGGTGGGGGTTTGTGGTAAGGCGGCGATACCGGCTAGTTCTTTCGCGGTGTCCTGTTGGCGGTCGCTGACGAGTTTGAGGGCGGATTGTTGGTCTTCCATTCCGGCTTTGATGCCCTCGACGATGCGGCGTAGACCGCCGATGCCGTCGTCGATGTGTCGTTTTACTTCATCTAGTTGCTCGACGTTGAGGACTAGGACACTTCGGTCCTTGATATCGTTCACGCCATCGAGCTCGTATCGTACTCCAGACACCGAATCCTGGATGTAAATCTCCGGCAGATCGACACCATTGTTGTGAGTATTCCAGGCGAACTTTTCAATAAACGCGAGTTGAAGTCGGGGGATGCTAAGCTCGCCACCGTCGAGTACATATCGCTTGATCTTGCTCTTATACTGCAAGAAAAGCGTGAGCTCTTTCCCAGCTTGAGGTGATCCGTCAGGAATGAATTGCGAGTGTGGTGGCGTATCATATCTTGCGGCACGTGGGCCAGCTTTCTCTGGTTCTCGTTCCGCCTTCGTCTCTATAGGTGTGAAGCTTTGATGATCGACAAAAGGCTCATCCATAGCTCCATTGAGGGTTGCCTCGAGCTTATGCGACTCCCGACCTCTCGGGAAAGGATACTCGCCAAGCTTATCTTCTGGCGTCTTGACCATCGGACTGTCCAACGGGTCATTATTAGTGCTAGGTGGTGGCAGAGACGGCGCAGAAGGTGTCGGCAACGCAGGTAGCTCAGAGGGCTCTTCCGATATCCTCCTCACATCATTCGATCGGTTCGGCGACGGTTCGTAGGCTTTCTCATGTCGTGATCGTGCTCGGTTATGCACACTTGCTCTCGATCGAACGGCGCTCATCGACTCGCGTACATCCCGACCTCTATTCGGCAATGGCGAGTGCTGTGCTGGTGGGATGATTCCAGTGCCATTCATAGTACCACCAAGATGCTTCTGTATCTGATAGGCCGAGAATCTGCGTGAGGCTCTGCGCTCCAAATCGCCACCTCGTTGCAAAGCGGTAAGCGCATCATTCTGCTTGGGTGGCGGTCGTGGCGGATCTGGCGATGCTTCTCCCGGCTCGTAACCAGAGTTTGTGGGTATGGTGTCAGTCTCGGGATATGGTGCGATGACTGGGATATTCTGCATGGTGTTGCTGGAAAGCGAAGAGTCCGAGTTCGAAGATGCCATGATGTCTCTGTTGATGGCCTCGTGCATGCTGTTCTGCGGGCTCAATTGTGCTCGGCGTGGTGAAGATCGTCCACCGGTTGTGCTGGTCGTGCGAGGAGGTAAATCAGGTCGGCCCATATCACCGCTTCCTTGCCTCTGCGCGAACGATCTGCTGCTCGACTGCCTGTTTGGGATATCTTCCAGCTGCTGCGTCAGACTACTCTCCACACTCATATTGCTCGCCGTACTAGCCTGCCTCGGCGGTCGCACATCCCCACTCGTACTCCCTCCCGCAGCATTCTTCTGTCGCAACCTCTGCTGTTTCTTCTTCAACCCATGCAGCAAATTAATGATGATATCTCTTATGCGCGGCAGAAACCTGTCCAGACTCGCCTGGCTCGCTTCCTGACTCAGTGTATCCTCCAAGATGGACCTCAGCAGATCCGGTACTGGTCCTAAATCGCCCGTGTCCACGCCAATGGCATTGAAAGCTCGACACGCTATGTTGAACTCGTAGCCTAATCGGACGTAGACGTCGCTGACCTCGGATTCGTGGGCGCTGCCGCGAGACCACATGGTCAGGGTTTCCAGGAGCTGCTTGGTTGCGACGAGGAGGTGGGTGACGGATTTCTCGATGGTCGAGAGCTGCTGTTGCGGCTGGGTCGTGTTAGTCTGCCATTATAGAGTTTCCTACACCTCTTCCACTCACATTCTGGCGTGATCGGCCACTGCTTGAGCGTGCTGACCCAGCACTGGTCCGCTGGGGGTCTTCGGCCGACATTATTGTTCCTGTAGTCGTGTAATGGGAAGGGTATATGTGGACCAGTCGTGTCGGAGTCGACAGTACCGGTACAAGTCTCACAAGCACAAATTGCACGTGGCAAGGATTATACGGTCGATGGGCGTCGAAGCATGTGACTTTGTACAGTAGGGTGGTCGCTTAGGTGTGTGGTGTCCCGAGCTTCGTGTTGCTGGGATAACAGGAGGGAGGGGACAATGTTCAAACGAGCGTATGCGGGCCGTCAAAGACGACCACCAGCAGGAGATCAGAGCACAGGAGGAGTGGTGGAGATGAGGTCGTGGTCTGATTCTTAGTGAGAAGGTGTTGTTCCTACGGTATACACTACACGGCCATCACTCCTCCAGTCGCGATAATGCAGCTACGGTCTCGGCTAGCACCGTCCTACCCGACCCGCTGGCTGCGTCTGCAGGGTCGAGAGCATTGTCACGTGAGTGGATGGAGGCTGTCATGTAGAGTGCTGCATCTCGTTGTGAAGAAGCTGTCTGGTATAGCCATTGGTATCGCCCGTCTTTGAGCTTTGTAGCTTGTAAGCCTTGTACTAGATGAGTGATATTTGCATTGTGTGAGGCTCGCGGGCGACGAACTGACGAGGCTTTGCGGGAGCGCTAAGAGATAGCCCTTGCCCTTGAGGTGGAACTGGCTGCTGCTTGCTTGTCTCTCACATCTGGACACCCAATGACACTCTCCTCCACACACAAAACGGTTTGCATACCGTCCTCTTTCTTCCCCTCGTCTTGTTGCATACAACCCGTTATCTGTCGTGTGAGACCGCAGTACACGAGTGACGCGGCTATCGTCCCTTTACATCAGCAAGTCGGTCGGTCTCGAAGCAAGCGATTCCGCACCCACGGCATGTGAGTGAGGAGAGCTTCGATCGCTCTGCTTGCTTGCTACTGCAGCTTCCCGGGACCACGAAACCTCACACCTCCTCCGCCAGCACCCACCGCTGCCATCTTTACTCCACCGCCACCACTGTTACTGTGGTGACATACTGCTGCAGTGAACATGTCAGCAGCCGCAGTCAATGGCTCCGACGCCAATCGGTCATCCTCCACGAACTCGCCGGCACCGAAGCAGCAGTTCAAAAGTGGTACTAATGCTGGGAAAGCTTTGGATGGGGCGCGTAAGCAGAATGGTAGCCCTGTGGATGGTCAGAACAGGTGAGTTCGCACTCAACAGTCGCCTACAACTTGAAACTATTCTGTACTTTGCACCTTCGACATCATCCTCCACCACATGATCAACCTCACTTTCACATGCATGCCTCAGGCTCGCTGTCATTCGATGTCGCACTGCTACTAAGCCTTACCACTACACCGATACTAATGTGCATGTAAGCAGGAAACAGCAACAGTCTTCGCAACCAAAGGCGTGGCAGGGCACAAATCCTATCACTCAACCACGGACCTCTTCCGGCATGACCAACGGTACCGAGAAACCACTGCTCAAGCTACCGCAGCAGGCCCAGCAAGCACCGCCGACCAGCCGAGCCGACTCGCCCGCTGAGAAGCACGCACACGACCGATTACTGTTCGCGGTCGCAAATTGCATAGTGAGTGCAACTCCATCCGTCATCTCACGCTGCAGCTCTTATCACTGACATCCTACTAGGGTCTCGACGCAACGCTTACACTGAAGAACGGCGAGCAGTTCACTGGTGTCCTTGCTGGTGCGACCTTCGATTCGTCGTCGAAGAGTAAGTACGTTTTGAAGATGGTGAAGCAGACTCAGGCACAGGGCGAAGCACATATGAACGGAGACACAAGCAGTAACGATGAATACATTGGTGAAGGAGAAGACCACGTCATGTCCTTTGACGTGCAAGATACTACCTCGCTGGTTGTAGACGATGTGGTTACGACTGGCTCACAGCCACAGCAGAATGGTACACCCCCTCTTCACATGCTGCCTTTGTCGTCACTGACTCTCTGCGATAGGCACAGCACACTCGTCCTTCCTCACAGATACGCAGATCTCGGGCAGAGAACCAACAATGCCACGCGAGCGTGAGCTTCAGAGGTGGGACGCTAGTGCCGATACTGATGTCGACCTGTCACTCGATGCTGGCGGTCAGACTGGCTGGGATCAATTCGCGGTTAACGAGCAGATGTATGGCGTGCAGGACACATACGATGAGAACATCTACACGACTGCCATCGACAGGAGCGATCCGCGATTCCGGCAAAAGGAGGCAGAAGCTGCCAAGATAGCTAGAGAGATCGAAGGATCATCTGCTGGCAACGCACATGTCGCTGAGGAGCGAAGAGCAGATGCGGACAAGGATGATGGTTTGGACGAGGAGGAGAAGTACTCTGGAGTGCGCAGGGAGCCATCTGTGCAACTTCCGAAGCGAAGCACTGGTGCATATGTTCCTCCATCGCAGAGACCCATCACTGGAGCACCGACCGTCCAGGGAGCACCTTTCGATCCAGCCATCATCTCTGTTGCCAGACCTGTACCTGCGGCACCAGCACAACCAGAGATCAACGAGCCCACTGCTCTGCCAGAGCGTACTAAGCCGGCTGAAGCCGAGACTACAAGCAGAGACACTTCGGTCCCAGCGGCAGCATCTCAGACGCCTAGGGTACAAGCAGATCAGGCTGAAGATCACGTACGCAAGACTGCGGATGCATTCAAGCAGTTTGCCAATCTCGAAAAGCTCAAGGCTCGACAAGCACAGGAACAAAAGCGTGCGGGAGCTCGGCAAGAGAAGAATGTGAAGCTCAACGATCTTAAGAAGTTTGCTGCCAACTTCAAGCTGAACAGCCGTGTGCCTGACGACCTCGTTCCGATACTGGCAAAGGATCGCGAGAAGCAGCAAGAGATTCAGCGCAAGGCCGAAGAGGCGGCGAAGGAGCATGAAGTCACTGCTGAAGATCGCAAGAAGAGGTTGTCAGCCGGTGCCACACCACCAGCGCCAGCCAGCATAACGCCTCAGATGAATGCAGGGCCAACGCCCGAGCAGCGGACACCCTTCAACCAACACTCCCGACCGCGGGCATCCCAGCATATGCGTGGCGGTCCGAGCATGTCTAACCAGACACAATCACCTCGGGCGCCTGCAGGACAAGGCCGTGGCAATCAAGGTTATGGTCGTGGTGGGATGGTACCCATTCAACCACTTGGCGATATACGCATCCCATCAGGCCCTGCACTTTCTGCAGATCGAGCACCTCTAAGCCCGTCGTCTGCCAATCGCCTCAACATCAACGCGACCGAGTTCAGGCCTACTGCATCCACTTTCACACCATCGGGCACTACACCATCGCCACAACGGAAGATGAGCAAGCAGGAGTCAGCGGCAGAACCATCTGCTCACTTCTTCGGCAAAGAAGGGAAGGCGTCGACTCTGTCAGATCGTGGGGATATCGAGGCCACATTCGAAAGCATAGACGACATGCTCAGCGCGCTCGACACTCTCAACGAGCAGCAGAAGCAGATGTATGCAGGCAACGGCGGCATCCCCCAGCCCTACCGAACGCCACCCACCTGGCCAGGTGTGGACTCTCTCACATACAAAGACGACTTCTCAAAGCGATACCCATCAAGCCAAGGTCCCTCACCTATGCACACTCCCGGCCCACATGGCCCACCAATGGCCCATCAGCTTCCGCAGCACATGCAAGGCCAGCACATGACGCCCCCCACTCATCGCCAGCAATACTACCAGCAACAGCAGCAGGGCCCGCACATGCCCGCCTTCGACCCTCGGATGCAACAATTCGGCCCTAACGGCTCCGTGCAGAACTCTCCTCGTTTCAATCCGGCGCAGATGGCTTATCCGGGCCAGATGCAGCATATGCCCATGCCGCAGTTCGCCGGTCAGCCGATGCAGGGCCAGTATGGGATGAGTCCTTCCATGCAACACCGGCCTATGCCGGGGATGCAGCAGGGTGGGCCACAGCAGATGATGATGGGTGGCGGTATGCTGGGCCAACAATATGGGCAGCGTGAGTCTTTCGCGTTTTTGGTCTCGTGATGTTCCGGTGCTGACAATCTAGAAGTGCCGCAAAATCAACGAGGATACCCTCAAGCCGGTGGCCCGCCTTTTGGGAACCAGCAGATGGCGCCGATGATGATGCATAACCCGTCTCAAGGAGGCGGCTACATGAACGGACCCGCCATGCAGCAGCAGCAGCAGCAACATCAATCCTACTCGCCTATGCCTCCCCACGCTCAACCGAATATGCCTGGACATCCTGGCCATGGCACTCCTGGTCCAGGGGGTTATAACGCTAGTCCCCGCCCGCCTATGATGACGCCGCAGGGAAGCCATCAGGGATTCAATCCGCAGATGCATGGGATCCCGCAGCCGCAGTTTGGAAGCCATGGTCCTGTGCCGCCGGGTCAGGGTCAGAGTCAGGGTCAGCCGCATCCGATGCATATGCAGCAGAGGCAGTTGAGCTCGGGTTACATGCCCGGTGGGGGTGGAGGTGGGTATCCGCAGGCTACGCCTAGACAGCAGCAGGCTGTGCCGAGTATGCAGATGGGTGGGGTTGGGAGTCCGGGGATGGGCGGAGGGCCGGGTTTGCAGCACGGGGAGGAAGGGAAGGGGGGTTGAAAAGGTTGGGAAGATTATGGCAAGGAAGGAAAATTTATCGTGGCTATCTGTGGGGTGATGCAGGGCTGCGGCTAGATCATGGTCCGTTGTTGTCGTGCCAATTGCACAGCGGACGGGGGAACAGATGTCTGCAGGCTGTTTGAGCCTTGGAAGCACGACTGCTCGCGTGCTCGCGCTCCGAAGTCGGGGAGGCAGAAGATCTTGAGATATCTTTTCCGTGGATTTATGGGGTATGTGTGGTTGATATATGCAGAAGATTGAAGGAGATCTTTGCTGTGGTATACGTATGGATGAACGGATGGATGGTTGGACAGAAGAACCCGATCGTGGCGCTGTGTACTTGCAGCCGTGATAAAAGGGGATGTCGAGGGCGAGATCATGGTCGTTGATCAGCGATGGGGTGAGATGGGGTGATTGAGAGGTGTGCGAATTGCAAGGCGTCCGACGACGCAGCAATCGTGTCGTACCAAGACAGGTGAGGGGAGGGGAGGTGAGGTCGTGGTTTAGTGATGATGACGATGATGCGACACAAGAGTGCGGATTACCGTGAGAGGGTGTCAAGTGTGTCGCGAGCGTTGGGAACGGGAAGGGAGGTGAGGAGAGCATGGGTTGGGTGGCAGGATATGTAGGCTGTGTAGTGCCGCTGGAAATGGAGACCGAGATGCTTGGTATGGTTGTCCTTTTGTCTCGATACGTTAATACCTGCCATAGTCGTCGTCTCTGGTAATGGTACGGATTCTACGTCTTCGACCGAAAAGACGTGGAGGTAATGCATCTGCTGTGTGTGTATGTCTTGGATACGACTTGTCCTGCCACTGTCGGTTGTGATATATGGCAGTCATTGTCTGCCACAGGGTACTCGCAATGGTGATCGGGCCTATTCTGGCACACGTCCTTGGGTCTCATATGGCGAGTCAAGCCTCGTTGATCGAACATCGATAGTAGACATAACATCAGCCAGAGATCTGTGCCCACGTCTAGTGATATCCAACGCACTCGACAGGTCTGAATATTCAATCATCATGCAGCATGAGTGAGATCGACCCATGACTGTCATGTCTGACGATTACGTAGGCTTACCCAAACCCTAACCCTAACAGAAATCCTAGTAGCATGGGATGGAAGAAACTGGCGGTGGGGGATGGAGACGTGATGGAAATGCAGTTTAAGGTTCGTGGTTATGCTTGTTTGGGGTGGGGGGGGGGAAGAGAAGCCGTGCTGAGTCGTACCAAGCAGGAGAGTGGATGGCTTCTTGATAACATTCGGTCGTGGTACATTTGTCTCCTCGTGTCTTCAAAAAAACCAATGAAAGTTGCATGGTATTCTGTTGGATCCTAGCTGTGTTTCACAGCAGCCTCGAGAGATGGGCTTTGGGTCGTGTGAGGAGTGCCACGGATAGCCCACAGGCAATCTACTTCGTGTACTGTGTAGACCATCTTGCGTTGATAAAAATGCAGAGCGGAACCACTCATGGACGCCCTACTTCCAAGCGGAGTAGAAGGACGCGAGGCGTCTCACTCGCACCGGCCTGATGGTGTGCTGTAGAGCTTTATGGCGGCTCATTTGCTCAAGCGTGCGGTGGGAGACGAGGTCCAGTATCCACAGTGAGAGATAGGATAGTATCAGCAGGACGTGTTGTGAATGCTTGCTATGTTCCCAACCACATTCTGTCAGAAGTTGTCAAGTGTCCCAGCCGTCGAGGCAGTTTGTCCTGCGTTGGAGAGCTATATGCTTGCTCAGGTTGTGGTCCATGTCCTTGAGAGATGAAGCCCTGCTCGGCGAGTCCATGAGCCACTCCCAAATGTTTCTGTCGCAGAGGCCGTGGAGCATGGGATACGGCATACAGTCCTACAGTCAACTGTACTCGCCGGGAGCGATCGCGATTTGCTGATTCCTTACGCGCGCGCGCGAGCCGAATAGCTGTCTAGTGTGTAGTCGATTGTGCTTTTATAGGTAGCGTATACTACATGTCATTCATGATACAGATATATTACAAGACCTTACCAAGATGCCTCGATGCTCGAAATTAGACGTGACACACCAAAGGCGGATCAGTTATGCCAGCACCATGCGGTGTATTGTCATCGTCCTCCAATGGTGTCCAGTATACCGCTGACTGAAAGCTGACGGACAGGCGGCCGCATAATACCCAGGTCGAAGAACGGTGTCGGGTCCTGCATTAGCTGTGAGTCGGGAGGAAATTACAGGCGTGAGTAGAGGTCGCACATACCAGCCAGAATTGCCAATGCCGTACTTTAGGTGTTGGCGATGCAGCATCATCAATCACACACCGTGCCGTGTATGGCGTCGAGCCAACCAAGCCGACATCAGACTCCATCGTCAAAGTCCCAATCATGAGCAGATCATCTCCCTCTGCATTGCAGACATAAATCTTGTCAACCTGATGCTCTCGTGAAACAATGCTTTCGCCATTCTTATGCCAGCTTGCGATTTCTGCTTGTTCTTTGTTAGTCAAGAATATACGAGTTTCATCTTGCGGCAAAAGCGACTACACACGTTCCCGTCCAGACATCACCCGCTTGTTCACCACAAAATCGCCATCCACCGTGAACACTTTCCTGGCCAACTTCTCGCCCGCTTGAGGATCTGGAGAGTCTATGAGCCTATAAAATCGATCGAGAGTCCTTTTGATCGTATCTGGAATCAGTTGAGCGGGCCATTCGGCGCTGTCCATGAGGGCTGTTCAAGGCATATGTGTGTGTTCCTGGACTCGACTGGTACGGGTCGACGACATGAGTCTTTGTACGACGCTCGCACGGTCCTCTGAAGGTGAGGGGAGGCTTGGAGCGGAGGGGGCTGGCCGGCTGAAACAGGTGTCAACGCCGAATACCGTTTCCAGTACCGGGTCAAATTCTCGACGATCCTGGACACCTGGGACACTTTTGATCGATCCTATTGATCTTATGGATGTCTGAGAACACGGAAAATGATACGACAAGCCCCCTCACTGGCGTAACCGCTTTGGGAAGTAGCTTGATTGGGAAGCTGGACCTTGGCGTCGCCAGAACTTCGGCGCTTAATCTAAGCTACTTATACGCAATAAACTGCTCCCTTATTATTGCCAGCACAATGGTGAGATGGCCGAGCGGTCTAAGGCGCCAGCTTAAGGTGTTTACTTCGTTGTAATCCATGAAACGCTGGTCCGAAAGGGCGTGGGTTCGAATGTACGCTCCAATCAACCACCGATACACCATATCCAACCAAACTAACAATTATTAGCCCACTCTCATCAATATATAACAGTGCTGCTGTTCGTTCTCTTTTTGCTTTCCTCCACAGGCTCGTTGCCGCCCAGGTTGGCCGAATAGCCCATAATCGATGCCGGTAACAGAACGACTTTCAACGAAATGGTTTGGGTCAATCTACTTTTGATTACTCTAGAGGTACTCTGTGGCTTCGATGTCTATCGTTCTTCTTCAACGTATAAAGTCTTTTGGCCGAGGATTGGGAAACTTACATCGATCTGAAGTCGTAGCATCAGAATTGCAATGCCAAGCATTACAACACTGTTGCCAGACTCGCCAAAGTTTCTTGAGCACTGCGAGTCTGCGACCTTTCTGTAGCACACTTGCTTGGTATAACCGTCGCTGGTCGTCATGTAGAATCGATCACCGGGCTCATACATATCAGACTTCCCGGGAAGGACCAGAACTCAGCGACTGGATGCTGTAGTATGTTTGGCAGCATCTCAATTGATATCAACAGACAGCCTCAGAAGCTGCTGCATAGCAAGCCTTGACCAGCACAACATACTCAATGGAAGCCGATTGTCGTAATACCGAGGTCGCCTGACTTTGAGAAGCGGCGCTGGTGGGTCCCTCATCGCTGTCGTGATATTTCGGCTTTGATCGGATGCGACGCTCAAGGAACGATGATATCGTTGTAGGGCGGCAACCCGCGATATGTCGACGCTTTGAACTATTGTTCAACATTCGTGTCCAAGAACAAGACGATAAACGATACAGAGGTAACATCCTAGAGCTGTCCCTGTATGTGACAGTATCACTTTCCGGACGTCCTACACAGTTATTGCGAGATCAAATGTTACCAGCTGATGCTGCAATCTAATTGCGGCTGACTACCAGTTCTCGGTGTAGCTCTCGGACAGCTCTCATATTCGGCAAGGCCTAGCGATACTATTGTCCATCTACTCCTGAGCACCGAGCTAGCCACGATCTCAGTTCTGTGTGGTTGCTTTACTTGCTCAGACTCCATGCATGTATATGGGTGGGGCCGAAGAGGTGAAGTCGGATATAGAAGTCAAGGCCAATCCAATTTGGCTGCTTATCGCTAAGGAATCGTGGTCATTTCCAGCAGTCTCGTCATTAAGCTACCCACGCCCTTTCGGACCAGCGTTTAATGGATCACAGCGAAGTAAACACCTTAAGCTGGCGCCTGGATATGGATTGAGGAGGGACTTCAGGGCGAGAGGGGACAACAAGGCCTTAGCACATATACCGAGCACAAGATTGACGCCGCTCCATTAATCAGAAACCGTCGAGGACGGCGCATGATTAAGCCTTCCATTGTTTCCCTTGATATTCACAGCATATACTACCTGGCCAGGAGCACGTCTCAGCTCGACCGGCACTTCTCGCACTACCCGGACACCAATTTCATCACGCCCAGCCCATGCATTTGCTGCCGAGTACTTCCTACAACGCCAGTCGAGCTCCCGCATTGCTTAAACGCTCATACATCCAATGCATTGATATTCTTCTTGATGAACTCAAAATTGCTGAAGAAGATCATATTGATGACACACGACCTCAAGACCGATACGCCGAGACCTGAAATCGTATTAGCACTGCATCACCACTTCTTCATGCTTGAATGTCACCTCTATATGCACCCGCCTGAAACACCCTTATAGGCGGCCGATCAACATGCGCCGAGCCGGCCGAGAGTAACGCCTTCTGATACAAAGTCTTCGCAACATCGACCGGGTAAATCATCGAGGTTGTCAGCTTCAGAAAATTATCAGTGTGAAGGCTCACAATATAAGACTTACACAAGCCCAACTCACAATTCCGCACAAGCCACCCGCTACGACTACAGCATACGGACTCGTCGGACTTCTTCCTCGCGCATTCGCCATGAGCTGCTTAGCGGATTCGTAGGTGGTGAAGTAGATTGCTGTGCCGATTGTGTCGCGGAGGAGATGCAGCCGATAGCCGGCATAGAGTCCACGGAACAGGCCTCGGTCTCGTACTAGTCGTCGAGCAGTATTCCACGAGCCAGTCTTGACGTCGATCGCCTTGCCATTGACTGGCTTCGCCTCTCTTGCCACCTTTCCAGCCAATTGTTCGCTCAGCTTCGTCAGCTCGAATGGGCAGGATAGTGTAGTTATGACTGCCCCAGAAGCCGCACCAGCCAACCCAAAACAGCTCATAGTGTAAATGTTCGGATAAGATCCTGGCGCGTTTGCAATGACGAGCGGACTATGCCCAGTGGCCTTCGTGATCGATTTGTCCAGAAAGTACTTCGCCTTCTGATATATGCTGAAGCTGATTGTTCGCACCGTCGTAACGCTGATCAACGGTGGTCCCACTCCCCGCCAGAATGCTCGTAAACCTTCTGCACGATAGGCATCCTTGATTGTATGCATGAACCCAGCCTGGTAACTCTGCATCCGACTCTTTGCGAAATCCAACGGAAAGGCCACGAAAGTCGAAAGCAGACTACTACTCGATGCAGATATCTCCGTCCTGTATTTCTTCGCGAACTGCCTTACATCCTTACTCGCCTGGAAGTGGAAGATATTAGCTTGGTTGCCTTGGAATTTCGCCGAGTTCGATGAAGATGATTGTGCAGCATCTGAGCGGCGATCTTTATCTTCATCTTGGCCAGGCATGGTAGTGGGTTGAGGACGGGAGTCCTCAAGGCGTTCTATGGAGGTTCCGCTTGGAACACTCCATGAAGCCTGTTTGCGCTCGTTGTGATCGGCAATGCTTGCTTCTACTGCTCGCTAGCAGTGAAGTGTATTGGATATCGAATGTGTCCACGTTGTGTTTGCTGGCTCTACTCTTCACACTGCAAGTAATTGTCCTGTTTGCCGTGAGCACTTGCAGTCGTCAATGCGTTGCAGTCAAGGTCTCTTGTCTTGAAGCTCGAGGTCTCGAGGTACAGTCGTACCAGTAGCTGTATCCTAGTATCTCTTAGTCATTGACTCGTATGATCACGAACGTCATGCGGCAAGAAGAAAAGCAGCAGCAGCAGCAGCAGCAGCAGAGGTGCGGAGTTGGTCCTGGGGTCGATGGTGGCTTTTGCAGGTAGTCAAGTACTCTCGGCGAGATATTGCATGGAGGTGCATGCTGGAGCTCCATATATTTTGAAGCTGTGGAGCAAATCATGATGCATCTACGGGCATACCCGACACCAACGAGCCATAAGCATGTGAAAAGCAAACGCCACAAGCCGAGACGATATTGAAGCTCTGCATGGCCAGCATAATCTTAAAGAAACAGTGTCAAGATTCAGAAGCTATATGAGGGGTATATCGCGGTGTTCCTGCCAGAACTAGCTCACAAACACAGCATACCAATGCCGCTACCAATTGCTAGGACCAGAAAGCTCCAAGTCCATCGCACGACATTAGCTTCGCTTGGTGCTTCCTTCCCGCTGTTCTGTTGCCCACTGGCTGTAGCAGAACAACTGCTGGCCCCACAGACAAGATCGGATGGACAACATCCACCACCTGCTGAAGAACCGCAGAGGTACCAGCCTCCAGCGCAATTTCCTTGAGTACCAGCTGCTGCTGCTGCACCTACAAGAGTCGTCGAAGTGACCGGGACTACCACGGTCGGCTGCGAACTGACGACTTCAGTACTTGCCGACGCTGGACATGAAGTACTGTCGCAGTTCCTGCCTACTCGACAACAGCCACCCTGGTAATACGCCGAGCACATATAAAATCCTGTTGGACAGCCGATGTTGCTGCTCGAGCTCGACGCCACCGAGGCGCCTGATATAGCAGTATCTGAGGAGCTCACACTTGTAGGTCGAATAGGTGCCCCACCAGTAACCGTAGTGGTAGAAGTTGCGTCTGGACAGACACCACTCGTGCCACATATCTGTCCGTTGGCACAGCAGCCGCCTCCGAGTGATGCTGGGCAAGACATGAATCCACTTGTGCAGGTCAGACTGCCTTGCGATCGCAAACTGGTTGTAGTACCAGAACCTGCAGAAACACCAACCAGTATTGTAGTTGCGCTGACGATTGTGGTCATCCCTCCGCTAAGACTCGTGGTGACAGTCACCGTCGTGGTATATCCAGACTGCGAAGCTGAGACGACCGGCACAAAAATTGTGGTCGTCCCGCTTCCACTCGTCATCGTACTATAGCTGGCTCCTGCAGTGACCGTATTCGTGGACAAAGTGACCATCGTCGTAGCCGTACCAACGTACAAGCAACCCGTGCCATCGCATTGAGATCCAGGAGGACAGCAGCCGCCATTTGGACTGTTCGGGCAAGCTGTATAGCCAGCCGCAGTATTGCACGAATTGCTGCATGCACAGGAGGATGTGCCAGCTGGACAGCAGCAGGTGGTGCCCGCCTGGGTACTGCAGACTTCTCCAGTAGGACAGCAAAGACTGTTCGAGCCACAGCTTGTCGTATTAGCCGGACATCGATATTGGCGGGCGAAGATCGAGCGGCCAAAGAGAGCCAGCGCGTGGTCGTGTCGATTGGCAGATCTCCTCAAAGCAGGTGAACCTGGTGGTTGAAGGAAAGTGCTGTTTTTCCAATGGGTCTCAAGGGTATCGTCACCATTGCTGCCAAAATCCCAATAGTGCATATAGAACTTCTCGCCCTCGTCCATGCCCATCTTGCGGATACCGAATGGTGTCTCCCATGCCATCCGCTGCTGTACCTCTGCGCCTCGCCTGACCAGATCCTCATCTTCCGGGTAGTATCTTGCCGTTCGAGGTAGGCTGTAAGGCCATTCCAAGCTCTGCACCTCTACAACAAGACCTAATAAACATGCTGGTAGTGTCAACAATGCTGCGATGTCCTTCATCTTCCTTTCGTACAGAGTCCAAATCCAAGCTTTGGTAACTCAGCGCTCTTCCCAACACCAAGGGACTGCACAAACCTCGTAAGGTTGGAAGATAAGGTGGTGAGAGAAGTCCACTTAGCCTTTGAATCCATCTGTTGTTGTGAGGCTGGCTCACGTCGGCACAAACCTGCTAATGATCATGCATGAGAGCTAGCAAGCTCAGGCATCTCGAAAAGAGAGGCTGGGACTCGGAGCTTCGGCGGAACTGCTTCCGAGGACTATGCAGAAGTACTTCACTTGCGCCGCAAGTGCAGCACCATCTACCGACAGCAGACGGTCGTTTATCACGAGATTCTGCCGTGGGCATGATGTCGCTTTGTCCGCGACATCTGGCTTTCCCCAGTGGAGTCGTGGGCGGGGATGGAATACCTTGCCCGCGGGTACTTGCCTCGCGACAACATTGTAACGAAAGTATCGTATTTAAATGCAGCAGCCATGTAGGTGGACATCGCGGTGCCCTCGACTGTACGCCGGACGGTCACACTGCGCCATGCGTTCTGCTACTCTCGTCGCTGGGGCGACTTTTCTGACCAGCGCCTACACTGCGTCAACGCCCAGTTGCTCACTAACGGCAAATCCAAACCGCATCTTCATACTTTCAGACATCACTAACGAGCCAGATGACTCCATGTCGATGGTCCGCATGCTTGCGCACTCTGATATGTATACAGTGGAGGGTTTAGTGGCTGTCACTTCCTGATGGCTGAACAGCACGACCGCTCCGGAGGCCGTGGTCGACATCATCAACCAGTATGAGATTGTTCGACCAAATCTCCAGACTCATACGGATGGCAGTTTCCCGACTGCCTCATACTTGCTCGAGAGACTTAAGAGCGGACCCAAGCTATACGGTATGTATGCTCTGGAGGCGCTGAAGGCAAATGGCACTCTGTCAGATGGCGCAAAACTACTCATCAGTGTGGTCGATGCCTCAAGCCAAAGGCTCTATGTCCAAGCATGGGGTGGAGTCAACACGCTTGCAGAAGCACTGTGGTATGTGCAAGCATACCGCTGCACTGGGGACGTGGCGACTTTCGTCAGCAAGCTCAGTGTGTATACTATCTCCGATCAAGACGACAAGTTCTGGATCCGACATACATTTCCCAGCATTAGATAGCTGGCCTCAGTTCATGGCTTTGACCAATACGGAGATGCAACGTGGGAAGGGATATCTGTTAATGGTTATGATGCTGGTGGCCCAGATGCACAGATCGTGTCTCCTGCATGGCTCAAGCAGCACATTCAGATTGGTCCGCTTGGCTCAGCATATCCAGACATTGAGTATATCATGGAAGGAGATTCTCCGTCGCTGCTATATACGTTCCAGAACGGCTTAAATGTCCCCGAGCATCCGGAGTATGGTGGGTGGGGTGTACGCTATACTCCTGTCGTACCAGGCCAGCAAAAATTCGCGAATGCTCTGGATACCGTGGTCGGGCAAAACAACAAGACCTATACGAGTCCACAAGCTTCTATCTGGCGATGGCGGGAAGCCTTCCAGCACGAATTTGCCGCGAGGATGCAGTGGACGCTGCGACCACGTGGCCCTGGCTCCAATACCACTCATCCCCCAATCATTATTGTCAATGGTACATGTAGCGATCTGCCAATAATTATGGCAATTCGCGCGAACAGCACAATCACTTTCGATGCTTCGGCTTCTTACGACCAAGACACGGGAACGTCGAGCTCTCTAACGTTCCATTGGCTCCAGTACAATAATGCTACGTGGATCCCCCAGCAACAGGCCACAGTCCTGAATATATCCCTGCCGAGTGGCAATGATGGAACGGCCGCAACAGTAGACATCCCCTGTCAAGCAGCTTCGTGTAGCAAGGCTGGTGGAGGCGGTGGACCAGTGGTGTTGGCTTGTAGGACTTGGCATCTTGTACTGAAGGTCACGACTTCAGGCCCAACGCCTATCACTCGATATCGAAGAATAATTATGCAAATGACATCAGAGGCAGTGGCTTGATGGTGGAAGGGCTCAATCTTTTGAAGCTGACGCGGGAAGTGTGGTCGTCAGGAATCTAGGCTACATAGAATCAATGCCGAATCATGTGTCTCGTCAATATGAGGACCGTTACATCACAAAGACTCCTTTTGGTATGTGGGATCCATCTCACGCCGGTAGAGTCAAGTAACGCTGGACAACAGGATGTCTGCTTTTGGTCTCCGCGGCGGATTGAATGATAAACAACTAGCTTTCGATTTTGGCGAAATTCGCATGTGGTGTAGCATGTATGCGTATGTCCCATCAATTGATCGTGCTCGTGCTTTCCCAAGAGGTACATAATCCTCTTATCCAAGTACCTGGTAATGAACCGCGACACGTGAGCGGGTCCGATATAAACTTTGAACCATGAACCATGAACCCTGTGGCTCCAACATCTCCATAGCAACGGCCACAACAACGCCTGCCGAAAGGCAGATACGATGGCGGCCAACCACAGTAGCCATCGAGACACAGCAAGGGAGCTAGTCAAGGCGCATGGCCTTGGTGTGGTCAAGTTTCGCCATCTTGTGCCCTGTTGCGCCATCGCAGATAGCGAATGTGGCTGGGCTCCGGCCATTTGTTGATCAAGGTCACGCTTCGGCTTGCGCACCAGGTTTGGAGTGCCGACTGTCCTCACAACTGTTGACGATCTTTCTTGCACGCTTGTCATATCGTCGGTATAGTTCTGGGATGTATTATATATGCCTTTATGAAGAATGAGAAGGCATTAGTATACGAACATGCCGTAGCCCAGCACCCTGGATCCAAGACCGCACCGCATCCGCGACCCGCCGGCATCTTCACGACCAAGGACCTCGAACGCACCCCATGCCACGTTCAACCCAAATAGCAAGCCTTCTGGCTTTCCTTGGGACAGTGTCGAGCCAGATATTGCCATACAATCCTGCTCGAGTACTGCTTGGCCCCAACTCATCCTACGCCTACATCTTTCCAGCCTCTACATCCGCCGTGGGAGCATCTCGATTCCAGACCGTCGACCTCACCAAGGCAGTCTACAATGCACCTGAACAATTCACTACCTCCTCGCAGACGCTGCCCTTCCTGAAGGGCAGTAGTCTACTTCCTTATACGCCTGTAATCGATGCCAGCGGAAACATAACTGTCCTGGCTGGGGACTGCTCACAAGGCGCGAATGGGACAGAACTATGGCGATATACAGCAGACGCAAGCACGATCAGCAATGGGAACTGGGCCCAGTCCAGCACTACGAACCAAGAGCAGGACAATGGCACAGCGGTCACTGGTCCAAATTTCCTGGCTAGTGGACTGTCTTTCTCCCAGTATGCTGATGCTGACGAGACGAACACTGGCATGTTCGTCTTCGGTGGCATGTGTCCCCTTCCGAATGCCACGACAGCGACATGGACGAATTCGGCCGACTACTCTAACATGATGCTTACGCTGTCGCAAGATAGCAATACTGGATACACTGATTATGATATTGGTATGGTAGCCAGCAAAGGGCCGCCCATACCGGAAGCTGGCTTCTCTATCACTCCGCTCGCTGCTACGTTCACGGCTAGTACAAACAACCAGCCGCAGAAGCAGCAGCAGAATTTTGTGCTCCTTGGTGGGCATACGAAGACGGCATTTATCAATATGTCACAGGTTGCAGTCTTCTCGCTACCGCAGCAGACCTGGACGTTCTTACCTGTGTCCCAGCCGTCCAATGGCAGGACTGTTCTATCTTCTCGCCAAAATCAGACTCTGGTGGAGCCGAGATCGGGGCACACAGCTGTGTTGAGCGAGGACGGCACCAGTGTAATTCTCATGGGAGGCTGGGTGGGTGATGTCAACACACCTGCACAACCGCAATTTGCAGTATTGACTCTCGGCTCGGGCTTTGGTGGTAATGGGGACTGGAGCTGGAGCGTACCGACCTCTGCCGGTGCAGCGCCCTCATCGGGTGGAATGTACGGGCATGGCGCTGCCATGCTACCCGGGAACATTATGATGATTGTGGGTGGCTATGAAATTCAAAGTGGGTCGTCGAAGCTCGCAAGGCGCGGAGCACAATCTACTAATGGCCAGATCTATTTCTACAATGCCAGCTCCAGTACATGGATTGACTCATACACGCCATCGAATGCTGCATCGAAACAGAAAGCTCACACAACCGGCGCATTAAGCAACGTATCCCAGAAAGCAGGACTCGGTGCTGGTCTTGGCATTGGTGCGGCGATATTGATCGGGTTGATCATATTCTACTTCTGGTACAATCGGCGATTGCGACTTGCGCGCGAAGCTCGTGGCCGCACTCTACTGTCTGGATCATCCGATGGCTCTCTCCCGACCGACGAGAAGTTCCTGACAGATGGCGGTATCGATGGGCAAGGAGGAGATGCAGCAGCTGTCGGCCGATTTTGGAACGTGTGGGATCATGATAGCGGCGCTTATCCGCCGCGCGAAGAGCCAATGCAGCAAGCTGGTACTGCGGGTGCTACTGGCTTGTTCGTGAACATTCCGAGCCCGACACGAGGCTTGCGCAAGGGCGTTGGTATTAGGAGCTACCAGTATCATGCAGCTCCAAGGTACGATGACAAGCGTATCAGTCGCGGGAGCGGCAACATCCCACCTATAGCTGAACACGAGGACGAAGATGACACTGATGCTGGTGCAAGACCCACAAGTGCGGACACGTGCTTGACAGATGCAGAACGGCGGTTGAAGGAGGTCGAGCGGGTGCTTAATTCCACCGATCCGTTCCTTGATGGCGAGCCCAACCCGTTGCGCAGCCATCCTGTGTCTCCAGAAGTGCCTAATCCATCAATAATCAGGCGCAAGCCTGTCAGCGGCAGCTGGACTCCTGCGCAGGTAGCTGGACGATCGGACACCAATTCGACCGACTCTTCCACAGTACGCCCAACGCAATCGCGGTCGACGGATGCTGGACTCCACATCGACACCACCACTGGTCGGGTCTCACCCACCAAGAGTGACGAAAGGACATCTTCGATTTTGAGCACACGATCCACCACTTCCAGTAGTTCCGTGACGCGCACCATGGAAACCAGGACGGGCGCCATACTAGCCGCAGCTGCTGCAGCACGAGCAGCCTCAAATCGCAGTCCCGAGCATTCTCAGAGCTCGTCAAATGAAAGCCGTAGCCATACCATGTCTACAAATGGCGGTAGGAAATCACCCTTTTACTACAGTAGCCGGGCAAGATCCCCAGCAACCGAGAAAGCCTTGGATATAGCTGGCGCGGACAGTGCAGATGCAGATGATGAGTCTTTCAAGACTGCCCGAACCGACTTTGTCGCCCTACAAAGCCAAGGCGAGGCGCTGCTTGGTGGTCGTCCACGGCTCGACAGCGACGACCCTTACCAGCGTGCGATGGCCGCTCAAAGCTCTACCCGAGAAGCGAAGACTGCGAGACTGTACGATGATGACTCGGGTCCACCATCAGCTTTAGGGCCGAGAAGGCGTCAAGGATGGATGGGAAGCCTGCGAAGAGCTCTGAATGTAGTCTCCATGAGCGAGAGGAGCTTCAGTATGACCAGCAATGCCGAGAGGACTCTGGATGAGCAGCGAGAAGCGTTGATGATCTCGCACTCAAGGGATCGACCCGGCGGTGCGCCGCGCCGTACTGTGTCTGACGGCGGAGCACTGTTGAAGAAAAAGCGGGGCCAACAGGACTGGGAAGACGGCCACTGGCCTCGATATCGTGACGACCCTGATCCTGGCGATTGGGGTGAAGCGGAGCGGTCATCATTCGAGAAGCAAAAGGCAGAGGAGGAATGGGACGTAGAGGGAGCGGCCAGCAGACGTGATGTTCAGGTCATGTTCACTGTACCGAAAGCTCGTCTGCGGGTCGTCAACGCAGACCTGGATCGTATCAGTCTACGAAGCGCTAGTGATGGTGCTCTAAGCCGGACGAACAGCGTCAAGAATCTGCGCCGAGAAGAGTCGATCAAGACTTTGCGGGCACGATCAGAGGGTGATCGGATAATGCTCCCTCCGACTTCAGAGGAGGAGGGCCAGGATACTAGCGAAGGCGCTGCGACTGGTAGCGATCTTTTGGTTCACGAGAAGGCGAAGGCTGCCTGAGTGCACAGGCATGCGAAGATGCTTTGTATTTTCAAGCAACAACGAGGACCTGGGTAGTGGCCTTTCATGGTTCTGTCAGCTAGCGAGCGGCGCTCTGGAGTTTGTGTTATATGAATGTGTGTATTGCTGTAGATAGGACGGCTGTAACGACCCTTTACCAATGAAACACTGCTCGCATGCATACAATATGCTATGGTGTAATGAATGTGAGGTCGAAATTGGCGTCAGCGGGATCTCAATGACTCGTGTTACCCTCGCCCAAAGGTTGCCTCTTCGGGAGCAGCGAGCAAGATCTGTCAATTTGGGTTCAGCCTCATCCGGCTCGTATGCCGGCGCTACCAAATCAACACGAAGGAAACGAGCTTCACATCGACTTTTCCATCTTAACTAGCACACGTCTCAGTACAGACGCCAGCAGAACCAAGTTGTTGACAGCGGCAATGCACAGTCTCTAAATAGTCACAGACGGTCTAACGATAAAGACAGTATCATTCCACCACGGGAGCATAGGATTTATGGACCCGCCGATGGGTCACAGAGGGAGCAAGGCGAAAGCAAATGCCCATTCTGTCGTGAGACTGGGGATATGATGACTGGTAAGCACTTTCGCACTTCGGAACCGATGAACAGTGTTGCAAGTGTGGGACAAGAAAGGGTAGGGCGCAGTGGCGTTGGTTCGGCGAGCAGATTACTACCCACAACTCGCCATTTGCTTATGCATGTGATCTGCTCACGCTCTTACGTCCTCTCTTGATGTACTACAAAGCACCGTTGAATCACTTTAGAGATCGCTAGAATTGAGACTTGGGTCTGTGGTTGTCTACTTCAGCCTTCATTGTCCCTTACCACAATCATGGCAACCGCCAGCCGAACACTATCGCGCGCTCTACACCACACACAAACAGCATTCGCATTCAGGACCACTACTCCTCGCCGCCTCGCCACATTAGGGCCAAAGATCAGCTCTAGGCGGAGCTACGCCAACCAGACACCAAAGCCGTCGAGCAAACGTGCACCATTATATGGTGGAGCGGCGGCAGTGCTGTTGGCTGGAGCAGGATATTATGCTTTCGCCTTGAAGTCGATGAAGCTCGATGCCATCGATCCTGTGAAGGTTTCCAGTGCTGCTGGGGCCACCAGTGGGCTCGGCAAACCCACGACGGAGGACTACCAGAAGGTGTATGATGCAATTGCGAAGAGATTACTGGACGAAGACGAGTACGACGATGGCTCATATGGACCAGTGATCCTACGCCTTGGCTGGCATGCGTCCGGTACATTCGACAAGTTGACTGGCACCGGCGGGTCAAACGGGACGACAATGAGATTCCCGCCGGAAGGAGATCATGGTGTATGTATTCAGCCGTCGACGCACTGTTGACAAATCCTGACAATATTCGTAGGCCAACGCCGGCCTCAAAGCAGCTCGCGACTTCCTTGAGCCTGTCCATGAGCAATTCCCATGGATCACATACTCTGATCTTTGGACTCTTGCTTCCGTCTGCGCTATTCAGGAGATGGGTGGACCAGACATCAAGTGGCGACCGGGCCGCCAAGATCGCGACGTGAGCTATTGTACGCCTGATGGACGTCTGCCGGACGGATCAAAAGGCCACGACCATCTCCGCGGCATTTTCGGCCGGATGGGCTTCAACGACCAGGAAATTGTCGCTCTGTCCGGCGCTCATGCCATTGATCGCTGCCATACCGATCGCTCTGGCTTTGAAGGCCTTTGGACTTTCTCCCCTATCACCATGACGAACGATTACTACAAGCTTCTTCTGGACGAGCAATGGGACTACCGGAAATGGAACGGTCCCAAGCAGCTGGAGGATCGCACGACTAAGACTCTGATGATGCTGCCTACCGACCATGCGCTCATCAAGGACAAGGACTTTCGCACGCATGTTGAGAGGTATGCTAAGGATCAAGATGTCTTCTTACAGGAGTTCTCGGATGTGATCTCGACGCTAGTCGAGCTTGGCGTACCATTCACCACGGGTGAGGAGGCAAAGAAGGTGTTCAGGAGAACGGAGTAGATAGCTTGCTGAAGACAGCTGGGAGATGTCTGGCATCGCATTCGGCGTTAGATCCTAAGGGCGTAAAGTATTGACTCCTTTGTGTACATTACTGTAAGATAGTAAATCATAAACATAGACGTGATAAGAGGTCGAACAGCCATCACGGCATAACTTCATTTGTCGCACCCAAGCCGTTCGCAGCATGCGAGCCATTCCTCGATAATTCATCTCAGGTCCGCTCTTCTATTTCTGCTAGGTCTGCGAACTGGTCTTGTAGCCTCTGATGGCTTGTCGTAGCTTCCAGCAACATGCCGTACCACGCGTGGACCTGCCAGTCGCACGATCCGCAGGCTCTGGCATGCGACGAGGTCTGGATCAAGCCAACGTCAACGGTGCTAGTGGGATGAGTCTCGTTGCCTCCAAGGATACAATCTCGGCAGAACTTCGCCATCCATTCCAAAACCGATATCCAAGCGCACGTCACATCTCGGCAGTGCTTAGAGTGTGTGAGGGGAATGCACAGTCCTTTATGAACTTTTACAGTCTTGTTCAATGTGCTCTGTACGATCGATCTCTACCCTCTTCAGGCAAGCCATCAGGTAAAGGATTACCGCCACCCCGCCTGTTGTCCATCGTGCCACTCTGTCCAAATGGCTGACTCCCACCTGAACTCTGATCTTCCGGTGCTCGGGGTCCTACCATCCAGTCCTCCATAGCCAGCCAGCTACTCCACGCCTTCTCGGCGGCTGTCAACTCTTCCATCTTGGCCTGATCTAACGGCTTCATAAATGGCACCGTCTCGTCTCCGCCTCCTCCACTTCCTTCATCGTATTGCTTCTTACACGTTCGCCAACCTCCGTGTTTCGCCGCGAAGAGGTAGTTTCGTCGTTCGCAATCGATGTGAGGGAGCACGCCCCTCAGATAGTCGTCGCCGAACAGTCCATGCAATATTGGTGGCTTGTCGAAGGCTGTCACCACTAGTCTGCGAATGTAGGGTACCAGCGAGACGAAGGTAGGCGTAGCTTGACCTGTCCGCTGATTCTGCGGGCTATGCACACCACTCGGTCTGTTATACGACCCAAAATTAAACTGCCCGTTGTTGGGAGCAGCTTGGGATGGTGTTGACGATGTGATTGGAGTATTCAGCCATTGGTACGGCAGTCTGATATTGATGAGAGCACAAAGTGCTTGCGTAGCAGGCTCATGCTGTGCGTGATCCAAGAAGTACTTTTGGCAGGACTGGTATGCAGGGTGCCAATCCAGTATGTCGAAGTCTGGATCGTTGGTCATGGGAGGAGCAAGCTGCTCTTGCGCGTCGCTAGGCCCGTCCATGAATGATGGTAGATGGATGCCACCATTGTTTTGCCGGTGCGAACTATTGGTAAAAGCATCCTCGTGAGCGCCCTGCGGCCACATGCTGCCCATTATAGGCATATCTCTATCAATGGTCGATGACACCTACACCGATTGGATGGGGCTGCTAGATTGGAAGTGATAGACGGTGGCGTTCAGACGCGGAGTGGGATGTGAAGGCGATGGTGTGAATCCAACGCCATATCGACGTCTCACTCTGTTTGACGTGCCTATGAAGTCACACGGCTGGTCTAAGAGTGATTTGCAGTCGACATCCATAGCGAAACACAAATCCAAAGCTGCAAAACGGCTCGTCAAAGACCAGATGGTTGATATCGAGATCTCGGTTGCGAAACCGGCCCTGCAGCAATTTTGATCGACGCCATCCCATCTTGATGCCGCCGAGATATGCATCTTACCCTAGTGACGGAATTATACGCAGACGTATCGCAATCGTTTTAAGACTTCGTATGGCATAGCAACAGCGTCTGCTATCGTCCAATTCCACAACCTCCGCAAACATGTCTAGCTGGGAAGAGAGGCGCGAAAGGCGATCGACGTCGAGATATGCATTACCATTGAGATACGTCATGCTCTGTACACACCAGCATCAAGCCTAAGCATTACGTCTTCCTTCCTCCTTACATTCTGCTACTATCCAAAGACCTTCATGTTACGAGCAATGGCAGACCAGACCTTCTCCCTCGCGAGCCGCATCAACCTCAACAATGGCCTGTCAATGCCACGGATCCATCTGGGCGTTTACCTGATGAACGGCAATGAAGCCTCGAAAGCAGTTGGATATGCACTAGCAGCAGGCTATAAAGCTGTGGACTCGGCACAGATGTATCACAATGAGAAGCAAGTGGGGCACGCAATACTAGACTACCTGAAGTCGCATCCGGATGTGAAGCGAGAGGACATACATTACACGACTAAGCTTGCAAGCAATAGTGATTACAGCACAGCAAGGAAGAGCATCAGTCGCAGTGTGAAGGAGTGCGGTCTTGGATACATTGATCTGTTCTTGCTGCATAGTCCATATGGTGGGAAGCAAGCCAGGCTGGACAGTTGGCGAGCTGTTGAGGATGCGATTCAGGATGGCGAAGTCAAGATCGGTGGTGTATCGAATTATGGCGAAAAGCATGTTAGTACAACGGAAACAATGTCAAATGTTTCCAATCATTGACGACCATCTAGCTTGAGGAGCTGCTCAACAGCAGACCACGCATCAAGCCCGCTGTGAACCAGATCGAAGTCCATCCGTTCAACACCCGGTCAAACCTCACATCATACTGTCAGAGCCACGATATAGTAGTGGAAGCATATGCTCCGCTTGCACGAGCGCTACGTATGAAGCACCCTAGCATTGTTCCGCTTGCAAAGAAGTACTCGTGTACCCCTGGTCAGCTCATGGTGAGGTGGAGCCTACAGCACGGTTATGTGCCTCTGCCGAAGAGTGTACGCAAGGAGCGTATTGAGGAGAACTCGCAGGTTGGTGGCTTCGCGATTGACCAGGGGGATATGAAGGCTATGGATGGCTTGGATGAGTATTTAGTCACCGATTGGGATCCGACAGACACGAATTAGCTACTGATCGTACGCTGTAATCCTTGCCTGATTCGCTCATCTCGCTGCCACATGCCGGCGCATTTAGGGTCGAGCAATTGAAAGTGTGAAGTGTTCATGATCATCATCGTGCTGGAAGCAGGTCTCGGGGCATGCTCGGCGATTTGTTCATTAGCCAATCAGAACAAGGCAATGCTCGATCTCATTTCGAGTCTCGTTCACTGCTGCTGCTCCTATGGGCAAATGGTCGGCCTTGCAGGTTCATCATGTCGTTTGTACGGCAGATCCATGCAATGGCATCCGTGCTACTACCACAAAGCGACGTATAAGCCCATGCCATCGCCTGCGTTTTCCTGAGAGCGAGACCGTGGCATTGCGCTGCCACTCCCAACGTGCCTTTCATGGAGAGCATAGCATCGCAAAATTGGCACAATGCTTTCGCCGCAGCTTTCAGGAAGCGAGTGGCTTCCGAGCTCTTGAAGCATCCTCTGGCCGAGCTCAAGCGATCGTATAGCATACCCGGCGACGCCATAGCGGGACTCTTGCTCAGTTTTCGAGCTCGCGGAGGTGCTGCCGACGATCCTCTCCTGTTCCGTTATACTAGATTATTTCTCGATGAGAGATACATCAGTACTAGCGATATCTTGTCTGCGCTACTGGCACGTACCACCATTCTCGAGTCTCGACTTGGAAGCGAACATAATGCTGTGGCGTCTGGCCTTCCCAGCTGCGAGGAGCGTATGTTCAATCTTCTGGCGGAAATTCACATGGCCCAGAACATGACAGTCACGAGAGTGCAGCTGTACAAGACCGTACAGGCTATTGTGAAATGGCTGCTTGTTATTAGCGAACACCAATACAATCGCCAGGTCGAAAGTGCTGGCCTTGATCCTCTGGATGTGCACTTGTTCAGCATGTACGAGACATTAGCTTCTCTCACCATAGCCATATTCGGTCAAGCTAGCTTCAGACAAGTGACCGCGCAACCATGGTGGGAGAAAAGGCGACCCATTGTGGTACGAGGAATGCAGAACTTTGATGCTCAAGTCCTACAGCCAATGCATTCGCAATTCAGTGGTCGTTTGGCCGCAATGACAGCGATTCCACCTTTCGTTGATACAGACGCGAGTGGGCGTCCGGTGGTCAGCCCCGAATTCATCCTACAATACATCTCGCAGGACATCACAATTACTCCCTCGCCTTCCAGAGCAGGTCTCTACATCTGGCTTCACGCCTGCCTGTACGCCAGACCCATGACAGATGATCTCGCAGTGCTCAGCTACCTGCAGAATCGATACACCGGCGATAACCAGTCACTGACATTGCAGCTCATACATGCCGCTTTCGATGTGCTCACGAGCCACTTAGTGCGCGGCGGCCAACCTCACGAGGTACTCCTTATTAGGTCGTTCATCTGTAACAAGCTGCCTGTGCTGCTCTCAATGCTAGCTACCTTCACCGGTCACGGAACAATCGAGGTATGCATTCAGAACGCTTTTCTGGCTGTGGCGATGGATCCGATACCACCCATCAGTGCCGGTTCTTCTGACGCGACCGACACGCTTCGCCGTGCGAGACTGGATTTTCTACACGCTTGCGTAATGCACGGTGTGGCCACCGAATCAATTGTCAATGCCGTCGTCCAAGGAATCTCGACTACAATACCCAAAGTTGTTAAGTACAGCAAGGATGGCCTGACGAGTCAGTGCACGAATAACATAGGTCGACTCGAGTCACTTGTACGTGAACTCCCAAGTATGCATGGGAACGCTGCAGCCATATCTCTTTGCATTGTTGATTTAGTTGGCAACCTATGCGCCAATAAGGATACGATGTCATTGAAGACTGTATGCAACGCATTGGTGAAACGAGTCCCAGATATAGACATAGTGCTGCAACACACGCAGCCTGCTATGTTGCTCCTGCCTCTGTGTACTGTACTCAATGATTGGGTACATGACCAAGACCAGAGCGAGTTCACTCCAGCGTATGAGGAATATGCTGCTGTCTTCCTGTTTACTCTTGCTGTGCTGCATCGGTATGGCCTGCAGACCAGAGACATCGGATTTGTTGCAAATGAAGAACTATCCCACCTTCTGAATGGGCAGATATCTGGCACGACCTCATCTGAACTTGATACTGATCGGAGCCAGCAACTTGGCAGATGGCTGGACGGTCTCTTTGCGACTGATGATCAAGGTGAGACTGGTGGCATAGGGGACGAAGTGATGCGGCGATGTCCGCCACAAGCATTCTACAACCTGGTACCTACGCTTCTGGAGCAGAGCGTCCTTGCATGTCGCCTTGGTCAACTCCCAGTCACCACTTTCAAGAGTGGATTGGAGCTCCTGTTAGAGCCGTTCCTGCTACCTTCCTTGGTGGTCGGCCTGCTATGGGTTGCTGAGCATTCCTGGGAGGATCACGACGACGTGGACATCCTGCTACAGATCCTGGACAAATTGCTAAGGCTCTCAAGCACTGCGGTCGAGACACAGACAATGCATAAAGCTGTGCTCGATATTGTCGCTGAGCCACTGGCATGCTCATTAGAGGACCTTGTACGCAGACGGCCAGACAAAGCCGCCGCGAGTGGCATGCTGACTTTACTCCGGCAGCGTGCGGATACTACAAGGTGTGGAGAAAGCAGCAAGTCCACTTACGATCAGTGGGCTAAAGAACAGAGCATGGACATGCACCTTCGGGCCATTGTCCGTGACATGACAACGTGGGCGGCGAAGACTACACCAGCTCCACCACCGCACTACGATCCACGTATACTGCACGCGGTGATAAGCACACATGGCGAGAGTCACGCTCTTGAATCGATTGCGACTGAGATCCAGCAAATTCCGTATGCCAACCGGCCGGCATCTTTGGACGTTGCCACCAGCTTGCTGAGCTCTCCCGACACTGCTTCCATTACGTTGCGACACCAGCTGCACATGCTGGTGAACAACACACAAGCACTCTTGGACATGCCCGCTGTCCGCGCCACCACGCTTGTACAACTCAGTCGTAGCGTCGAAGCACAACTGGCAGTCCAGCAGCTCGAAGTGCCTGTCAATCTGCCCGTACAGCAATCCACAGATCAGATTATGCAGGAGCTTGGTATGGCGGACCCATCCGCGGCTCCACTAGACGTTCATGCCGATGAAGGCCACAACGAGCCAATAAACCTGAGCGACGCTGATCTTACTGCAGCGCTGGGCCCAGGTGTTGGACTAGATGTCAATCTCCTACAGCCTCTACCGAATCTTGGAATCAATGCTATGCAGGTTGACGAGTCTCAAGACTTCTTCGCTGACCTGGACATGAGCCTGGCTCAGCAGCAAGCATCGTCGCAACTGCCAGTTCAGGATACTACCATGTCGACACTGGGGACGTCCAACCAGGAGGATGATATTTTCGCTGACCTGGACATGGGTGGCGGACTGGGCGATCTCGACTTCAACTTCTCCTGAGACGATATCCGATCCCTGTTTGCAAACACAGCGCTTGAAAGAGGTTCATGAGAAGCTATTGTGCATCCATCATCGGGTGCAGCCGTGCGATGTCGCTCGCCTCGGCGAAATCGAAATCGTACGGACCTGGTGGCGGGGTCATATGGTCGTAGGACTTCAAAGCATAAGCAGTGTATCATAATCTGACAGAGAACAACATGCCTTACAAACTTAAAGATAGGAACGTACTCGTCACAGGAGGCTCCCGGTCAGTCAAATCAGATATGACGGGTGGATTCAGCATACTGAAAGCCAGATAGTGGCCTGGGAGCAGAGATATCTCGACGATTCGCGGCGGAAGGATGCAATATAGCTATCAATTATGCAAACAACGAGTCGCCAGCTAAGGATCTCGCGAAGGAGATCGAATCGTCGTATCACGTCAAGACCCTGATCGTCAAAGGCGACTGTGGCGTTATGGCAGACTGCCGAAATTGCATACACGAAACGATCAAGGCTTTCGGCAGCATCGAAGGCATCGTGGGCAACGCTGGCTGGACCAAGTTCACGAACTTCAATGATCTCGACGCCATGACTGAGGAAGAGTGGGATAAATGTTACGCAGTGAATGTCAAAGGCATGCATGCACTTGCCAAGGAAGCATTGCCAACCTTCAACAAGAACGCTGAAGGAGGGTTCTTCATCATCACGTCTTCGATCGCTGCAAAGTCCCTTGGCGGAAGCAGTATGGCCTACTCTGTCACGAAGGCTGCACAAGTCCACCTCATGAAGTGCCTGGCTAAGGTTTGCGGCGAGAAGGCTCGCATTAATGCTGTGTTACCCGGCCTTCTTCTGACTGATTGGGGCAATCTGTACGGACCTGAGAGGATAGCAGGTCTCAAAGACGCCGCTGCACTCAAGAAGGAGGTATATGATGTCCCTACAGAACGTCACCATACGCATTGACTGACAGAGTGCTAGACCGAACTTGGAGATTGTGCAGATGCCTATATCATGTTAGCCAAGAACACTTCGATTACTGGGCAGAACATTCACGTTGGTATGTTAGAAACAGTCGGACCAAGATGTCGACCGTACTGACACTGATACAGACTCTGGCCTGGCGATACAACATCTGTAGCTACCCTTCACGCAGCTATCCAGAAAGTCCTAGTTCTGATGCTCTCTCTTCTTTCTTCGTCGCTGTTTGCCGAATGGGTCTCGCCTTTGAACACGACAAGCACTATGCTAGTTCCTGATATCTTTAGTCTTCATCGTCTCTATCAAATTATCCAGATTGCTGGACACCTGACAATTGCCCTCACAACATCCTTAACGAAGCCATAAACACAGCCTTGTCTTGCGAATCATCAGCTGGACAGTCTAACTCAGAACAAGATAATTGTCATCCAATATGAGCCGCACGACTTAGAAGTCCATCACGGAATTGATCTTGCGCGGACGCCGATGGTTCAGGACGTCGAGCTCGCTGTCGACGCGCATACAAGATTCGCCAGCAACTCCATCACCCACTCCATCAAGAGAAGCAGAATTCAGATTTCATGACGACCGTCCAGCCTACAGCTACCAAGGCAAGCGAAGGAAGAAAATGGTCAAAAAAACCATAGTCAAAAGGACGCCCTAAACAGGATAGATTGGTCAAGCATGATGAGTCTTTCGGGAACTCTATGTCTAGTCCAGGTCGAGCTACGAAGCTGATGCCCGAGGCCAACGGAGATACAGTGGATCGTGAATGGTCTACGGTATGGCATATTTGAAGTGGCTCGGTTGGTAAAGAGAGAGAGCTTAGGACTTCCTTGTCTCGTACAACGACAAGTACGGAGCCCTGGGCTCTTGACATGCCCTGACCAGCAATCTATCGATCATACACTAGCCGAAGCAGGATTACACATTGGCCAACCAGCCTGCTTCTATATCTCCCAGTTCTCGCAATCGTACAACCCCTTAGACACCGTGCTAAAACTAACCCATACTGACATCGCCATCCCCATCCATAGCCTGCTCAGCCTGGCCAGCCTTCTTAAAAACGCCATTGACATGCCCATTCGCCTTAGCAACCTTCTTCCCTGCCGTCCCAACATCTTTCGCGAGCTCGCGCTCCTTCTCATTCCAATATGCCTTTTCCTCCGTATCCGCCTCAACCGCGCTCTTAGCATCCGCTTCACATTTTTTGATCCAGTCGTCCAGCGCATGGTCGGCGACCAAATTCTGCAGTGTCTCATCTTGCATCACATTGTCCGCCAAGATCGGATCCAGCAAGTCGCGGTCAGAGAAACGATGAGCGAGATGTTCAGCTCTGCATCCGGCGTCCAAACACTCTGATGGCTCAAGAATTCGGATGTTGCAGTCCGATTGCGCGAGGAGGGCTTTGTCGTGAAGACTGTGGATTGTAAGCCAAGCGGCAGTGTCACGCAGCATTGCCTGGCTCTCAGCATTGCCTTTCTTCTTATGAGCAGCGATGATGGGTTTCCAGTCGTCGTGCGTGTAGCACCGCTTCCAGATCAATTGAAGTAAGAGTTCGAAATGGGACTGTTCTAGCGTTGATGCTGCGGCGTCGAGGGCTTGCAATGCGAGGAAGAATTCGGCACCGTCGAGGTTGGTGTCTGGTCGTTCGTGGTCATCTAGGATGAGTGTATTCATCAGAGTCAAAGCGTCGATGAGCTCGTCCAGGCTGAGAACTTCGTGCTGTAGCACACGTTCGACGAGCGTTCGCAGCAAGTATTGGAGCGAGGAGAGTCTAAACGAGTCATTGCCTAGAGTCTCCATCACCAGTTTGATCTCGGCTTCCTTATCCAGTGCATTCGTGCCTTGAGAGGCCACGTGACCGTACAGTCTGGCTTGAATGTCCACGATACGCAACTCGCGCTCTGGCTGAGCGACTGCCGCCTCTAAACTTTGATCCAGCTGGCTAAGGCCCTCTTGTGCAGCGAGGAGAGCAAGCTTACTCATACTAGCTTCGACCTTCTTAGCCCACATGTCCGTCTCTCGCTCCACAGCCATATCGTTAAGCACGACGCCAGCTTGAGTATAGTCCTCGACAGTGGTGATATCGTTGATCCAGCAGATCTTGGCACGACTAGGATCAGCGCGCAGATATCTAGTCAGCGCCTGTTTCCACTTCTCCTGCGCCTCGCCGAGCATCTCGCCCGCACGACTGCCCGAAAGCGCCTCGTCGAAGAAAGCGTTCGCCCATTCCTCACCGAATTTGTCGAAGTACCGTCCAATGCGTTCAATCATCTGGTTCATCATCTCGTCGCAGACCTCGCGCTCCGCGACAGTCATGTGAGGATTTGCTTCGAGCTCGTCTTCATAGTATTGTGTTTCGCCGACTACCAATTCCGTCAAAGTCTGCATGTCTCTATACTTCTCAGCCAGTTGCATGCCTGCTTCAGCAGCACCGATGCTAGCCAAGGCCCTGAATTGTACATGACGTTCATGGTCGTAGGACTGCTGCAAATCCTGTGCAGCCTGTTGGTCTAGCTGTGACGGTCGCGCAGCCATAAACTTGATGCGCTCCTGGCATGCCAAGCAACAGATGTGTATGAGGCCCGGATTGGCGTCTGTGACCTGCTTGATGAGATCTGAAGGTACTACGTCGGTCTCGTAGTGACTCTTCGCCAGATCGCGGGAGTAAGTCGGTATCCTGCGACTGCAGCGAAGCATATCGTCGGAGGAGGTCCAGAAGCCAGGAAGCCCTGCATAATCCGAGCTTTTGCTGAGAACACCATCTCCCACGAAATTGGCCTCGATACCATAGACATGTGCATTCTCAGCACGGAAGGCGTATACGGTCCCAAGAGCTGTCGCCCAGACCTCACCAATCTCGAGAACGTACTGCAACACTTCTTCGGGAGGGTCTGATTTGTTCTTCATTAGATCTTCGAGCATACGCCGTGTTTGCACCAAAAGTGTATCGATGTTGGCAAGATCATAAATAAGTGTTGCACGCACGAGATCCTCGTCAACGGCATTGGCGCGTTGACTCCGGTCCTTGACAGCTTCAAAGTACTCGCACAGTCGATCCAAGGCATTTGGAGGCCTGTCAGCCTCAGCGGGTCTGTTTGATTCGTAGACCTTCCAGATTGCTTGAGCAGCTGCAACTTTCTCTGCGTCCCATAAGAGTCGCCATAATCCAGACAAGGGCAGACTCGGACAGCTTCGGCGAATGTGCGCGATAAGTGCACGCAATGCTTTGGCCTTGTTGTCTAGATGAGCATCCATTACCGTAGGCGATGTCGATATGAATGCAGAAGTCGAGCACAGGATCTCATTGCTCACCTCCAGAGCAGCAGCCTCGACTTCTTCAGCTGTGTACGCGTTGTCTGTTCGCTGAGTAAAGTCTAGAATATTCTCTTGCATGGCGCCGAAGAATACAGCCTGCTCGATCTTGCTCTTGACAGGCATGCGTGAGCGCTCCACATCTCTACTAGGGTCATTCGCGGTTAGTCGCACGAGTCCGGCACTCTTGACAAATGCAAGAATAGAGGAATGGCCGTTTCGCGAGTCGTCGCTGGCAGCATCGAGTACAGCAAGATTGCGGTCGCCTTGCAGGTACACAGCGTCTTCGAAGGAATCAGGTGCGACATACGATGCTTCGTGCAATTGTGCGTTGGGGTCGTCCGTGGTGTCTTGACTTGGTACTGCTGCCAGAACCAAAGCGTCCCCAAACGCAATGTACACTGTGTGGCCAGGGCCTGGAACCAAAAGCCTAGGTCTCTCGGTTGTCGCTATAGCACGATAGCTCTCGATGCTAGATAAACGAGCGATCTTGATGTCGTCGGCAACCATATAGAGTTGTGCAAGGTAGTAGTCTCGACTGTTTGGTGGTCCCATGCAAAGTAACAGCCAGAGATGTGCCGGCCGTGTAGCGCCGATCGTTGCGATCTCGTTGCCCTTAGCCGCTGGCTCCTTATCCGCAATAACGAAGTCGAGCGCAGTCAAGCTGTCTATGCTGCCCTGCAATTCTGCCGCCATGAAGTTCTTCATCTCATCAGCCAACGCTGCTCGGAAATCTACTGTAGCCTTGAAATCGTATCGTCCAGTCCAGTCCACGTCCCATATCTGTAGCTCGCAGCGCTCCGTCACTGACATAACCTGCATCTGACCTCTAGTATCCAAAGCTCTTGTCCGCACAGCCGCGACATCTCTCTTCCAGGAGCCAGCATACCAGCCCTTGATACTACCAAAAAGACCAATGTTGGAGTCTTCAGCGCGAAGAGGTTGAGTGAAGATCCTAGCCTTGCCTTGAGCGTCACGTAACGTGAGCTGTACGATCCGGCCAGATGAAAGTGTAAGGATGAAGCCAGCATGTTCCGCGGGCGTCACATCGACGACGCTCTCAGTGAGTGAGAAGCCAGTGATGGTCCCTTCGACACCAGCTCTTCGTTCCTGAAAGAGACCAAGAGAAGCTGCGCGCTCGATGGACTCGAAGAAGGTGACTCTACCGCTTGTCGCAGAGATCAACACCAATCCAACATCGGCACCAGCTGTCCCTGGCACCAGAGCCCCGAAGGGTAGTGTCTCGCTAGCTCTAGCCGGGAATGGCACATCGAACACCCGAGCGTTGCTGACAGTCGTGTGTGCGTTGTAGTCCCAGACATAAGCCTTCTCGCGCGTCACAGCCAATGCCAGATGCTGATGCGAGGTTTGCGTCGGAGCCAAAATACTCCCGCGATACTTGAGGCCATCCTTTCGCAGCTCTTTCGGGGTTGATGGCAGAAGCTTTGCACTGTAGATTTTGTTCTGTGTCAACACTGTCGCGCCATCGCCTTTCAACGACCGATGCTTGAGCGTTCCAGTCTTTCGTCCGCCGCGCACTGGTAAGTCTAGGTCATAAACAGGTGTGCTCTCTTTTCTGCCTCGACCTCGCGTGCCCCGGCTGCCTCGAGGGTGTCCAGTACCGACCACATTATGCACTGCCTCATTCGCTTCTTCAGGTCTCTCTATCGATGGTCTCGGCGCATATGTCTCCTCACTGAGCTTGCTTCTTTTCCTCCTCGGTGCCGTCTTCAGACTATCCGCATCACTCTGTCGTTGTCTTCGTCGCGGGTTGCGTGCGGTGGTGCTCCTGAGTGTGCGCTCAGTGCTCGGCTCCGGTGTCTGCGATGCCGACATGCTCGCCGTCTGTTATAGCACGGTACAGTCCTGCTGTCGACAAACGCACGAGGGAACAAGGATTATCTGGTTGCTGATGGAATGTTTACTCTCGCGTGTCTGGATGCGGAGAGAGCTGCTTAAACATTTAAGGTTTTGGTAAAACAACGCCTAACCGAGAGAGAGCCAAGAGCTCGTCAACGGACGTGAAATGGGAGACAGACGTGTAGGATCATAAATTAATACATGTTTCTATAGAAGGACTCGTAGCTCATTCGAATAGGGAGCGAGCGTGTCTTCTGCAGGCTATAGTCGTAGATGTGCCACCAGCAATCATACCATCATGAATTACAGCTGCACATCGTTGTTCAATAGCCTGACCTCCTCTCCCGGCTTGAATGCAGGGAGTCCGATGTACGGGCAACCATCGCATCTGAAAGCATCGCCCAGAGCGCAGTTACCACACGAGCCAACCTTGCCCTTGACTGTAAAGTCGACCTCGTTGAGATCCGTCGCAGACAGCTTAGCAAGATTCGAGTCGGCGTTGACGCGCTTCGTTTTGTCTTCGGCATCGAGGCGCTCAGCGAGACCGCATGTGCAGTCTTTGCAAGCTCGTCGTCGCTTGGTGTTAGGTTTGCACGCATCGGCTAATAAGGGCGTTAGCAGCGTACCAACAGGCCTATGATCAATCAGGCGGTACTCACGAATTATTATGGGCTTCATCCTATCCTCCTCTGTTAATAGAGTATCAGGATCGATCTGGCCGGCAGCCTCCAGCTCCGCATCATCTGGTATCTCCATATCGTCATCCTCATCATAGCCATTACCATCATCGAAGCCACCATCGAAGTCGTCATTCGCGTCGACGAAGCCTACGCCAGCAGGTGTTGATCTTACGACACTGCCATTGCCTTGTACCAGCGATGCGCTACCACTTGATATATCCTCACTCTTCCTCTTCGCAGTCACCGAGGCTTCTGTGGCGTTCAGCGGTACAGCTGCTGCATTCGCCTTCTTCTTCTTACCAAAGCTCAATGTGACGGTCTGCGCGCCGCCACCACTCTCAGGCTTCACCATCCCATCTCCTCCGCCAGCAGCCAGTCCTGCCAGAATAGCCTCAGTCTGTTCCGACGCATTCGCCCCGCCGAAGCTCCCATCCTGTGACCGTAGCCTCCCGCCAGGCTTCATACTCTCCACCAATTTCTGCATCGCCTGTCGATCCAGTAATCGTGAGCTTTCACTGCGCGACCCGTCAACGTCTGTAAGGAGGAGTACGACATCGTATGTGGCCGTGGGAAGTGCGACGAGACCCATGGCGAGCCTATCGAGCATCTGTATGTCAGTCGCACTACGGTCGTAGGCGGCAGCGACATTGGTAAGGGCCTGAGGATGGGACGATACTGAAGGCGGGGCGAGGAGGAGTGTCCGTTGGCCTGAGACGGACTTGGTGGGAGCTGGTGCGGAGGGCATTTCAAAGTCGGGCGTATTGTCTATCATCACTGCTGGAGCCATGGCGATGGTGGTGGAAATACTTGAGAGGTGATGAGGGTCGGATCGTGGACGAATAAGACTGGCAACGATAATGTTTGCTTTCAAATCATAGTCACCAAAAAGCACGCGCCGTTCTCGGCATTGGTGGGATGGATCTTATCTTGATCTGATTAGCCTTAGATTCTTGCGCGAAAAGACATTACATTTCGCCTGCACTTCTCCGTCAGGAAAACTGCCCAAAAGATAATTTTGCGATCGATCGTGAGCTGATAGCGTCGTCTGACGTATGCTCAAATTACTGTGAGCCTCTACATGATGTGGTCCGTCCCAGCAATACCTCCACGCCGAAGAAGCCGCTCAGGCCAATGGCGTTCCGAAATGCAAGCACGCATGGACCCCTGTCAATGTACCTGCAGCAAAACGTGCCTCGAAGCTCACCATCAACTCCATCGATCTCCAAGCTCTCCTCATCCTTAACCACTGCCGGTGACGATACGATGTAGCATTCATGCAGCGACCTGCGCTAGCGACAGGTCTGCGGCTGCCAGCATATAAGGTCGTTGCCCTCTCTTTCCTCGGCATGGTCACTGTCCAGCTCGCCGTGCAAACCATCATGCGCTACTCCCAGTCTACCCCATCGCTGTTCGCGGGATTATCCTACCTGTCTGCTGCTGTTGTCGAGGCACAAGGTGGATACTATGGCTCTGCTCCGCCTGCGACGTCGTGCAATGCCAGCAACACCACTGTGGATCTGAGCTGGCATGCTCCTGTCAAGTCCAACATCAATGATCTGGCGGGAGTGATCAATGGTACCGGCATTTATGGCTTCGTCTTCAACACCAGCCAAGGCCCGCTCAATACCTATGACTGGTGCAACATGCCGCATACGAATGTCAAGACCTATCCCAAGGTCAATGACAGCAGTCACAAGCTGGAATATGTGGAGGTCATCCATCGCCACCACAAGCGAACCCCATATGCGGCCAACACCTTCCCAACAGAGGGCTATGCATGGTAAGTGAATTTGATGATACACTCTGCGGTATGTGCTAATTGGAGGGCGCGTAGGGATTGCTCTGACGAGGGTCTGTTTTATGGCGGTAAGCCCATCAACCCGTATGGTAACAGCTCGGTGAGCAGTTACTGGCAGGTCTACACATCACCTTCCAATCCTCTCGTTCCGGAAGGCTTCAATGGCACCTGTCAGTTCCCACAGATCACTCGTGGCGGACTGGACGACAGCCACCAGCACGGCGTGGATTTGAAGGCCGTCTACAGTGGCATGCTCGGCTTCATCCCAGAGCAATATAATCCCAACCTCGTCTCTTACCGTGTGACAAACAACGTCATTACCTCACAAGTTGCTAGCATGCTCATCGCAGGCATGTACCCGAATCGTGCCAGCAAGGACACTCCGCTCCTCATCCAGCCTGCCAGCATTGACTCCCTTGAACCAGTCTACACCTGCACAGCCGCTAGTCGCTTATTCAGCTCTTATGGTTCCGGCTCTTCCTCACCAGCATGGAAGATTCACCTCAACGATGCAGCAAGTCTGTATACTCGCCTGGATGCCCTCTCTGGCGTTAACCCAAACGCAAGCGGGTGGCACATGTCTTTCGACCACTACTTTGACAATCTAAGTGCACGTCTATGCCACAACAAGCCGCTTCCTTGCAACATCGTCAACACAACCGACTGCGTCACCGAAGCCGAAGCTGAAGAGGTCTTCCGTCTAGGAGAGTATGAGTACAGCTTTATCTACCGCGACAGCAACCAGTCCCTGCCTGCCAGCGTGGGAAGCTACGGCATCTGGATTGCTGAGCTCACCCAGAACCTGAGACATGCCATGGGCCAAGGACCGTCTAGTGTGAACGCCACATCCCAACAGATCCGCTACAGACACAACGTAGCTCACGACGGCTCGATCTCTCGCCTGCTGGCTATTCTGCAGATCGAACGAATGGTCTGGCCAGGCATGGGCTCGGAAGTTATCTTTGAGCTGTATAGCAAGAACGGCTGTTACTTCTTGCGTGTGTTGTGGGGAGGTCAGATCATGAACTCGAGCAATCCTTCGCTGGGTCGTCTGGATATGGTGCCTATCAGCACGATCTTGGCATACTTTGATGGATTAGTCGGTGTTGGTGCGAGCAAGATTCCAGGCATCTGTCAGACGCCGGCCTGTGCTAGTAATGGCGAGGGATGTGCGTAGAGATAGTCGTCAGATATCGTGGCTGCTGTGCAAATATTGTCCTTTGTCACGACTCGTTCTCGTTTGTTACGAGCACTACCTGGCTCTACCAAACATCAATTCGTAGTATGAGTAGCCTGCGAACTCAGTCCCGCCAGCTGACAAAAGCTCCATCAATCTCTTGATACTTGACTATGGTCCTAAGGAGGTCATATAGCCTGCACAAACCAGTGGGTCTCTGGGACATTGTCCGCTTTCGGCAATTACGACATCGCTCTTGCCTTGGCGTTGGCATTGGCTTCACCACAAGTCCACTTCGCAACACAAATATGTTCTTTCCTTTTGTACACTTCTTGAGATGCGTCCAGCGATATGGTTATGGCTGATCGCCGTCTCCTGCGGACTCAGCCATGCATCGCAGACACCTCACGAGCAGCGACCACTGACACCAGCTTCTGGCAAGCAACCTAATATCGTCCTTTTCTTGAGCGATGACCAGGACTTATGGATGCAGTCATGGCAATACATGCCTCGACTTATGGAGCATATCTCTCAGCCTGGCCTTAGCTTCCGGAACCATCATTGCACAAATGCTCTATGCTGTCCTTCTCGCGTAAGCCTCTGGACTGGAAAGGCAGCACATAACACCAATGTGACTGACGTCAATCCTCCTCACGGTCAGTCATCCTGACAAAATGATCGATAGGGAAACTCCGTGCCAGATTTTGTGCTCATCCAGATCATCACAGGTGGGTACCCCAAGTTCGCCTCCCAAGGTTTCAATTCTGCGTACCTTCCTATCTGGCTGAAAGAAGCAGGTTATGATACCTACTACATCGGCAAGCTTTTCAATGCCCAGACTGTGGACAACTACCACTCTCCTCATGCCGCTGGCTGGACCGCATCCGAATTCCTCCTTGACCCTTTCACATATGAGTATCTCAATGCTACACTTCAACGGAATGAAGGCGAGACACATTTCGATCCTGTCAGCTACGAGGGGCAATATAGTACCGATATCGTTGCTGAGAAGGCCTATGGCTTTTTGCAAGACGGGCTGAAAGGCTTTGAGCAGGATGGCAAACCTTTCTTTCTTGTGGTAGCTCCCATTGCACCGCATACTAATGTGCACTTCAACGAGCACATCGATGGCAACTTTAGTGAGAATTCAGTCGTACAGTCGCCACCTGTGTCTGCTCAAAGGCACGAGCATCTTTTCGAGGACGTCGTCGTTCCAAGGAGTCCACACTTTAATCCTGATGAGGTATGCCCACTCACCAATATCATCCTCCCGGGACATGCTAACGTGGCACAGCCAAATGGTGTATCGTGGATCTCGAGGCTTCCAAAGCAGAACTCCACAAATGTTGACTCCAACGACATCCATTACAGACGAAGGTTACAATCACTCCAAGCCGTGGACGAGATGGTCGACGGTGTTGTGACCCGGATGAGCAAGGCTGAGATTTTGGACGACAGCTTCGTGATCTACACTACTGTACGTTTAGCTCAAGTCAAAGACCAGCATACAGGCTTGTGTTTCAATACTGAACATAATGCAGGACAATGGCTACCACATCGGCCAACATCGGCTACAGCCAGGCAAGCAGTGCGCCTTTCGAGAGGACGTCAACATACCACTCTTCATTCGTGGTCCAGGAGTATTGAATGGCATCACCTCGATCTATTCATCCCATATCGACCTGGCACCCACTATCATGAAGCTTGCCCATGCCGAATTGCCGTCAGGGACTGTAGTGGGTGATTTTGACGGCCAGCCTGTACCACTCACTTACGAGGACTTCGACGAGCACAACGATACCGTACAATCTGAGCACATGGATGTAGAGATGTGGGGCATCATAATGTCAGAGGGTAATTATGGAAGCGTGCTATATCCTAATCATACTTATAAAGCTCTACGCCTGGCTGGAAACGACTACTCCTTTCTGTATACTGTGTGGTGTAGTGGCGAGCATGAGCTATACGACCTGACGGTGAGTACTGAGTCGACCAGAAATTGATTCTTGCTGACCACCATGTCCTCCTAGAACGACATGTATGAAATGCACAACCTCTACCAACTCGGTCACTCCACACTCTTCACCTTCAACGGCAGCAGCCATGAAGCTACGGATAAATTGCATTTCGCGACGCCTGACGATTTCCCGAACGTTAGTCTCCTGAGCTCCTTCACAGCCAACAGTTCGCTCACGCTATCATCAAATCCTGCCACTCTTTCACGTATCATCGCTCGTCTCGACACTCTGCTGGTGGTCTTGAAACTATGCAAGGGTCGGCAGTGTACTCACCCCTGGGAAGTCCTCCATCCAGATGGCAGTGTCAAGGACTTACACGCTGCTCTGGATGAAAAGTACGATCTTTTCTACGAAGTCGAGCAAGAGCGCGTGAGGTTCGACAAGTGCGAGACGGGGTACATCAAGGAGGTTGAAGGGCCGGGCGGCGTGAAGACATGGGATGGCGAGCTGAGGGGAGGTGCTAGATGGCAGGACTTGACGTGAGACATGCGGCTGGAGGTGAATGGTGTCCAGTTGCAACTCTGCGAGAGTGTCACGCTCGAAGGTCTAGTCGCCCCTGAGTGGAAGCATGACCAGATTCGATGTGCACGTGAGTACTTACCGGGTGAACACGGCGCAACGTCCTGACAACACAGCCGCATCTTACGGTGAATAATCAATTACCACTCACTGCAGGTCCCTGTTGTTTATCAATTCGTCATACAAGCACGTGTCCGCCTTGAAGCTTCCTCGAAAGGTACATAAGTCATATCTCGTCCTCCAAACAAATATCTCTACGAACAAAAATTCTCGAGCATTCCTAAAGCCTCCACTAACACCGGCATCAATCATCCATCAAAAAAAATACCCCAACACAACCCACAACCAGTTCATCACAAAGTCGCTATCATGGTCCTCCTCAACGTCCCCCTCTTCGTCCTCGCCATCACGGTCGACTTCATCCACGCACTCGCCACTGTAAGTCATGACTCACACCTTCATATTATCAAATCCCATTTTCCCCGACGCTAACACCAAAGCCCAGCCGCCTCTTCACCATCCCACTACTGGCCTCTCCGAAGTGACCGGCTGGACCCACTTCCTCAACGCCTCCGCCCCCTTGATCAACACAACCCAAGACTTCTACGAACTCAGCGACCTCCACAACGGCACCATCCGCATCGATCGCGTCAACGGCCACAGCATCGTCATCGAGCACGTCTCCCGCGCCCAGATCGCCACCTTGGCTCCGGGTAGCCCACTCGATGTCATGGCTGAGAGCGTCTTTCCTGACCTCCAAGTCGATAAGGCCGCTCTTAAGGAGTCTTTGACAGGTGCTGCGGACTTGATTGAGGGTTTCGAGGATGGGAGCTTGACGTATCAGCCGTTGGCTGAGAAGAACGGTGGGAGTGTTGTAACGGGTGGGGTCTCTAAGATCCTGATTGACAGTGGCAAGGTCGAGGGCGACAGTTCGCTGGTGGCGGAGGAGAAGATTGCTGGTAAGTCTAACATTCTCTTGAAAGTCCTTGTCTTGCTCGCTCTGGTTTGTCGTCTTCTGCATCTCTTACTCCTTTGCCGAAATATATTCCCTCTTCTAGACTGCTATCTATCTGGTCTCATCCTCGGACCGCATATCTCTACCCGGCTCAGGACTACTGGATCGGCCCAAGGACCTGCTACAAATGATCTGCAGACTCACTGTACAACTGGCAAGGACCACTCTACCTCCTACAAGGCCCTCCGCGAGTCCAATTGTGACGTCTACCTCGTCGTTAGTAGCTGCACCTTGGCCACCAAGCCAGAACCCTGCGGCAGCCGAATTTGCGTCTTCTTCGCCTGCGTCCCCAACTAGCGGACATTCGAAAGCAAAAACACAAGCCCGAAACAAAAGGCTAACGAGGCTCTCCCGTCCCTCTAGGCCCCAGTCCCCAACCATATCTGCGGCGTCTGTGCCGTCCTAGGAAGCTGCACCATCCACTTCAACGGCGGCCGAGTGTGCCAGAAAACCATCTGCCTGCTCATAAACTGCATCGGGGTTTAAAAGTCTACCAGCCCAAGAGATACATACATACATATATACATGTACCCACCAACCGCCACGGAAATGGAAAGGCTAATGCTGCGACTTGGTGTCTCTCCTTAGGGCCCCTCGAGTACATCTGCGGCAGCTGCGTCGTCCTCGCCACCTGCTGGAGTCCCCTTCAGTGGAAGCCAGGAATGTCAGAGCACAATCTGCATGGGCACCACTTGCGTCGGCGTCTAAACACACACTTCCCACCCAACCGGCGTCTGATCACTGCACTACACAACCACGAAAATCCACGGGACTCGGACAGCTAGGCTAACACAGAGTGTTTGTTCGTTACTTAGGTCCAGTCAACCGGGTCTGCGAAACGTGCATGGTCTCAGGCTGGTGCATGTTACCTTTCAAGGAACGAAGGGTGCGGCGGCAGTAATGTCTGTGTGGGGATTGTTTGTGTGCTTGTTTGAGGGCGCACAACAACAAACACAGGGGCGTAAAAGCGGCAGTCCCTTTTCCTTCCGCTTCTCGCAAGTCAACATTGTATGCGTTAGCTTTCATTTCATTCCTCAAGACGTCGGCCGCGGGCTTCCCGACCTCCTCGACCCTGGGCGTCCCGACCTCCTCGACCCTTCCCCTTCTTCTACCGCTCATTTTTCGAAATCAGCTTTCGTTTTCGATCTCACCTTTTTCATCTCACACACAGCTCCATCTAGTGCTCGCTCAAACGGGCGACTGCGCCGACAAGCCATCTCGAGAATTGATCCTAACGAGGCATATCTAGGTCCCGTCGAGCACGTCTGCGGCGGCTGCATCGTGGTGGGATCCTGCAGCTGGCAGTCCAACGGCTGTACATCATTCTGCGTTGGCTTGGTGTGTGTGGCTACGTAGTCTGTTGCGATCTCTACGGGTATCTGGGAAGGATCCGGTCGAGGGGCTGGATGATGGGCTCGGATGTCCTCGTATCCACGAGGTCGGTAGCCAGGGGGGGTGGAGGGAAAGGATGGGCGGAACCTCGTGTTTCGCTTCCTGGTCGCTTTCGCTGGGTCGGGTGGGTTTTGGGGGAGGGCAGGTATTATGGGATGGATTAATAGATATGTACACATGCAGTCCTTCATACCTCGTCTACCCATCCCTACCCACCTCAACATACAACAACGCGCCATACCAAAAACCCTACCATCCCACAGCCCATCCCATCACCCCAACACCGCGGCCAGAATGATAATCGTCAACACCACGACCAAAATCACCAACAAACAACACGCCTTCCCCCTCGCGCTCCTCTGATGTCTCGACGCGGTCCGTAACTGCCCATCCGCATTCTGCGTATCATCCCGTGTTTGCACCACATTCGCATCGATCAGATCCAATTGCCCCCCCTGTTCATGAACCATGTGCGCCACATCACGGAACAACTCATTCAGTTCCCCGACGCTCTGCTCGATGTTGCGGATCTCGGATTCGCGTTCTATAATCAACGATTCCTGGAAATCGACCTCGGATTGGTCGGCTAAGCGTGGTTGCTGCAATTGCGCCTGACTCTGCTGTCCTTGATCCGTAGTAGCCGTGCCTTCAGTATTACTCGGATCAGAATCCAACGCCGCCTTGGCAGCCGAAGCAGTGGCCCGCTGCTTCTCCAACGCCTGCCGCTGCAAACCCTGAAACTCGGTCAAGGACGCCTTGAACTCCTGGTTCAGTTTTCCCTGGGTGTACTTCTGGCTCGGCCCGACATCGTGCCAACTATTCACTTTCCGCAAACCCTCGCCGATGTCCTTGAAGCCCTCGCTCGTGCTCTCGAGGAGTTCGGTGACGCGTTCCCGGACCCGGTCGGTTTCGCGGCGGGTGCCTAGTAGGGCGATTTGGTTGGAGAGTTTGGAGATGCTCGAGGTGAGGCTGAAGAGTTTGTCGCTGAGTTGGGTGGTGTAGTTTTGGAAGTCTGGGTCGTCGGCGTATTCGGGGTCGTCGGAGCGGCGGTAGGTCGTCGGTTGCGATTCGAGGTTGGAGCTGTCGGCGAAGGACATTTTGATTGAGGATTGGTTGGGAAGATGTCTTTGAGTCTTTGAGTCTTTGAGAGGATATTATGTGAATGATGATGCCTTGGGAGATGCGGCGATGCGGCGATGCGGCGATGCGCATGGCCAAAGGACGTACGGAGGCATTCCGCACTATGTGTTTACTTCACATGCAATGAGTGTTGTATCGTTCGCATGTCCAACACAAAACTCCCACTGACCTTCTATGATGTTACTGACATGGCGACGATGACCTCGACCTCAACCACCACCCAAACCCGGCCGCCATCCAACCCAACGGCGCCATCCTACAAGAACTTCCTCACACCCCTCCTACATCGACGCTTCACCCATGCCGCCCTGCTGGTGCTAGGACAATGCTACATCTACGCCGTCCTCTTCTCCCCCTCACACAAATTACTATGGAAGCTTCTACCGCTTGGCCTGACAGGTCTACGTACCTTTCTGCTCTTCATACCCGCTCTTGCAGTCTTCATCATCCGTGTAATGAATATGCATATCGGAGAGCGAACGACGACCAGCGGACTGGAGACGGTGGTTCAGAAGGTCCTTGATACAAGAGCCTGGGCGACTGTCTTCTGGTACGTCTTCAGCGCCTGGTTTTATGGAGAGGTCTACATCTGGAGTAGGACGAAAGAGGCGAATCTGGGCTGGATCGATTATGGCAGGAGCTATGAGAGGCCGAAGGTGAATGAGAACCCGGTGGCCCTCAGGAGTGTCTACATCCTGCTTGCTATTGCGCAGGCTGTCTTGCACCTTTGGCGAGACTATGATATGGTAGCAATCGAGGAGACGGAGGCTAGGGAGAGCAAGCAGACGGCGGAGTCGCAGATCCCTGGACCCTTGACACTACTCATGCTCCAAGCACAACCCCTCGCTGGCCGGCTCGTGAAGCTCTCCTTTCCCGGCAGCATCTTCAGCGCCGTCGTCTACCTCTTCATCGTGCGCCACACCGTCTGGAACTGGCTAGCCTATCCCGTCGCAAAACTAATGCTAGGCCGCGAACTACCCGGTAACGACGGCCCCTCGGCGATCAGCGGGCCCATGCAACTCTTCTGGCAAGCCGGCACCTCCATCACAATGCTCATCGCCTTATGGGAAATCAGCAACGCCATCTTCAGCATCTACGTCGCCCAATTACCCTTGAAACGAGGCCAAACCCTAACAGCCGAGATCAAAGACGCCGGCGGCCGCGTCATAAGCAAGAGCGCCGACCCGAACGGCAGTCTTATAAGAGGCTTGAAAGCGAAGAAAGACATCCCGCGCTCCTTTGCCTTCTGGGAGCTCCACCTCATCGTCACCTGGTACGAGACGCGAAGAAAAAGCATCTTCGCCGAAGTCGACCGGGTCGGCGGCTCAAGCTGGTCTCAAATCAGCACCCACTGCCTCGACGAGATCATCGCAATCTCCACCCGCATCCAGCGCTCCCAGGAACCAACGGAATACCAGAACAAGATGTCCGCCGCCGACCTCCAGCGTCAACAGCAGCAACAACTCGTCGCTTCACAGCAGCAGAAAAGCCACGGTCTACCCAAAATCGCCCAACAACAAGTCCACAACGACCGCGCCATCCTCCAACAACCAGCTGGAAAACAAGATCCAACCAACACCGTCGGCGCCCTCGCCCGCTCCCTCGGCCAGAGTCCCGCCCAAACAAACCCCATGGTCCAACTCAGCCGGCAAGCCCTCACCTACAGCCTCGAGCGCACCCACGCATCCCAAACCCTCAGCCCTTCAGGCCTGCAGGGAAATCTCCAGCAATACATCCTCCAATTCCTCCGCAGCCCCGCCGGCGAACCCTTGCGCCGAACCTTCGGCTCCCAAGTCCGAGCCGTGGTCTTAGGGGTGCCCTATAGCAACGGTGCGAACATTCTCCATGCCTCGCGCGCACTAGTGGGTTTAGCGACGGCGAGTCTGAGGGAAGATCCCTTTGGCCTCGTGGCGAAATCTCTCCCCCAAATCCTGAGGACATACACGGCTGTTATCTTGTCTATACGGAATTTCATCGCGACGCTACGGCCGCATTGGAGCGATGTGCTGTTTGATGAACGGGAGCGGGATTTATGGGGTGGTGGTGGGGATGCGAAGGGCGGTTCCGGGTTGGGGTTGGAGGGGGTGAGGGAAGTGATGGAGGGTTTGTGCTTGGGATTGGAGGAGTTGGTGTTGGGGTTTGGGGAGTTTGCGGGACAGTTGGGAATTTCACGGGCGGAGTTGAGGGGGGCGAGGGAGGCGGTTGCGGTGGGGAAGCGGAAAGAGATGACGGATCAGCAGGAGGAGGGGAAGAGATGAGGGGGTGCGGGTTTATTGGGTTTGTGTGATTTGTATGGGCTAAGCTACATGTGAGAAAGAAAACCCGTCCCGGATTTTCATACATTCTGGCGAACCACCCCTGATACAGAGGTTTTCTAGCTCGGAGACCGATGGATGCTCGTTCCAGCCACCAAGGATTCTAGGCTATCGGTCGTTCCTTTCTCCAAACCCCCCCTTTGACCCACCCTCCCTGCTCTGCCTTGCCTTGCCCTACCCTGCCCAGCCCTTGAACACCTCCACCTCTCACTCAGGAACCCCCGGCATCGGACTCCGCACACTAGGCATCTCCTGCACCGGATCCGGCGTCCCCTCGTACCGTTCCGGGGCGGGAGGAGGGGGGTAATACTGGTGTGTCTGCGGCGGAGGGGGATAATATTGTTGCGGCGGGGAGATATTCGCGCCGTACTGGTGTTGTTGTTGGTGGGGAGGCGAGGAGTTGTGTTGTTGAGGCTGCGACCACTGATCTGAATGGAAGGATGGTGGGGGTGGGGAGTTGAGGGAGGATTGGGGGTTGGAGGGGTAGCGTTTATGTTGCGAGACTGGGGTTACGGGGTCCCTGGTATTGGGGAGTTCTGTCATTTGTTGGCGGTGATTGGGGTGGCGGGAGGAATTGGTTGTTTGGTCGTTGGTGGTTGTGGCTCTGGTGCGGTTACGGCGGCGGTGGCGAAGACAGAGCCAGATTAGGAGGATGAGGAGGATGAGTCCGACTATGCCACCTACTACGCCGCCGGCTATGGCGGCTATGTCCGAGTGGGACGATGGTGCGGCAGAGGCGCTGGGCGTGGTTGAGATGGTGGGGAAGGAGCGGGTGGCGGTGCGGGTGGAAGAGCTGTACTGTCGGCCGAAGTAGACGGCAAGGTCTGGGTCGCCCCAGCCGGCTGGTGGGGTGGTCAAGGTGGCGCCACCCGTTTTGCTGTGCAGAAATAAGGTGGTCAGCTGAGCGTCGGAGGTAGGGTCTCGAGTATGATGTGTGCAACAGCTTACCTTCCACCAACGACTTGTGTAATATTGCTTGGGACTTGATATGTAGTAACGTTCGGCAGGTACTGATACCATTCCGCATCGGCGACGTCGTTGGCGCCCAGATTCAGGTTGTGTTGGCCCCAGATGGTTGCCGAGCTGTTGTTGATGATATGTCAGTGCTCTCCAGCCATCTTGCAGCCGATGGTCGGTCACTTACTCGCAGCCAGTATTGGTCGAGTTGGGGAAGTATCCACCCATTATGTTCATCTGGCCTTCATTGATGACGTTGCAGCTGAGCGAGTGGTGCTCGTTTGCGGAAGGGTACCACTAGACCGTCGACTGTCAGTTCGTGGAGCACGGTGGTGCAGACTTTGCGAAAGGCGACGTACCTGTATCCAAGTGAAAGATGGTATAGACAAAATCCAGACATCTCCGTAGCCAAGACCTTGTTCGTCGTAAGGGGGAAGGCCGCCATAGAAGTATCTGTTCCTCGTTAGATCGTTGGCATTCTATTGTACTTGCAGCAGATACGCACATGTTGTAGGAGGATTGGTCAGTCGGCCAGCTCACACCAGCGCAAAATCTCCTCCTCATGCCCGGAGCTGTGCCGTTCGTTGTTTGCTTGTACGACTTTCCGGACGCGATATCGTAGAGGTATATTTGCTGTCACTGTTAGCTGCTTCTTCGTGTCTCACAGCCGGTACATAGCATACATTCATGGGCACCTGGTATGTTCGTCAGCATTCGTCTCTCATACAAGCAAGATACGATGGCCTACCCCAGTATACGATCCATTACTCATCTGTTGTACCCCTCCGAAGTAAACAAGCATTCCAGCATCAGAGGCTGGGATATACACCATCACCCCTTCAGCACGAGGTATATTGTCGTAAAATGAATTGTTACTCCAGCTGTTGGCGATCATGTCATAGCGCAGCAGTCCCGGCTGTGCAAGACGGTTGCCGTTCCAGCCTAACACCGAGGCGTTACTGAGCCATCCACCATAGTAGAAGCCGAGAGCGCGGTCATCGACCGCAACACCAGCTCCGAATGACACGGCCTGCACACCGTTCAGACCCTCCGAGCTCGATGCGTTCCAGGTGTTGTACACCGCGTCGTAGGCCCACAAGTTGTACTGTGCCGGAGGTGCTGTGGTCCAATTGTACTCGCCGCCATACAAGTAGAAGATCTTGTTGATGGTATCAGCCCATAGTATCCCGCCTTGCACTGATGGGACGTTCGCCGGCTTGGAGAGATTGGCGTACTCCGTTGGGAAGTTCTGAGTAACAACGTTCAGGTCGGCGTAAAGGAGGTAAGTGTTCGTGTAATTGGTGGTGGTCGGTGTGACCGAGCCGCCATAATTCACCAGGCCGCCGTCGATGAAGAGTCTGTTGTCGATCAAGGTCGTCTGGTGTGCGAAGCGGCGGCAGAAGCCGTGGATGGGATCAAGCTGTTGGGCGTGAAGTCGACTTGCGAGGAGGGTCAAGATAGCAATCGAGGCACGTACATGCTCGCGTTTCAGAAACATGTTGGCTAAGGAATAGGTTTGTTACATGTCAAGGGTTTCAGATTCCCAGACGCAAGTTCGTTCTTCCAAGCACGCGGTTCGTTTTGCTTTTTGACAGGTTGAGGCTGCCAGCCCGAGCTGAACACAGCTTCTCCGCTTGGTATGCAGTGGCACCGCCAGCATGGCGTCAACGACGAGGCTGAGAAACTCTGTTCTCGCATGTGTATCCTCTGAGTCGTCGAAATGGGGGCCAGATCCTGGTCTGTACTGTTATCGGACGTACATCCTGCCGTTCTCACGGGCTGCGAAAGGCTGGCTTATGTACCAGCAATGGCAAGATGTGGCAAAAGGGCTCACATCCAGCTGCGATTTGCATTGATCATGCATGAGGCTGCGTGCTGAGCCCTTGAGGGTACCAATAGAGGCCAGACGATTAGCGAATATGCAGGCACTTACCTGCGATTGCTACATGGCAGCCTTACTTGCGTGTGGGGTGTACTTCAGTGATGATCGTCCTAGGGAGCTATTGCAGTCTCGATGGTTCCGCACGAGCAAAGCGCACAGCAATGTGTAAGGAATCCCATCCAGTGAGAGTCTCTGGTGTACGTACTGCAATACTGGTCGAACGAGCTGGGGTGGCATGAGCAGTAGAACCATGTCAGCCGCACGAGAGTGCTCCAGCTTGGTGTAAGGCATATCTGGCCGAGTCACACCATCGATGGGCAATTATGGATGCTCTAGCTTGCGGTCCTAATGGCACCATAGTTCGTAATGCACTTAGATGAAGCTCATTTGGGTGAAGGTGTTCTGAGCGGCATGTCGTCTCGATAAATACAAAGTACGCATGGAAACGCGTGGAATAACGCGCTTCTTGTGCCAAGCCGTGGTTAATAACGGAACTTAGGGCGATTTAAAGCACTTGATTACCATAAGTTCATAGCCTCACTACCTTGTGCAGATTTATCACGAACAAACATCAAGATCTCTCGGCCTGTCAGGCGTCTACAGGAGCGTGTGCTCTGTGAGTCAACGACATGGCCGACAAGGAGCCTACACGACTAGATCGGACCGTCTATGTCGTGATCCCGCCATCTCCCCTGCTCGCCGCACACTGGTCCCTCTTAATTCCAGATCCGCCACTGAACACCGCTACCATCCAGCAAGAAAACAATGTAGGACGACGCATACATGTCGCCGGCGACAGGCTACACGGCTTCCAGCTCGAGATCGTCAGAGGTTACGATGTCCGCAAGCACAGAGGTGTCAACTCACGACGCTTCGCTCTCGGCCTTGTGCCGGAGCATTTCTTGTCAGGTATACAGTCTACGCTCAAACCAGCTGCGGCTAAGTCGAAGGATGAGGACGAAGGCGGTGGCTATGTTGACAATAGTCCGATCGATCAACTCGAACGGACATGCATATTGGTAGCCCCTCCGGGACCATCTCTTGTTCATGTCCAGGCTGGCGGCAAAGGTGCAGCGAGGCCAAAGCAAACAGAGGTCAAAGACTGTCAATGGTGGGTCAAGCAGGTTGTGGAGTTGATGTTTAGTAAAGGCATGCTTGTTACTTCACGCACCAACGATGATGGCTCCGAAGCGTCGTCATTCACGGCTGAGGCTAATCTGCCGGTGCATTGAGAACATGATGATGGCTTGATGTTGTGACAGCCGGCCTCTGCTTCGCACGCTGATGCTATAGCCTTGACACGACGACCTAGAGCTTGCAAGGGTGATAGGTAATAGTAGGTGGGTCTATAGCCCAAGGAACCCCCAAGTCGCTGTGGGAGTTGTGGAGTGGGTAGACAAGAAGGCGAACTGTGTTTGCACGGAGTCTACTCCGAAGATCCATCATAGTAAGTAGCAGTAGGGCCGTCGTGGTGGTATAGCCATATCTGTGCCATTGCTGGCAAAGCGGCTCTGTAATTGGCTAACACGCACCCGCGTTTGGCGTCGTCTCGTCTCGTCTCGACTCCGCTAAACTTTGTTTACTTGCGATCCTGTGACGTGAGTCTTGACATTATTGTTGGTGCTATCGCCGTTAGGAGCTCTGTACATGTTAGGTTGTTCTCGTACAAGTCCTCCACTGTCATACCTGTATCTTCGCGTCTCGACCTTATTGCCGACACCTCCAGACGAGGCGCACGTGCCCGCCTTCCCATCTGGACAAAGATCAACACATTGACTACAGTATCCGAGGCGCGGCGAGGGAGAGTGTGCTATGCTCCACGCATAGCATAGGAACATATTCGCTAGTGAACACAGAGCGGTAGACGCTGGTGGATTGGAAGACTTCGCATGATCGTCGGCGCCATGCCAACTGGAGGACGATATCGTTCGCTCTCAGGAGCGCTGGTCGAGGCGGAGAAGAGAAGGGACTCTTACGAATCCGAAGACGATGTGCCAGACCTCGTAATGGCCGAGCAGGGCTTACTAGGTCAACCATCGAAAACATCCTTCGCATATCATCTACCGCGGCGGCGCTTCTCTCGCTACTTCACCCTTGCCATCACCACGATCATAGGACTGTTCATTCTGTATCTGGTGCAATCGAGTTGGACGGAGCAAGCAGAGCTGAAGCTGGGGTTGAAGAAGCCTCCGCCGCCTCCTCCAGCATGGGAGCAGTTTCCTTTCCTTACACGATACCACGGTGGTATAAGAACATTAGTAGACAGGGCGCAGAACAAGCCAGAGTACCCTTATAGTGCCGAAGAGGCGGAGCTGAAGGCACTGCAGGATGCGGCCATGGCGCAGAAGAAGCAGGAGGACGATGTCAAGGCTGATGATGGTGGATTTCAGAAGAGACAGGAAGAAGCGAGCGAGTTTGTGAAGAGGAGAACGAGATTCGAGGTCAAGCAGCGCTTTCCGAGCGACGTTTATGAGCCGGTGGTGAAGTGCTATCTGGATAACAAGACGAAGGTGGAGGTGCCTTCACTACTTGCGTACCAGGGCGTCACTGAAGGATTTCCGGATCCAGCGATGGGCTCACACAAGCTACTAGGCATACGCAACGATGTGTGCTTTGAGCGTCATGGTCGATTGGCGCCTTATGGGTTTGGCTACAGCCGAAAGTATGGTGGTAGCGGAGCAGGCGACGAGGGCGAGAAGGAGGGTGCCGAAGAGGTCTGGGGTGAGCAGCTGGAGATTGACTACAGGACGATCTCTTGGGCGAAGGCGCAAGAGGATTGTGCGGCGGCGAACGCGCATCGTTTCAAGCCTCCACCGAAGCAGCTCAATCACTTCTTCACCTCGATGGGAATTGGTGGACCTGAAAAGGAGCTCCCGAGCAAGAGTATCTCTGAAGGTAAAGAAGGGCCGCATGGGAAGAAGCTGGTGCCAAGGACCGCGATCATCATCAGGACGTGGTGGGACTACAATTACGACGCCGAGGACATGCTCTACTTGCGCGCATTGGTCAACGAATTGGCTCTGCACTCGGGCACGGAATACGTGGTACACTTTCTGGTCCACGTCAAAGATGACAACAAGCAGATCTGGGCTGATGAAGAGACGTACAATCGCGTGCTAGCCAATTCCTTGCCAGAGGAATTCCGTGGCATGGGTACACTGTGGTCAGAACGACAGATGGGTCTCATTTATGGTGGTGTGGCGGAGAGCTTCTACCGCGACTTGCCAGTGCATGGCGCGTACCGAAGCACTTACCTACCGGTCCAATACTTTGCGCATATGCATCCCGAGTACGACTTCTTTTGGCATTGGGAGATGGACATCAGGTATACAGGCCACTTCTATCACCTGTTCTCGCAAATCAGCGAGTGGGCAAAGCAGCAACCTCGCAAAGGGCTATGGGAGCGCAACGGCCGCTTCTATGTCCCATCTGAGCACGGTAGCTGGGAAGACTTCAGACAGATGGTACGTGTGCAGACTGAGCATGGTACTGCGCAGAAGAGCAGCATATATAACAAGCTCTCGCAAGATGCAGGCTCAAAGCATCCTCTCGACGAAGAAAGTCGGCGACCAGAGAAGCCAGTCTGGGGCCCTTTGGGTCCCACAGGCCAAGGCGACACCACAGCAGATCCTGACAACGATCCAATACCGCCAACGACATATGACAGAGACAACTACGAGTGGGGTGTGGGCGAAGAAGCAGACTTCATCACCTTCAACCCACTGTTCGACCCACATAACACGAACTGGATACTGGCAGAAGATGTCACAGGCTACAACACCAGCGCCGGCTTCCCTCCACGTCGAACAGCCATCATCACCGCTTCTCGACTCAGCCGCAGACTCCTGGAGACCATGCACCGCGAGACGGCACTAGCACGACACACCATGTTCTCCGAAATGTGGCCGGGCTCCTGCGCCCTGCACCACGGCTACAAAGCCGTCTACGCCCCGCATCCCGTCTACATCGACCGCGCCTGGCCGACCTCCTACCTCACAGCCATCTTCAATAACGGCCTCAATGGTGCCGCAGGCGGCTCGAGGACGAGCGTCTTTAGTGACGAGCGACAGCATAATTTCAGGGGTACGACGTGGTATTACGATGCTGGATTCTCGCCTAACCTGTGGAAGAGGTGGTTGGGGTATAAAGTCGACAATGATGGAGGTGAGCAGGAGGAGAAGGCTGGGGAGGGGAGGATGTGTTTGCCTGCTATGCTGTTGCATCCGGTCAAGCAGGTGGATTTGGTTTATGAGCACCAGGTTGGGGAGTGAGGGAGGTATGTGCGTAGGCTTGTATCTGTGACGTCTGGTGCTGCTGCTGCTGCTGCTGCTGCTCCTGCTGTCCCAGCGAGGCGTTTTCTGGGTGGAATTATGCATCAGGGTGAGGATCCGGGGTGTAAGGGATAGTCATCTCTGTTGCACTAGGACATATGTATAGCTTGTAACAGAATGTATAGTGAACAGCGACAATCAGGGGCCACGGGCTCATTTGTCTGTGATAAGACTTGTACAGTGTGATGCTTAAGCAAAGGCTTCGTGGATATCGTTCTGCCACGGACAATCTAGGCGTGTATCCAGTGTGACCTGAAGTACCTTCACTTGCGAGAAACAGCGTTCGTAGCAGCAGGGAGGCTGGCATACTACGGTAGTCGCCGCTTCCACCATCATACACATCTATTCGGTTTATTGGGCCTGATGTGGCGGTTTCGGAGGTGGAAGTCATCGGCATGCCGAAGCACAGGCATCAGGACACGATGGAAAGGAGAGCCTCGCTTCTCGAGGCGGTGTGACATGATTGAAGCCCGGGAATGTGATCGTGATCGCTCGAGTTGGGTCGATCTCTGACTGGTGGGATAATCGATTGCCATATCCTGTGTGGAACAGCCTGGCGGTCGTTGGACCGTAGTCATGCAGTGGACATGCTTTGGAATCCAAACGAAAGCCCGAAAGTACTCGGACATCGTGTCAGCATCTCATCAGCCTGCGTGCTCGGATTTATGTTCCGTGATGCTTTCGTGTTTGCATGCTCGTTTGCATGATGATGCGTCTATTCCCGCATATCGGGACCAGCAATCCATATTTGACTTGGAGCAGGCCGATGGGGGACAACATATATGGCTCAACCGACCAGACTTCTGCAGACAAGGTTGCAATGACGAAGCGCGAAAGTGGTCGAATGCATGTTGGATGCCATGGATATGCTTGGTAACTGGATTCCGAGATATGCTGTGCCACCCTCAGCACGTGTCGGTGTCGCTCAGATCTCCTGTCTCATCCCGATGATGAGATATCCTGACATGCCGTGAACCATGGTTCTACGGTCCGACTTTGCCTGGGCACTGGTGGGTACGGTATGACAGAGCAAGGTCTGGCCATCGCAACTGGTTACCCAATCTCGCCCGCCTGCTTTCCTGCAAGCCATAGCTGCATGCGCAACGCCAAACCACATGGCTGCCACGTTGTTGAGGAAGATGGCGCCTGCATGACTACCAGCCCTGTCGGCGTTCGTCCTGGCACTTAGGCATTGAGCCGGCGGCGTAATGTGTACATGCCTGTATCTTTGTAGACGCCTTCTCGGTGGGTCCATGAATCTGGATGCTCGAAAGCCCTGCGATGGCTTCGCGCTAATGTGTCATTTCCACGTGGACGGCTGAAACTCAATTCGGCCGCATCCTCATCATCAGCCTCGGCATTTGTTCTATGCATGTAGATTAGAGCAGTCGAGAAGGATACAACAGGCGACGAAATTCATTGCCGCTCACTTCCGCGTATGCATGAAGGTCTTGGCGAATTTCCCTCTTTCAGATCTCATTGTGTGAATTCGATATGAGTCTGCTACGCCGATCAGGTCTGGGCAAAAGACATTGGCATCCAATTGAGGTTCCAAGTACTGCGGACAGCCGTAGAAACTACAACAGCGCTCGCCGAACCGACAAGACCGGTTCTCCAACCGTACGGATGACGGAGAAGCTCGCTGCAAACATGCCGTAGCGAGTCAGGTGTGCTGCTGTACAAGGTAGACATGCTTGCCGACGCGATGCGCTTGTCGTAGGAGACGTATAATAGGAGGGTATTCCCGTAGGATCAATCTCGGACACGAGGCAGCCCTGCGATCCGTAGTGCGGAGTCGATCCTCTCTACAACATGTCCGCGTTACCTTTCCTACGATCGTGGATACTGAAGGTCGTCTTCTGCTTCTGCTTGTCGCGCGAACAATTTGATGCATTTTCGGCTATGGGTGCCTGGTCTGGTTACCGTAAGGCTGATCAAAATTAGCCTGTCCGCCATCACAGTTTCATAACTTGCCGCACGGACAGCATACTAATAAAGCGACAATGATGGCACCGACAGCACACCCGTATATAGTGTTTGTGCAAAAGTTTAGCTGGAAACGTCAAAGTCAGCACGGCCGCCAGTCCATGCGCGAGCAACGTGCATGATTGGCCTTGGCAAGTACGGAAGGCTCAAACCTCGGTGTAGTAGCCATTTTACCTAACAGAATCATCTCCTTTCCAGAGTTAGCATGGACGCTGCGGAGATTCGACGTACCTTCTAGTGGTGGCGATCCCCGACTTCGCACGGCTATCGCGGTCCTCTGCTTCCTTGTCGTCGTATCATGTTGCGGGCAATCAAGATACGTCGACAAAATTGTTTGAGAGCAGCAGAGCAGCAATTACTTACGAGAGCATACCCACTATTAGAATGCTCTTCCATGCACTCCGATCGATGGCAGCAGCAGCGTGGCAAAATATGCGGGCTTAGCGCTCCTTACGGCAGAGGCGTCCACGTGTTCGCAAGGTTCCAGCTGTCGGCAGATGAGCCACGAGGAGGCAGCGTTCGAGACAAAAGTCATGGTCGTTGGCGCTTTCGATCGCATGGCACGATCTTCGTATACCAAAGTGGTACTGGTCCGAGGCCATTGTCCCCCTCTAGCGCTCATCGCTGTCGCATAATCTCTGTATAGCGGAGGATCATTACCTCTATCATGATATCGCGCAAAAGGCTAAGGGCTACATCATCCTTATCACTGTGTGATCGACCACGATGTTGCGGTGTTCTCACAGGACGGCAATCGCTGCACGATAGAGTAGATTGATTTTTTTCGTTTCAGTAGACCTCACCGTCTCGAGGACTGGTTCGGCTTATACATCCGCAGAGAGAGTTCCGAGCAAGCGAAAAAGCGTTGCGCCGACGGGATGTGCTCAATGACTATATGTGATGGGCATCGTTGCCGCACCTAGCATGCACACCAAGCGTGATATAGGGAGTTATGGTAGCTGGATACTTGGCTGACCGAGCGATTCTCCTGCCACCCAGTGCCGTGTGAAACGTGAATCGTTTGAACACAGCATGCCGCCGAACAGTTTGCCGTGGCCCGTTACACATGCACGCCACAGAGACAGACTCAGAGCTACGCTAGTCAGCACAAGCGGGTGTCAAAATGGCTGGCAGGAAGGCTTGGACTATGGCCACGCGCAAGGTGAAACAGACGAACAAAGGCGGGTGCGATGGTCGGCGGCTTGGAGCTTTTTTGGTGCAACTTTGGCAAGGTTTGGTGGGCTCGAGTGCATGCAGAAAGCAGTGGCACTCTCGGCGAGCTGCGTGGCATTCCGTGTCAGACAGCCGCCGACGAACCCTGCTCTGCACCTTTCGCATCGGGAAAAGCGTCTGCAGGCTGACATCCATCGTCGGCTCGTGGGTGAAGTAGATGGTAGTTGCGAAAGAGTCAAAGACTAAGGCCCTGAACGCACGGATGCTGGATCAGCATACTATCTGACCGCACCAGGCGTGGTACTGTAGCTAAAGGGCCACCCTTGTTGGCATTCCGACCCACTCATCTGTTACTGTCACTTCAAAGACTGCCATGCCATCTGCTGTTGCTGGCAGTACCCGCGTTCCTCAAAACCATCATCACCACCCACATTCCACCACGATCCCACCACGCGCTCGCCACGTTGATGTTCCTACACCGGCCCAGCCTACTTCTGACGTAACCGTCTTCAGCAACAGCAATTCGTCCGCTGATCAGGAGCCCACCAGCCCTACACTTCTCCGCCGCTACCTCTCCGCCGACAAAGTGGATTCCTTATCGAAATCGACAGCTCGCGCGCACAATCGACTGGCCTCACTTGGCCGCATACGCTCTCGCGGCAGCATACATAACGCCGCTCACTCGCGATCGGCCGTCGCACGAGAGCCTCTGCCGCATCGAGGCGAGACACTACCGGTCCAGCACGCGGTGCCTGTCTCGCCCTCGGAAACGGGCTCACACAAGCCTTCCGACACATCAACGTTGTCTAACTCGTCGTCCGAGACGACCTTATCTGACGACAAATCGGACGATACAAAGTCGTTAGACGAGCAACCGCTCATCAACCCTGCCTGGTCTTCTCCACTATCCGATTCGCCACAGCACTTTGACGGGCAAGACGACGCCAATCCCTACGTCAGGGCCAACCGACTCGCACCACGCATGATGCATCAAACATCATCGAGACTGCTTCGCATGACGGCGGACGAGAGGCCGTTCACAAGGGTACGTATCTTCTGAGTTTTTCTCCCGCCAGGCACGTGAACTTGGTATATGGCTGTGGTCAATACTGGATTGTTTGCATGGAAAAGAGTTCATCGCAAAGTGTTACTCTACGGCTATGGCTCTTCGGAAAATGACCGAGCTGCATACATGGCACTTTTCGTCAATGGCATCTAGCAATTCAAGACCCACCTCCCACGCGGGGAGGCACAAATCTAGTACTCTAGTATGGTTGGCTCCGATCGTTGGCTTACACGGTTGTGCACAGGACTTCAAGGACTTGTTCTCTACGCTCATGGTCAGCCTGCCATTAACACCCCACCGAGTACGATTCACACGAGTCGAACACACCTTCACCACAGAAGAAGCAATCACCAATTTAGGGTCGTTAAAGTTCTCGCAATCGAATCGCATGCCTGACCCGAAGGACCCATCGCGCATCGTCACCACCACGACAACCACCACTTTCTCGATGGCGAAAGAGATGGCCCGATCGGTATGCACACGCTTCCTTGATGCAAGATTCGTGGAATCAGTAGATGGCAAAACAGACTTCACCTCGAGAAGTTCGGTATGGCAGCTTACACCGAAGGGTATGCATGTATTGGCAAGATTCTGTCAACGAAACGGCATACACCAAAGACACGTGAACGAGGTGCTGGACTCGCCACGAAACATGATGTCTCTGGTCATATTGGAGCGACAGTCGGATTCGGATAAGCTCGTGGATGATGCGCCGACCGTGCATGTAGTCTTCAGACGATTCGCAGGCGACACCGGTCCAAACCTCAGAGTCAACACGGCACGATCCGACTCGGACTCCATGGACGATTATGCCACGGGACTAGTTGGTGTGAAGATGCAGAGATCGAGGAGGAACGAACAGGAAGTCCCGTACACTTTCACAGGCAAGGCCGCTTTCGACTGGCTCATGGACTGCTGTACGGTCGTTGACAAGCGCGAAGTGTTCGAGATTGCACGATCGTTCATGCAACACGAACTTATTGCTGTTGTGGGCGATGAGCGAGGGCCACCGCAGAACGGGAGCTTTCAAGCATCAAAGCACATGGTCTATGGCATCACGCAAAAAGGCATGCGCGTCGCAGGCTGGGTCACAAGTCCTAACGGGACAGTGAATGGCGAGGCGACCACACAGCAACGGATACCAAACGGTGTCATCCGCGACTCCAACACCAACCGCATGACTGTCATTATCCGTGACCCTGCGCTCAGGCTTCTGTTCAGGGAGTACTTGCGAGAGACACACTGCGAAGAGAACTTGTCTTTCTACGTTGAAGTCAAAGCGTTCTTGGCCGAGTACGAGAGGGCGAAACGTGATGGCGCCTCACCACGACTGGATGTCATCAGGGAAACGCTCGCATCAGCTTACAGCTTGTACAACGCCTTCCTTGCACCCGGCTCGCCCTGCGAGCTCAATATCGACCACAATCTACGCAACGCGTTAGCTGGAAGGATGACAAGGGCGGTGGGAGAAGACGAGCAGATGCTTCGCAGCTTGGATGAGGTAGCCGTGCTCTTTGACCAGGCACAAAGCAGTGTCTTTAAGCTGATGGCTAGCGTAAGTCAACACATGGCGCGAGAACAAGTTTCGTGCTTCGCTAACATGATTACAGGACTCCGTACCAAAGTTCTCACGTGAGCCGAAATACGCCGCCATCCTACGCGAGCGCAACCTGGATTCGATGCTCACCAACTTCGCTGCGACCTCAATATGAGCATGAGATTGAATCAGTTTGCTCGGTAATTGCCAGATATTGCTTCTGAAGCATAATGTTAATGCTCGACCAATCGTGCATGCCGAATCTGCGTTTCGCCACTCAGCTGTCGGCCTTTCCGGACGCGCTCTCAACTTGCGGTATTTGGTTGGATCCCGACCATGAGACACAAGTCGTCGTTGTCACGATAGACTCGACATGAACAAAGCATCCACGCGCTCACGCGCGCCTACTCGGTCAGATGCAAAGATTGGATTTTGTGCAAAGCGTCTGGCGTTTGGGTGGACTTCTTTACTTCGAATCTCGGCGGAGTGGATATGAGAGCATTGCGCACAGCAGTGCCGCCTTTGCCACTGTATGTGGATCATGGAGGGTTTTGCGTATCATACAATGTCGATGTATCACGGCATGCAATGGGAAAGGGTGTCCCAAGGGAAGCTCGAAGGAGGAGGCGCGGTGGTTGAGTCGGCAAGCCCTAACGGCTTGATCATGTAGCTTTGCTCTGCCCGAAGCGGGCGTCGAGCGAGCGTTGTATTCTATGCAAATCACGAGATCAACCAGTAATAATTTGGACTCCAATCTATTGTGCGCCCGGCAGGATAGCGCTGGGCGAAGTGCATTGTTGTGTCCTAGTCGCAGTAATGTGTTTCGTCTGAAATGCACGTTAAGATAAGCCTGTAGAACAACATAGTAGTTCTGTACCGGACAAGTCAGGGAGAAGCTCGCCCTCAATTCGCCATTCAGCAACGCCGGCAACGCCATACTCTCCCTAAGCATCATATTAAGTTCTACCTCGTCTCATGGCCTTGATGAGCGTAACTCTTTGCCCAGCCCCATCGAATTTGCTTAGTAACAGATGCACGGCACCATATCCAATCGACATATCTTGACATCTTCCGTGAATCATCTCTCGTCACGTCGTCCCTCTCTCGGACCACTTCAGTCGTGGAGTCCTGTATATGATCTGTCGCAATTCTTTCGTACCCAACGACATCCATAGCCGTCACATAGGTCGACTGACGTGTGCCAGCCGGCGGAGTGCAGAGGACCGTAAGGAGCAGTCACGAGTCATCTCTCTCCCCTATGGTATTCTTTGATAAGAATGCCCGGTCTTCCGCTCCGGCGTGATCACATCTCAATCAATCAGAGTGTCGTTGACTCTGGTCCATTTGGTCTCATATCCACAATTCTTCTCATCTCCTACCAAGCCTCAGCTGCCTCCATACCTCGACCACAACCTGGATGTCTTTGATCTTAGCCGGCTTGGTCAGATAGATATCTACACCCGCCTCGAATGCCGCTTTCCTGTCCTTCGCACTGACTAGTCCTGTAAGCGCGACAATATATACTGGCACTGCAGTTCGAGCCTTGGCCTCACGTCTTCGTATTGCAGCCGTAGCATCGAAGCCTGAGACTCCAGGCATAGAGAGATCCATGAATATGATGTCGAATGCTCTGTGGCCCTCCAGTGAGATCGCGGCGAGGTGTGCATCGATTGCTTCCTGTCCGCCACTGGCCAAAGCAGGGGCCAGGATGCCGCACTTGTTTGTGTACATTGCCTGTGATGCTAGTCAGTGCCATGACCCATGCAGACGACGAGTGGAAAAAGTAATACGGACCAGAACTTTTAGATTGACAAGATTGTCGTCTACGAGTAGTAGCGAGGGCGAGCGAGGGTCTGCAGTAACATCTTTCGGGATTTGCGAAGCCCCTTGGAAGTACCGAAGCTGCTCTGAATGCTCGGCATCGCTATCCGTAATTATAGTCGGTTGTGCGAGGAGGCTGCTGATTCTCTGGTCGTTGACGTGCAACAGCCGCACTGCTTCAGATAAGACTTTCAGCGCAGCATGACTATCATTCCTGGCTGCTATCGGCCGATCAATTGCAGGCGTGCTCGCGACTTTCGCAAGAAGACTACTTATGGCTGCTACCATTGTAACAGGCAAGAATGGGCAAACGACAGAAACGTCATCTGGAGGAGTCGTGATTCCGGTGTGGCTGACCGGCGGACACAAGAGTACCAGAGGTAGAGATCGTTTCTCTGACGATTCTCTCAAGAATTCGGGGAGGTCCTCCTTCAACACGAGCATGACATCTGGAGACTCCAATGTCTCGTGGTCCAACATTCGTGCCTGTGAGCGTGCCAGAAGCGTCGTCTTGAGAGAGGCCTGTAGCATATCCAAACCATCCGCAAGCTGAATCTCGCCGCGAGACTTCAGTGGTGCATAGAGCTGTACTTTCGCAGCCGGGCCGCCTACGTGCTGTTGTTGGCCGAGTGGTTGCACAGATGTTGTCGCCGTAACAGGAAGGCGCACAATTACTGTCGTGCCCACTGATCTTCGAGAATCGATATTGATGGTCCCACCTAGCGAGTCTACCTCAAGTTTCACGAGGGATAGCCCTATACCGACACCAATTCCCAGTGAATCGTTCTGAGCAAACGGCGTGAAAAGTTTGTGTTTGAGGAAGTCAGCAGGAATGCCCTTGCCAGTATCCTGCACTCGTAGCACAATCGACGAGCTTGGACTATCAACAACCGTCTCTACAGCCAAGCTGATACGGACGCATCCTTGGGACGTATTTTTTAGAGCATTCGACTGCGTAATGACATGTCAGTTTGACTCCATCTACGAGATCTGGCGGCAGCCAACGTACCACAAGGTTCTCCATGATCGTTTGTATCGAGCTAGCATCTTGCTCGCTGACAGAGACAGTCTGAGCGACGTCGAAGACGACAGGGACCTGCCGGTACCGTCCTTGACTTGCGCGAGCCACTAGGCCCGAGACAGCTTGAGTGTCAACGTGCAAATTGTCGTGGGCTTCGGGCGTAGTCGAGCCAGACGACCCGCCAAGTCTTCGTGATCCTGCCTCCCCTTGGTCCGTCGGTGTTGTCACCGCAGCCCACTGAGCATGTGAAATTACAGCCCGGCTGAGTACATGTTCGATCAGCAGTCCTAAGTTATGCTCATCGGTTGTGATCGGTAACTTGATCACAGCTGTTGACCTTTCGTGCATTGACACGACCTCCTCTGGTATGTCACCTCTCGTGCTGATATGACAGTATTGCAACACCTTATCGATCGAGTCAAGCAGCTGTCGACCACTCGCGGCAGCACTTTGAAGCATGTCAACTTGTTCTGAACTACACTTCGTCGTCGTCAATAACAACTCCACATTCGCAAGCACACCGTGCAGCGGAGATCGCATCTCGTGGGACACAGAGCCCATGAAGTCAGTCTTCCGCTGGTCCATGTGCTGCGACTCGAATTTTCTCGCCTGCGCCACAATGCCTTTGCAGAAGACGGACATCGGCACAAGGTCGTTAATTCGGGTATAACATCGACTCCAATTATTCGCAACCCCAACCATCAAGGCCACAACGCGCTCGTGTAGTGGATCCCAGAGTGGCATCAGTAGAAGCTGTTGCACTTCAGGCATAGTATGAGCAAGTTCTCGGCCAAGATGTAGGCCGTCCGAATGCATATCCGTCCAGTCACTAGACATGACCTCGCCCTCTTCGTCCGTCATTCGGTAGAGCACCCGACCTTCCGGCCAAGCTTTGCACACCGCGAGGGCTGTTTCGTGAGATAGAGAAGGAAACGAAGCGTCGGGGTCCACTTGAGATTGAGCAAAGAAGGAAGGTACATCGCCACTCGCGGACCCGTGCTCAGTGCTCGTTCGGTGAACATGTAACGGGATCTCCTGCACCATCACAGCATCGAGCTCATAGCTCTCAAGCACGACTTCCACTGCTTTCTCATACATGCGTCGTATCAAGACATCTGTTTCGCCCGAGTCCAGGCGCTGCACTGATGGGCGCTCAACGGACTGATGTTCGGCAGGTTGTACTAGGTTTGCGGTATGGATCAAAGACCCTACAGCGGTATTAAACTTGGTCATTCGTCTCCACTCAAGTGCCTGAACTGCCTGCTCCAGCTGTCTTATAACTTGTTTCGTACTGTCCTGTAGGTATGACCGCTGCTTAGAAGTCAGACCAGATTTAGCAGCAGCGTGGCCAAACATGAACAAGGCGCCAACGGTATAGCCTTTATCCGTGACGATAGGTAAGCCAATGTATCTTTTGAATCGAGCAAGGTCACCATTGACGATAGGTAAAGATTTAGTGTACTGTTGTTGAGACAGGTCAAGTTCCTCGTACACTCCTCCGCCATTGATCTGCAGCGTCCGATGGCAAAGCTGTCCAGCGTGGAATATCGAATCGCAGCCAAACCATCTCGTCGATTCAATCGGTGCGCTCGCCTCCCAGTCCTCATCCGAGCGGCTTGCGCCAGAGATGAAGTACTGCCTCTCAGCATCAAGGAGACTGACGAAGGCAACATCGGCATCCACGCGATCCATCACACAACGCAAAATCGCAGTTAAGGAGTAATCGCCATCGTCAGACCGTGACGGCTCCTCCACTACCGCTCGCGACGAGCGCATATACGTCGCCAGCGATGGTTTGACCTGGCAAACACGACGGACCTCCCACAACCGCAGGCGGTCGCAGAAGTCGAATCCTGCATCATGTCCGAATACCAGACGGGCAGAGGTGCTCTCTGGCCAGCCAGGAGGATTCTCAGACTCCGTCATGAGGTCTATCGCGAGGTAAGGGTGCGCCGGAGGCAGTGCCGAGTACTGCTAGCTCCACTGGAACGCGGCTGCATGAGGAAGTCGTGACGTTGAAAACTTAGTAGCGAGTGAAGATCCGCTCCGAAATGCCTACACGGCTGCAGAATAGAGCGCACTCGTTCGACCGATGCATTTGATGTGTGAAGTGGCCAGAAGGAGTAATGTTGCAGAAGGAGTGCAGGTTTTATTTGATGTTGCGATGATGGAAGCGGTGCTGAGCCGGGATTGGCTCACCGATCGCCACGATTTAGCACGTGGCGGAAGAAATCTAGACCTCAGTTTTGATAGAAAGGATCGACACTGCACAAGTGACGCGATTGTAGGAATTGTGCCGGGATCTCAGCGCTCTATTATTGATGATAAAAGTGAAACATTTCTGGCAATGAATAGGAGTGCAGCAAGAAATATGACCATAGTTTGCTGTCTACAGTCTGTTCGCCACTTGTAGGACAGTCGTGCTCCGTCCTAGCATGATGGACGAATGCATTTGCTGTGCTCTGATCCATAGCTTGTAGTTTTTGTACGCCATCGTTCAAAACCGCAAATGCCTCTAATAATCATCACCCCGACTAATCACCTCCTTCACATTAGGTCGTAGTAAAATCGTATGCTCATACTGCGCTGTGTAACTGCCCTTGATATCACACAGCGGAGGATAATCCTGCAATATCCCACTCTGAACCAGATTATTCAAGCCAAGGAGATACTTGTCATGACCCAGACGATCCAGATATCGTCTACAAAATGGCAGAGTTCCGAAATTTTTCTCAATGCTTCGTAACAAGGTCTTCGCACTCGCGACCCGAAGCGCGACTTTCGGTGCGTCTGCGATCTTGGCGTAGTGTGAGGTTTCCATGTCGTCGCGGACGATACCTTTGCCGGTCGAGCCAAAGGTCTCGATGGCGTAGGTCTCGCCCTCTTCCATCTTCTCATTGCTACCTCCTTTGACAATGGGCACGCTCTTGCCAGCAGAGCCTCCGTGGATACTATACTGACTGATAGTGTGGCCATTCAAATTCCGGATGGCTTTGACCGGGTACGTCTGACCGTTGATCTCGACTTCGTAGCTTTCCATGGCTTCCTGTATGGCCCCGCCAATCTCGCCGAAGCGAGCATCAATGCCAGCTTCACGAATACCAGTGTTGGTTGCGTCCTTGACGGCTGCTAAGAGGTTGTCGTATTGTGGATCGAACGCCATTGTGAAAGCTGAATCAACAATGCGCCCATTGACGTGCACACCGAAGTCGACCTTCATGACATCCTCCTGCTTGAGCACCGTCTTGTTGCCAGCGTTTGGTGTGTAATGCGCGGCGCACTGATTTATGCTCAAGCCTGTGGGAAAGGCCACGCCGCCCAAGATATTATCGCCTTCTTCAAGACCCATGTGTCCGGTAAGATGCCTGGTCCCATCTTCGATCATCTCCGCGATCTCGGTCAAGGTCATGCCAGGCTTGATGTTTGCCTTCGCATACTTTCGTACTTCGCGATGCACTTCAGCAGCTTGTCGGTACTCCGTCAAAAAGTCCTCGTTCATGCGGTCCAAATGTCTCTTCTCCTCGGAGGTCGTTCGGAAAGCGTTGTTACCCTTGTACTCGACTTCCTCGCCTACAGGATATGAGCCATCTGGAAATAGTTGTGCGACTGGCGTTCGTGGTGGACCAGTCTGTGCTTTCGCTCCTCCTCCTAATGCACCACTCACGCCTGCCTTCTTCTTCTTCCGCGGCTTCCTCTTCTTCTTTTTCTTGGCTGCACCCTCACCTGTCTCATTTTGCTGAGCACCTTCGTCGGCCTCATCATCGTCCGAGTCGCCAGGTTCTAAGTCGCCAGAAGTGCCATTTGTAGATGTCGCGCCGTTGCTCTTGGGTGCCTTGCCTTCGCCGTTAAGGCTGAGACTGGCCACGTCGTTCTCGGGAGTGACCGCGGACATGGTCATAAATGTCAAGGACTCGATCAAGAACTTCTGCTGGTCTCGCGACACAAATATCTTGCCCCACTACTGCACGCGGCACGGAACAGCTGTTGCTTCCGACCCGGCGGCCGCTGGCGCCACTTCGCGTTGATCGCCTGCATGAAAGCGCGTTTCTGGTTCGAGCTCAGGCAATGTATAAACACTGACTCTATCTCGTTGTCTGTGTTCTGTGCTTTTCGTCATATCTTGTGACTCTTCCTAGCAATGGGAGGACCTCCGGGAGTAGGTATGATCAGCACAAGTGTGAGAGAGATGCATGCGCTGACAACGAGCCCAGTCACAAGTAGCGCCATTACCAGGAAATCTACCATTCCGATTAGTGTCGAAAACGATTGGATCTGGCGCATATGCATCGTAAGCAATAATGTACGTGACGAGATACATACAAGCTGATGCTGTCTGACAGAATACGAAAAGCTTGTCCACCGAACAGACCAACACCCATAATAGCAGTCAAATTCATCCATAAAGAGCATGCCTTCCGAGCAGGACGATTACGACCGAAACAGCTACAGATCGAAGTCTCGCTCCACAAATCCGTCAGCGGACACAAGAATATTATCAAGTTTCTATCCTACGGTGAAGATCCGGTGTGGCTATGGATGTGTCTAGAATTGGCAGACGGTGGAGACCTATTCGACAAGATCGAGGCGGATGAGGGATGCTCAGAAAATGTCGCACACCTATACTTTGTCCAACTGGTCAACGCCATAGGGTGGTGTCATAGCAAGGGTGTGGCGCACAGAGACATCAAGCCGGAGAACATGCTACTCAGCTCAGACGGCGACCTCAAGCTTGCAGATTTCGGGCTGGCGACACAGTTTGTGGTACCTGGCAAGCCAGATCGAAAACGATGTGGGATGGTGTGTGGGAGTCCGCCATACATTGCTCCCGAGATCTTGGCGGTTGGACAGAAGAACATGAAGAGGAAAGCCAGTGGTGAGGAGAAGGAGGGATATGATCCTGATGGCTCGGATGTGTGGTCTATTGCTATTGTGCTGTTTGTGCTGCTGGCTGGTAACACGCCTTGGGATGTACCGGAGATGCAGCAGTATGAGTATTACGACTATGTTAATTCTGGTGGGAGGCCAACTGATGAGCTTTGGACGAAGCTACCAACAGATGCGATGAGCTTGATAAGAGGAATGCTGAAGATCGAGCCGAAAGAGCGTTTTGCGCTCAATGATGTCCGAAAACACCCTTGGTATACACGACACAACCCAGAGATGACGGAAGATTTCACGGTAGCGAATCCAGTCAGTCTCGCAACACAGATGCTAGAGACGCTGCGAATCGACTTCGAAGCACAGATCACACCATCACAACAAAACAAACAAACCACATTAGCGACCGCCGACTCCATGGATGTCGACGCCAGTCTCCTAGACCCAGGCTGGTCCAAATTCGCCTCAACCCAACCCGACACGCCAAGCACAGATACAGCCTTCGACTGGGAAGCGCCAACCCGACACAACATCATTAGCGCCTCACAACCCACCATTAATACCACACACCCGCACGCCACAACAGTGACGGAAGAAGAGCTCCTGCGCGCCTTGGAGGAAGATCCCAGCATGTCACAATTTTCCCAAGTAGCCATCGGCTCCATGACCGCCACGCAACAAGCCCGACACTTTAATGACATCGTGCCCTCCCACTCCTTGGCGAGGTTCTACAGCCACTACACCATGGCGTCCCTCCTGCCGCTGCTCCTTTCAGCTTTGCATCGACTGAACATCCCCGTGCAGAGTCCTGCGACAGAGGCAATGGAGGGCAAGGAATACATGGTCTCTCTTCGTATCAAGACTTTGGACGCGCGACAGCAGGTCTTACAGGGTAGTGTAGTGGTGGAGAGGGTGCAGATGCATGGGCTCAATCAGATGGAAGTGCTCGAGGTGAGGTTCTTGAAGGCCAAGGGTGATCCGGTCGGATGGAGACGGTTGTTCAAGCAGGTTGCGATATTATGTCGGGATGCTATTCCTTCGCCTAGGAAAGCGCAGGAGTAAGTTGTGAGTATGTGTGACGATGAGATGCTTTGGATGGGTTATGCTTGGGGTACAGTACAGGATTGACGAGACGGTCGGCTTGCATGTTAGATACCATTAGCATTCAGATTTAGAGGTCGGAGGCCACACAGGACCATCGCTGCGTCCTCTTGTCGGATTGGCAAAGTCAGGGACTCCAAATCCACGTTCCCAGGTGAAGACCAGTCGAGGTCGTCTTGAGTGTATCCAAACAACACTTTATTGTGGAGATGGCGTATAAGTACCTCGTACCCTTGACGCCTGTCAAAATGAACAACCGAGTAAGCTTCGAACTAGTGCCGCATTAGGACAAAGCTGAGGCGCAGCCGCAAAACGGTTGGAGCCGAGCAGTAGTCGCGCGTTGCGCCTTTCTGAGTCTTGACCGACCGACGCTCCTTACGACTTCAGAGACAATAATCGCGACTGCCAGGACTCTTGGACGACACAATACGTGCCTGCCTTTGATCGAAGCCCCGAACGGATGTGACCACACTCGCCTCACCCCACCAAGTCGCCCTTCCTCGTTACCTCCGCGTCCACTCCTCTCGGACATCTTCAGCACAGTCCACGGCCATGGCTACGGGGATGCCCTCCTCGTCCTCCTCTAGCAGCAATGTGGTCGGTGTGCACTATCGGGTAGGGAAGAAGATTGGCGAGGGCAGTTTCGGCGTTATTTTCGAAGGGACCAATCTCCTCAACAACACGCAGGTCGCCATCAAGTTTGAGCCTCGCAAGAGTGACGCTCCCCAGCTGCGTGATGAGTATAGGACGTACAAGGTCCTTGTTGGGTGTCGTAAGTATCTCCCACTCACCGGACTACCTAACAGCTTACTCGCTGACGTGCACGTGCTATAGCTGGGATCCCTAATGTCTATTACTTCGGGCAAGAAGGCCTCCACAATATCTTGGTTATCGACTTGCTTGGGAACAGCCTCGAAGACCTCTTCGACCTCTGCGGCCGCCGCTTCAGCCTCAAGACAACATGCATGATCGCCAAGCAGATGCTCTCGCGCGTGCAGACCATCCACGAGAAGAACCTCATCTACCGCGACATCAAGCCAGACAATTTCCTCGCCGGCCGGCCGAACACAAAAGCACAAAACGTCATCCATGTCGTCGATTTCGGCATGGCCAAGCAATACCGTGATCCGAAGACGAAACAACACATCCCATATCGTGAACGCAAGAGTCTGAGCGGCACAGCTCGATACATGTCCATCAACACCCATCTTGGTCGTGAACAGTCACGTCGAGACGATCTCGAAGCTCTTGGCCATGTGTTCATGTACTTTCTGCGCGGCGGTCTACCATGGCAGGGTCTCAAGGCGGCCACCAACAAGCAGAAGTATGAGAAGATCGGCGAGAAGAAACAAACCACCACCCTCCGAGACCTTTGCGAAGGCTTCCCGGAGGAACTCATCAAATACCTTTCCTACGTCCGCAACTTAGGCTTCGAAGACACGCCAGACTACGATATGCTTCGAGACCTCTTCACCCGCATGATCCAGAACGCCGGCGAGATCGAAGATGGCGAGTACGACTGGATGAAGCTCAACAACGGCCGTGGCCTAGAAGCCGCTCGCCCATCGCACTCGCACGGCGCCCATCGTGAAGCCGCCAACGCATCCGCCGCCGATCTAAGAGGGGCCGCCGCACCCCAGAGAACCTCCCGTACGCCCGTCCCACAAGATCGCCTCAACGCAGACCTCCCCAGGCCCGGCGCTGCACGCCAAGGCCAAAACAGAGCCTCCGCACAGCAACAAAGGCGTAGTACGGCTATGGATAACACTAGCACGGCCCCCCAGTACAGTACACCGAACTTGAACACATCCCCAGCCGCTCCACGCCCAGCCGAACAGCCGGCGGACGCCGCGAGACATCAGCCAGCGGTTGCCCCGGCCGAGAACAAGCCGTCGATGGGAAACAAGATACTGAAGTTGCTTTGTTGTGGATAGAATAGGTCATATGAGTGCGGGGGTTTTGTTTGAGCGAAGGCATTTCTACTTTTATTACTGTATTTTAAGCAACGGCGCAATAGGCGTCTCTAATTTGTGAATGGGTCTTTTGGTATGAATTGGTCTGTTACAACATCTACTTGCCTTTGTCATGCTCTGAAGATCTTTTGACACGGATACGGGCTCACAAGGTGCCCCAAATATCCACGAAAGCTGCCGTGGATGCTCAAGACGTCGACATGCTATCGCTGGCTTCGCTGACGGCCTCTAGGACGTATTTCCGGGTCCTGGACCCACTGGAAACCACCTCGCGCCCCGCACTAATGACTAGCATCAATTGATGAGGGCAAGAAGATGTTCGAGGCGAAAGAATAAACGAAAGACGGTGCTGTCGAATGACTCAGGAACAGATGGTTACGATGACTGTCAGGCCTTTACTTTCAAGTGTCCAATGCGCGGCTTGAGTCATGCAATGGTGCTTCCGCATTTGGTGTCTCCGAGGCTTGCATCGACGAGGTATCTGCTCGTTGACTCACAGCCCTCAATTTAACGCCGCTGCTTCTTTGGCCTGCTCTCGCTTCTCAGCGCCCTTCTCCACCATGCCTGGATTATGCAGCAGGCCTCCAGTCTTCTCCATGAGCTTGCCCATCGTCGAGTCTGGCGGACCACTCTTGCCAGCATTAGCATTAGTATGCTTGTTGCCAAAGCTGTGCTATGTCAGCATTTCTCTAGTACCTACGCGAGACGCCCCTTACCCTGCGCCACCGGTGCTTCCGGAGCCATATTTTGTAGCGCCAGAATACGGTTCTGTATGGTTGGTCCCGAAGCGAGTATCGGATGTGTCTACCTCGCTGCTGTCTGGGGCGGACTTGTTGCCGTAGCCTACGCCGCTCGTGGTTCCGGAGCCGTATTCTGTTGCCCCGGAGTAGGGGTCTGCGTTGGTGTGCTTGCCGAAACGGGTGTCGGATGAGTCGACTTCGGCTTCAGGGTTCGACTTGTTGCCATAGCCAGCACCGCCTGTCGTGCCTGAGCCGAGGGCGGTATCGTGGGATTTGAGCATTCTTTCGGTCTGACTAGGGTCAAGGGTCGAGTAATGCAAAGTGTATGGGCTTGGTGATTTCCAAGGACATTTGCGAGAGCATGTACTTATAGCAGTAATACATAGTTACCTTGCCTAGCATCGAGTGGGGGGCACGCATCATCGTGAGATCGAATCTGTGGCCGACAACATCGTCGTTGGTGTCCTTGAGATGATCGAAGTAGGTACGGAATGTTGCTGATAAGACAATGCTTGGCTGGCCAATGAGCGTAGACGGGTTCCTGGACTTCGTTACCAAGACCGCGTTCATGCGGGGAGAGTAGACATGGCTTGTATGAGTGCGGTAGCTATCGACATATATCGCATATCGTCTGGAAAGTGTTCTGTCGATCTTGATAGAGCCTCCATCCAAGCTCGTTAGTGGGCTGGTGCTGTCATCGGTGCCCTCGAGCTCGCTCTGCGGATGATCCCGCGTCTGGAAGAAATCGCGGTGTCTGTATCGAATTTCTGATGGATGCGTGAGTAGGGCGCCCTATCGTCGACCTTGGTCAATTCACATACTCAGCCGTTCGCAAATAAAAGAGGCTTGTCCGGAGCTGGGCAGCTCGGATCGGTCAACACCAGCAGCCAGCACATATGCGCCCACTCCGCACTGTCCTGCGCTGTGCCACATACAGATTACCAGGCCAGTTCTACAAGCATCAGCTTGCTTCTGTCCGATTGGGAAAACCCTATCATTCTGCGATCATGGAATACTCCCGCCTCAGACTACTTCGAGACATAACCTGGTGCCATTCTCCCACCTTGTCGAAGTGTGCGCCTCATTCGCTCAATCAGTGCCATGACCCCCGTCAAGGCACGCAGCTCAGAGTTCGATCCAAGCGGCACACAGAACTTCAGCTTTCCTTTCAGCGTGCCAGGAATACCCAGATCATGCTCCGTGTACACTCCAATTACAGTATCATCGTTTTCGTCCACAAGCTTGAAGTCTCGTATTGAGAATTTAGAGGCGCCGAGCTTCCCAGAGTGCGTCTTCGTGAAGTGCACGTTACGCTTCCGGCTTCCAGTAACGCTCGTATCGGCTGGGAGTTCAAAGCGGTAGAAGTCGTGATGGAAGATGATGCCTTCTTGCATAAAGCGGATCGTGTCCCAGTCTTGTTTGCCCGGACGTTTCAGGCGGCCTAGGTATACTTCAAGATTCTTCTGGAACGGTGTGAATTTCACCATAGATAATTGTGGCCCATGGTAGTCATACCCACCGTAGATGATCAGGTCCGCGTGATCTGCGACCTCGTAATGTCGGATATAATACAGCTGGTGTTGACTATTCGTAACGTTAAGACCAGTATGACTGGTGTAGATTTCGAAAGTATGGACCTGCTGATCTATGGCGTTGCTGGAAGCTGTTGCCGTGCCTGATGGACTGTTCGGATCTGTCGCAGTATATGCTGGTGGCCTTTCGAGTTCGGTCGTGGCCTCTTTGGTGGCCATTCCTATTGAGGTACCCCGAATGTGCAATGGAAGATATGAGAAAGTGCCTGCATTGTTCTTGGGCATTCTCCATCATATAGTGCGGAAGCAAAGTGAAGGTTTCAGGTTGGAATAGCTGCGAATCCTTCAGTGCTGCGCCTTAGACGTTATTAGTATGCGACTAGATCACAAGACACACGAAGTAGCCGAGTTCCCATTGCTGGGCACGGCACGGTGATATCGCGCATCCTTTTATTCCAGCTTGCAATACTTGAGATGGCTCGATCAAGTCATACGGGTCATGATGTGCCGTGCAACCAATGTCCGTTGCGTCGGGTTCCAGATTTTGACCGGCAGGCATATCGTGATTGGGTGCATATGTTCATCAATCAGCCGGACAGCTCGCCTCCATCAGTAGTGGTCAAGATTCTCTGTCTTCTACAGCCTGCTCTTCTGCTCTCAACCCTTAGTAACACGGGCCGATTGATGTCTTGGGCACAATTTTGTGTTGGAGAAAGAAGAGCACCAGACGAAGCGACGAAGCCGTGCCGCACATTTTGCCGGCGAGCCTGCGCGACAGCCACACCTTGCCAAAACCGTTGGCCATCAGGCGGTGGTCTCAAGCTCCCTGCAGCATAGCTTGAGGACGCCAGCTCATGACCAATGCAAGATGGATCTAGATATCGACGACCAGCAGAGCGAAGTAGACTCCCAGAGCATATCAGTGGAATCACGTCGATCTGCCTGACACTCGCCATCATAGTGGGACGACGACTCGGCAATAGGCATGTCTGAACGACGGTCAGATATTTGGCCCAGGACCTATTGCAAGGCGATCTCGCTGACCAAGCCAAACATATACAGATCCATCACCACATCTTTGGCACCCTCAGTACTAGATTATCGTCACGAGAACGGTCGTCGATACCATGCTTTTCGTGACGGGTGCAAGTATCTCGTTGCCAGCGACCTGACGTACATGGCTTACACATAGCAATAGCTTATTTAGTGCCAAACGACGATGTGAGTGGAAGGTTGAAGCCGGGGCATATGTTCCGAATCTGACCTGATGCTCAGGACGAATTACAACGGCTAGGTATGCATCCGATTATGATGGCTTCAAAATCTCTACTTACGAGATATAGACCTTCAGCACAACCAATGGCGCCTGACACTGGATGGACAGTTGTACATCGCGCCACTGCCCAAGCCTATCCCAGCACCGTTCGAAGTACTTGACATAGGCACTGGAACTGGTATGTGGGCAATCGAGTTTGCAGACGAAAATCCTCAATCCACTGTTACGGGCGTGGTCTTTCACCTGTCCAACCTACCTTCGTCCCGCCGAATTGTTCTTTCTTAGTCGATGATATTGAGTATGACTGGCTCTTCGACGAACAATTCGACTACATACACGGTCGCTTCTTAAGCAGGGGCATCCGTGACTGGAGTCGAGTGTTCCAGCAAAGCTATAATGCCATGAAGCCCGGTGCTTGGTTCGAGGCGCAGGAGGCTGAGTTGATATTCACCCCCGACGCGAATACTCCTAAGCCTAATCCTGAGATGCAAGCGTTGAGTGATGACGTTATAGAAGCGGCTGGTAAGGTCGGTGTTGATATTAGGCAAGCTCATGGCTGGCAGCAATCTATCGAGGATGTCGGCTTCATTAATCACAAGATGGTGCATCTGCGTTGGCCACTTGGGCAGTGGCATCAAGACCCCAAATGGAAGGCTGTCGGACGCATGAATCAGCTGAATATGCTCAATGGCATTGAAGGGTTGACTCTGGCATACCTCGTGAGGCTGCGAGGCGATGATCCCGAAGCTGTAAGGCAGCGGCTCGAAAGAGTGAGAGCTGAGATGCGGGACAAGGATGTCTGGCAGTTCATGGACTTGTAAGATGACTCCATGATTTGTGGAACGATCTTGGTGACATGCTAACACAAATTAGATACATACACATTGCCCAGAATCCACATTGACATGCCAAAAATTGATACCCGAGCGTTCACAGCTTCTGTGCATGGGAATCAGTTCCTATATGAATAGCTTTAGTTGGAGGTGTAAGCAACAGCTGTCTGAGCGATCAGATTTGAAGGCTCAACACTTGAAAAAGACAATCATATGATCGTACATATCGTGATTCGTTATTTACATCCACCCTATCGTACTAAACTCCACCCCTCGAGACCAAATTTCGTAACCTCATGATCGTCCAGTAACGTAGGCCAAGTATCACACTATGATACCATAGCCGCCGCAATGATACAGTCCATGGCGGAGCTCTGAGCTGGCGCAGAAGTAGCATATACCGGACCTTGGTAATCTGGTCCGAGCTGCCCATCACTGTTCCTGTCGTTCTGCCAGATCGAGTCTGCACTCTTGGTCAAGATGTCGACATACGAGCTGTCGCCTCGAGCAGCCTGCAAGGTCGCGAGGTTTCTCGCGAGAACACCTTTGAATTGGTCCGCGTCATTGTCATTTGTAGGATAAGAACCGGTCTCGGTCATGATGCCGTTGCCGTCTACAAGGGTCTTGACGGCACCCTGAGCGACTTTCGTTGCTGGATCGAGCCAAGAGGAGTTTCCGGTCGCTTGAGAGAGTTCCACGAGGCCACCGAGGATGACACCTTGGTTGTAAGTCCAGACTGTGCCTTCAACCTCGCAGTTGTTTGTGACACTGAAGCCATCGTGGAAAGTGTTGTTCTCGCTTAGAAGCTTCGTCCCGAGGAACCAGTTAGCCTGGTCGACGGCATGGTCTTGATAGTAAGACTTCTGGCTGGGTACACGATTGGCCAAGTGTGCAGCTATGGACAAGAAGAGCTCGTTGTTGATTGAGTTGTCTTGAGTGTGCGGTTTGTCCCACCACTCGCCACCACAGGAAGCAGTGAAGCCAGTCAACAAATCCTCGAAGATTGATTGCGCGGTCGAAAGATATTTGCCATCGTTCGTGATGTCGTAGACCTTGATCCAAGCGAGCGCCCACCAGCCCTCATCATCGTAGTAGTCGTTCAGCCAGTCACCACCATTAGATCCAGGTGCGTTCGTGTAGGTCGACTCGAAGGTAGTGACTGCGTCGTTCTTGAAGTCTGGGTTGACAGAGACAAGGTCGGCCAAAGTTGTGATCGCATTGGCGCTGTTCCACCACAGATTTTGGAAGCGGCCCGTGGATGCATTATACCAGTCGTTCATAAGTACATCTTTTGCATTCATAGCATTGTTGATATAAACTTGTCGGGACGTTTGTCGAGTTGCTAGCGGGGCTGCGGTAGTTCTGGTTGACAGTGCGAGCAGAGCCACCAGGGCTGTGGATAAGGGAAGCATGATTGTGCTGAACTGTGAGGATAGAAAGACCACTGGCTCGAGGGAGAGGATATGATGAGGCTCAGTCTTGTTCAAGAAGATCTTGTACGTGCTCGAGGTGAGAAGAGTGGAAGATGGGAGCCGACTCATATACCTACTCACCAACATACTTTTCAGTCCACAATCCGTCGTAGTGACTACTCCAACCTGCAAGCATGGCACTATGACGACAGCAAACACCTCCAGCAAAGCCAAGAGCATCACGTCCAAAGCGTGCGTTGTCCGGATGTGAGAATGAGGCAGTGTAGATCCTGACGGCTATGCGATGATCGTGCCGTAGTATGTATAGGTTAGATGCATGACCTGCAGACAGCATATGCGGCCTTGTAGGTGCATGAGTGGTAGGCGGCGTAGACGGCTTCTCGGCATGGCTTCAGTCAGCCGGGAACTTGGTGGTTGTGGTAGACGGCGTTCCGCTGGTCATCGTAGCGCGCCAGGCTGTGTTGCCATACTGTATCGTGGCCGCAAATTGTGTCTAGCGGCTGCGTCCTAGAAATCCGGTTGGAGTCGAAGGCTAAGCACCACTGATATCAGTGGCATGAGACCACCTCATCCTTCTGCATCCTCCAACTGAGCCACGCGGAAGGATGAGGTGCCCCAGTCGTGGCGTCCTGGCTGCATTAGTAGAATCCGTAAGTCCGTCTTCTGATGGAATTGTTGGTACGCAGATCAAGTTCGGGGTGGGACCTGTCTGGCATCGACCTGTGGGTGTGTGTGTACAGTCGAAGGTAGGTCTCATGATCTGGGACAAAGTTGAACCTAGAGCGTGCTTTTGCCTGTGACGGCGAGATCCTCGCGGGCTAGCAGACAAGCTTACCACATGACAACTTAAGGTAGCAGGATATGGTACGACGCGTAGTGGAGAGTGATCGGGTGCGGTTGTCCGTTGCTCTTGGCCTGCTGAAGCAAGAAGCAAAGACGCTGGGACGGGACAAATTGATATGCCGGAGATTTAATCGGGTGGCGCCGTCTGCCGAGAAGGTGGGGGCCAGAGATCCAACACCTTGGGATTGAGGCGCAGGAATCAGAGACATATATGCTACATTCATCCTGCGAATGCATTGGCAGTGCTTCCCAGCCCCTCTGAGCATCATGGCATCATCTCGCATGCTATCCGCATATTTGAGTCGACCAGCGAGACAACTACCACAATTGTGCAGCTACCGAATAAGGGAGAATCGTTCCCACATACATCACACTAATGTGGTACGAACGCGAGTTCGCATGACACAAAATTTCGGCTCCACAGCATTGGAGACACAATGTCGACATGGTCTTTTGAGGCCGGAAGTTGTATGATACTGTTGCGGACCACAGGATAGGGACTGCTGTTGGATCATCGGCACGAGTCGCAGCTCGAATCTCTGGTTGACTAGGACGTCATTTCCCGCAGCTCCATGTCTTCACGAGAGCTAGTACCGCTTTCTGCACGCTATATCCGGCCGTGGTGGCACTGTATGCTGAGCAAGGCTACGCTGCTCCGACGCACTGTAGTGTTCAGCCAAGATTCGACAAGTCCAACCGATCTTGTCGCCCACATGCCGACCACACTGAAGGCTGAAGGCGGGTAGACAAACACCGTACCCTCCAGAACATGCATGCGACTTCGATCGCATAGTGTACACCACGTAGATGTTACCGGCTTCCCGACTCTCGAGGCATCCCACGCCGCATAATCTTGAGATCTAGTGAGAAGCATTTGCACGCCAGGTCTGAAGCAGCGCTGGAGCTTAAGATGAAGACCCTGTTGATGCAATTTGGCTTGCTCCTTATCCTGCTTTGCACGAAGGACTATATCCCAAAGCGAAGACCAGTTCGTGGTTGCTGAACCTCAGTGCGACTTTGGCTCTCGGTAGCTATCCACATGATCGCCATTACACCAAACCAATATCCTGGAAGACCAGCCCGCTACCTCTCAGCGCTTCACCGTGCATGTAGCCATGCATATATGTCTCCCCAATCAGTCGATATTGGTCAACATCGATGGGTCGGAGTATGAAAGGTATAGTGGCTCCGACGAGAAAAGCAACCACGTCGCCACCCTGCAGACGCTCTGCGCCGTGTCCAAGCGCGCCATCCGAGGTGCGGAATATCCTTCGCTTGGAGCGGGCCACTTGATATAGCCTTGGAAAAACTTCAGCTCGTGCAATGGACTCCTCGGCATCCGTGATTTGCTCAACTCCATGCTCGCTGTCACGGGCGGCCCTCGTAACATCCTGCACACCGGGTATCGTCATTTCTGCGTCCTTGGAGAGCGTATCAAGCTCTGGCCAGTCTGGGGATCTGGATGAGCTCCCAGCTAAGAGCTCTTCGTCGTCTTGTGTATCGAAATTACCAAGAATCTGTGCCAGAAAAAAGTCGTGAAAGATTCGGCTCAAGTCTGGAGCAGGATGGACATCGTCCTGACAATCGCAGATCATCGTCCGCCATAGTACCTCTGCTCGCTTCTGGCCATTGGCATGAACCGTCGACACGCTCGCCGCGAGTTTCACGTATAGCAAAGGTCGTAGGTTGAAGTAAGCATCAGGTCTGTCAGGAATATTTTCTGCCATGGTCTGCCAGATTGTGCCCCTCACCATTAACATCCGATCCGCTGCGATGGCTCTAAAAAGCTCGCTGCAGCCTGCCATCGCGTTATATGTCGGCTTGATCAACAGGCTCTTACCGTTGTCCCCTAGATTCATAGACCCCATTATGACACTCGAGAAGTCCGGAACCCACGAAGGTAATTCGTGCATGGTACGACTCTTCCACGGCTCGATGTGGCTAAGTATAGCCGAGGATCTCGTATGCTCGATGATCGTACGTGTCGCTTCCACGAAGGTCTTCACGGGAGGGCTGCCATAATCGGGCTTGATGTAATGATGTCGGCGTTTCTCACAAGCAAGAAGTTGAGCGGCCACCGCCAAGGGCGCGAAGATCTTGTCTACAGATCTTGCAGCTCTTGCACCTCGGAAGAAGAGTACAAGACTCGCGAGCATAGTGTAGAACCGCTCTTTATCTGGCGTGTCGATGTGGCCATCGGGGCACGACGTCAGGCCTCTGGAGTACTGTTCTACGCATGCATCCCGTAATTTATCATATGCCATCGGAATGCCACCTACAGCCTGTGTGTCGGTGGTCTGCTTGAGTTCGTATATTCTCGATTCATTTTCGAACGTGATGACCGTCTGTGGCGCAAGTGAGAGGTTCTTCACCTTTTGCATGGCCAGATAGAGTCCGCTTCTAAACAGGAAATGGGACAGAGCGCTGAAGTATAGCCAGTTCAATGCTAGTCCACCACAAGCGACTGCGAAATCTTTGCCTAGAACAAGTTCTTGGATCGTCCACGCTCGCTCAAACCAGCTTCGATTGAAGAATTGCACGATGCTATCGGTTTGCTTATCTCCCCATCGTGGCACCCCCACAATCGTCCAAAAGGCCGCCTCCTCACCAAGAGTCACGATCTGCGAAACCGAGAGCCTCCCTTCATCACAAGCCTGTAACCAAGCCGGTACAAAAGTCTCCATGATCTCGTAGACGACCTCAGCGGCAGCATCCTGCTCTCCGAGCCAAACATAAGTCCCAGCAGCCTTGGCATAAATCGTGCCCATCCTTGCCACTTGAGTAGCTTTCTCCTTGTCATCTGCTTGATCAATACATACCTGATCAGCCCACATTCAGCTGCCGTCTGGCGTCGTCATGCGTCTCAGGACCAGAAACAGATTCTCCGAGGCATGATGGATTTGGCCGTTCACGATGATATGGTAGTCGTACTCCTCGCCAATGTTGTTATCAGGCTTTGCCGTTGCTTCGTAGGGAGACCCCCATGTATAGGAGAGCGTGGTATATAGTGGCGCCTCATCGATGTGGAAAGTGCGGAGTGTATATTCGAAAAGTCGATGATCTTCCTTCTCGTGTTTCTGCAGCAAGCGGATGTGATTCGGACTCGGTAGCTCGTCGTATTGTAGATCTTGCCATTGTGTAGGCTTGTACGACAATGCCCACTTGCGTTCTCGCTCGTTGCCGCCATCTTTAGAGGGCGTCCCACCGAGTCCGAGTCGTGATCGCGAACACAAAGCAGGTATCACGATGAAATCTGGCATTTCTTGGCTGCCTTCATCCATGAATTGCGCTTGCAAGTCAAGCAAACGCTTCAATAATCCTGCATGGCCAGAATATAATCGACTCAAATATCAACAAGGCTGGTGGCTGCTTACGTGGGGCAGCTTTCCGGAGCTCTCGAAGACGCTACTAAGGAAGATGGCACCACGATCTGCGTTATGCGAAGAAGAGCCCCATGATATACCCAAATGCTTCAATGACCACTGCAATACCGTTTTTGGACAGTAGCGCACTTGACTCTCTCCGATAATTATTGAACGGGAGCACCCGGGCCAACATGCTAGCTTTCGGTACAAAAACTCAGTCGAGCATATGCTCATGAAGCGAGCAAGCGGACACCCAGACGTAGAACTCACTTGCCAAACTTTGTACTTGATGCAGATGCGATTATGTTCCTTAGTGGTTGCAGGAGAAGGGTTTGCCGCCTTCACCACCAGCTATGATTTCCATGAGCGATCCGTATGTTCCCACAATACACTGGAGGGCTATCATTAGTATATTCCCAGCGCCTCAATAGCCTCTCATGCTGTGCAAGTAGAATCAGTTGTATCCCAGGATTCAATGATACCATATCGATCCACGGAAACTTAATCAAGAGTAGGAACAGGTAGGAACTTACACAACCAGCGCAAACCAGGAGAATGCCCACATTCACTGCCGTCAAAACCACTTTCTTCCACTTCTCCAAATGTCTTCCCACGTTGAGACCCAGCCACAACATCGAGCAGAAACCCAGCGCAAACCAAGTTCCAAAAAGTGCTCCGATCAGTCCAAGTAGTTGTCCAAAGATTGGTATCACATTCGCCACAATCCACGCCAAGACCCACAAACACACCAGGATCCCGATCCAGCTCCCCCAGGCTCGAAAAGTATTCTCAGTCGTAACGTGAAGTCGTCGTCGCCAGGTGAAGCTGTAGAGATTCTTGCCAAGCACAACAGCCATGATGACGCCAGCGACGACAATGGTCGGCAAAGCGAAACCATAAGCTACCTTTCTCACTAGTGGCTCTGCTGATCCCAGGGCTGGCGCCGTGACTCCTTGACCTGCGTAGATGTACATGACGACTGCCACGATAGTGTAGAAAGTTACTGCTACGCTTTCAAGGAAGATGAGTGCTTTTGGGAAATCCTGAGGTCGTATCATTTCCGTGATGATGGTTGGGTATGCTATATGGCCATTGAACGCCAGGATGATGCTACTGCTGGCCATCGCGGCGGATTTGAAGCTGGTGAGGTTGTATGGGAGGATGGCGTAAGCTGGTCCGAAATGAGAAGAGGCGACTGGATTTGTGCGAGCGATAGAGATTAGAGCGATGGTTGTCGCGATTGTTATCGAGCAGCAGGCTAATGAGCATGTGTTAGTGAGAGCACTTGAATTCGTCGTCCGTGATGGATCTCTGACAAGTTTGTACGTACAGAGCGCCGAATGGTACGAGTTCCCTTTCATCGTCCTCGGTAGTGACACGATGAAGCAAGTGAAAGCTCCAATAGCCATAGAAAGCACTTTGCAGATGCCTCTGTTCGTCAGCTCAGCCATTGCACTCCCGAACAGCACGACGTGCGCCGCCATGACAAAAAGTAACATCAGCGATTGAGATACTTCGCCAACCCACCGACCCCATCGTCCAAAGATCATTTCCAAACCGTGAGCCAAGGTCCTCATATCGGGGTGCGCTTGCTTGAACTGCCAGACGACGAACCCGGTATAGGTCGCCATCAGGCCGAAGGACCAGATGAGGATTACTCCGGGGATTATGCCGAGAGCGGCAAGACAGCGTGGAAGTCCTAGGACACCTAGAGATATAGTCTCGGCTATCATTACTGTGGAATGAGTTAGTGAGGGTGTGGTTATAATGGCCTCCATCGGTTGCACAAAAATTTGAGCAGAGATGTCGGCCCTCGAGGTGACGTTAATGAGATCGCTAGAGAAGTACCGACTTACTCATGGCAGCTTTGAACCAATGTAGATTGTTATCCTCGACACCAACATTGCTGTCATCTTGTGCTTCGACATGTCCGACATGATTGCTTTGGACGTTCACTAAAGCGGTTTTCTCGCGTAGTGGAGGTGAAGATGTTTTGGTGAGATCTGTGGTCGTGCCACTGACGCTCCCGTAAGTGTTGCTTGCCTGGTGGGCTTCGGATGATGAGGTTTTCGACAGCATGGATGCAGCTTGCGGGAGCGATGTCGACTCCAGAGTACTCGGATAGGATGTCATGACTGCATCGGGTTGGCTTCCATTTTGTTCTGTTCTGGCTGACCGGTGGTTGATTACGTCGAAATGGTTAGGATCAGACATGTTCCCTCCGATGCTGCTGTGCAAAGATGAGGAAGCAAAGAGCTGCATAGTAGTACGAAGAGAGAAGAGTGGGAAGGGGCTACCGGATCACATCACGCGACAGCTGAGAGATTGACATCACATTATCGATGGTGATATCTCGTCTCCATCTGACAGCGAACCAGCCAAGGAGCAGATGTCAGCTGGTCGAACTCAGGCAGCGTCATCTCGAGTGGATGCCGACATTTGAGCATGTTGTCGAGGGCGTCCTTGGTGTCATATACATTGGAGTTCATGAGTACATAGCCAGCTGCGACTTCTGAGACATTGCGGTCAAGGCGTCCATCGCAAGGTAGCTCGTCGACCGGTATCAGATCCTCGCCATGAGCCGCCATCGTCCGCTCGGACTGCGACAGGACCACCGGTTGTGAAGAGCAGGAGAGGTAAGCAGAAGGTCCAGCGGACTGGAATAGTGGCAGGGAGGGTGCCACCACGATTGGTGTCGGTCCAATCACACACAATGGTCATTCATTGTCTTCTGTTGCACTAATCATCCCGCATTCAGAATGATACGAGAGAGAGGAAGTACTCGAAAGCAAGACGATAATAATAATAATGTCCATGGGGGATGGCTAACAGGGAGTGCCCTGCCGACTGCCGCTACTGCAGGGTGATGTCGCGCAGAGGAGCGTGCTTTTCTGGGGAGAGCTCGAGGTTGCGATGCGATGGCTGGCGAACTTGACCGCACCTGCTGGACAACCCTTTTTTTCTCCTTGTCGCACAACTCTCGCCCTTCACTCTTCACGTCTCGTATCAGACACTCTCACACTCGCTCCACGTCCCATCACCGCCGAAGCAAGGTGAACGCGACAAAATGGTCGAGCTACGCAAGGTAAGCTCTCAACCCCCCATTGCGCCGCGCGATCGCGTACACGAAGGCTCACTAACATCCCTTACTGTAGCGTCCGGCTCCTCCAGCGCCGGCAGCAGCTCTACCAAAATCGAAGAAAGGCACGACCAGCAAGACGAAAGCCGCCCCAGCCAAGGGCAAGAAAGACGACGCGCAGAAAGAGACGAAACCTCCTCCTTCAAATCCATCTGATGATCCCACGGGAGGCATCCCGGAGGGAGCAGGAGGCGTGAGCGCGACGGCTGAAGTCACGAGTGCTGAAGTTGCGAAGGAGGTCGCGGCTGAGGTTGAGGCCGAGGCTGTCAAGGGGAAGGGGAAGGGTAAGAAGGCGGCTGCTGCGCCGAAGGCCAAGAGTGGGCCCCCTGAGGTTGGGGAGACTGTGGAGTTGGAGGGGTTTGGAGGCGAGGTGGAGACGAATGAGGGGGAGAAGACGACGTTGGCTAAATTGGTGGAGGAGAGTAAGGCTGGGGTTGTCCTGTTTACGTGAGTGCTGTGTCCCACGACGAACCTGTGTGGCAGAGGAAGCTGATTTGGCATTACCAGATATCCCAAGGCGAGCACACCTGGCTGTAAGTTATTGTCTTGACCACATACTCGTACACACTACTAATTTTAGACAGGCACGACCCAAGTCTGCCTCTTTCGCGACTCCTACACGCCTCTCACAGGCACTGGCCTCAGCATATACGGCCTCAGCACCGACAGCCCAAAAGCCAACACGACCTTCAAGACCAAGCAAAACCTTCCGTACCCGCTTCTCTGCGACCCATCCGCTACTCTCATCCAAGCCATTGGTTTCAAGAAAGCACCAAAGGGCACGACCCGAGGCGTCTTCGTCATCGACAAAAACGGTAAAGTTCTCGCCGCTGAAGCTGGTGGCCCAGCACCTACTGTCGAGGTTGTTAAGGGTATCGTGGAAAGTATGGGTGGTGATGCCGACGCGAAGGGATTGAAGAAGGCTGAGGAGCGAGCTGCGGGTGCTAAAGGTGAAGAGGTTGAGGGTGAGTCGGTTGCAGCTGTGGCGGCGGAAGTTGCTGACAGTGCTGCCAAGGTTGATGCGTCGGCGAAGCTTTGAGGGAGGGGAGGGACTGTGATGTGGTTGAATTGACGACGATGCATGAGCATGAGCACGAGCATGATTCGCATGCATGAGTGTGGGGTTTTATAAAGGCGGCATAGTGTACAGCTAAGCATATGCATATGAGCAAACGCACTTTAAGACCCAAGAAGATCTTTTTCTCACACATCTACAGACGCGTCCTGCCTTCCATCTATGCGTATGATATCTTACCGGCGGCCTGCATGACGCATGTAGTATGCAGCAGCAAACGAAGAGACATTTGCTTCTGACGTAGACATCACATCCTGTGGACCTCGCACGTGAAAGGCACTACTTGTGGTACGGTAGTACTACCTGCGACCTTCACACTTTCCTCCGCATTCATGAGTTGCGCTTTCGCATCTTTGGCAGCATCTATCGCGTCGCCTTGCACTGCATGATGGACACCAAAACGACCGACGCCACCGCACAAGCAGAGGCAAAAGAGCACTTCGCACGAATTAACAGGCCACGAAACACAAATCGCCGTTCTTCACTCCTGAATATAGAACCTACCAATGCACACTCCACGACACACCCTTCCCGGGACGACCTAGCAGTACAGACCCCAGGCTTCAAGCCCGTGATCGAAGGTCAACGTAGTCTGGTTCGTACCTGCCCGCATGGCAAGTCGAGTTTCAAGGGGAAGGTGCGATTGAAGGAAACTAATTATCATTTACGATGTGAATGTAAGAAGGCGCAATTTGATGGGCCCGCTCCGAAGGTTGGAGGAGAGCATTATATACTCAAGACGATCGATCGACTGTGTGCTGATCTCATGGAGCCTGAGGAGGAAGCGGGTGGAGTGGCGCTCGAAAGTGGCTATGGGGACGTACAGGCCACCAAGGCACAAGACGCTGCGCTGAGCTACGATTTGAGAACATGGATTCACCGTATCTCTGAGACCGACAAGCAGCAAGACCTACGCGACTGGACGTACCTCGACACCGACCTTCGCTTCACACCCTCCCATCTGTGCCAGGCAATCGTCTACGCTATCTCCCTGCTCCACGGCCTGCACGCCGAGATCCCTCACCTCCTGTCCTATGCCGAGCGCTATAACATCTTCATCCCTGACCTCTCCGACCAACCAGAACCCTCGTGGCTTGCGCCTATCGCAGACCAGGAACGAGAGCTCAAGGGGAAGGGAAGGCAGGCATTGCTGGATACCTTTGGGGGAGCGTGTCAGGAGATCGATTATGTTGTGGTGCAGAAGGAGGACTTGCTAATGGAAATCCGGAATGGTAAGATCGTTGAGGCTAGGGATGGGGATGAGAGTGAGAGGTTTAGTCTCGTGGCGGCTGGGTACGACGAGGAGGTTAGGAGGATTGTTTCCAAGGAGAGTGGCTGAGCTGACATTTGATGGTGGATGGGAAGATGAATGCGTAGTCTGGAGTGATGCTCGGTGGAAGCCCCTTGAGCCGTGCTTCCGTACTACGCATGCACACTCGCGTATTTCTGAAGTCAGCCGTTAGCTGTACGACCTCATCGCGCCAGCGGGAAGACGAGTGGCACAGCTGCGCCGATGGGTGGGTTGCACGCGTCAAGCTTCGTAGTGAGTGCTGCGGGAAACCACTAGCTGTACTACTGTCGTCAGGCAGTAAGAAGTACTCACTTGCGTGAGAGAATGAGTAGGCACATAGCTATTTTGAAGCCAGTAAGGGTCATACAGTACACTATACAGGATACCAACAAATAGTGCGTGACATCGATAAATCATCTCAATCTTCAAAGCAACGTTTGCAAGAGTCGAACGACATCCAACTTTTCGTCACGTGAGTTGCTCAAGGCTGAGCATTCCTTTTTCAATCTCCTGCCAACGTCTACAACTTCGGCTTGAGCGCACCTGCCTCATTCTTCTTGAAAAGCGTCGGGCTATCCGGATAAGGATCCACAGTAATCCTGTTCAAGGGATTGAGCTCCGAAGCACGGTGGAACATATCCTCGTACACCTTCCCGTCATAACGACCGAGCGAAGAGTCAAGCTGCCAATCGGGGAAGTCCCAGCTGTCCACCAGTCTCACAGCGTGAGGTCGAATGTCCTGCAACAGCTTCATCACTGCACTTGTGCGCGCGAGCTGGATCTGTCGCACGGTCACGGCAGAGGAAGTGTAGAACTCGGAAGCTTCGGACTCGAGGGTGTGCAGGGCGTAGAGGCGGAAGAGCTTGTGCAAGACACCTAGGGTTTCTGGGTCGAGGTCCGAGGGGGGGGATTGAAGGGTTTCGTAGAAGTTCTTCACGACCATGTATTGGCTGTGTGCGCGCGAGAGGCGGTAGAAGTCCACGAGCAAGTCGTTCCAAGCCTTCTTCTGCTCATCGCGATGCTTCAGTGCCTCGAAGGTCAGGAAAGCAGAACGCCATGCGTAAGCGGCCACGATATCGGCGTCATTGCCTAGCACATCGAACGCGGCGCCTTGATCTTGTCGCGCGAGGAAATTGGCCAAGATGGCGGTGGTGTCATTACTTGGCTCATTGCCCTTCAACACGGACCTAGCGGACTTGAGAAGATAGCGCGCCACTTGCTGCGTGAGCATGTAGTTGTCGCCTTCCCAGGTCGCGGTAGGGAGATAGTCGGCATACCACGATCCGATACCGGAGAAGGAGCTGTAGCCATGACCGCCGCAGGCACGACGACAGACTTCTAGGCCTTCAACGGCGGTGTACGAGGCGAGAGATTTGAGACCGCAGGATGTGGCGTGCAGATCGGCGAGTAAATCGGAGCCCGAATGTGTTTCCTCAGGTCCAGCACCGCGCTCGGGTCCGCCGACCTTTCCTACATCTTGTGACATCTTCTTCTGGCTCGCGCCGTACAATGCCATCATGGCTTTGCCGGTGAAATGGAGCGCGAAGGTCGTAGCGAGCAAGGGTAGGAGACGGATCTGAACGGTCGTGTAGTTCAGGACTTGGTTCTCACCTCCAGCATCACTGGGCGCATCGCGATCTTGGAACTGACGACGTACCGCACAGTATCGTGTTGCAATGGTAACACCCCTAGCCAGGACACCGCCGGCTTGCATGACGATTGTTGAGCGGACCCAAGTCAACGTGCCAAAAACGAGGGAGGGTGAGGATGGCTTCACGTATTTGTTCGTCTTGGGGTCGACGCGGGAATGCCGGGCTAGCATGCTGATGTGTGGGACCTTGACCTTGTTGAAGAGGAGGAAGCCGTTGTCCATGGTGTTGTATCCGAATTTGGGACCGATGTCACCTATGTGGATATCCTTCAATGGTTCGTGGGTACTCATATCGCGGATCTGGACGACGAAGGGATGTGGACCGTGAGATTTGCCGTTGATGATGAGTTGAGCCATGACGACGGCGTGGTTAGCTGTGCGGCCTAAGCTACCGATCCACCACTTGGAGGCTGTCAGGGTAGGGCTGTCGATGGTGAAGGTCTGATCCTCGGTGTTCCAGGTGGCTGTTGTCTCAAGACCGCGGACATTGCTGCCGTGGCCGAGCTCGGTCTGGGCATAGCAGCCGATGTACTTGTATTTCTCTGCTTGCTTCAGGAATCTCTCGTGTTGTTCTGGGCTGCCTTGGTCGCGGAGGGTGATGAGGAACATGCTCTCGTGGAGACCATATGGGCCGGGCTCAGAGATGAGCTCATTGGCGACCATGCGGTCGTCGTTGTCCCAGCCATGACGGATCACAAGCTGTCTCAGCTTCTTCGCCCTTGCCAATGCCGTCTCGAAGCGATCGATACGGCCGGCGAAGTAATTCTGCTCTTTGTTGAAGACTTTGTCGTTCTCCAGAATCTTCAGCACTCGTCTCTTACGTGCCAGACCTTCACGGCTGTGAAGGAAGGCACTGAGGGTGTCCACATTGATCTTGGACTTGCTGCGTTCTTGCTCGAGGAGCTCACTGCCCTGCGGGGCCGCGGGCTTCAGGTCTTTGACCCATTGTGGAGTAGTCATCGTGAATGTTGTGCTTGATGGTGATGAGGGAGATCAAGAGGCCAAGGAGGAGATGATTAGAAGTTAGGAAGGACGAAAATGTATCGTGAGCTTCATCGTCCTAACTCGGTACTCGGAGGATCATTGATTTGATCACCTCGGCTTGCGCTATACCTGCCTCTTGAAAAAGACGACCGATCGTTCCTGCTTCATGATGACATCGGTGAATAGTTTTTGCCCACCGGTAGCATTCACATTCACTTTGAGCACATAATGCATGAACTCACTTTCCAAACACATATTGGTGCTAAGTGCAAGGGTCTTGTATACATTGATTCGATTATTTGCGTTTTCCCTGTCTTTAATCACTGGACCAAGGTCATCATGTCTTCACGAGCATTACGAAAAGCACAACGAGAGCGAGAGGAGCAGGAGCAAGTTCGACTCCAGCAGCAAGAGGAAGAGGACGATGAAGCAGAACAGAGCATACCACCAATCTCGGCAAAAGCCAGTGCGTTCGCTATGCTTGGAGAGGACAATGACGATGACGAAGACGAAGATGGTGGCGCACCATTAGACTATGACAAGGACGATGATGACAATGACGAGCCAGCTGCTAATGAGACAAGTACTATGTCCGCAAGTAAGAAGAAGAAAAAGAAGAAGCGAAGCAAGAAGAAGGCTACTCAACCAGAGCCTACTACAAAACAAGATGAAGACCTGGTTGAGATCGACAAAGCCTTGAGGCAGCTTGCAACGAATGGCAACCATGCACAGGCCGCCACGACAGCAGCCGGTGTGGACGAAGTGGTGGACGAGTCATCGAAACTACTTGCCGTCGATACCACCCATCTCCATGCGCAAAACGAGATGCGACGGCTTTTTGGTCGTGCAGCACTAGAAGCACAGGACGATGACGATGGTCAGGCTCAGCAAGCACAGGGTGCAGGTGGCAACAGGCGACAACAACGGCAAGCACAGCAAATGGGTCTTGCACAGGCATTGCGTGGTCAAGGTGGCGCAGGAGGCCGGTCTAGTGGTTTGGCCGCTGTGGCACTCAAGCGGAACATCTTCATCCAAGGCAAGGAAGATTGGCCTGTCGCTACAGGCGGTGGGCTAGGTATGGAAGTCGAAGAGAAGAGAGCAGATGGCACAATATTGTATCGCTTTGTGCACAACCGGTCATACCAGGACGTGCAGGCGCAGTTCGAGACGTGCGTAGAGAGCATGGATCCGGATCGTATGGTTATGCTGCTACGGCATAATCCCTACCACATCTCAACCTTATTGCAGGTCTCGGAAATTGCGAAACAGCAAGGCGATCATTCCACATCTGGTGACTTGCTTGAGAGAGCGCTCTTCTCCTTCGGTCGATCGATCCACTCCACTTTCACGAGGAGTATAGGAGAAGGCAAAGCACGACTCGACTTCAGGCGCCCGGAAAACAGGGAGTTCTGGCTAGCGTCATGGCGATACATGACCAACCTGTCAATGCGAGGTACATGGCGCACAGTCTACGAGTGGGCCAAGCTCCTGCTCTCCCTCAGCCCTGAAGAGGATCCCTACGCCTTATGGCTCGTCCTTGATCAATACGCCCTTCGCTCTCGTCAGGACCTCGATTACCTCAATATTAGCCGCAATCCAGGTTTCTGCAAACTCTACGGTCATCTGCCCAACGTCCAGATCAGCCAAGCCCTAGCAGAAAGCAGAGCAGGCAACAAGTCCAAAGGCAAACAAGCGCTCTTCACAGCAGTTGGTCGCTACCCCTGGATCTTCTTCAAGCTGATGCGGGAAGTGAATCTTGATCCTCCGCCTGCTGTATGGGGCAAAGAGCCGTCTTCGGAGAAGGATGAGCTATATACAGAGCTGTATGCGCTGCGTGCGAAGGATTTCTGGAACACACCCGAGATCTCAGCATTGCTTGTCGAAGTCGCTTCCGCTGTACCAGATGGCATTGCACCCGCTGAGTCCAATACAAAGGAGATCACGGAAGCAGAGTCGAGACACACTGTCCTCTCCGACGTCCAGTCCGCTATCCACATCCTCCCCAACTCCCATCGAGATCGATTAACCACTGTCTTCGACCCCTTACCACCCTTGGACGATCTTCGTTCATACGAAACCCCAGGCCTTTCCAGTCGCAATGCGGGGCCGAACCCCACGGATATCGCTTCCAACCTCCACGAATTCCAGGATCTGGTCGGATGGTTCGCGCAACGATTCCCGTGGATGTCTGGCCAAGGCGTCGATGGTGCTGATGCTGAGCGCCCTTCAGAGGACGAGATCAGGAGACAGGTCAGGGAGAGTGGCGAGTCAGAGCAGACGCTCGTGCAGAGGACCCAGCGGATGGGCCAGCTACAGCAACTTTTGCAGAGCGTGGGCCTGGGGAGGAGTGATCTTGAAGGTGTGGCTGACAGCGAGGAGCATGAAGAGCATCAGCAGCGGACTCTGGAGGATGCTGATGAGCCAGACACTTGAAATCAACCTGCGCGCCAGCCATTTTGTTCAATCCCAGTCCTGAAATCCATGGCCTTGCAAGCCGACGATACCTTTAGGTCGCCGGAACGGATTCATTACACCTTCGGTCCTGCCGACCCGCAGCCCAGCAGCCACAGATCGCCAGATGTCCATACCATGAAACGAGAACCACTGCCACGTACAGTCCTGGCCGCCGAAACCTGAGATAATGGCACGACCGCCTGGGTGCCCGAACTGATATTCCGTGACGTCCAGGACGACGCCGTTTACGACGATCCCTGGACACTATGTTAGGACGTGATGAGGAGAAACCTGGGAGGTGCGCTGAGATATTCGAGCTTGGAAGGGAGGTAGGGAGGTACGTACAGAGTCTACTTTGCCTCCCACTTTCATTTTCCTGCCCATCACGCTCCTTGACGACGGTCGCGAGTATGAAAGGTAGGCTCTCGTCCGGGAGACGCTTCGGCTGGAACGACCAGGGCTCTGTCGGATCGTCCTCCTGGACGATGCCCTTGCTGGAAACTCGCTCATTTACTAGACCGGCAGGCGGCTGCAGGTAAATATCGGCGACGTTCTCTATGTGCTCGCTATGGCTGGCCTTCTCAGAATGGGTGTGCCCGATCCCTAGGTCTGGAGACTGAGGACTGTGTTTAGGAGACACAGTCACAACCCCAGGAACGCAGAGATGCGTCGCTCTCCACGACGATAGGCTCAATCTTCCCATTGCCTTTTCTCATACTGGATCTTGAACGCCCTTCTCACTATGGGACTTCCTTTGGCAACATCTCGAGGCTGCACACCGTGTCAACCAGCAATCCACCTATTCGCGTTCACCTGTATGGCCGTGTCGCGTACTTCCCTGGCACGCCATTCTTACGTGACAACTCATAATCGATTCAGTGGCGACAACGGCACATCGGCTGTGTAGTCTGCTAGCTCCGTACCATTGTATCTTCTCCGCACATTCACCTCTGCAAACCCCGCGAAAGCTTAAAGTACGTGTATTATTGTGGGGCATTGGTAGACTGTTTGATCGCCACGATACAAGCACTCGACAGGAATGGGAAACGATCATGGCGAATCTGTGATCAAGATGACGGGACGCTTCGGAAACGCAATCCGACGACCGAGAAAAGCCGTCTTTCACGCTTATCATAGCGAGTACCCTTGGCACCTACGAAGCAAATTGGCTCATAGACACCTCCATGCTGTCGACGACTGCACTTTCACCCTTCCGGCCTTCAATGGCGGCGGCTCCATAATGACGATTGTTGACTTGCCTATACCGGCAAGCTACAAATGCCTGAAGCTTATGATGGCTATAGCAAGCTGTCGAAAGACAGCTTGGCGATCTGGTCCTCATTGAGGGCTCTGCGGCTAAGTGTTACCTCCATGTCACAGGCCAAGGGTAGTCGCGCTTTCGAGCTGCATTTCATACCTTGCTACCCTGACCTCTCTTCATATTTGTCGACAACCAATCTTGAGTGTGTTCTCTCGTCATGGCACCCTCAGCAGTCGACTCTCGCGGCTTGATGCTCAATGGCCTGAATTATGATCGTCATGCTAATGGTGCCAACGGCACAAAGAACAAGGATGTCAACACCATGAATCCACATGAAAAGGTGCATTTCGCGCCAAAGCTCAAACCCAAGGACTACCAGATCAAGGGCACGGATCCAGGTGGCAAGATTTTGTTTCGAGATGTGAACATTATTGATAGTACTGGAGCAGATCCGTTCAAGGGCGACGTGTATATCGAAGGCCAGTCTCCCGGGTTGCTAGAGCAAGGTGGGAGAGCATTTGCTAACAATATAACAGGCGAGCGCATACGATATGTTGGCGAGGTACCCAGTGTCGAGGAGCTTGCGAAGGACAACAAGGTACGAACCATCAACGGTCGTGGTAGGACGTTGATGAGTGGTTTGGGAGATGCGCACACACACTTTAGCTGGAACAACGGCGATCTTGGTAAGCTCGGTGACATTGGTGTTGAGGAGCATACACTCGCCAGCGCGAGGTCAGCACAGTGCTATCTGGACAGCGGGTACACTATGTGCTTTGGGGCAGCATCCGCCAAAGACAGGCTTGATATTGTGATTCGTGATGCTATTAATGAGGGTCAACTACCTGGTCCACGATATTTGGCTAATGGCAAGGAGATGGCGGTACCAGTGAGTTTCGCAGTAGTCCGGACAAGAAATACAGTTATTCATTTGTGGTGTAGGATGGCGACCTCGTTCCTGGCATTACAGCTTTTGCCAAGGGACCGCTCGAGATGCGAGAGACCATCCGGCACCATGTCAAGCTCGGCGTCGATACGATCAAGCTTTCCATGTCTGGCGAACAGATCTGCGAGACACGAGACGCTCAGGATTGCTACTACGACGACGACGAGACAGCAGCCTGTGTGGACGAGGCACATCGACATGGTATTCGACTTTGCGCCCACGCAAGAGCAAGAGACAGCGTCAAGATGTGTATCAAACATGGTGTAGATATCATCTACCACGCTAGCTGGATTGACGAAGAGGGGATGGAGTTGCTCGATAAGGCCAAGCATAAGCATATAGTAGCACCAGGTTTGAACTGGCTTGTTGCGACTGTGTATGAGGCTGGAGCGTTTGGCTACTCGTTCGAGAAAGCTGAGCAAGTCGGATATAAGAAAGAACTGGAGGTCGCGATCAAAGGACTTCGTGAAATGCATGAGCGAGGCATCACTGTGCTCCCAGGGTAAGCTACGTCCTGTGCCACCTACACTCAATGATTTGATGCTAATACTTCCTTCAGTGGTGACTATGGCTTCGCTTGGACGCCGCACGGAACATATGCTCGAGATCTGGAGCTTTTTGTCAACCTCCTTGGGTTCACGCCAATGGAAACCCTAGTCTCTGCGACCGCTGGAGTTGCGAAGCTCTTCATGCGCGAGCACGAGCTGGGCAAGATCAAACCAGGCTATTTCGCCGACTGTATTCTCGTAGATGGAGATCCCCTCGCCGATATCGCTGTGCTGCAGGATCACAGCAAGCTGGATGTCATCATGATCAATGGTCGAGTCCACAAAGCAAGTTACAAGGAATTTGTGAAGTTCGAGCAGCCACAGCCCGTTATGGAGCCTAAGGAGAACGTGAAGCTCAACAACTTCGTGGCTTATGCTTTAGACGATGGTACTGGTCGGACCAGGATCGGTCACTTGGATCGAGACAAAGGCACCATTACACCACTTGCTTTCTTGAGTGGAACGGCGATCGAAAACCTATACCAAGTGATCGAAGTCGGCGAAGACAATGTCATAGCTGGCGCCGAAACCTTCCCACTGACTGATAGTCTCAACATCTTGGCACCGATCAGTGGTCGCGATGTGCTTGCTGTTGGCAAGAATTACAGTGAGCATGCCAAAGAGTTCAATGGTATGTATACGTTCTCACTTTGATCTGCAATATGCTCAGGAAGCTGACTACGCTCGCAGCAAGCGGATATGATTCAAGCGACAAGGTCGATATGCCGACACACCCAGTCATCTTTACCAAGCGAGCAACTTCAATCGTTGCTAACGAAGAAGACATCCTTCTCCATGAGGACTTTACACAGACGCTCGACTACGAAGGAGAAATCGGAGTCATAGTCGGCAAGGGTGGCTTCAATATATCTGAAATCGATGCCGAGCAGCATGTCTGGGGTTACACGATCATCAATGATGTAAGCTCAGGCGAAAGACATGATGTAATATCTACAATACTAATAATTGACTTCCAGGTGACTGCCCGTGAGGCTCAGCGCGACCATAAACAGTTCTTCATCGGCAAGAGCGCAGACTCGTACTGTCCAGTGGGTCCGCTGGCATTACCAAAGTCAGCGTTACCAAAGACACTGACGGTCACAACTCATGTCAATGGTGAGCTTCGCCAGAAGGGGACCACTGAGGATCTCATCTTCAGCGTGCCGAACCTCATACATACACTGTCGAAATCGCAGACCTTGCGTCCTGGAGATGTGATCGCTACCGGCACACCAGCAGGTGTCGGGTTTGGCTTGAAGCCTCCCGTCTTCCTCAAGCCTGGTGATGTTGTTGAGATCTCGGTCACTGGGCTAGGCACACTGCGGAATACGGTGGTCAAGGCCGAGAACGATAATTATGTCACGAAGCAAGTACAGGCACAAAGCGTCATACCTATCAGCAACCTCGCAATCACTAACCATGGCGTTGGCCTCACCACACTTCTAAACGGCAAGAAGCTCAATGCCAAAACTATTGGCCGTGGTCCGAACAGCATCATCTTCATCCATGGACTAGGAGGCAACACATCTTTCTTCACTCCTGTGCTCAACCAGCTGGGTCTCAACAAAGGCGACCACGAACAGTATACCAGCTTGCTCTTCGATCTCGAAGGCCACGGCATGTCACCAACAAAGGCAACCTCACGAATCAGCATCGAGAGCTATGCGCAAGACATTGAGAACTTGATCAAGGCGTTCGACATGCCAACACAAAACGGCGTGACAGTTGTAGCACACTCCATGGGATGTATCGTGGCTGAGCTCTTCGCGTCGCAACACACAGACATGGTCAACAAGCTCATCCTGATAGGTCCTCCACCATGTCCACTACCTGCGGCTGGTGCCGATGGTAGCGTGAAACGTGCAGCAACTGTCAGAGCTGAGGGCATGCGTAACGTGGCTATCACAGTAGCCGCCGCTGGCACGTCCGAGAAGACTAAGACAGACCGTCCACTCTCCTGCACAGCTGCGCAAATGAGCTTGCTGTCTCAGGACCCAGAAGGATATGCCAAAGGTTGTACGGCACTGGCAGGTGCGAAAGATCTTCAAATTGACTTTGCTAAGCTCGGCAAGACGACAAAGTCGTTGTTGATCACAGGCGATGAGGATAAGGTCGCACCACCAGCGCATGTCAAGAAGCTTGCGGAAATGCTTGGATCTGCTCAAACGAGAGTTCTAGAGCAAGTCGGACATTGGCATGTATTTGAAGATGCCGAGGGCGTCAACAAAGCAATCAAGAGCTTCTTGGCTTAGCTTCGGACCTAAGGTATGATATAATGATATGTCTATGTGTACAAGCTCCCGCAGACTGTATCAAGTTCTCATGAGTACAGAGCGTCTCCTTTTATTTGTTCGCCAAGCCTCGGTGCAAGATGAGCCATCCGAAGACAAAGTATGGCCGCGTGATCCCAACTGTCTTCTGGTATCCCTGGTACGAAGACTACTGGGTCCCGGTGTAAAGCTGTGTGCTTTGTCGAGCATCGGGCTCTACATTACTGGTATGATCTAGGGAGCTATCAACCATTTCAGCACCAGAAGTCGTGGCTTGTGACATGATCAACCTTGTAATGTAGTATGACGATTGCCGTGCCACTTGAGCCACAAGCTACCTCAAAGCTTCCACCCAGGTTTCGTTGGTACGAAAGCCTTGTCGTGATCGCACGTACTGATCAAAGCACCATCGCTTTCTCGCTTTAGTCGTGCTTTGAGAAGAGCCAGACTCTTGCCCATGCTCACGATCTCACACTCCATGATCAAATCATCGCCTTCTGGAGCAGGTCGGAGATAGGTGACGTTCAGCGTCCTGCTGACACCGCCATTGAGCCAGAAACCTGGTTTGCCGATGCTCATCAGAGCTATAGATGTGCAGACGTCGAAGAAGGCGGATTGGGAGCCGCCGTGTAGATTGCCACTACCGTTGCAGTAAAATCGACTGACCTTGAAGGCAAAGGTCACAAGTGCTTGCTTAGGCGACAGTATTTTTACTTCTCGTAACTTGCACTCTTGCTCCATGAATTTCGAGACGAGGCGCTGGTCGTCCGGTACTTTGTTGGCCATCAACGCATTGATGCGCTCTTCGGGTGACAGACTGGCAAATTTCTCCACCAGTTCCCGAGGCAGATGTCCATGGATCCTCGCAACCATGATGACAACAGATGATTAGCTACCGCGATTGTGTCATGTTCGACAGATGCAGCACATGTACTAGATGGATACATGTATTATTGACGAAGGTTCGGCACCTCGGCAGTGGTTTCTTCAGCTCCTCGCCGACAGCCGATTGGCTGCCACATGGCTAGGGCGTTGCATTTGCTGATCACTGTCAACATTTGCCAGGTTCTCGACGTCCACGAGCAGAGTAGGCAACATCTGTGCGGTGTCTTGCGTCCTGGCAGCACGCTCGATCATCGGGTACCTCCCTCGCCGTACACTTTGGCAGACCACAGCGTCGATGATGTTGAGCCGTTTAAGTTCACCACTGCTTGACTGGCTTTCTTAATCATTATGCAAGTGAGAGCCGATGCCGCCGCGGACACGGCAGGAGCGATTGCCTGTTCTCATGGCTCACAAAGGCGAGTGTCGCTTGGCTGACTCAACGCTCGACTTTGCACACCACACCTCAGACCTCTTATCACTTTACGACAGTCTCTACTCATCTCTAATCTCCCTAGGCCATACACAATCATTGGCTTTCCAAGCATCCAATAGCTACGTATGCCTAGGTCAGTTGTCAGTCCTGGGGTTGAAATTATCTTGGTGTACCTGAGATGAGCTTGCCACCTCGCTCGGAAGAAACTCTGCAAGATAAGAGCAGTGTATGTCACGATGACTACCTGAGCACCATCCAAGCTGGAGACAGCCGCAGCAGTACACCTGAATTTGAGCAACTCTCGAAAGCCGATGCTTATCCCAAAACGAATGGGTTCCTCTCTGCGCCACTATCAGGCCCTATTCGGCCTTTGTCGCCAGACACTTTATCTATCCTGAGTGCAGACGAGTATGAACAGATACATCCTACTGTGTCCCATCCACATAGCGAAAATGGTGTACCCCCCATATCTGGTCGTAATGCACAGCCAAGAGGCTCGCGAGCAAGATTCCATGCCTTTTACGTCCGCAACCTGGGTCTTGGCTACATGCTCCTCGCGCAGGTCTTCGGTACCCTGATGAATGTTACTACCCGACTTCTGGAAATCGAGGGCAACAATGGCAAAGGCATGCATCCCTTTCAGATCCTCTTTGCACGGATGGGCATCACTGTGGTGCTTGCATCTGGCTATATGTGGTACAAGAGGACGCCAGACTTCCCCTTCGGCAAGCACGAGGTGAGATGGCTACTGGTAGCCAGAGGGTTTGGAGGCTTTTTCGGAGTGACTGGCATGTATTGGAGTCTGCTCTACCTCCCTCTGGCTGATGCGACTGTGATCACGTTTTTGGCGCCTGCTCTGGCTTGTTGGGCGTGTTCAATATTGATCAAAGAACCCTTCGGACGATTGGAACAGATCGCGGGACTGGTCTCTCTTGTTGGTGTTGTGCTCATTGCGAAGCCGACAAGCATGTTACCAGGATTTGGATCGTCCAGTGAATCGCCACCCGCCAGCGGCAGTAGTGACACCATCTCGAGCGCGAACGGGACGGCGAGTAGCGGTGATGCGTCGAACTATGACAATGTCACGCCATCACAACGCTTGATGGCCGTGAGCCTGGCATTGATGGGAGTGTTAGGTGCTGCCACCGCATACACAACTATCCGATGGATCGGAAAGCGGGCACATCCTCTGATCAGTGTGAATTACTTTGCTGCTTGGTGCACCCTTGTCAGCACGATCATGATGTTTTCGCTCCCTTGGGTTGGGTTTTTGCTACCAGCGAATCTGAAAGAGTGGGGTTACCTGATCTTCTTAGGCACTTGCGGCTTTATCATGGTAGGTCTTCATCTATCGTGTACTCGAAATGGTGACTAACAGAGTAACATAGCAATTCCTTTTAGCCGCCGGTCTGGCGTACGAGAAGTCCTCCCGCGCTACGAATATCACCTATACACAAATGTTGTTCGCTCTAGGTTTCGACAAGTTGATATTCGGCCACACACCAGATTTGATGTCGATAGCCGGATCCAGCCTCATTCTTGGGAGCGCTATCGTCGTTGCTACTATGGCCGATGCTGGTAAGCACAGTAACAAGAAAGAGCAAGTGCACGGCAGTGCCGATGTGGAGGCTCAGCAAGGCTTGATGAATGGCTTTGAAAGTGATAGGCACAACGAACAGGTAGGAGGAGAGTCCGAGCAGCTTCCACTGCAGGAGATCCAGCTGAGGACCTTGCGATGAAGTGATGAGGGCAGTATCGAAAATGTAGAGTCTGGCAAGTTGAAAAGATCCATGTTGATGACAAGCACGCCGAGTGATGCGCACACCTCAGGCCTGGGTCCTGGAAGCGAGTCACGTCTGATCACACACAGCATGATACTCGCGAAAGGAAGATTGACCACGAGAGTTTACTGATCAACTGCTGCCTTTGCAATAAGCTAGAGACGATTATGCTCAGCCGTCTCGCGTGTAAGGCTGAAGGATTCGCCGAGTTTCCGAGGTGAGTCCTCGAGACGGGGCGAAAATGTCGAATCCTTCAAGAACTCTCGTCTCGGGATGCCGAGCTCCAAGGTCTTCCTCATCCGACAACATATGATGATCGATATACACAAATCAGAGTGTTCGATGCACGATGATATTGACGTTGGTCAGCCCGAGGCATCTGTATTGCAAATCCTTCACGCCATGATGATGCATCAGTCGTAGCTGCCAATATATATACTTGATGTATGACCAGCAACAGTTGACTCTTGCCATCACAATCACTACTACAACATCGAAAGCTCAGCAGTCCGATACCTCAACTACCACTACCAGGCCATTACTTCACCCCTCTCAGGTCTCCACTACATCAGGACATCATTCGCAATGGCTCCAACCACCGCCAGCCAAACCTGCTTCTGTGGCGCAACCAAGCTGGAGTTCGTAAGTGCATGCTGACATCTCGATGAAGCGTGAGGATCATCGGACTGACTTTGTCTAGCCAGTGAGTGCTGTAGAAGATGTCTTCGTCTGTCACTGCCTGGACTGTCGCAAGGCGAGCAGATCTTACCTCAACTACAATGATCCGATTCTAACGGCTTATACAGCTCACCGCATCAATGTTCGCGACCAACTTCTGTGTCAAAGACGCCAATATCACGTACGTCAATGGTGGTGACAACTTGAAGAAGCGCGCCCAGAGTGCGTCCATCGCAAGCGGGAACTCCATGAACGACACGAGGTGTGGTGAATGCGGCACACTCATGAACCGCCAGAGCAATGGCTTTCAAGGATTGAGCTTCCTGCGCGTTGGTGAGGTTGATCAGTTGGATGAGCTGCTGGCAACTACGTTCAAGCCCAGAGTCGAGCAGTTCCTGAGGAGCAAGGCGCCATGGATTGGCGAGATTGATGCTCCTGAGAAAGCTCAAGGTCAATACGACTTCTCGTGAGGATGTAGAGGCAGAGGAAGAGAGCAAGCATAAGCTTCTCGACCTCTAGTGCAAGCACGTGGGCGGCTGACGTGGAGAGGTGGGGCTATGGCTTATAGATGTCGCTCATCTTAGCTAGGTACTGTTGTACATGCATCAGCATCTCACGAGACAACCTTGACTATGTGGACGAAACAGTGGCAACGATAGCAGATCTTGCGATGTACAGGCCCACCCATACTCGACGGTCATGACTGAAGCGCTCAAGGCTTGCGAGGGGAATCGAAGGATCCCGATTCGACTCATCATCTGTGTAGACGGAACCTGGACTGGACCGGATGGAACATATCCTGCCAAGAACGGTAATATCAGTAACATTTTCCGAATATGGTGCTGCGCGAAAGAAGATCAAGTCATTGGCGCAGACGGCCGAGAATGGCGACAACAGCGGGTCTATGTCCGTGGCATCGACGACACTGGCAGTTGGCTCGGCAAAGTTGTCACAGGTGTGTTCGCGACTGGTGTAGAGCAGCAGATCAAATCCGTGTATCAGATGTGTTGCGAGAGGGCTTGCCATCCTGAAGACGAGGTGTTCTTGTTCGGCTACAGTCGTGGTGCTTTTGTTGTTCGTGCTGTTGCTAATTTGCTTGCATACATGCGGATACCAGGCCATACGAGCGATCAAAAGGAATTTGATCAAGCTTACGATAGGATCCTGGAGGTATACCAAGCCGTGAGGATTGGCGGCAAGCAGCAAGCGGGATCGATATACGAATACATGTCTAGCAGCCGTCCGCCACCAAAGATTCAGTTTCTTGGAGTCATAGACAGTGTGAAAGCATACGATGACGGAGGTCTTTATGAGATTGGTCTACATCCAGCCTTGCGACATTGTCGCCATGCTGTTGCCATCAACGAGACTGATCCTGCATACGCACCACAACTCTGGATGCTACGTCCCAGAACGGCGGAGTATGAGCTGAGGAAAGCGAGTAAGCTGCATAGTGTGCTCGAAGGCTGGTTCCTTGGTACGCATGGCAGTCTAGGAGGTGCTAAGAGTGAGGATGGTGCTGCGCTGTACGCAGCACAGTGGCTTCTGTCCGAAGCCAAGGACGCTGGTCTTGTCCTTGGCTTCGCCACTGTATGCGACTCAAGTCTTGTTCCTGCAGGGTTGAAAATGGACAATCCATTGGAGGTGATATTTCCCGCACCTCTTGTCGACATCCCTAATGCCGTACGGGCGTCGGACTTGGTTATGAAGAACGGTGTAGAGGTCAATCTTTGGGACATGAGCGAGATTCATCGGCGACCAGGCCTCGCACTGTCGATGCCAGACTCATTGAGTCGATGGACCATAATTAGACGAGACCGTCAGATCTTCTCCAGCGAAGATTTAATAGGCCACCTCCACGATAGTAAGTGCCATCCATCACACGATGACCCTTACTGATGCCTGCTAAGCTCCTCTTGGGACATTCGTCCATCCTTCTGTGTATATCATCCCGGGTAGCAACCTCAGTGCCTCACCAATCAACCTTGGGCAAGGCTTGGAGGAGGCGCTCGATCGATATCGGCAGGATGAATTGGCGGACACGCTACTAGCAAGCAAGTCTAACGACCAGATCACAATGCCGGTAGTCTCGAAGTTTCGTTTGCTCGTATGCGGATCGGCGGGAGTCGGGAAGAGCACCCTTGTAAATCTGCTTTTAGGCGTGCCAGAAATGGTAGGTCAGGAGTTTCGGTTTCTGCTCTTTGGCCATAGCTAAAACGGCCCTGTCTCAGACACAAGAGAGCCACGGTGCACACGGTGTTCATGATGTGGAGACGGGATTCTCACCGGATGATGCACCATACATCGTTCACGACTCCTGTGGCTTCCAGGCCGGCCAAGACGACGAGCTTGATCGCGTTCGTTCGCTCTTACGAACAAGATCGAAATCGGCCAATATTGACGAGCGTGTCCACTTATTGCTGTAAGCTTTCGTTCAAGATCGCGGTCTTGTGATGACTGACATGGGCAGATATTGCGTCTCGTCCACCCGATTGAGGACCACAGAGTCGGCCGATGCAGAAGTACTTCGACTTGTGGCGGAGAGCGACAGCCGGATCTCAGTCGTCGTTGTCTCTACTCGTTTTGACGAAGTTGAGGCGCTATGTACCGACGAAGTGGAGCGGAGTGTGTTATCCGAGAGTGGCAAGAGAAGCCGCCGTCAGCTAGCACCTGAAGAGTGGGACGTCATCGAATCGAGGGTGCAGGAGGCCATGGATCAGAAGAAAGAGCATATCACGGCGGGTCTGCAGGCTGCAGGCACTGGCTTTGTGGGTCCAGTCTTTACTTCGAAAGGTAAGCACCAGGCCGAAACTATTCTTTGCTGGCCTGACAGGCATGTAGATGATGGCGAGTCGGTTGCAGCTCTGACTGAAATCATCACTGCAAGCATGACTGATGTTCGCATCCAGGAGATGTTCATCGCGGCACAGATCTGTAGTGTACAGCCAAAGATCGACTTTGCCATAGATCACAGCATCCGACTATACGGGCACGCTATCCGAACCTCAGCGCTTCCGATTGCTTTCTCAGGCCTCATAGCGAGCACGACTATTACTGCAATGATTGTCCGCGATGTCCTCAAAGCCTTCCACTTCACCGGGTACAGCACAGATCTTGCTGTCAGCACCATCTCAACAATGCTGGTAGGCAACTACGAATCGAATGGGGTCTACGTGGCAGCCAATCTATTGAGCGTCGCGACTGCAGGCTCGATGGCTACCGTTGTTGCTTCGCCACTTGGATTGGCCCTAGGCGCAGGCTCCTATATGCTGAAACTTAGCGCAGTCCCGCAGTTTGGGAGAATGCTGCTGATGTGCACGATCGACACCGTACTCATCATGGAAAGAGTCTTCTGGAGGAGTACCTCCCGCGCTTCAACGTTGTCGGATCTACGCAAAGCGTGTGCTGCTTATAAGCAGAAGATGGACGCTGTTCATGCCGCGGTTAAGAACATGCTGCCGCTCTGGTCCGTATGGGATGCTTTTCAGTTTAAAAAGCTGCGCACGGAGCTCGGCCGGATCGTGGATGATCATCGGCTTCGAAAAGATCGTTGATTATACGTGTGTGCTGGCTAGGGAACACACAATGAAAGTCTAAGGTGTGTAATGTTTGGAAGCGTCGAGGAACAAGACAGGTTCAGAACCCAGGATATCCAGTGACACGGGCAGGATGTAGCAGCCCGCATCTTCATCAGCGATGTAGACTGGCTGTAGCGTGGCGAGCTGACCGGCGGAGGCTCGAACACAGGCTGTTGCCGAGGATACATTTCAAGACTGTACATTAGCCATTGCTCAAAGGTCTTGCAGCGGGGTCGGACTTAGAGATCATGAGCTGGCGAAGATACGGTCTCACGCTGAACGCGTTTCTTGCTCTTAGTGCGAGCGAAGTACTCGATGGGCGGAGTCAAGGATTGCTGCGTGGAAGTAGTAACAACAGGAGAATATCCGCTGTAGCTGTAGTGACAGCGGAATACGTTCCGAGCGTGCAAGCCTTCTACAGTACGTACGCCCCCTTTCGACTCCCAAGAACATGCAATCTCCACCATCGGCGCCGTCCGACCTTCTGCTCAGCTGAGCATATCTCGTACTGGCTCAGATGCCTCAGCAACGTTGCCTTGTCTCCGGTACACATCTATTTCCCGGTAATAGCTTCTCGGCCGCCACTTCGACCTACAGTCTCCTTTGGATCGGAGACAAGAGTATCATACTACTCTATCAGCACATTGGGCACTAGCGATCTTGACAAAAAGGCTCAGACGATCGTCGTCCCTCAGGATCCGGGACAGCAACTCTGCGAAGATTCGATCGCCTCACAACGAGACTGGAAACTTTTCGCATGTTTTGCGATATTATGCCTACTCAGGATAACATGTGGCATGAGTGCAACATCATTAGCAACGGCAATGCCGACTATCGCCCGCCCACTCGACATGAACGCGATCATGTCCGTTTGGATCGTCAACAGCTTTCTGCTAGCGTCAGCCCTGACCCAGCCTTTGATCATGCGTCTCAGCTACGCCTTCGGTGGTCGGGTGCTCCTCACGCTCGCCATTGGCATTTGTACACTCGGCTCGTTGATATGTGCAGTCGCACCTGGACCAGTCGCACTCCTCATGGGTCGCTGTCTAGCGGACTGCGGAAGTGGGGCACTGGGTGTTCTCACCCAGCTCATACTTCGCAAGCTTGCGACACCACGGAATAGAGTCAAGTGGAAAGCACGATATCCGCTCTGTACTGGCTTGGTGCTGCGCTAGGCCCAATACTCGGGGGTGCTGCTGCGACTGAAGCATCCTATAACTTCATCTTTGGGTGAATGTACCGTTCGGCGCCTTGTCTCTAGTAATCTTACCATTCATTTTCAGCTTGGACGACAGCTCAAGCTGGCGAGAAGTGATGGGTGTGGACTATCTTGGCTGGTTGTTGCTGTCGGGGTCGATTGCACCGATTTTGCTGGCTATCAGCTGGGGTGGGATCACTTACAGCTGGACTTCGTGGCACCTCCTCACACCACTGACCATTGGCTCTTGCTTTCTGGCCATGTTCCTTATCTACGCCGGATACAGGGTAGAGCCTATACTGCCAATTGCCATAATTCGACGCGCTACAGCATGCGTAGCTTGCGCCGGTACGTTTGCACATGGCTTGTCGTTCGCAGCGATGATCTTCATGCTGCCGCTTTGGTTCGAGCCGATACTCAAACTCGACCCTATCATATCCGGCGCGTTGCTTAGCGCATGCACGCTGGCCATGGTGCTATTCGCCGTTGTCGCCAGCATAATATTGTGCTACATCAGCCATATTTGGCTTATTCTGGCTGGCTGGGCGCTTTTCGTCGCGGGTATGGCACTCCTGAGTGCAACCACCACAGAGACAGTAGTAGTCATCTTCGTCCGAATCGGCTTGCTTGCTGGTGCTGGATTTGGCATACTCTACCCGGCATTGAAGGTCGCCGTCCAATGCGACGCGACCACCGACGACGAAACTATCCACGCAGTGCCATTACAGGGCTTCTTCAGCACTATCGGACAGTGCTTCGGTATTGCTGCTGGAAGCTGCGTCTTCTTGAATTGGCTTGAAAGCAGCCTCCGAAGAAGTGATCTCACGCTCGATCACGCAGAAGAGTATGCCAGGGATGCAGTGAGTCTTGCGAACACCGTCGCTCAAATGCCGAACTCACGTAACGAGCTCCAGGCGACATTGGCTGCGAGCTACGGATACGGTGTGAGATGGGTGTGGATCAGCCTGTGCATCATCGCAGGCATTGCATTACTGCTCAGTCTGGTCTTCGTCAAGCAAGGTCGTCGAAATTCACAGCGCCGAAGATCACGGCGGTCTCTGCCAGAGGCGTTCGAGTTCGCAGCATGAGGAGGACTGCCCTTTCTTTCATTTGTTATCGTGTAGTATTACAAGCGAGTGAGGCGTTCGGAACATCCCAAGCTTAATCAGCTGGACTAGGAAGGACATCGGGAACTACGAATAGGGCACAGAGGAGAAGATATTGACAGTGATTCATCTGAACAGCAGTATCACTAAGCTATGGAGAGTCTACATCCACACCTGTGCTTCCATGACCGTCTTTCTCTCACTCGCTGTATGTGCCTCGGCCTTCTTCGGCTGTGGTCTGGCTGATGATCCCGCTCCGCAACGACCCCCACATGCTTCCCATCTACATGTAGGTCAGCCAGAGTATTTACCATTCTCACGAACAAATTATCGAGTAGCCGTATACCACCCCAAAGCAGGTCAGAGAAATTTGAATCAACAAAAATCATGGCACCAAAACAAAAGGCACCCGTCTACGTCCTCGGCGTGGGCATGACCAAATTCATAAAACCCCGTGGCAAAGTAGACTACACTGAACTTGGTTTCGAGGCTGGCATCAAAGCCATGCTCGACGCTCAAGTCAACTACGATGATATGGAAGCCGGAATCGCCTGCTACTGCTACGGCGACAGCACCTGTGGGCAACGAGTCTTCTACCAATTCGGCATGACCCAGATCCCGATCTATAACGTCAACAACAACTGCTCGACCGGTTCCACGGGCCTCCATCTGGGACGAACGATGATTGCGGGCGGTATGGCCGATGCCGTACTCGTCGTCGGCTTCGAGAAGATGTTTCCTGGTTCTCTGCAGTCTTTCTTCAACGATCGGACAAATCCTACTGGTCCTACTGTGGATATGATGAAAGCTACCCGTGGCATTACGAACTCACCTGGTGCGGCGCAGATGTTTGGTAATGCTGGACGAGAGTATATGGAAAAGTATGGTGCGAAAGCTGAGGATTTTGCCGAGATTGCTCGTGTGAACCATGAGCATAGTAAGCGGAATCCTTACTCTCAGTTCCAGCAGGAGTATACTCTTGACGAGATTATGAAGGCTCCTATGATTCATGAGCCGTTGACTAAGCTACAATGTTGTCCTACTTCCGATGGTGGTGCGGCGGCGGTATTGGTTTCGCAGGCTTTCCTTGATGCTAGGCCGCATCTCAAGGAGCAGGCTATCCTCATTGCTGGTCAGCAGCTGTCGACTGACGGGCCGAGCTTGTACTCCCGATCGAGCATTGAGCTTATGGGCTACGAGATGAACAAGACTGCGTCGAAGATTGCACTTGCTGAGGCTGGCGTGAGCATCGACGAGATCAAGGTTGTCGAGCTACATGACTGCTTTAGTGCAAATGAGATGATCGTCATCGATGCGTTGGGTCTGAGTGACAAGGGTAAGGCTCATGAACTGGTGAGGAGAGGAGATATTACTTATGGTGGAAAGATGGTGATCAACCCGGTAAGTGCTTGCCGTCTTGACCGACGATCTCTAATACGCATTTACTGATGCTATTCCTTACAGTCCGGTGGCCTCATCAGCAAAGGACACCCACTGGGTGCAAGCGGTATTGCCCAATGTGCAGAGCTAGTATGGCACCTCCGAGGCTGGGCCAACAACCGCCTCGTCGAAGGCACAACGGCAGCACTCCAGCACAACCTCGGTCTTGGTGGCGCGGTTGTCGTCACCGTCTACAAACGTGCAGACGGTAAGAAGAGCGCGCCAGTATCGTCCGAAGAGGTTGGCAAGAGGAATGGGCTTGGCTATAACCCAGCTGTGGAGGCTAAGGGCTTCACCAAGGCACAAGTCGACAGGACACGAAGTAAGGATGCGCGATCGGAGTGGGCGTTGCAGGACACGCAGACAAAGGTTGAAGCTAGATTTTGAGATGTATGAGATATCATGAACATGGGTTTAGCGTTCTTATGATCTTGCCTTCGCTGGACATGTGTATCATGAATGCTTCCCATCACAATCAGACCCTGTCCCGTGGTGGATCTCTCAATTGTCGAGTCTCTGGCTCATACCGACTGATGTTGGCCGTCCGCCTCACCAGAGTTCACCGCCTTGCCCGTCTTCTTGATCTTCTCCAGCACAGTCGCATAAGTCACGCTCTCCTCGGTCTGTACAGTCACTGTTTGGGTATCGAGAGACACATCGTAGGACTTGACGCCTATGACCATATCGTTAGTGAAGTAGATCCCGAGTGCCATGTCTCGTGACACCCACCATCGAGCTTCTTGAGCACTCTTTCCACCGCGCCCGAGCAGCCGCCGCAGGTCATAGTCACGTTGAATTTGTAGTTGTGTTCCGCCATTATGTGCTTTGTTTCCTGATCTGATCTCGTGTGTCTAAATTTAAGCCTTGAGTCGTTTGGTGAGAGGTGGTTAGTTGTTAGAGGTGCGAATGTGAGTGCAGTAGGATTTGTAATCGGAATAGATCGATGGTGTCAGTAGCGTCAGACAAAGAGATCAGGATTGTCAACAAAGAGTCGATTACTTAGCCTGAGTGACTCTGACACGAGTCTAAGAGTGAACCTATAGCAGTAGCGGTATCACGCAAGTTGATGAGCAAGTTATGAGCTATTCTGGGCATCGCGAAGATGTCGCAGGATATGGCGGTCTGTGCGCAAGGAAGGCTCGGATATTGGTCATGAGATGATGATACTTACATACTGTAGCGATAAATGCCGATGCAGTGTCGTAAGAAGTTGTTGCACAGATGAATTGAACGATTGCATACACAACCCTTCTCCTGTGCCTCGGAAAGCCAACAGTACCCATAAGTCATCTATCCATCATCACATCTAGGCATCCGACTGTACCTCCCTCGCAATCTCCTCGTACCACCTGCCATGCCCTTGCAAATCTACCGTCCTCACACGATCAAACGTATCAACTAGAGCACCGATTTGTGCCGTCATCTCGCCAAGTCCACACCTGGTAAGCACTTCCGAGGCAGAACTCGCAGCACGCACGCGCTCAGCTGGCGTCGAAGCATTGAGTCGCGTTAGGATATGACTTCGTAATCGCTGATATAGGACCTTGAGCACTGGGTCCGTGAAGCGACCGCCGGTCGCTGCTTGATTGAAGAAGCGGGTGATGGTGCCGTTGAGCTGGCTTTTGCTGGTCGTGGGCATGTTGTTTGCCGTCTCGAGGATCGAAAAGGCCTTCGAGGCAGTGGTGATGTCATCTGTCGTTTCGGTCTCATAAGCTTCAGCGGAGAGGAGTAGCCAGAGACGGCTGGCTTGCGACTTCCATTGAGCACGAACATCACGTTTCAGCAGGTTCTTGGCGGTTAGCAAGACGGCACCGATGATCGTGATGCGCACGGCTTGACTGCGAAGGTCTCGTAATCGTTGCTTATCCAGCTGTAGTGTCTCTGGCACAACATCGACATCGAGCTCGCCTTGATCAATGCCAAGATCGACAAGCGCTCGTGTATAGATACTATCCCTCGTAGGACGATCAGCAGCAACCCTGACACCCTCGGGGTCTCGTCGATCTGCTTCTGAGTCCAGCGCTTGGTAAGAGGCTCGCCACCAGTGCCTAGTACGTGCCAGGTTGATTCTGCCAGCCTCTAGATCAGAACCGAATGACCGTTGCTCATACCCAGCTGCTTCGCGAATGAGCGTGGGCGCCACATTCATGATCATGAAGTTCGTGTAGTCGAGGCTGAGCGTGTCGACTGCGCGTAGCAGCTTGAAGAGCTTGTTGATCATGACCTCCAGCTGCTCTTCGTCGGCAGAAGGGACCCGCTGCAGCTCAGCAGCCAGCGTAGCGATCTCCTGATCTCGGAAGGGTGCACAAAGCTTGGGCAGTACAGTTGCCATGAAGTTGAAGAAGCCCTCGTACGAGAAAACACCGGCTTGGCTTTGCCTGGCGATCGACTCGAGGTCGAGGGACTCACTGATAGCAGTGTACATACTCTGACCGGGATTAAGCATACGCAAGAGCTTCTCCCTGACATTTTCCGCAGTGCTGATCGTCCACAGTGAGCCATCTCCAGCCTCGAAGCCTTCTTTCATGGCTGTGCATATTGATCTGTACATGTCATCGCGTAGAGCCGCCGACGTATCGGTGAGCTTGTAGTCTTTATCGATGGCCAATTCGTGGGTTAAGACGCGGTTGGTAGGCATCGGCGTAAACAGTCTGCGAGTGACGTCTGTCGCAGAGGGCAGCTCAACCAGTCCAGCAGCCTGTGCCACTTCATCGACCTGTACACCAGCATTGGAAGCACGGGCATCTTCCTGTGTGATAGGCGGCTCCACGTTGCGAGGGCGTACTTCTGCAACATTTCGCTTCTTTGGTCGCCGTCGCCGACTCTCCTTGATAGCCTTCTTGATCAGAGTATCGGCTCGATCAGCACCCGCCAGCTTGCGAATGCGCGACAAGAGCATGACTTGATTGTCACGGATACCCTCCCGGAAATCCGACGCCACTTCACCACGATCGTCGTCCTTGACCGTCTGCCATATCGCGTCAAGTTCGACGAAGCTTGCCACCATACCCTCAATGAGGACCGAGGAGTCCTGAAGTCTCCATGCAGCGAATGCAGAAGTATATGACGTGTACGCCTGCGATAGCGTTTCGAGCTGAGTAGCACTTGGTGTGTATTGATTCCATGGGGCTAGGCGAGCAAATGTAGTGCCGACAATGACAATGAGTTCCGTGGCCTTAGCAAGAAGATCTTGCTCCTGTGCCCCATTCTTGTTCATCAGCACGAAAGCTGGGTGGGCCGTCATGATGTACACACTGAGGAACGTCCGGGTATTGAGAGCTGCATTCTCGTCGCCACGGTCTTGCAAACCAAGCTGCATCAAGAAGGCGGTGGCTGTCTCGATGACGTGCGGCTTTGCAATGAGAGCTGTCGTGTCCTCGAAGCTGATCAATTTCGCCTGCTCAAGACCAATCCTCTCAAAGGCTAGCACTACAGCTCGTTGGCGAGCAAGTCGCCAAGCGCGCTGGATTCGCATCGCTGCAGTATCCTGGTCGAGCTCGGTCGCCACGTCGTCCTCAATAGCCTCTTCACTCAGATCGCCTAGTTCCTCGACTACAGCCAGTTTCTTCTCCGCACTGTCCGCGCGCCTGACTCGCCTTGCCTGCAGATTGCGCTGGAACTCCGCCCGCCTCTTCTCAGCCTCCGCGTGTCTCTCCTCCATCTCAAGCCTCTGCCGTGCTTCGTCAGCCAGCTTCCTCTCCTTCACCTCCTCCGCAATACGCTTCGCGCGAGCCACTTCCTCCGCACATGTCGCTGCGACTTTAGCCAAGTACTTCTCCTTGGCTATCGAAGCAGCGAGAGCGCGTTCCTCACTTGCGTTATTACCTCGAGGCTGGGCCTTGGCCAAAGCGGCTCGCAGGCGGACTTGTTCTGCATGAGCGGCGCGGTCTGCGAGGCGCGCCTTGCGCGACTCGATGATGGATGCGCGACGGAGATGCTGGGCGACGGCATTGCTCTGATTGCCTAGACTGTGCCTGCGCGAGACGGACGAAGCACGTGAGTGTGCTGACGAAAGACTGTTGCGCCTAGACGAAGCGGCAGACGACTTGCGACGAATGTTGTAGCTGGGACGGTTGCGGTAGAAGCGAGCAGCGATGTGTGGTGGAGGCGTGTTGTACTCGTGAATGGACTCGGCCATGTCGTCGGGATACGACATGCTCTCGTCTGTATGCTCATCGACCATGGTCTTGCTCTCGAACTCCAGTCTCCGTTCCGGACTTGGTGCGCCCATCGTGCTGGTCTATTGATACGCTATGCGATGAGGATGATGTGTAGGACAATAGGAAATGTTAGGTATGATTGTCAATCATCAGGAAGGTGTGGTAGATGTGCTCTGGCGCTCATGATTGGCAATCGCAAGTGTGGCTGACATGCTTCACTAATGCGGCCGCCTACCTGATCGTAGATCCTCACGTGGTTGGAGCCGCAAACGATCGATGACATGCTTAGTCATGCTTCGACTTCAAGTGTACTCTACTTTGCTAGACCCAGCCCTTCACTTTCGAAGAGGCCATCAAGCTTATAAGAGAACACCTGCTATGTGGGGACAGCTTATGGACCTGCTATGACTGTAGGAGAACTGGAAAATTGCATACTCCAGTCGATGCCCTGACCGCTGTGGAGTCGCAATGCTCATCGAGCCATGTCCATGCTCCCTGCCAGACCTTTCGAGTTCGCACGATGAAATGCCGTACAGAACAGAACATCCACCTTATCAATATGTTTCGGTAGCAAAATGATGATGCTTCTTGAGACCCGTGTAGAACATCTCACTCATAACCCCGCTGTCCTCCAGGAAACACCACAAGATCGAGGTACGAACAAGCAAAAGAAGATGAACTTCTTTCGGGATCTGATACCGGCTATTACGGTCACTGAACATATCTCAGTAGGCTCTAGAATTCCATAGATTGCTTTTGGTGGCGCTCGTCGTGTCCAGGTTCCAGGGGAAAGGAACACCTTTGTAAAGGGGCAAGGAAGACTCGGGGTTTCACTTGGTTTGAACTCCGTTTGTAGGCGAATGAGTCTGCTGGTCGGTCGGTCGGTCCATTAGGGCGAGGGATCCAGAACCCGTGTACCGTAAGATCGCCGGCCTGGGTATGTTGTAGTTTAACGACTTTGCGGTCGATACTGATTATAGCTTCCTGGGAGTCGAACTCCAGAATCTCCAGCGTTTCGACCCCTTGCGGGGAGGAGTGAAGCTGGCGCCGTTCCACAACGACTTCAAGCTATAAGCTGTGAATAAATCATACAGAGTTATGTAGTCTTGAAAGCGGCTGCCGGGGTTGCGCCGGTGGGAGGGTGACGGCGCTGCACCGGTGCAGTGACGTTGACAGTGGGTGAAGGTCAGGTGAAATTCGGAGGTTGTTACTGTGGATTTGCACATGATCATCTAGGAACCATGCTCGTGCCCGCAAAAGCTACCGATCTTCAAGTGACGTTTGTATGTCTTATCGGATCCAGGGGCTGCTCGTGATGCCTCACGCCAGACTGAGATCCACAGGCTCCGAACACAGACGAGAGAATAGAAGCTGTGGCGAATAGGCAGCGCCTATCAGATGACCTTACTGGCGCTCTCGGTCTGAATGGATATGAGCTGCGTACAATCATCTTGTGCGAGCGTTGAATCTCACGGACCCGCCCGGCACGCCATCAGGAGCCGTAGATATGGAAGGAGTAACAGGTGAGGTGTTGCGAAAGCAAGAGTGTCTCTCTTTTGCTATGAGCACAGCCCATAGTACCAGGGTATCACTGAATAGCTCTATAGCAGTCATCCTTCTCACCAGCTAGATCGTAATCTATCAGGCAACTCACATTATACACGCCATCCCGATGCCTGTTGTTCGTAGCATATATTGCTCTATGTGGCGACCATGCCCTTTTCCGTATCCTGTACCCATGTACGCTCCGAACGCTAGAACCAAAGAGACCAAAACCATATGCCGGCGGGAGTTGATCGTAATGCACAATGCTCTTTAAAGATTGCCCGGCTTCCCACCTCACAACTCAGAGAACAGCCTTCTCCCTTCGCGCCTGCTCACGCTGCTCCGCAAAGACCTGCCTGCTAACGGCAAGCACTCTTTCGAAACCTTCTCGCCCCTTGACAGCATTCTGCTTAAACCTCTCCACACTGAACTCCTCGATGGTATTCTTAATCTTCTGCCAGCCACCACACAACGCAATGATCTTCGCGCTTTGCTCAAAGGTCGTTTTTCCAGGAGTCAAGCTAGGTGTATATTGCACCTTTTCTTGGACACTCAAAAGCTCCGACCAAGTCATATTCTGTGAAAGCATGGTGACGCGCTTAGCCTGGGGATCCACATAGCTGACTTCGTACACATACGATGTGTCTTCGGCGCCGAGGAACCGCTTCATCAAAGCTGGCGCGGCTTGCTTGACTGTTATGAGCCGTTCTGTTCGTAGGATGTGTGTCTCCGAGTCCAGACTTCGGGAGAGGGTGTCTACGGCCAGGACATGTTCGGCTTTATCGTTCCATGGACAGTACTTTCGCCAATTGTTTGTGCTGACCTCTTCCCAGGAATAGTCGAATTCGTGTTGTGCTGAGAAGAAACGCATCGAGGCGAGTATGAATTTGAGAAAAGATGCTTCGTAGGAGAATGCAGCACAGTCAGGTAATACGGCTGGACAGACGCAGTCGCCGATGCTGTAATATAATGCTCTATAGGTCTATGCGAGTCGTGACGGTCGTTAAGGAGCGTGATGATCATGAGTAAAAGCGTGAAGAGACCGGATGAAAGGCCAGAGCAAATGATCGACCCCGTGAAGCTCGTGGATGCACAGTCCCGAGATGATCCGTGCGAGAAAGGACCGGAAAGCCGGCATTGAGGGTTATCCTTTCACTTCTTTCACCGTACTCTTCATAGAGAAGGAGGTCACATGCTGGCAGCTAAGGGTGTTTATGTTCGTAACATGGTGCAGTATTACTTTCGCATGACTGCGCTCCTTCGAGCTCCGAGGAACAAGTTACGTAACCCATTAACAACTGCCACCGAAGCTATTGTTCACTCTCACAGCATATATCGATATTCTGGACTCATATCACCAAGCTCTGTCTTCTCGTACTCTGTCAGGCTCAGATCGTGCGTTGTTTTGCTTCGCTTTCTGTTCTGCAGGTAACATCCAGTCCCATAACAAATGCAAGCAAGAATGCTCAAAACTGTGAATGACTAGTCAAATGTTAGCACACAAATCAGGAGTCCCAAGAATATTGCCAGGCAACTCACCAGGCAGATCGAGTATCCTGTGATATACTTAGGTGCATCCTTGGCCAGGAAAGCCCAAGTGGCAATGATACCGCCTATGTTGCCAAACCCAACCTGCCAAGCCGCACCCACGGACCTTCTATGATGACCACCAAGATTCATGTTGAACCAGCAAACGATGACGGGCATAGCACTATATGCGCCCATAGCCACCAGAAACAGTGCAGCATACTCTAGCTTCTTGTTGTTGTGGACAGAAATGAGAATACTGAAGCCTGCTATAGCTACGCAAATGCATCCGATAGCAAATGGAGCTCGTTTCTTCGTCCAATCCGATAGAGTCGCGATGATCATAGCGAAACCGAAGGCTGCAGCCCATGGAGGTACGCTGTGAAGTTGAGTCTGGATCGGGCCGTATCCGTAGCTTTTGATGATGGCAGGAGAGAAGTAAGCGTAGCCATAAGCTGGTACGATCAGGCCGAAGTACATAAAGCCGCCAGCGATGACCTTCCAGTCTGTGAACACCCTACCCACGTCCTTGGCAGTGATTTGGCGTTCGCGAGCCGAACGGCCTTGGTCGGCACGGAGACGGGCAGCGACGTATGCTTTCTCCTCAGGGGACAGCCATTTCGACTCCTCGGGAAAGTCGGGAAGTAGGAAGAAGAACAAGATCGCTACCACTGCGGTAAGGAGGCCTTCTAGGATGAAGATCTTGTAGACCGTATCAGCAACAGTTTCTTAATATCTTTATTCGCGACTCACCCAGCGCCAGCCAGTATAATTGCCTACGCCATCCATCTTGCCAATGGCGGCCGCCAAGAGACCACCGAAAGCGCCAGCAAGAGTGGTACTGCTGAAGAAAAAGGTGTATCGCTTCTGCGCTTCGTGACGACGGTACCTGAAGGGTATTAGTTGAAGATGATCTCGTCATGCGCGAGCCATCGTACTATACGTACCACATGCCAATGATATAAAAGCAACCAGGGAACATTGAAGCTTCGAACAGCCCGAGGAAGAATCGAGTAGCCAGTAGGCCTCCAAAGGACTTGACAATGCCTTGCATGATCATGGCGAAACCGAACAAGAACATGTTGATTGAGAGCCATACATGCGGTCGGAGCCGTTTGAGTATGAGGTTGCTGGGAATTTCGAACAGAATGTATGGCACAAAGAAGATGACCAGGGCGATGTTGTACTGGTCGCCGGTGAGGTGGAGTTGCTTCGCGAGGCCATAGACGTTGGCGTTGGCAATATTCACTCGGTCCAGAAAGGCGAGCAAGTACATTATGCACAGACATGCTGGTGAGGTTAGCTGGACGGCGTGGAGGGTGAGGCTCTCATGACTCACGAATGACATGGAGGTCGATGCGCGACACGAGCTTGCGCTCCGTGGTGCTGAAGGTCAGAAAGTCAGCCTTCCTGGTCGGCTATGATATGGTTGGTAAGGTTCACGCGTACTGTGGTGGGCACTCGACATGGAGGTCGTCGTCGTACTCGCCCGTGGTTGGGTAGTCGCCATATCCCGACGCTTCTGGATATGAGCCTGCAGGCGAGACATCCTTCTCTTCGTTGCTGAAGCGCATTGTGGTGCCGTTCATGCAGACCTCAGTCGTGGTTGAGTCGGTTTGCGATGAAGGAAAGAAGACGAAGACTTTGCGAAAAGAAAGTCCGATGTCGCGAATGTACAAGTACACCTCCTCAAAGGCAAGGAAAGCACTGGCAGTTCACCAAATGCCTACTCAAGAGTGTATATGAGGAGGTTGCTGAATTCTTCTTCATGGTCTCGTGATGAGGGAGACTGCCAGGTAATCGTGTCGCAACGCTGAGCCTCGGTCACAAATGGAAGAAGTGTACACAAAGTACTGGCGGTTTTGCCAATCACAATGAAGCATTAGCGAGAAAATGTCTTGATGACTCCACTGGTTGGACAACAGAATGGGGATGTCAGATCTTCCCTCCACACTTTCGGTTTGCGGCTCGGACGTTCGGCATATCTCGTCTCGAGGTGTTGTCCGTTATGGCCTAAGGCACGATCAAGAATGCGAAAATGCTACTAATGAGTAGTCTCCACTGCATCAAAACTCGAAGTATGTTCCATCACCGATCTTTGCGATTGCCCAAACAACAACACCGCAGAACATTGCTCCACTCGAAACCGTTACGTACAGCCGGTAATAGAACAAGTGCTCGACGCCTATTCCTGGTCACCGTAGGCAAGACTGTGGCGACGCAGGCAGCACTGTCCAATGGCAAGGTTCAGAGCCTTACGGTGACTCAAGTGTCACCTCGCCGCCAGATACGAGACGACCGGACAGCTTGCTGCCTGGCGTGTAGATGGTAGATATAATGTCAAGGTACAAAGTATTGATTCTCTCTACTCAATCTGCTCATATTTGTCCATATTCGAAACACCCGATTTTACAGGATACTTTACTGATTCTTAGCTTTCGTTTCACCATGGGACAGTATGGCACTCAAGACCAGGCCAAAGATACAGCTGCAGTGTCAGCTAGTTCCGGACTTGCGGTCCTGAATGCATTCAAAACACACTGCTCGGGCACACGAACCAACACCGAGCTGGCCGTACTTGAGAGTCTTCGCTTAATCCATCCGGACAAGCATATTGCTGTACTCTCCCTCCCGCATGTCGATCTCCTAGGATTTGCCAAAGCAGGACATGCAAAGGCTCATCTCTGCACCGCAGACCACAGTTACCACATCACACGATTATACTCCCCACCTCGGACTCGCATGACCAGTGGAGCTGGCAAGCTTGATGAAAGCGTCGATTTTGGCCTATATAATTACAACTGGCAGAACCAAGATTTCTTGCTCTACCGCATTGTATGGCCTGATCCTTTCGATGGTACGCAAACGTTCCATTGTCTACTCACGGACAAGGTCGAAGGCTCCAGCAGACACTCTGATATCACCGATTCTCTCATAATTGCCTGTGGAAAGTGGACTGGCGAGCTGCACGAGGAGATATATGTCTTCGACGCCGGCCGATGGATCAAGAACGAGAAGCTCTGGCAGGCTGTCCAGACTTCATCCTGGGATGACGTTATCCTTGATCCATTAATGAAGGATACTCTTATCGGCGACGTGCATTCCTTCTTTGACAGCCGAACAGTCTACGAAGAGTACTCGGTTCCGTGGAAGCGCGGCATCATAATGCATGGCCCGCCCGGGTGCGGTAAAACGATCAGCATCAAGGCGCTCATGAACAGCTTACAAGCAAAAGATGTGGCATCGTTGTATGTCAAGTCTTTTGATGCCTGTCAGGGATTGCAACATTCTATCCGAAACATCTTCTCTCTTGCCAGGACAATGGCTCCGTGCTTGCTGATCTTCGAGGACATCGATAGTCTGGTAAAAGACGAAGTCCGCTCGTACTTCCTCAACGAAGTCGATGGTCTCGACTCGAATGACGGCATCCTAATGATCGGGAGCACCAACCATCTCGAGAAGTTGGATCCTGCGATTGCGAAAAGACCGTCTCGCTTCGATCGTAAATACTGTTTTAGGCTACCTGGTCATGCGGAGCGAGTACTGTACTGCGAGTATTGGCGAGGGAAGCTGCAGCGACACAAAGACTTGGGCTTCACAGACGAGGTCTGTGACATCGTCGCGTCTCTCACAGAGGAGTTCAGCTTTGCTTACATGAAGGAACTATTTGTGCAAGCCTTGCTAGCCATAGTAGGAGGCAGGACTAATGTGGAGGAAGAGATTGACGAGAGCGCTATTTCGACGACAGAGCAGGCGACCAAAGCTGTGGAAGACTCTTCCAGGCTCGCGAGAGGGAATGAGAAGGTGGTCAACGCAAGTGGCGATGCCAAGGAGCTACCAGAGGAGACTGCAAAGGCAGATGAGAAGCCCAAGCGTAAGCCTCGGATAGTGCCTGATGTTGTTATACCAGAGCATCTGCAGAGCAATGCTCTACTTCGGCTGCTTAAGCGGCAAGTCGTTGCGTTGGTGAAAGACATGGACGACTCTCCTGATGACGAGACGGGCGAGCAGCCGAAGAAGGCTAAGGTGTTAACATAGCTTCACATGTATGATAACATCCATCTCGTCTTTGGTTTGGGATCTTGAGAGATTGCTATATCTCTATGAACAGCTTTCCAATATCGACATTGGCGCCGTCTAATAGTCCTTGACGTTCCAACCACTCTATCCAAGTTTGCCACTTCTCCCTTGACATAGCACCAAGAGTCGACCCATCCGAGTAGTATTCGTTGATTGACTTCTGGCTCTCACGCAGGAACTCTACAGATTGCTGCGGGTCACAGTGTTTCTGTATCACTTGCACCGCGTGATCCGCGTCCCCAATCGCCTGCTGATAGCCTTCCCTCGTAGCCGCCACAAACTTGCGAAGCACATCTTTATCCAGTCCTCCAGAGGCAGCGTTGTAGGCGATCACGGGCGAGTAGCCATACGGAATACCATAGTCTCCAGGACGGAAAGCATGAAGCTTGACACCATTCATCTCAGCCTCTATACCTTCCCAGGGCATGAAGACCCATGTGGCATCCACTTCACCCTTCTGCATCGCCTCGAATAAGCTAAACTTGCCCTGCTGCTGCGAGATCTTGACGCCTTCTGCATCGCCACCATCATGCTTGACCATGGCTTTCACAATGGCATCCTCGTAACGAGCATTGTAGCTGCCGTACGTCTTGCCTTCGCCTAGCTTGCTAAAGTTATCTAGCGAGGTCGAGACGATGGCTGAAGCATCATTTTGGAGGATGGCATAGACTGCGCAGAGCTGCATTTTGTTGGAGTGCTGGTAGGCTATACATGACTCGCTTGGACATATTGCCTTGTACGAGGATCAGGTTAGCCAGCAGTTTGGCTTTCTCTCAATCGACTAATGAGTGCTTCTCACCAGGTCTACCTCACCATCGAGGCGCTTGGCAGGGGTTTTGCTGTACTCTCTGCCGGGTGGCAACAATTCAACGTCCACGCCATGTTTGTCATAAATGCCGAACTCCTTGGCGATATACAGGCCCGTGTGAATGGTGTTAGGCGTCCAGTCCAGGGCGATCCTAACCTTTGCCTGGGATTGCGCCATGCCGAGACCTGTATGCTGTTCTACGCCCACTTTGTGTATGTATCGGCTGTTTTGGTAGATGGCATAGCGTTGGGACCTAAAAGCTCGTAAGCTAGCTTTGCGATGACGTGATTCATCGCAGCGTGTGCTTAGAGCAGTCGCAACAGAAGGATGAAAGTGCTTGAATGGTGCATTCCTCACGCAATGGTTGCAGAAGATGTAGCAAGATGATGTCTGTTGCCTGCAACAGATCTGCCAGGGCGGTTCTCAATATGTGAGGTCCACTTACCGTTTGGAGCTGGTCTAAGCTGAATATCAAGTTCGTGCCTTCCCAATGCAGCCTATCGAAGAGGGAGTCTACTCGAGGACGACTCCAATGAATGCCGTCGGGCAAGCTGCCACAACACTGACTCGTCATCTGCTCTGCTCGTGACACCAACGCCCCTTCATGTCAGTGGCGCCGTTGTCGGTCTCGTCTCCTGGCGAGAAGACGCTTGACTTGTTCAAGATAGCGCGGAGCGACAAACCTTCTCGAATGCGGGGCAAAGGCTGGGGAAAGGTCGGACGATCCGCGACACCCTGCAAGCTACGTACTCTGAATAATGTGAGACGATTATATGCTCCACCCTTATCAGTACAAGACTGCAAAGAGAATGTATGGCGACAATCATTGCACGAAGGGCACAGAGCGTCGAGATAAGGAGGGAGAGGATTTAGCTTGCCGCTGTTGTTGTCCTGACACGCTGTCATAACTTGTGATGTCATCTGTCAACAAAGCGAGTTCGACAACGACGAGACTGTTCAATCATGGTGCTCGCAGCAACTTCACTCATCAGTGTGAGCGTCTCCCTTGTACCTAGCTAACTGCAAGTAACACGCACGAGCCTGCGAGACCAGCAGTGGGACCAGCCATTGGCCATGAGGTTACCCTGTCAGAGTCAGATAGCTGCAATCTAGCCCCACCATCTCTCACAGTGTCGTGTGCTTTGCTCAGCTCCTACGAGAGCAACGGCATCGTTCGAAAGACTACAAAAGCCGACGCCTTCAGCCCAAAGGCCCCCCAGAGTTAGAAGAACGTGGCTTGTCTGGCCAAGCCTTCAAAAGGACAAAGCAGCTTCTAGTACCTTGAACCCTACTGCAGGCACCCGACCACTTCGGTCACGCGACCACCTGACGTTAGACATACGACAGCTTGGGCGTCGTTTCCTGACCTCAACTCCTTTGTTCCTTTGACCACAACACACCCTCGTCCCACCACTGCTCACCATTCTAGCCTACACTCACCACTACTTGTACTACCATTTGAAGTTAGATAAGTAAGTGTTGGTGTTCTCGGTGTTCACCTGCCACGATGGCAATGCCCTCCAGTCACCCAATGGCTATTAGCACGCTACAAATTTGAGCTTCAACGAGCTACACAAGCAAGTAGCAGTCGCTAATAGTGATTGTCGTAGTGACTCGTACCAAGAAGACTGGAGACCGTGACCACGTCGGGCTCGCCAACGGCACTGCTGCTCCTGAAGAGCACCTCCCTCGCTACTTCGGCAAAGCCGGGTACTCCGGCAACGACCCGGCTACCACCAAGAAGCAGGGCGGAGGCAAAGGCAACTGGTGAGTGCACCTCACATTACTGCGGAGCTTGACCAAGCGTCCTAATCCTTCCCCCGTCATATGTAATGTTTTGCTGACATATCACTCCCCAGGGGCCGCAGCGGAGTCTCGGAGCTCGAGGACTACGACTACAACCCGGCCAAGCCGCGCCGTCGCACCAACAGCTTCTCCCAGGCTGCGGGCCACTCGGCCCTCAAGACCAAGTTCGAGGCTCTTGACCCGGAGGTCATTGAGTACGAAGAAGATGTCCATGGTCCATCTCAAGGTGATCTCGCCGATCACAATGAGCTTGAGAAGATGAGTACCTCCTCTTCTGCTGACACCATGGGTTCGGTCGATGAGGAGGAGATGGCTGGCACTGTCACTTCCGCCGGTGTCGAAGAGAAAAAGTAAGAGCTTCTCAGGCTCAAGCGGTAAGGACAGCGAGATGGGTTTCGAAACTCTATGCGAGCCCGGTGTCCGACTAGCATTCGATATGCTCGCTGGCGAGATGAACGTGCTGGAGGATCAGGCGAGAGATGGCGTTCGTTATGGCGTGATAAGATGAGACACGAATGTACTATAGCACACGAGATGCGACCAGCGCAATGCAGCAACGTAACGAGTTAGCAATCGTTGAGTAGTCTTGACAGCCCGTTGTCCTCTCATCCTAGTTAACGGGGCAGGAGTGCGGCTCTATCTGCAGCCGGAAAGAGCCTACAGCGCTCGGTTTTGTGATGTGACAGCATTCAGCTGGAGAAGTGGGCTTGCGAATTATAATCATCTGGTGAATGGAGTGTATACACGAACTTACCAGCCGCAATGATCGAACACACAACAGTTGGGTGAATGCCATCTCATCCATCCCGTGGCGCCACAGCTTCCGCCTCGCTGCCGCCACACTTGCCCACGCCAGCAAGAAAGTCAACATACCATACGCTAATTCTATTCTTCCGGTCAGTCATCTTGACTATCGGTCCATGCTGATGTAAGGTGCCTTACGATCGCCGAGAAGATGGCAGAAGTAAGCTGGGCGACGCAGACGATGCAGAATGGGAACATACTGCAGATACCGTTCCGTCGTACCCATAACCTCCAGCTATCTGAGCCAATTCGGAAGTACATCGAGACAAAATACGATCAGCATCCGGCGACGTTCGCAAGAGACCTGGAAGTGATTGATCAGCTGCGTAAAGAGGCTGTAAATGCTTTGGAGCCTCATGGCAGTGGGTTGAGGAAGCTCCAGCAATATGCGGCACAACTTGTATACATGAGTGGGAAATTCCCAGTGGATGTGGGTATATCTTCGAATCTGGCCGTGCCACAGAATACTGATGCTGATGAGGATTGCAGATTGGCGCTGACTTTACATGGTACCCTTCGCTGGGCTATCACACCAACCATGCCCATATTGAGAACAACATTCGCTTCGAACTGGCCAACGTGCTGTTCAATTTGGCAGCGATGTACTCCCAGGTCGCACTATCATCCAATCGTGCTACTGCCGATGGACTGAAGAGTGCAGCTAGCAACTTCTGCTTCGCTGCCGGCGTGGTGGACTACCTCAAGACAAGCATTGTGCCGGAGTTGAGGAGCCCGCCACCAGAGGACATGGACAACATGACGCTAGAGGCACTTCAGGCGCTCATGCTCGCTCAGGCACAAGAGTGTTTCTGGCAGAAAGCCGTGAAAGACGGGCTGAAAGATGCCAGCATAGCCAAGCTGGCTGCCAAAGTCAGCGATCTGTACAACGAAGCTGGCGATTGGGCGCTCAAGAGTAATAGCATACGCAGCGAATGGATACACCACATCAACGCCAAGCATCACCACTTCGCTGCAGCTGCGCAGTACCGAGCGGCATGCGACTGTCTGGAGAAGCGAAAGTATGGAGAGGAAGTCGCACGGCTCCGAGACAGCTTGAACTGCGTCAATTTGGCTCTCAAGGAGAGCAATTACATCAACAGAGCTGTTCAAGCTGACCTCAATGGCCTCAAGACTAGAGTGCAAGAGGACCTAAAGAGGTCGGAGAAGGACAACGACACCATCTACCTCATTCCTGAGCCGTCAAAGTCCGAGCTAAAGATGCTTGATCGTGCTAGCATGGTCTCCGCTAAGACGCCGAAGGAAGTCAGCCAAAGCCAAGAGCTGCTTGGGGACAAAGGGGAGCTCGGTCGTCCACTGTTCGCAAAGCTGGTACCGTACAGCGTGCACGTTGCCGCCTCCATATATGCGGACCGCCGAGACAGACTGGTCAAACAGGATATCATTGGGAAGCTCGACGACATGACAACTCGCATTCAGGATCTGCTCGCGAGTCTGAACTTACCTGGATCTTTACAAGCATTGGAGAAGCCGCTTGGACTACCACCAGGTCTGGCCAGCCACGCAGACGAGATTCGGCAAGCTGATGGCGTACATATGTTGCATGCGACTATCGCCGACACCGAGAAGATTAAGTCGAACTTGCGTCAGATGTATCAGGACGGTGTGGACTTACTACGCACAGAAGCTGGAGAAGATGAAGGTGCACGTCGTAAGTTCGGCACCGAGAGATGGAATCGGGCACCGGCTCCAGATGCGGTGCCAAAGCTGTATAGCCAGGTCAGCGATATCGATGGCTACCTGAACCAGGCCGATAGCAGCGACAAGCTGGTGCAGAAGAAAATCCGGGACAATGAAAGTCTTATCCGGCTGCTGGGTGGTACAGATCGTGATCTGGAAGACTACGTGCCCTCTAGTCGGCGTGCGACCATTACAGCCAAAGTTGAGAGGGCAACGAATACTTTGCGAGCTACCATAAATGAGGTCAACCGACTTGAGAGTCGTCGAAGGAAGAAAGTCGAAGCACTCAAGGCCACTTCTCGAGAAGACGATGTGCTGCCAGACCTCCTACAGGAGACCTCCAAGATCGAGCGCGAGTTTCCTATGCAGCCCATCGTCGCTTCACAATTCGAGCATCTGTTTGATGATCGCCTACGAAGATACGATGGGGAGAGACAAGAGCTCAAACGAGAGGAAACCGAGCAGGACCAACTTAGCGAGCGCATTCGACAAGCCAACCAGTCCTTCCAGACTGCCAAGCAAGGCGACACGTCAACCTCTGAGCGCGAGCAGGCGCTGCAGGATTTGGAGAACGCGTACACAACATACAAGCAAGTCATCAAGGATCTAGACACAGGACGAAGCTTCTACAACAATCTCGGCACAATCGTCAGCAGATTCCGAGACGAATGCAGGAACTTTGTCTACACCCGCCGCTCTGAAGCGCAGGCGCTGGAGAATGATTTGTCAACTGCCATGGCTGGCCTGCAACTTCAACACCAGAATCAGCAAAACCTACTTTCGCAGAAGCACGCGCAAGCACACGCGCGGCAACAGCAACACAACACACAGCAGCAACATGCAGCTCCTCCTGCACGCATGATTGACGAGCCAATACCAGCGCCCATGCCACAACGACCACAGGCACAGCCACCGCCTGTGGCGAAGATCCAGAGTCCTGAGCCAATCTCGACAGGGCCAACCACGTGGCAGGAGGGCATGCCTATCGTGTTCGGTGGACCACAGCCCGCATCAGGGTCCAAGGCCAATGTTTCAAACACACAGCCTGTCGACAGCCGCTGGGATCCGGCGCAAGGTGTAAAGTTTGTGCCTCGTTGACGTCCGTATCACGAACACGCCCTTGCAGCGTGCCGTGGTGGCTGCATACACTAGGCCGATCTTCTTGGCGAGTACGCAGGCAGTTATTGCGGAGCGGCGAGCAGTGCATATCGTATCGTGTCAGTATAGGCTATGGATCGGACGACAGCGCTCCGTACGTATTACACATTACACCATACGAGGTCCAAGTACCGAGCGAAGTATCTTTCGTGATTATCCAAGGTTTTCGTTGGGCTCGCACGCGGCGAAATTATGCGCTCCGAAGTATACCTACGAACGACGTTTTCCGCCAGATTTGCGGCATGGGCCGTCTCAACGCAGGATAAATGATTACTGATCACTTCCACTTTTACCTTTCCACCTTTCCTGCTCTTGCGTCATGCTCTCGGTCGTGGAGCTGCTTGGCTATTGGTCGTGCGATTTCACTCTGTTGCTTAGCTGGTTGCATCTTTGTTCCATCGTGATTCTCTTGTCTCAATTCTGTCAGTCCCAGTTGTCGTCTACATAATCTGCTAAGTCGACGGCGGTATGACCTACCAGCAACGACAATTCGTCAGTGCTGCAAACATACATCTGAAGTTCCGAACTTACAGGACCATGTCGCAGTGGCTTGCAGTAACGTCATTCAGCCTTTTTCCTAGAAGCTTTGGAAGCACAATGACTGCACAGACCCGGTCCCGACCACGTGGAGAACTGCAGATCTCATGCCGTTAGTTACCAGCCGTCTGATCCGGGACACCTTTTCGGTGGAAAGTTCGGCTGACATGCTGTGCTATCGTGCTGTTCGGAGCGTGCGAATTGGCAGGTCAGACGAGCGGAAACGTTTCAGTGTGTTCCGATGCGAAAGGGTGAAGACTGAAAGTGCCGGAGGACAACTATTGCCGAGGACGCCACAATCCGGATATGGTATCAGCCCGATGACTTGTGATATGTAATTGCTCGTCTGTGAAAAGTGTTTTCGGTCTCTATGGCTTTCTAGCCTTGAAGTGCATTTTCGACCGTTGCTTCCCTGCGAACATGCCATGGCCAGCCCTTCTGTATGTTCAAGAATCCGAGATTCACTATCTCGAGGGAAGCTACGGCGGTCGCGGAGAACACCTGATAGAGTTGAACCATAATGCTTGTACAGTGCAATGGCCGTTAGATTTGTGGCGCAAGTGGTTCAAGACAAGTCAAGCCTCCGGCAAGGTTTTGTTTATGAAATCACTCTGCCGAATGATAGTTTCTGCCCGGCCTGGGTTGAGCTTTTTGCTCGACTGTCGCGATTGCAGCACTCAGCCAATGGCGGCTTGTCAATAGCGTCCATGCGCATTCTGACTCGGCTACAATCAGATCAATACGTGTGAAGGATTTGAGATCTATACTTTGCGATCCTCAACGGGACGCGAGATTGGACTTAGTGTGAAAGCTGCGAGCGTGTGGTGTGTGGCAGTGAGAGTCGGGAACCTACGCAAAACACATTCGCTGGTACGATCGATGCACTAGCGATATGTGCTTCGAAGTTGTTTTGGTGCAAACACTCTGGAATCCCATGTGCACGAAGTCGTCTTATACACTGCACAATGATGCTATAAGTTGCAGAGCATGACCACGAGTAATGCCATGATCTGCGACGAAGAGTACACTTCTCCGACGCTATGAGGCTGATGCTATCTTTTGATTGGCGACAAGTCAGTATGCGCTTGATTTGCACAAGTCATGATTCATTAGCGAATCCGAAGATGGTGCTCCGAATGCATCGGCGCCCTGCGATAGAGGATTAGTAAAGCAGCGCAGATATGGTGAATCCCAGCTCCATTGAGTAGATCGACAGCCGGGCCTGCCAGTGCCGGTGAATGTGTGGAGCAGGAGCGCTCTGAGAACTTCACCAACCAGCTCTTGGCAAGGACCCAATGTGGCAGGTAGTTTGAGAGCGAGGGCTGTGCCGTGAGAAGGTCGGTATACTGACCAGGCATGCGCGAGCGACCGCAAGCATGCGACTTGCGTGATGCCCACGCAGAATGTCCATCAAGTGTAACGCTGCATCCATCCCGTATTCTGTAACAGTTGCAGCGAGCTGACGTACTACCTTGTAACTGGCCACTGACGACGAATTAAGCTTCTGGCATGTAGCCACACCCTGAGGCGGCTCGGTGTCGGCACTCGAACCACACCCAGCCGTCAGTTCCGTCCCGACAGAAAGAAAGACCTCGGATTCCAGACAACGCCAAGCATGGGAAGTTGTGGTCCATAGACGGAGTTTAGAAGGAGATGAATAATGGACATCGCTACTTGACAGCAAAAACCTAGCGACACAGCCGCACCGTCGTGCACGCCAAGCATAGACTTGCCAAGCCACGAACGCTCTTCAATACCGCTAGGACCAATCAGTCGCAGTGTACCCGGCCGACACATCCGACAACCTGCACAGGGTTCGACTACACCTTGACGGGCTCCGGTGTTATGCTTCCTATGCTCAGGGACGCTCGCTTCTCTCGGAGCCAAGGCCTCGCGATATCTGCACTTGGATGCCAAGGCCCTCCTCAGGCCCACTGACAGTGACAGTACAGACGGGTCGAGACTATGGACGCTGTAGATCCCTGGGCAGGCGCATGCTTCGTGGCGTCCAGCAATGGCAGAAGTATGGCTCACCACTTCTTATGCATTCTACCACGGCACTACTGCTTAACAACGCATTTGCGTCCCAGGCTTATCATCAATCGCCGCCAGTGCAACCTTCATGAGACTTCACGGCCTCGAATTTTCGATTCTGCTCTTGTTTGATGCTGCATCTCGTTGAACGGTCTATGATTACTGACTTACAACCCCATTCGTCCTTATGCCTCCACGACCTTTACGGCCTAAAGATGACCCTGCAACATCTGAGGGCAGTGAGACTCCCGGAGATAGCAAATTCAGCAAGCGACGGGCAGTATCTTCAGCCTGTATCCCTTGCAGGAAGCGGAAATCAAAGGTTAGAAAGACACCCCGGATGGCATTGGAATCAACACACCCGCTGATCAAGCTATAGTGCGACGGAGCAGTACCGTCTTGCTCGACATGCACAGCAGTCTATCGAACGGAATGCCAATATGATGCAGACAGCGACCACAGACGGAAAGGCGCACTGAAACGCGACATACAGTGTCTACAGCAGCAGAACGATGCGCTCGATGTCATAGTAGCGTCGCTTAAGAGTCTACCTGAGAACGATGCTGTCTCACTGCTGCACCACATTAGAGCAGATTCCTCGCTGGATCTGATCGCTGCTGCTCTCAGAACCAACGTCCGCCTACCATCGAGTTATGCTCCGCAGACCCTCGAGGCCGACTTTGCTCAGCAGATGTCACAGGCCACACCAACGAGCATTGGTCCTGCCGAACACATATCAGCATCGCCGCGGAAATTATCCAGTGACGATGGCTACCGAAGCAGCGAGAGTCCAACAACGAACGAGATACCGACGGGCTGGTTCCAGCAGCCCCAAGATGCTGAGTTCGTCGAACATCTGCTCAATCTATTCCTTTCCTGGGTACACCCATTCTACCACTTTTTCTCTCGCGAGCTCTTTCTGCGGGACATGGGTCAGGGTCGATCGAGTTATTGCAGTGCTATGCTTGTGAACGCAGTCTTGGCTATGGCATGTCATTACTCTGATCGACCGGGCGCGCGGAGCGATCCCAACAACTCCATGACTGCTGGAGACCAATATTTTGCGGAAGCCAAGAGGCTATTAGACCGTGATGGTAGATCATCTCTTACGACAGTCCAAGCTCTTGGAGTGATGGCTGTACGGGAGTGCTCGCACGGTCGAGAGAGCAGCGGCTACATGTATGCTGGTCGGTGTCTGCGGATGGCGCTCGAGCTCGGTCTGCATCTGTCGGTCATCGGCAGCGGGATGAAGGCGTCGGAAATGGAGTCTAGAAGGATAACGTTTTGGGCGGTGTTCAATCTGGAGACGTAAGTGCGCGTACACCACTCTCTCGCGATCACAGAATTGACTTGCTGTAGGACATGTTCTGTTAGCTTTGGTCGACTCTCGCTACTACCTCGCGCAGCTGCTGACATTCCAAAGCCGGCCATGAGCGAACGCCTGGAGTCTACCACCTGGCGTCCGTACGTTGAAGATGGCGTGGCCTTGAGTCCGAGCTCAGAACAGCCAGCCCGGCCAGCCTTGTTCGTTGACTGTCTCAGCAGACTCAGCGAGCTGGCAAGTGACATGGTCAACACATTCTATGCTCCCCAAGAGCGCTTTACCAGCCGGCGATTAGCTGCTGCTTACAATCAGTACCAAGAATGGTATCATAACTTGCCAGACGCGTTTCGCCTCGAAAATACGACTCTGCCGCATGTGCTAGTCCTCCATATGTACTATCACTCTTGCGTACTGCAGTAAGTGCCAAGTCGATGGTCTGGTATGAATCGTCAGCTAACAACGACCATAGACTCTTCCGACCTTACATCAAGCTTGACCTTAGAGGAGCTGGTCTCTTCCCACGAGATACTTGCACCTTTCGTGCAAACGAGATTTCCAGCCTCATGAATGCTCTGCGAGCCATGTACGGCTTGAGACGCGTATGCCATCTGGTCTGCAGTTGGATCATGTCAGCAAGCACCATTCATCTGCTCAACCTACCGCAGGCTTCTGCCGCTGCAAACCTCAGCCAAGGTCTGCACGATCTTAAAACGATGTCTGTAAACCATCTGTTCGCTGCTCGGTGTATCGATATAATTCGCGCGTTGGCCACGAAATGGAACATTGCGCTGCCCGAAGATGCCGCAGCAGTGTCTAGCTTCCGCCTGATGCGACAGTGGCCATCGCCACCTGCATCAGACTTCTTCGCCACGACCATCCCACGGAAAGATTCGAGTGGCAGTGGAGCGAAATCTGGCGGCTCAATATCGAGTCACCAGCCCGAGACTCCATTCCCACCGCCATTACAACAACAGCAACATTCATCGCTACCACTCCTGCAGACCCAGCAGAACGTACCGACCTTCTACACAGACCCGACTGCTCCAATGGACGCAGACCAAGCGCAACACGCCTTCTGGACACCCTTCCCAGCACAAGGCCTTCCTATGTCTTTCAGCGATATCAGCATGGACTTCAACTCACCCACAACCGGCTCCATCCACGGTATCTCATGGCCCGGCTACGGCGGCTCAGCAGGTCCACCGACCACCCAGACCTCAAATGCATACGTTGACTCTCTGTTGAGCACAACAACTCCGGGGCAAAATATGGGCGAGGCACGCCGGTGGGGCTGGCAGTGAAAAGGAGTATGTCGGAGACGGGGAGCCACGATCGACTTTTGGTCGCCTAGTGAGACCGTCTTTTTACATTTTGCGCAGAACCGTAATCAAGCTTGGAGACAAAAGCGTAAATCGAGCAGGCTCGACTTCCGCGGAGTGCTCCAGGCCTACATTCTGTACCACGGGCCATACTACTAAATTGTGCCACATAAGCGAGGCGTTTGGGAGTCGAAAAGTGCCGACATATGTAACACTATTGTACTTGTCCTTTCTAACAGCTCTGGAAGGTGTGGTTTTCTATCAAGCATCTTACGTTGACGATTGAGCATATCCATACTACGAACATTTGTCTCGACATGCACTGACCATGGTGACGGCATGAGAAAAGTTTAGCCAGCACAGGCCTCTGTCCAGCTATATCGTGCTCAAGTATCACGTTTATGATCTCGAACACCAGCAGTAAAGCTATCACTCTCCCATCAGCTCAGGAATAAGTGACAAAGGCAGTCGTCTGACGTTAGCACATAATTACACATCACCCACCTGTTTCCAAACACCGGCAGCTAAGCACAGCAGTAGCTGCGGGACAAGTAGCTTACCCAATAGCTTCGATATCGGCCGAATCAGAGGCGTCATTCTTGTATATATAACCGCACGAAACATTGTTCCTTGCCCCTATTTTGCCCTTACTACAAGGGACGCCACTATCGTCAAACTGTCTTCCCACACACTCTTTCGTCTCGCCACCACGGCCAACAGAAGTGTACACCAACAGCGCCTCAACACCCTCTCCCGCCACTTCTCCAGCACATCCGCCATCATGGCCCCGATACAGAAGGAATGCGACTACCTTGTCCTTGGCGGCGGCTCCGGCGGTCTCGCCAGCGCGCGACGAGCCAGCGGCATGTACGGCGCCAAAGCCATCGTGATTGAGAACAAGCGTCTGGGCGGCACATGTGTGAACGTGGGCTGCGTGCCCAAGAAGATCACCTGGAACGCTGCGAACATCGCTGAGCATATGAAGGACGCGAGGGCGTATCAGTTTAGTTTCGAGGAGACGGCGCCGTTCAATTGGGGTGCGTTTAAGCGGAAGAGGGATGCGTATGTGAAGCGGCTGAACGGAATCTATGAGAAGAATTTGAAGAGCGATAAGGTGGAGTATCTGCATGGGACGGCGAGTTTCATCGATTCGCATACGGTCAAGGTGCTGCTGGATGATAATAGCGAGGCGGAGATCAAGGCGAAGAGGATCCTGGTTGCGGTTGGTGGATATCCCAACTTGGCACCTGTTGAGGGCGCGGAGCATGGTATCACGTCTGATGGCTTCTTCGAGCTTGAGACGCAGCCGAAGAAGGTCGCTGTGGTGGGCGCGGGCTATATCGCTGTAGAGATGGCGGGTATGTTCCACGCCCTGGGGACAGAAACCCGCCTCTTCATCCGCAACGACACCTTCCTCCGGAGCTTCGACCCGATGGTGCAGGAGAAAGTGACGGCACAATACGAGAAGAACGGCATACATCTCCACAAGCAGTCCTCGCAATCCAAGCTCGAGGATCTCGGGAACGGCAAGAAGAAGCTACACTACAAGGACCAGAGTGGCGAGGGCAGTATCGAAGTCGATACAGTCCTCTGGGCCATTGGCCGCAGTCCCGAACTAGAAAAGCTGAATCTCAAAGTCACGAAAGTGGCTCAAAATGACAAAGGCCACATCAAGACCGACGACTACCAGAACACCAACATCGAGCACATCTACGCTCTAGGCGACGTCTGCGACCGCGGCTTCGAACTCACACCCGTGGCCATCGCAGCCGGACGCAGACTAGCAGATCGTCTCTTCGGCGGAATGAAAGACGCGCACTTGGACTACAGCAATATCCCCTCGGTCGTCTTCTCCCATCCAGAAGTCGGCAGTATCGGCATGACCGAGCCTGATGCGAGGAAGAAGTTTGGCGATGATATCAAGATCTACTCTTCGAACTTCACGGATATGTACTTTGCTATGCATGAGCAGGATGAGAAGACTCCGACTGCCTACAAGTTGATTTGTCAGGGCAAGGATGAGAAGGTGGTGGGAATGCATATTCTGGGCATGGGATCGAGTGAGGTGCTGCAGGGTTTCGGTGTGGCTATCAAGATGGGTGCCACCAAGGCGGACTTTGATCGGTGTGTGGCGATTCATCCTACCGCTTCTGAGGAGCTGGTGACGATGAAGTAGTGTAGGCTGTTTGTATAGAGCAGACCTGTTCAGCCTTGTGCACACATAGCTGAGTATACTTGCACTGTCTTCGGATCTGAATAGTGACCTGCTTACTGTCCTCAGCACCTCGTGTGCTTGTCATTGCGTAGATGTGCGTGTAATGATTTCGTTCAGTGCTGCTACAAAGCCCAGCCACGAGTCGTACAGACCGTCGTCCAGCCTGCCAACTCGCTGCAAAACGCCATGCCCTTCATATCAACGCATCTTGAAACCCGTCTATGAGCGAGGCTTCTCCTTCTTCTCCTTCCACAGCGCACTGAGACCCACGCCGGAGACCTTGACGACCTTGAATCGCACACCGGGAATATCACCCTTGGCCTTGCCCTTACGACCGAAACCAGCGAGCAGGACTTCGTCGTTCTCGTCCACGAAGTTCAAGCAACCGTCATTGGGGACTGTAGTAAGCGTAATTAGTGGGTGATCGTGTGATGCATGGGGTATGTTAGGACATACCGAAAGCGGTGACCTTCTTGCCGTTCTTGATGAGCTGGACACGCACACACTTGCGGATGGCGGAGTTGGGCTGCTTGGCCTCAACACCGACCTTTTCGAGGACTATGCCCTTGGCGTGTGATGAACCCTTCGCCATGTGTTAGCCGAAATGTCCTGCTAATAGATCGAAGCCTCCACCGCCATCGCCACCACAGCCATATGCACCATCCAGTATCTTCATTTTCGTGGCTGGGCTAAAGGCATGCTGGAGGCGATCGCAGTGGTAATGGTATCGTACGTACTCCGAATGGCGAGGACTTGTATGCTGTTCCGAGAAGTCTCTTCTTGTAGTGTAGATCCGCCCACTGCTGCTCGCGTCGGTGGTTGCGCAGCTTGCGAGCTGCCAACAGTCCTCTTGGCTTTCCTTTACCCATGATTGCGGTGTTGTGGAAAAGGTTGCTATCACTCCACTGCCGCTCACTGAATCTTCAATTGTGAAGGTGGGCTTGCTTGCCTTGGCGCGCTAGCCGAAACCGAGCGGTCGGGCCCGTGCATCACGTGCTATCGCTTCGCCCTCTTCCACCACTCCTGTTCTTCCGCTCTTAGAGTAATCTGCCAACGACCTAAGAAGACAGGCTGATGCTTCGGCACTTATGTCTCACCAGCCATGCGATATTCAGGATTCGCGCATGTGTTGCGGCCAGAAGATCTTCAAGCACGAAACAAAATGACCCTTTACGGATTCTCTTCTGCGGTGCAGACCAATTCAGCATCTACTCCCTACGCGCTCTCCACGATCTGCAGCAGGCACGACCCGACATAATCGCAGCCATTGACGTATTATGCAGGCCTGACAAAAGAGTCGGCCGCGGTCTGAAGCGAGTTCAAGAAGTGCCCATTAAACCCGTGGCGACGACCCTTGGTCTCCAACTCTATCAAGTCGATACATTCAAGGGCTGGCAATCATCCAGTGTCTACGATCTGATCGTTACCGTCTCATTCGGCCTGCTGGTCCCAGCAAGAATTCTCGATGCAGCTCGTTATGGTGGCCTTAACGTCCATCCATCGCTGTTACCAGCGTTTCGTGGTCCAGCTCCCATACAACGAGCCATGCTAGAGAGGGCAGAGACGACTGGTGTGACGCTGCAGACTATGCATCCGACACGGTTTGATCATGGAGCCTTGCTCAGTCAATCGCCAACACTGGCATCTCCATATACTTTGCATCTGGATGAAGTCGTCGAGACGCTCGGCACTGCTGGTGCCAAGCTACTTGTTGAAGGGATATGCGACGGCTTGTTTATACCTCCCGTGCAGCCACTGGATGATACTTTCGAGAGAGCTACGTACGCCGCCAAGATTACGCCAGAGGATCGGCATATCGACTGGCAGAAGTGGACGGGTGAAGATCTCATGGTACGGGATAGAGTGCTATCAAATTTGTGGGACTCTAAAGACTCTCAAGGCAAACGACGTATCTATCATGGTCCATGGAGTGCCATCAGCAATCCAGCGTCAGGTGAACAGCCAGGGACAGCTTTGGCGCTGGAGGGTAAGGTTGGCTTCTACACTATCGACAACAAGGTCATGGTTCCATCATCCATCACGATCGAGGGAGAGCCGAAACGTGGTGGACACGCAAAACTGTATAGAGCTCTACAGTTATAGACTACTATGTACCGGTACTGGGCAGGAACGCTACAGGTACGCTGTCTGCTACAGGTTTTATGTTCACGACTGGTGCACCATTCATCAGGAGAGAATTGTTCGTTAAGATAGCACCATCAGCAATCGGTCCCTCGCCAGTCGGTCTCTCCCGTGTCGCTCCAAGAATAAACCGTGGATGTGCTGTACAATGACTGTGGCCGTTCGTGTCTCGGTAGAAATAGACGTCGGTGTCCTGAGTTCCTTCCAGGTCCGAGTCGCTCTCCCGACTGACCACATCTCGCTCTACAGAGTCGAGATCAAATGCTCCAATGCGCTTACATTGGCCCAGATGACTCCACCTTCGTCGAGCGTTACAGCCATTAGTGAGTGACAAGCTGCGACGCACTCCCAGCCCCACCCCAGCTCTCAACAGCAATGACCTGAAAGTTAAGCGTGCCAAGACTCATCCCATGGCTCTTCCAAGCAGCGAAATGGTTCGCAATGGTAACCGTCCCGCTAGCCCTCGGCGAGTTACGAATGGAAATATACTGCTGGAAAGTCGAAGTCCCCTGAATCGAAGGCTCATTGGAACGCAAGTTCTCCCAGATAGTGTAGGTGCTGCCATCGGTTGTGAAGGTGCCCTTGTTGGTACCCGTCTGCGTGAACCCCTTGGAGTCTTCGATCACGTAGTACTCGACCAATGGGTTGGTCGACCAGCCGTACACGGAGAGCGTGCCTAGGCCGGAAGTGACGCCGAAGCTGCCTGAGTGCGTGATTGGGGCGGTGCTGCCTGGGTTCCAGCCTAGTGAGGGGTGTCAGTGTCCATTGTATAGGAAGAGGTGGCGGTGAGACACTGTGGACCACCCTACTCACCAATGCCGACGACGAAATCCTGCCCATTGACATTGTAGTTCAAGGAGAACTTATCTCCAGAGTGCTGGAAGTTGACGGTACCACCGGTATGGTAGTTCTGGACATAGTTCTGCCTCTTCTCGAGCGAAGCGTTGCGACGGGCCAGGGCAAGCGGGTGGTCTTCGCCAAGCACGAAGTTATAGTCGCCGCGGGTCTCGAGCACGGCGTCGACCAGCGACGCGGGTGCAGCGAACGTCGTGGTGGCGATAGCGGAGAGCGCAAGGGCGACTCGCGAGAAGGCGACCATGGTGTCTTGAGACGGCTGACCTTTGGTAATGAGTGGAAAGAGTGGTAGAGGATGGTAATGACTGGATGTACAAGACCGGAAAGACGCTCTCTCGGTCGTCGAGCAAGTTCTTATACCACTACATCCGCACCTCTGGTGAACATGGCTGTCTACCACGGAGGAATCTCTTCGTTGTCGTTTGCAAATTATTGCGTGCCACAGCCTATCTGCATCAATTATAGGCTGAGTCGGCCAATCTGATTGGTGGAGACACATATGCGCCGCCTACTGCTGGGTGAGGGTGCCTATGAAAGACGACCTGCCTATGCGACCACTTCGGCGGCCCGCATCCCAGACAACTGACCGGAACAAAAGGTTCCAAGTATAGTGCGTCTGCCGTGTCGCGCAGCACTCGCTTGCCAAGCCTGAAACTTCTTGTTTGCTTCAAGCTTCGCACGAGCATGGCTTGCTGTAAAGGATCCCTGTTGCAGATCGTGTCTCGGAAGGCGAGTCCCAGTATACGTCGGAAGGTTCCTGTTACAAGACAAGGAGCTAAAGGCGAGCCTGCCCATGATCCTGTGCATGTTGGCATCACGTGATTACACAGCAATGTTGGCCACGATTGGTGGAGAGTAAACGGCTGTCGTTCCTATATAGCTAGTAGCATAGCTGAAATGAAGTGAAAGTAATCATACCGCGCCTCCACCAACACCACGCTGAAGGTCAAAAGCCCCTTGATCGTCTTCGTCGCAAATACAGTCGTTTTCGGCAAAGCCTCATACCTGCCGAATCTCGTCCGCCGCCTAGGCAAAGTCTTCAGCGCGCCTCCTGCTGCCACGTCCCTTGATCCTCCCGTCGAAGAGATCCTTGCCAGCGAAAAGGTCTTTACCACTGCCACCGTTGCCAGCCTTGAGTGGGAATAGCTCTTTAGGCAATGAAGATTGCTTCTGTGTCTCGCCACTGGCACCGAGTATATTATACCCATTATCCTTGCGACCCGCGCCCTTGAAGCTGAAGTCCGAGTCCGATCGATCGTCGAGACGGCCATAGCTCTTATCGATGGCCGGTCCACCAGAAATACGAGAGAACAGATCACCCTTCTCTTGGCGTCGAGGTCGTTTGTCTGAGATGCTGTAAGTGTCGCATTCGTCTGTGCCGTCAAAAGAATACCCACCGAGATCTGTTTCTACTCGTCGATACTCACTGTCGATGTCCCGCGCTTCTTGCCGTTTGTGTGAGGGGAAGAGTTCACGAGGTGTTTTCGGAGGAGAGCTGTGGGTTGGGAAGAGATCCATTGCTGCACCGCCATGGCCGTTCATGCCATTTGTCGACTTTTTGTCCGGGAAGAGTTCTTTCGTCATCAGCTCTCGTGCTTCGCGGTTGTCTAGTACACGTCGTGAAGGAGTTCGTGAACGTGGACGTGCAGGTTGCCTCTGAGGTTGGTTGTCGTCGAAGCCATAGCGACCATCACCATCACGATCTGGTGAAGCACTGCGGTTCCGTAGACGTCCGCTTGCCTTGTCCGGGAATAGCTCGTCGCCTGTGCGCGCTCGCTTCCTCCCCACGTCTGCTGAAGTGTAGCTCTGGCTTCGCTCCTTCCGAGCTTCGACAGACGCAGGGTTATCATCATACATGTTCTCATCGAATGCATCGCCGCCTGAGCCGCGTCTTGCATAGCCATCATCCTCCGTGTCCCGTCTTCGTCTTTTGTTACCGTAGTCTCTGTTGCGGTAGCCACGCTCTCCATATCTTCTCTTGCCAGAGCGATTGCCGTGTGGATCTTCTGGATCGATCGCATTGTCCAGGTAGTATCTGCTATGGAGACTAGCATTCTTGACCTTGACGTCGGATTCGACAGCTCGTCTCACGACCAGGACGACATTAGGGTGCGTAGTCAATCTCTTCGCTGGTCGTTCTTCGAGTGGGTCTGAACGCTCTTCTGCCGAGAGAGCTGTGAGTGCGTCTGCTGCTGCCGCATCGGTATCGTAGATCAGGTTCACGGCAGAATCATTGACCCACTCCACCTTCTTAAACAGATCATAGGAGAAGTGCTCATTGGCGAAGTTTTCCACATCCCGCGTGCTCAGATCATCCACGCCACGGACATGCACTTTTGGCACCAGCGCATTCTGCTCGACCTCGCCGTCCTCTGCTGCCTCCTCCACTCCATTCATCTCCCCAGTATCAATGCCATTTGTCTATTCGGAGTCGTCAGTGATGTAGCTCGTTGCTTTCGCGTCGCGTGTGGGACGTACAGATTGCATGGCTTCGGCTTCAGCTAGCATGCGCGCCGTGTCCTCGTCCATGCCATAGTCGATGTCGATATCCATGTCTGCCATGGCGGCGTCGGTAGCCATTGCGCCGATGCTGGGAGGAATGTTGGCGTCGGTAGAGTTCCTGCAGGCTCGATCTCAATTGCGCGGGGCGGGAGAAGGCGTCTGGCAGGCGGGTAGGCAAATGCGTGTGGAAAGGCGTGTGGATGCTCAAATGTGAACCTCGAATGTCAATCGTCAAGCTTCAGCTGCGGCTCATGGTTCAAGGTTGGGCTTATGTAATAGCTCCAGGTCCCGCATGACGCATGGAGCGGGACGAGCCGCTGTGACTAAAGAGGAAGCCACAACTGGAGGTGAAGTGAACATCTTCCCTGACGCGAACGTGGTGAAGTACCATCAATAGCGCTTTGCGAAGCTTCAAAGTCGATCGCATTCAACGAGATGCCGGTGAGTACATTTTGAGTTGGCTTCATCATCGAGTAACATGTTGCATTGACGCGTGAGACACGCGCTACACGCAGGCAGGCAAGCAAGCAGCAAGCAAGCGAGCAGGCAGGTGCGCTTTCCTTCTTTGCACCTCACCTCACCGTTTCTTGGATTCCTTCAGTCTACATGCTACAGTTTCATCCCTTTCTTTCCACCTTTCATTCACGCCGGGGAACCACAATGGCGACTGACGGAGTGCGCCGATCTGGCCGTGCTCGCAAGGCGGTCACAACCTATGCCGATGAGCAAGCAGAAGACATTCTTGCCACCAAGGTTCCTGTCTCCAAGTCTACAAAGGCACCCAAAGTCACAAAACAAAAGCCTTCACCGGGCGATGGCGAATCTGCCGTTCTGTCAGACTCTCCTGAACCACCTGCCAAGAGGACCAAAACTGCAAAGCAAGCAGACAAGGACGATGCAACCTTCGACACTAGCGATACTTCCTCGCCCGTGGCGAAGAAAGCGAGCAAGAAGTCTAAGACCAAACGTAAGAAAGGTGACCCGCCACCACTCGACGAGCAGGTTCGCCAGGGCTTTCACTCCAAGATTTATCCTCAGACCAAGAAGATCACTCTCCAAGAAAAGGGCTGGCATGGCGAAGCTGCCGAATTTCGCATCGAGCGTGCCAGATCCAAGACCCAACCACTCCTGCCTGGCCAGCAAGAGAAACGTCTTCGCAGTTTCGTCGAAGTCCCCGGTGACGAGTACGAGACCTTCCTGCATCGAGCCACTACCCAGAAGATGTTCGTTCTCAACCGCGAGCGCTTCTTCGAAGACGACTGCCATGCTGGCCACGACGACTGCCCATCCGAGGTCCTCAAGATGGCTGGGTCAAGGGGAGACGTCTATACCATCACCATTTCGCACTTGCTGAGCTGCAGTTGTCCAGTCGCCCTCTTCACCAGGGATGGCAAGCAGAGGTGTTGCAAGCACCTGATCTATGTCTTGCACAACGTTCTTGAGGCTCCAGACAGGCTCAAGTACCAGAACGCCTTCCTCACATCTGAGCTGCGTGAGATCTTCGACAATGCTCCGCCACTTCCATCCGAGATCGGAGACAAGGTGGAGGATGCCGATGCTGGCAATCGCAAGCCGCTTGATGATGATTGTCCTATCTGCTCGCTTGAACTGGAGGGCGAGGCCACAGTCTGGTGCAAGACATGCGGTTACAGCCTGCATCAGGTTTGCTTCAAGCAGTGGGCTAAAGTCAAGGCTCGCAACGTGACTTGTGTCTTCTGCCGCGCGGAGTGGCAAGATGACGACGGCGGTGGTAAGCAGAAGGTGATCACACAGGATGTTGCCATTTCCGCTCAGCGTTCTGCTAGTGGTTACCAGAACGTTCGCCACCTTCTCGAGCAGCAGTACGATTGATCGGGCTGCCGTATAAGCGACAGAGAAAGGTTATTGTTGAGCGACTTCACAAGAACACTGTTCTGTCGGGCCATAGAAGGACGTCACGGAGTTTCGAGACGGCGATAGTCCTGTGAAGAAGGATGCTTTATGATGCTGTAAGGGCGGGCAGGTGTATGCACCAATGCTAAGCTACTCCGATCGCTAGTTGTACAAGTACTCAACATTACACCAAGCCAATACTCCTTCGCATGTACGCAAGCAATAATGTAGCATAATGCCACTACCTGACAATCGACCCCTGCCTCACACCAGAAGCTTCAGCCTCATAGTCCGTACCAGAAACATCGTGAATGCCATGCTGCTCCGTTGGTGGTGGTACGTCCTCAACACCGTGAGCATTCTCCATTCCCGCAGCATTTGCCTTGCGAATATTGCGGCCTCCTGGCTCCAGGTATAGAGCATCGGTCGATATCTCCTCTTCCGGCGGCTCCCACTTGCTTGACTGCCAAGGCTTGACGTGCATGATGTACATCGTGTCGATCTCCTCCAACGACCGTCCACTGCTCTCGCAGAGAAAGAAGTAGACGACGAAAACGGCCGTGAAAGAGCATGCGGCGAAGATGTAGCCGTAGCGGTAGTCGATCGCAGCTGTGATGAATGGGGTGAAGAAACTGATCAAAAAGTTCCATATCCAATTACTGGCGGATGACAGACCCATGCAGGTTGCTCGGTAGCGTGTAGGGAAGAGCTCGCCGATCACAGCCCATACGATCGGTCCCCAGGTCATAGCGTAGCCTGCGATGAAAAGTGCTGCGAAAATGATCATGACCGTGCCTGCAGTATGGATCTGCACGCCTTGCTGGAGCAGGAAGTGACCGACCGACGCGAAGACCATGAAGCACATGAACATCCACAGTGCGCCGGTCATCAGTGCTCGCCGGCGACCGAAGTGTTCTACTACGTAAAGGCCGGGGAAGGTCATGCCGAAATTGATGGACCCAAGGATGATCGATGTCACGAATGAGTCTGACAGGCCGATGTTTGCGAAGACGGTCGTGCCGTAGTAGAAGAAGAAGTTGGCACTATTGAGAAGGTCAGCCAAACTCATTCCTCTTCATGCTGGGTTTATCGTGTTCGCACTTACCCGGTCAACTGTTGCAGGGCTTGCATGGTGATACCCAAAGCTGTACGATAGCCCATACGAGGTCCAGTGAAGCATTCATACCACTTGGGCTTTCCACCACCGGCAGTCTCGGCGTCAAACTTGGCCTTAATGTCTCTCATCTCACGATTTACTTCCCAATGATTGATCGGCACGCCGTAGGATTTCGCGATGGTCGCGCGGGCACGATCGATATGGTTATTGCGGTAGTCCCAACGGGGCGACTCTCGTAAGAAGAAGATACCTATCGCCATGATGGCGGGAAATATGAAACCGATGCCCATGGGAATTCGCCATTGCTGGGGTCCACCAAGGTTGTGCGTTCCAAAGTTGATGATATAAGCTAGCCAGATTCCAGCCGTGATGAACAGCTGATAGCAACTGACCAACGCACCACGGACTTGGCGAGGCGCGGTCTCCGATTGATACATAGGTGTGAGTACGGAAAGGCCGCCGACGCCAAGTCCGGCAACCCAGCGCCCGATAGCAACTTGATACCAGTGGCGTGTTGTCGAGATCTGGATGATCACGCCTATGATGAAGACGATGTTCCAGGTGATGATGCAGATCTTGCGGCCGAACTTATCAGCAATTGGCGCGCTGCCAATGGCTCCGATCAAGGTACCGATAGATAGAAGTCCAACGATGGTGCCAGACCTCACATTACTGAAAGCGCCATTCTCACCAAATCGGTTTTTGAAATCGTCCATTTCCAAAAACCCGGAGATCTGACCAGTATCGTAGCCAAAGATGAGACCACCGATACTGACAATCAATGCCATGACAAAGACTCGGACGGTGAAGATCCTGACCTTGGAGTTGTCGACGTCCGCCTTCTCAGCCACGACTGCATCCTTCTCGATCACGCTGGCATTATTGCGTGGTGTCGTCTCGCCTGACATCGCACCAGCCTGGTCGTTCTGTTTGTTCTTGCCGAGCATCTTCTGGAAAGAAGAAGACAACGGCATGATGGGCAATCGGTCCTGTTCTCCAGAAAGGACGCGGGGTGGTCAAACGTTGTGCTGGTAGACTTCACGGGCAGGACAAACACTCTTATGTGAGGGGAACATAACCATGCAAAATCTGTGATAGCGCCGTCATCACCTCGGGCGTTCACATGGCGCCGCTGAGCACGAGGGCAGAGAGTGGTCCGAGGCGTCCGGTGCGCAAGGCAATTTCGCTATTGGGTGTTCCACTGGCTCCATAGTCGATGTCATCGCGAACGTCCTCCGAGCGGCGTGAGTTCGTCATGATCTTGGCGTCAACGGGCCGGTGCGAAGTGCGCGACGCTCGGTCATTGGCTGGAATCCGGACGAGAGTCGCGGTTCTGCTGTGCCGCCTGAACTTTGTCAATTTCTTCTTGCGTCACTGGATCTTGAATTGATTTCTAACCAAGCATCGGCACTCGACTTGTACACCGTCGGGGTACACGGCAAGAGTTTCACAGCACGGGGCAGTAGCGCTGACTACAGTTGTGCAACGGCATACAGCTGCCGAGCGTGTCAGCTGTGGCCCACTCCCGAAGGCGTGTCGAGCTGCGGACAACAAGCATCCGTGAGCCGGCCTTCGTATGGCTCCTCAGCAATCGGCCAAGAATATGGAAGATCCGATGGACTCGTCTGTAACGTCTTCAAGAGACCATCAGGCACCTCCCGGAGCAGACAGAGGCGTGAGTGCCGTGTCAGAACAGCATCTACACGATGTCGATGTTGCCGCTCCGAAAGACAACGGTGAAGACTTTGAGAATCCTGACCCCCTAAAGGTTTCAGGTTTGTCTCACAGTCTGCGCTCCTGGTATCGAATGGAAGTCTGTCAAGAACAATAGAAAGAAGGGTGCCATTCAGCTTGAGGATTGAGAGTCAGAAGGTGCGGGCGTGACTGGGTAACAGAGGCTTCTACCATGACTACGTTGCGATTTACAAGTTCTATATCTAGTCTCTAGACGGTATGCTACGCCATGAACGTGACTTTTCTCACAACTTACTCTTCTCAGCTATGAGGGTCTGGCCAACAAGGTGGCTGTCTTAGCCAATCGCGATGGCCGATCAGCTGGTCGACAGACTGGATGCCTGCGACGTTGAACATGATGTCCAGATCGGCAAGTAGAGACTTCATGACATGTCGGACGCCATGCTCGCCCATGATGCTCAATCCCCAGATCCAGAGCCTGCCCACGAAGACGAATCTGAAGTATCGTCAGCATGGTTCAGGAAAGCTATGATGATGAAGACTTACTGTGCACCCAGCGCCAAAGCTTTGCAGATGTCCGATGCGCCGCGAACGCCTGAGTCGAACATAATATACGTCTTGTCACCAACAGAATCAACGATCTTCTCCAGCGCATCAAGACTAGCAATCGCACCATCAACCTGCCTACCAGCATGATTACTAACTACGATCCCGTCAACGCCGACCTCGACCGCCTTCCTAGCATCCCTTACATCCTGAATACCTTTAATGGCAAAAGGCATTCCACCACTAATCTCCTTCCAGGTCTTGATCAGCCACGGCATCCGCTCCCACGAATGTGCACGGCCATGCCATACGTTATCGATCCATTTCGCTCCCGCCTCGTTGGGCTGAGTCTTCGGATCAATACCATCCTCTGCTAGCCGTTTCTGGAAGACGGGATCAGAGAGACCGAGGTCGGCGCCGATGCCGTGGTAGAAGGCGTAGTTCGAGGTGTTGATGTCGTCGTGGCGCCAGCCGAGTTGCCAGGTATCTACTGTTAGGATACAGGCTGCGAAGCCGCTGTTGTAGGCTCGCTTCAACAACGACACAGTAAGCTCATCGTCATGTGGCATATAGAGCTGGAAGAATCTGGGTCCTTCTCCATTCGCGGCGGCGACGTCTTCGATGGGTTGGGAGCCGGCTGTGCTGAGACAGTATGGCAAGTTAAGCTCTTTCGCTACCTTGGCCACGGGTAGCTCGCCTTGAGGATGGTAGATCTTGTTGATGCCTACTGGACTGAAGCCAACTGGTGCAGAGACTTTGTGGCCCCAGATGTGGTGTTTTGTGTCCCTCTTGTTGGTATCGACTAGCATGCGAGGTATGAATTTGTGTCGGTAGAAGGCTTGACGATTCGCCAGGTGGGTGGTCGATTGTCCGACGTTGCTCGATGCGTAGTACCATCCTCCTTCGCTTAGCTTCTCTTTTGCGCGCTCCTCGAGCTTGTCTGGGTCTGTGGTGAGGTTAGTCCATGCTCGCCACCTGAGGAGAGTTGTAGATGCTCACGAGTATTGAATGGTGGGACATTGCCGTCATTGCTTGCCCAGAAGTTGTCACGCTGGTACTCAGCGTACTCAGGCGTGTTGCGAACGTTCTTGTTCTCGTTCTTTATGTCCACGGTTGCTGTGTGTTAGGAGAGCGTGGTTGCAGGGTGAGAAAGGACGAGAGATCGAGATAAAGAGATGAGCGTGTACTTCACCGTGTTCCGCAATAGCCGTCTATATCTATACGAGAATCCGAAGCATCAGAGTTGCGGCATTCCGTTGCACAAGCATGACGATCATCGCCGACGGCTCAGGACGAAAGAAGTGTGAGGTTGTGGAACGAAGCCAAATCCCTGCTTGCCAAGACCAGAGAGGTTAACTCCAGAAGCTTGACATGCTTCTTTCCCACCACTATCATCTCGCGCCTTCCAGACACAAAGGACGGCATACTCTCAGATGCACGCAGCCACGGTCTTCTTGCCCATCATTGCTGGGTGCTGTGATCACAGAAGCGCCGCCTGTACTGTAATGGCCATGCGGAACGTTTCATGACAGCCATCTTGCTCGATAGAAGGACTCCGAGGCCATGCTGGTATGGTATGCTGTATCAGGCTACGCAAAACATGTGCTATCCTTCGACATAGCTGAGAGCCGCGACCAAGCAAACTCCTTAAATGTGCGTGTTCGAAATAGAGCACTTACAGAGACATCCATGTCCCGTTCACGATTGACCTGCCCTGCCCGGTAGCGTACATATAGGTAGTGATTTGTTGGGTGAATAGTCGATGATGGAGTAGTTGGTATACCTTATCAATGTCCAATCGAGCGGACCGTTGCGCACATATGCGTTCGTGCCTGCATATCCGCTCTGCTCAAACACGCAACACACTTTCAGGATTTCTACCTGATCACAACTCATCAGCACTGCAACGTGCTCGCAAGCATGGATTCTCCCACACTCGACGGCGCTCAACCCTCCGACACAGCACCTCCATCTGTGACCCCGTATTCACGTCTGGTGAGGGTACCATCGCAAAGGACCGACTCACCACACCGCGATGCTGTTGCACAATGTCCTGTCTTTGGACTACCCCGCAGAGATTCGTAATCGAATCTATCGAATGTGCGTGCTCGCCGAGCGAGGTATCACTGTCACAAACTCGGGTTACGGAGTACCCGGACTACTGTCAACCTGCCACGCCATTAGAGCCGAGTCTCTGAGCATCTTCTACTGCGAGAATCGCTTAGTTCTACCCGCCTTTCGGTATGACTCATCGGTCGCTTTCAGTGCCCGCAAGACTCTCCTTGGCTGCAAGATGAGCTACGACAAGTCAACCAACCTCAGACTGGACCTTCCCGCGGGCGAAGAGCCGAATTGGACAAACCTGGTTCTTTGGTTGGAACGATATCATGGCCGCTCCGTGGGCAGCTTCTATGATCCTATGGACAGCAAGACAATGTCGCGCTTCAATGCTGATCAACTCTTGATCTGCGCGATGTTCAGGACCGTAAGAGCGCTTCGAAAGCTGCATATGCCGTGGGCGCAGACTTTGGCGCTCGTAGAGCAGCATCGACCTGCTCTGATCAAGATCGACGGGCGATGGGGTGAATGAAGGCGGAGTGCTCGCAGTATCAAACCCACTGTTGGCTTCTTCGGAGGAGTCAGCGCTACGCCACGCCTAAGCCGGGAAGAGAAATGCTCTAGCTGTGATGAGAAATGAAAAGGAGGGAAGGCCCTTGAAGGCGACGACTGTCCGGCATGAGAAATATCGACATATGCGCATGCTTCCTGTGGCCAGCACGACAAATCACAAAGAAGGTCATGAGTACCTGGGATAGGGGACACGTAAGGTATGTGCCTTGCAATCTATGATGCTCAAAACATCCATGACCTGCTAACTTTGCTAAGCCTACTTTCAGATCACATTGTGGGTATCATGGTACACATGCAATCCGAATTGCAACCCGCTACTACATGCCAGTAACACCAATCCTGCCCCAAGACATCAAGTCCATCTTAGCGATCTCGCTCCGTGCAAAATCAGAACCGAAGATCCTCCATACGAGCGACCAACCATAAACAGACTGCCTTCCTCACAGCATCAACATTCCACCCAAACACTCCTACCACAACCGCGAAGACCGCAACACCAGCAGCAATCTTTAAGCCATCAATTTTTCTCTTCCGCTCCTCCGGTGATCGAGCCTGCGCAGCAAACTCCGGTTCATCCTTGATCCGAAAGTTATTCCCACCAAACATATCTTCCAAACCCGTAGCCTGCTGCTGAAAGTCCTGCGGCAGATTCCACGTGCTTGGCTTCAGCTCTAGGCCACCACGAGAAGAGTCAGCTAGGCTCCTACCGCTGTTTTTAACAGGGGAGAAGTCGCTGTCGCCGTCGTTAAGACCGAGTGCCGTGAAGCCGGCTGGCATTTGCTGATTGTGCTTTTGCTTGTGCTGTAGTTGCAAGACCGGAGTGATGGATGAGCCGCCGAACATCTTGCCTTTTGCAATACCTGCTCGCATCTGCTGCATAAAGTCTTGTTGTTTGCTCACTGGTGTCTCCTTGAACGCCAGCTGGGTGACAGGGTTGCGCAGTTTGCGCTCCATACTCATTGGAGCAGCGGGTAAACGTCCTCGAAACGGTGATGGTTCGACTGAAGGCTGGAACTTGAGCTTCGCGCGTTCTTCTTCTGCCTTCCGTTTTGCTTCGGTCTCCGCCGTGAGGTCTTCGCGTATGCCGAAGATGGAGTCCCGCATGCCGGACCAGCCGGCTCCTTGCGTAGCACCGTGATTGAAGAGGCTTCGGGGTGACTGTTGAGCAGGACGCTTCTGGCTCTGCCGTGTCTTGAAGGTGCGGTCGATCGCTGCACCAGGAATTTGTGATCGTGTGATAGGGTAGACATCGATTTCCATAGGATCGCCTGCTTCATCGTCCGTTTCATCCGAGAGTGGTGGAGATGGCATCTGTGATTGCCCGTCGCGAGCCGCTGATGTCGGTGCTAGATTGTTGATCGGGAATGGTCGAACGCGATCAAGCTGTTCTCGGGCAAAGAGTTGAGAAGGCGGTATCGAAGAGGCTTGTCGTTCATATTCGTCGGCTTCTGGACCGGCATCGACACCGAGGACGTCGTGCTCATCAGGTCTTGGCATCACTTTCTGCCTGATCTTGAATCTCACCGTCTTGATAGCGCGATCGCTGAGCCATTGGACGGCAAGCATGAAAAAGGCCACGAAGGCGTGGGATGCCATTAGCTGCTGTGCAGTCATGTTTTTGGTAGCTGCAGCGTTCGAGAGCTGATACCATGCCACAGCTCTTATGGTTAACATGAGCAGTTGCATGCAGAAATGCTCCGTCTGGCCTGTGACTGATTCGATGCGGTGCGTGTGGTGATACCATGCCTTCAAGCCAGGATTGTACCACACAAGAATCGTCGACATAAGGAATGCGCGTGGTAGATATGAACCAAGCGAGGTGAAGCAGGCCTGACTGAATCGCAAACGCAAAGCATCTTGTAAGCACTCTCGTCTCGTTGGGTCGAACGCCGATTCTGCGTCCTCTAAATCTCCCTGAATATGCTGAGTCCTGGCCACCAAGATGCCGTAGATGTGCCAGGCTACTTGCAAGATCAAGCTCGCATACATCAAAGTCTCGACACCACCTAACGCTCTCCGCATGCTCCACTTCCACCAGTCATCTCGCTGCCTTCTTACCCCACCAAGCCCTCTCCTTGCCGTTTCATTAGCTCGTCGTTGGATATTATACGTTCCAGCATAGTGATCTGCTCGATTTATCTTCCTCTGTGCCAGCGGAGCACACCTCTTGCAGACCTGTGGGTATCTCTTCTCAAGCCCAGCTGTGTACTGTGGTAATGCATCCTCGTACTCTTGGTATTGCGGATCGTCTTCATCTGGTAGGTAGTTTCCCAGTGCTTCCATATACAGATGTTGGTTGAGCTGACATGTGCTGCAGAATGCCTGGCTTTGTTGGTGCTCAAGTGTCTCTGGTAATTGTTGTGTGAATGTCTGGAAGGGTGGGCTCTGTTCTCGTGCTGCTATCTGTTGTTGTTGCTGCTGGGCTACGGCACTTGCTGGTGTGTCGATGATGTTGCCTTTTCGATCGAGATAGTTGACTGCTTCACATGATGTACACTGGAAGTCGTTAAGACCAGATGATCTTGCGTACTGAGAGCGGGTCCCACAGAAGTGACAATGAAGCCGGCGCAAGGAGAACATGATGTGTGTTGAGAGAGCGTAGTAAGCCAAAATACTTCGCCTTCTCTTAGGCTTTAATCACTGTGTATGTCTCAGGACCTTAAGGCGCAAGTCTTGTGGCTCCTTGTTTCTGTTGTCATATCTTGCGAGCCAAAGCATTCACAGAGATAGCCCGGTGTTCCGACAATTAGGTTCGGGTGCAACCTCCCGTCTCCCGTCTCCTGCATCCGCGCGCTAGCATGTAGTCACCATTCACATACAGCCACTTTACCCTCCACTTCTTGCATACTGGTCGACATTTTGAGTGCATACGAGAGTATCGTTCGGAGAGAGTGCAGGTAAACGATCCTGCCATTGTCTTCTCTGTAAACCTCATATTGTATGAATGACTCCTTTCGAACATGGCTAATGTTGATCGAAATGCCCGGAGAGCGGTTACTCGGCCTCGAAGCCCACAGGCGGCCGTCCATTCAGCACCACGACAAGCTCAAGTGTCGCTCTACGTATTTCTATCGCTACTTGCTATACGTGTCGTCAATGTCTTCGTCGTTCAGACTTTCTTCCAGCCAGACGAATACTTCCAGTCTCTTGAGCCAGCATGGCAGCTTGCATTCGGTCCAGACAGTGGAGCTTGGATCACATGGGTGGGTACCTGTCTTTCAAATTAGGAACACCCTACTGATTGTGTGCTCAGGAATGGCGAGAAGGTCTTCGATCATCAATCCATCCCATGCTCTTTGCAGCAGTCTATCGCTTCGCTGATCAAATTGCCAACATTCTGAAGACCGCACCTGACAGTCGTGCTCAGATCTTGATCGTCGCACCTAGGATCGCTCAAGCTGTCATCGCAGCGATTGGCGACTTCTATACTTGGCGGATAGGCTGTGAAGCATACGGACCTCAACACACTGCAGCCTATGCCACCTTAGCACTGACAGTACTTAGCCCTTGGCAGTTCTTCTTCTCCACCAGGACGTTCTCCAACTCGCTAGAGACGACACTTACTGCTGCGGCTTTATACCTTTGGCCATGGTATTGGTCACTCCGAATGGAACGATCGTCCAACGCAGCAACTCAGTCTGTAGCACCGCGCAAAGCTGCTGATCTGGATACCAAGGAAATGGTCGATCAGTTCAAGAGCTTCTTGGAAGGCAGCGATCCTATTTCGAAAGGCAAGACGGAATCGACAGCCAATCAGTCGAGATCAAATGCCAAAGAGGCTGTTCTTGACGCTCCAGATAACCTTTACTATGCACTGGCGACTGCGGCGGTAGCGTGCACACTACGCCCAACAAATATTGTCATCTGGGCCACGATTGCTGGCATCATAGTATATCGTTACGGTAGCTTTGACCGGGCCATCAAGCTTGCTACAGCGATCTTGATCTGCGGTACCGGTGTGCTCGCTGTCTCCATAGGCATGGATAGATCATTCTATGGCAAATGGGTCGTCCCACCCGTCAACTTCTTATACTTCAACATTGTCTACGCAGTCGCGGGCTTCTATGGCATCAACCGTATCGATTACTATTTCTCCGAAGGTCTTCCACTGCTCCTTACAACTGCACTGCCGTTCGCCGTCGTCGGAATCTGGACATCACTGCGACCCGGCAAAGACCTACCTTCTTTCCAAGGCTATAACGAACGACAAACCAGATTCGTGCTTTCGGTCACAGTGCTCGCTACGGTCATAACCATGACCATGATCGGGCACAAAGAAATGCGGTTCATCTATCCACTACTTCCGAGCCTCCACGTCCTTGCTGCAAAGCCCATGGCCAACTTCTTCCGCAACATCACAACCGATAAAGTTAGACTCGGCATACTACTGCTGATGCTCACGACGAACATCTATATCGCCGCCTACACAACCCTGGTACACAAACGCGGCGCACTTGATGTAATGCACTATCTCCGGCATCGACAAGAGGATCGACTGCATCCGATACACTACGGCTACGCGGATCAGATCCATCCCATAAGTTCTTCCAATATCACCGTGGGCTTCCTAATGCCCTGCCACAGCACACCCTGGCGCTCGCACTTTGTCCACCCGCAGATTCAAGCATGGGCGCTGACATGCGAACCACCCCTCCATCTCTCGTTGGAAGAACGAAGAGACTATCAGGACGAAGCGGATGTATTTTATAATCATCCTGGATCATGGATAGATGACAATCTGAAGGATCGAAGTCTCATCTTACCTAGTTGGGAGCGTAAGAAGCTTCAAGGTCAGACTGGAAAGAATGCGGTGAGGAGAGGTGATGAGGAGAGGAGAGCATGGCCCGAGTATCTGGTGTTCTTTGAGCATCTGGAGCCGGTTATGAGTATGGTGCTGGAGGATACTGTGTATGAGGAGTGCTGGAGAGGTTTCAATACTCATTGGCATGACGACTCAAGGAGGAGAGGAGACGTGATTGTTTGGTGTGTGAAGGACTTGCATCGAGAGTCGTTTGCAAGGGCCAATTATGGTATATAGAGGCCAATACATATTCACCTAGGGACGCATCAACCTCGCCGGCAACAAGTCCAGATGCCACGACTAGCGACATTGAGACACAATCCACAGTGTCCAAGGCATCAGGCCGGCCTCATACCATACCTTCTTCCATGGTAAGCTTCACCTCCCCAGCACTTCCCTACATCAATCCCCTTCACAACCCAGCCGGATCCCCCCAATCCGCCTCAACAAGCCTCCTCAAAGCCTCAGCATACTCAAACCCAAACCCCTCCCTCGCTTCCGCATAAGAACAAGCATACCATGCCAACGCAACCACCTCGGTCTCGGCTTCGAAAGCAGAAGCTTGCTCAGCACATCCATCGGCAAAGCGCCAGAGGCATCCGGTTTGGCCAGGACGCTCCACGTCCCATCCTTGTCATATGCGTCTGTCGGAACGGAATCCTTGTTCATGCTATAGGCACGCAGAGCAGTATCCAAATTCCAAGAACTCTGCTCAAGGCAGGATGTGGCGAAGGGGAGGCCGAGGCCAGTTTCGATAGTAGAGTGCGTCAGTTTTGCCATATCCTCTCGCCGCAACTCCACGCCCTTCCCTTTTGGTAATGCTCCTAGCACATTCGAAGCCCTCTCCCAAAATTTCCACCTAGCCTGGAACTCCGCACCCTTCCGCTCGCGTTGCTGAATACTCTCCCCCGCCTTCTCATGATCCCCACGTACATGCGTCCTGTTCTCCCTCCACCGAATCCACATCATGCCGGCAGCAAACACGACAGATCTTCGCCTCTACCCCAAAGCTCAAAGCCGGATAGCACCTCTCTGCCGCCTCCCTATCACCAATCAAAAACCGCACATCCACCTTCGCACTCTTCAACGCATGCCGCCACACTACCGCATCCCGACACACGATGCCGAGACAAAGCATATCAACCACCCACGCCGCCATCTCCTCGTCACTAAGCAAGAACTTAGTTCTCTCGCTCTCCTTCCGACAGAAAGCGACATTCCTGATATATCTCCCCGTCCTCGATCCCGTGCCCCGGAACCAGCGCCCAAGCGTTGTAAGGTCAGCCTCGGAGATTTCGAAGATGAAGGTGTTGCTGCCGTAGAGCATAGCCTCAATCTCGTCTCGAATCACGAAACATGTGGCTGCTAGTGCGACGGCCTGTGCTGGTGTTCAAGACGCTTTATCACTGAACCAGTTGCCCAGATGGTCCATGCTGAAGGTGTGATCTCTGGGAACTAGATAGTTGTACATCCGACCACGGATCTCTGAAGGCACCCTCAGGAAAGAGGTCTGAGCGCCATCTGAGGCGGTTTCCGTGGGTTTCATTTCCGGGTCCATGAATGGTGTGGCAGGCTTGCAGCGAGAGAGTGATTGATGATATGGAGTGAAAATTGAGGATGATGGGAAGCACGGGTCTTTGTTGGAATCGCGTGTCTCGAGCTGATTGGTGACGCCTAAACGTAGATTCCTATTCACTTGCCACGATGCGGCCGATAGAACCTTCTCTCCCATGACCCATACGCTAAGCATCAAAAAAAGTCAAACGTATCCCCATTCCCACCCAACAATCCCCTAACCCTCTCACTCCCCACAACCCTCTCCAACGCAAGCCCATCCCACTTCCCAAAGCACACCCTAACCCCCATCTCAGCAACCGAACACCTCTCCTCCCTCAAACTCTGCCCCAGAAACCCCCCAACAATCTCCTCATAAAACGTCCCATTATCAGGTAAACCATAAAAGACCACCCTCTTCACCCCTCGGATCCTCAGCCGGAAGAAATGATGCGCCCGCTGTGTATAGAGCAGAATACCAGTCCTCCCAGACAAGAAATGCGAGCGGGCGCGTCGCTGGTCCGGGACAGATGTATAATCGTGGATAGCGCCGAAACTCGTGTTCTGCATCAGCGTGCTCGTGGCGAAGAAGTTCCTCACGCGGATGAAATCGAAGTAGCTGGGGACGAAGACCAAGACGCCCCTCCCACCTTGGCCCTCGGCTGGTTTCGGAAGCCGGAGAAGGGAGGGTAAGATGGCGGTGGTGAAGTAGTTGAACCGTGCATCTGGATCTGCAGCCGGAGAGGCCGAGACGAAGCGGGAGAAGGTTTGTTTGATACCTGCCATTTCCGCCATAGCGGGGGATATGAGTGCGCCTGGGTATGGAGAGGTGAGTTTGGCTTTACCCGCGCAATTCAGCATCCAGGTATTGAAAAGGCGATTCGTTTCTGGTGTGAGATAAGCTGTCAACACGATCGTCTGACGCAGATACTTTGCCTGCCCGTTCAGATACCACGATCTTACGCGATTAAAGTCCGCGCCGTGGGAGTCCGTGGGCTCGAGGTTGAGGTGTTGGAGCACGATGGCCAGGTTCTCCCAGCTCTGCATTTGCATTGCATCTGCTTGGTCTACGATCAGTACTTCGATGGAGGAGAGGAAGTCGTGGTCCGCTTTCCTCCTGTCTTCGTTTTCGATGAGGCGGCGCAGGCCGAGGGGGGAGGCGAGGATGATGTCGCTGGCGTAGAAGGCGGAGAAGAATTTGATAGTTTTGCGGGTAAATTTCAGGGCGGTGAAGAAGCTGTTGTCGTTGTTGCCGCTGAAGAGTTCGTGGTAGTCTTCTGGCATGTTGCTGTGTTCGTCGATTGGAGCGGAGAAGGCGTCTTGGAAGCGTTGTTTGTTCTCCACTTGGTCGGGCTGGAAGAGCTCGATCATCTCTACACCGTAGTGGTACGCCATTTGTCTTGTCTCGGTCAAGATCAGGACTTTCGGTCTGGTAAAGCCTTGGTCTCGCAGGTCTAGCAGATCTGGGTTCTCAGCATGAGATATACGATCTGAATTCTTCAAGACTTTGTCTCGACCTCTCAGCACGTGGTTGAGAGCATGCAGAGATGCTAGCGACCGTAGGCTGGAGGCATTGCTTGGTGTTCGGTTTGTGATGAGTAGATCGGTATAGTTGAAAAGGCAGGGTGCCATCGCTTGCTGAGTCTGGTCTAGATCCTTTAATCGCTTCGCAGATGCATCAGCCAGCCTCTTCTTGAGCGGCAGATCGCTGGAAGAGCGTATGTGCGACTGTCGTGCTGTCCAGTCGGGCACACCTTGGGGAGTGAGCATGGTGAAGGTGCCAATGCCGGGTACAGCTTGCTTTTCTGTTCGCCACGCATTGCTTTGAATACTCTTAAGACGTCGAGATAATTCGTCTTCGTCCACACTAGCAAAGTGCACTTCGTATGGATCTGACGTGTCTTCAGCATCGTCGCCGTTGATCTCCTCAACTGCATCAGCTGCATCCACCTCGTCCTCGTCCTCGTCCTCGTCCTCGTCCTCGCCCTCGCCCTCGCTCGAGTCCAGCAAAGTGTCGTCACCTGCTACCGAGCTCTCTTCGTCAAGATCGGCGCCATCTTCTGGTACAGACACTTCAATCTTCCGCCGTTTCCTGCTTCCTTCTTGGTCGCCATTCTGCTGCTGCTTGAAGCCTGATAAAAGTGCGTTATACGCCTTGACTTTGGGTACGACTTCTTCCTCCTCATCGTCACTCATTCCACCGCCGTCTTCCTCCACTCCTTCCTCTGCTTCTGGCACCCCATCCTCACTGTCCGAGTCGACATCTTTGACTCGTTGACTGTCGAACTTGCGATACCCTGCCCGTGTGCGTATACCACTCCTCGCCAATTTGCCACCAGGCTGTCCACCTCTACTCCCACGTCGTCCTCCTCTAAAGCTGCCACCACGACCACGTGACTGACCTCGTCCTCGTCCTCGTCCTCGAAAAGGTGCCATCTTCACCAAATCCTCCATCGCGAATTCATCCCGAACTTTTCACATGTCTGCGACAATACCCACGCTAACCACATCGGGCTGAGCACAGAAATTCGGCAAGAAATCTTGGCGGGCAATGTCGAAAGTGTCCCGCAGTGGCAGTGTTAGTAACAAGCACGAAAGCCGATATCGACTCTCTTTTCCCTCTCCGCCCGGAGCGCAAAGGACGAAAGTGACTTGCATCGTCAAGACCGCGAAGATGGGCGACCCCAAGAACTACCTCCACCTCGCCCGGCCCCTCGCCCCAGCACCCATCGCAACGCAACAATCCGCCGTCACTGCACCCGTGGCAGTCACCCTCCAACCTCAAGCCCTCTTCAGCATCCTCGACCACGCCTCGCGCCGTCCAGCCGACCAAGAACGCGTCATCGGCACCCTCCTCGGCACCCGCAGCGAAGATGGCACCGAAGTCAGCATCACCAACTGCTACGCCGTCCCGCACACCGAGACCCAAGAGCAAGTGGAAGTGGACATGGACTACCAAAAACGCATGCTCGAACTCCATCTCCGCGCTGCTCCGAAAGAGGTCCTGGTGGGCTGGTACGCGACGAGCGGCGATCTCAACACCTTCTCCGCCTTGATCCAGAACTTCTACTCCCAGCAAGGGGAGGGCACATGGCCACACCCCGCCGTCCACCTCACCGTCTCCACCATCGCCGGTCAAGATATAGAGGCGAACACCTATATCTCTGCCCCCATCGGAGTAACCGCCGAACGAGCCGCCGACTCCTGCCTCTTCATCCCCGTGCCCCACGAAATAAAATACGACGACGCCTCGAAATCCGGTCTAGAGCTCATAGCCGGCGCCCGGGACCGTGAAGACCGCTCCCAAATTCTCCAAACAGACGTCGAGACCCTGGAGCGCGCAATCGAGCAAGTACTAGAAATGCTCGAGCGGGTGGCGAATTACGTTGCGGATGTGCTAGACGAGGAGCGCGAACCCTCGACCGCACTGGGCCAGTTTCTACTCAACACATTATCCCTCGCGCCCAAAGTCAGTCCCGAGGAGATTGAGAAGGATTTCAATAATCACATTCAAGATGTCTTGCTCGTGTCGTACTTGGCGAATACTATCCGGACGCAGATCGATCTCTCGAACCGACTTGCCACGGCTGCCTTGACGATGGGGACTGGTGATGCGCCGGCGGGTGAGGGCAAGGAGGGTGGCGAGGGAGGAGGGAAGGGACAGGGACAGGGGCAGAGGCAAGGTGGTGGTGGTGGTGGTGGAGGACGTGGTGGACGCGAGGGAGGTGGGCAACGCGCTGGACAAGCTGACCGAGGCGGTCGGCGCGGTGAACAGTAGACTTTTGTGGTCGAAGGCTGTCTTGAGTCTGCTAGACGGAATAGTGGATAAGGACGGCGGGAAGTGACAGAGGGCAGGACTTGATCGACAAAAAGCATAGAAGCGAAGCAAGGTTTTGCAGCAGTAGAGGGTTTTGTCTGAGTAGCTTTGCGCATACACATATAGTGGGATTTGATATGGCGCCTAGTCGAGGCTGCTGATTCCCACTACCGCGCTCTCTTCTCACTTTCCTCGAACTCCCAACGTCGTCATGTGCACTTTGCATCCATGGGTATCATATGCCATAACTCCGAACCCGGAGAAACGCCGTGCTAACAATAAGAACACCACACCTCTCACGACCACACCCATGGCTTGTGGCATGATCGAACCACCGCCATAGCAACCCCTAATCCTCACTCCTCGCCTTCTTAACCTTGCGCCCCTCCCCATCCCCACCCTCCCCACCCTTCCTCTTGCCCCTCCTCCCACCAGCCCCACCACCTCTCCTCCTCACCAACTCCCCCACAACACCCCCCTGCTCCACCACCCCCACCAACCCCTCCACTCTCCCAAAAGCCTCCAAATCCACCCCCTTCCTCTCATCCTTCATCGCCCTCTCCTTCCACATCTGCTCCAACACCCTGCCAAGTAACCCTTCATCCCGGCGTAGCAAGAATTTGAAATCGTCGATTTTGATTTTTTGCCGGCGGGAATAAGAGGCCGATAAGGCGGCGGAGTGGCAGGTTTCCGTTATGAAGTCTGTTAGGATGGAGTCGAGGGTTGTGAGGGTGGTGGGGAGGGAGGGCGGGTTGTCGCCGTAGGCGTGGAGGAGTTCGCCTAGGTCTGTTGGGGAAAAGATCGGGGTCGGGGTGGTGGGTTGGTGGGGACGGTTAGGCCGATGGGTGGTTCGTTGGGTAGGGCGCGCGTCGGCCATGATGGAGGTTTGTTCTTTTGAATGTGGTTGTGTTGCTTCTCTGGTGACGGTGTCGGATTTCGTGGTGTGAGATTTGATCCACGACCGGATCGCGTTGCTTCGACGTTATTGCTGAAGCTTCGAAGAAGGCATCATGTCTTTATCGCCAGTTGTGCTGTCGTTATGTGAGGTAGTGAAGTGAATGTAACAGAACGACTGGAAGTCACATGCCAGCCCTTCTCAAGCCGTCCCACAGCTTTCGCGTGCTTCACACGCCTCTTGCCAGATATTCACTTCCAAGAATATAGCATATAGGCAACTACGACAGCAGTAACATTCACCGCTGCTTCGAACTAAGGACAAGCACTTTCCAATATAGTCATCACCCTTTCTAATAGACCGGTCGAGACCCAAAACGCCCAGCATGTTCGGCATCCTCAAATTTCAAACCCTCCTCATGGTCGTGCTACTCTTCATCTGCTCCTGCACATATCTCCACGGCGTCTTCCCCGCCTGGCTGGATAGAAACAAAGCTGGGTAGGTCATCTAGGAACTCTTCTCCTTGCGACTTTCTCCGGTAACTGACCGGTGTCATTAGACCTCTTGGCACATTCTGGCGAGCAGCACGGATAGGTGAACGGCTGAGTCCGTATGTGAGTTTGTGCTGTGTGGCTATGGCGGTGAGTCCTTATCTTGTGAAGTAGCATAAGTACCTGGCTGATCTGTGAAGGTAACGATGCTGATCGGGGTGTGAACGTGGCACGCGGGAAATGTTTATATGCGGCTTCTTTGTCTTTTTAGCGAGGCGTTGAGGAGGTTAGATTGCGAGCAGATGGAGCCACGACCATACGACCGCAAGTTGTCGTCGACTACAGGGGCATTTCTAGAGGTTTACTCACATCAAGCCTTTGTGGCACTTCCAGCAGGTCAGGCTCCAGCGGCAAGCCGACAGCTATGAGACATCCGGAGCAGCAAGTCAAATCGCAGAACGAGATTCCAATTCTACAAAAGCAACAACAACCAAAGACAAAACCTACTCCTCAGCCGTCCAATAATTCTTCTCGCCAACCTTTCCCTTATCGAAATCCCACCGCCCCGTTTCTCGTGCCCGCCAATCCTCAAACCCCTTCTCCGTCTGCACAATATACTTACTCGGATCCTGCGTCATATTGAGGAAGAAAGGCTGCTCCAGACAGTCCATCTCGCCTTCCACCCACTCGATCCCTTTCGTACTAATCTCCCACTTCTCCTCCACGTCCTTGCGGATAGAGGAGGGGAGTTTGAGAGCCATGGGACATTGGTACCATTCGGCGAAGTAGTCGATGGCGAGCATAATGCGATGGTGGGAGGAGGTATTGGGCATACCTGCGTGCCAGAGGCGGAGGTCGCGGAAGACTATACTTCCCTTTTTGATCTCTGGTTGGACGGGTGGTTTGATCTTGGCCTGCTTCTGGATGTACTCCTTCTTAATCCACCCAGTCTCGGCATGGAGCTGTTGGTCATGAACACTATCTGTGGTCTTGGGGTAAGCGTTGTGAGTGCCGCACCAGATTTCCGTCACGCCATTCGCGGCGCTGGAGTCCTGGAGGTAGGTGTTCATTACCACGCCGAACGGCTGGGTCGGGAAATCATGGTGAACATCGCTGTGCACGGCCTGACGGCCGGACCCTCCTGGACATGCAACGTTGGAATTGAGGAAGCGGAATTCCGGGCGTGGGCCTAGGAGGTTCTCGAGGATGCGAATCATATGGCTGTTGGCGTAGACTTCGCGGTAGAGGTACTCTGGCTTGAGGGGCGGGACTTGAGAGACGTTCTTGGGGCCCGCGCCTTGATTCCAGGTCATATGGGGTTGGTTGAGATAGCGGTCGTTGTCTTCTACTATCTTGTTGTAGAGGATATCGATCATGTGTTCTGGGATTGCGTTCTCGAGCACCACGAGGCCATCTCGATGGTAGTATTTGAGCACTTCTTGGATCGTATCCCAGTTCGTCTTGTCGCTGTTGAGTTCTTCGTCTGATAGTCGTATGGTTACTGGGTTGTCGCCGTATCTGTGTACGGCTGGCACCAGAGCGCCTTCGATGTACTTTGGCTTGTGAACACCATTTGTTCCGTTCGTGCCATTGGTCTCGCCATTCATGATCGCTAAGGTCTATCTGTGATCAGTATCTCTAGTTCTGACTGCTAGCAGTCAAAGAGGGCGTGGGATTCTTGCCACCCTACAAGCTTTATCACTACAAAAGCTGACCCGAGTGGGACGTCCATCACGGCTGTCACTGCCGTGCCATCACCACTTTTCACGACTCGCTACTGCCACATAAGGAAGTGATGGAAATGTAGTGAGCTAGAGGCAGCATTTCGTGGCCTGCAATTGGCCTCGCATTCAGCCTGATCTCTCCCAAGTGCCCGCTCACGTGGAAGAGCTGTATGTCATCCTAACTGCATCCTGTTGGCGATACTGTCCAAGTACTACTTCCCCTTGTAGAGAATATGTATCAGTGCGAATGTGGCCTGAAGACAACGTAGACAAGGCGAGCTGCACTGCACCAGGCCATGTCGCTTCTCATTTGAGACCATCGGTAAGAATATGAAGCCGCCATCGACTGAAGAGCAGACAGTCTCATAACGTGCCTTATACCTGCACCATGCATACTTCAAGGAAAATAAGGGCAGTCGCTTGACTCCCTACGAAGTCAAGTAGTTACGCGCAAGACTTTGCTCCTGGGCACACGATTTCTACGCTCCTGTCCTACTGCGTTACCGTGAGTATCTTGTATGGTTTACCACGCGAATCTCGCAATTTCATCTACAGAACCCTCATGCTCTCGACGTCCACCGCGGATCGACAGGCAAGCCGCAGGTCGTTTCAACCTTATCGCTGCCCTGCATTTTGCATGTACATCGCTCGACACCTCCCAAGGTCCGGTCAAGTACGAGGCAATGACGTTGCAGGCTACGATGCATGACGCCGTGCTCGTTTGGGGGAATGAAGGCTCAGTCGCCACCCGTGCAATCCTCCGTCACTGCTACTGGAGAACCACCAGTCGATCATGAGAGGCGCCGAGTCCTGGTCAAGATACCAAGGGGCCATGATGAGCCAGTTTGGCAAGCTGAAATACCATAGAACTGACTCCTTGCGGTGGAGGAACGTTTGCATAAGGTGTTTCGTGAGCACAGCGGTAATGCTCGATAAGCCAAGTAGTGTGCGGTATAAGAGCTTTGTCACCTGCGCTCTGCGCCAATCTTATGATGATCCGTTCGTATCTTTCGTGCTCTCATTCCGCTCGACTAGTTCACCCACACCCAAGCCTCTCCCAACCCGTACTTTCCGCTTCTTTTCCTTCTCCTTCTTCGCTCCGTCAGCACCCTCGCCAGCCTTGCCAGCACTACCTACCTCGCCACCCTCGTCCTTGCCTACTGTATCCTCCTCATCCGACTCCTCGTCCAGTGCCTCGTCTCGAAGATAGTCCAAGTCCATCTTCATGCTGTATGCGTCCTCGCCATCTGCATAGTACTTCTCTTCGACTCCACCCTGCTTGAATCCTAGAGTATCTCGGTACAGTGCCAGTGCTGCTACGTTAGACACACGCACATGCAACGACACATACTTTGCGCTGTATGTCTCGAACATTGCTCTCTCTGCGGTCTTTTTGTCAGCTCTCCGATCCTGAACGCACAAGGCAAGCAAGTCATCACTACTCACGACTCTGCCGCATGAGCTTCTCGGCTAGGCCTAATCTTCGATGTGTCCTCATCACGCTAAGGGATGTGATGTGGCCATGTTGTATACCATCTGCTGGATCCTCTTCCATCTTCGCTAACACATATCCCACGATCTTTGGTGCATCGTATGGTGTCTTCTTTGGTCTCGATACCTGGAGGTCCACCGTCAGTCGGTAATACTTTTGCAATATCTATATCATACTACGTACATCCACAGCGACAAAACTGAGTTGAGGCCAACTTAGAGCATGATAAAGGTAGTATTTGCAAAAGTAGTTTTCGGGTAAGTTCGTGATGTTAGTCTGTTGGACATGGGGGATGTCGGCGGGTCGCAATTGTCTTATATCCATGGTTTCGTTCTAAGATCGACCTACGTTTGTGGTACACTATACCTCGACAGGGTCGTAGGAGTGCGATTGAAGCTTCGGCCCAACGGTATTCCGACGCCGCGCCTGTCACCTCAGGCGTTCCCCGAATTTCCATTCACTTACAACGGCGCTAATTCATGAGGGCGTTTTCTCTCCACGGAGGCTATACAGCGCATTCAGTCACTTGTCCAGATGTCAAAAAAAGTCATGGGGTTGCGTTTAGCTTACCTTCCCGAGCGGTAGATGTCTACTTGTGGCTAGGACCGCTTGGAGAAGTGATGTGAACTCACATACATTGTCAACGGTCTAAGTAGTCCCTATGATCCAAAGATCTGTCGTAAGGCCGTTGGCACAGCTATAAAGAAACTGGACTATCTCGACTGTAGAAGGGCAACTCGTGCATGTGCAGAAAAGGCACACTACCTCCTGCACCTGAATGGAAAGGAGGTGATATTTACTTGATGTGCATGCTATTATGTGTGATTGGGTATATTGTGAGGATGAATCTAGGGCCGAAGACTTCTTGTGGCTGGCGCAAAGCAGGAGTCTCACCTGTATTCGCCTATTATTAAGATCGTAAATCACGGCTCTGAAGTACAATAGTAACACGATTATTGTCATGCTTGATCCAACAATAAGAAACCATTGGAGGCGTGCGTCTCATGCCCGCTTCCAATGAGCGAGAGCTAGACTACTAGCCTGGACAATGACTGTTCATATTGTCGAGCCGAACACTCCAGGGCTGTGAATACCTAGCCAAAAGTGGGGCTGGTACCTGCCCGATTCGGCAGTGCGGCAGGGATCTTCAGCTTGTTGGAAAGCTTCCGGCTCGCAGCTCTACGGTCGAGAACATTAGACAATTGACCTACACCTTATTACCAAAGACCAAAAGCGAACAACATCCACACACAAAATCGAATCCCATTCCATCCACAATCTACTTAGCTTCGTGAACAGCTCCTGGCGTACGACATTATGGGTCTCCTCAACTGGCTAAGGTCCGGTGTGACCGCTCCGACGAAATCGAAGGTGGTTGTATCAGATTTGATAGACATCGGTGAGCAGTGACCATCAATCCTTCGTAGCGAGAGCACGGCGTCATCTTTGCCCGCTCAACAGAATCCTGACATCCGTCTGCATAGCTGTCCCCGGTAGTTGGCCATCTGCTAGACCCGCTGTCGTGTCCGATACTAGCAACACAGATGTGAATGATGTCAAGCATGCCGCCGACACCACCAAGTTCCCACAGCGTCTCGACACGAGAACTTCCACCGGGCAGACCCTTGACGACTTCGAAGCGACTCAAGCCACTTCTGCGCAAGCAAAGCATCCGCTTCGTGGTGTGAAGAATGATCGTTACGACATTTACCGGAAGTGGGCAGCAGAGTCCAGAGCGCAGAAAGAAGTAGGACTGGCGAAACCCGCGGTCGAGTCAGGCAAGGAGATGAAGTTGAAGCGCAAGGCTCATGATGAGGTCCCGCCGGGCACAGAGAAGAAGAAGGTCAGGTTCGTAGAAGGTCACACGGAGTTGAGAGAGTCTGGCGTTCAAAAGAGTCTTATCCTGAAGCAAGTTGGCAACATTGGCAAGAAGCGCAAGGCAGGAGACGCGATCGACTCTGTCCCTGTCAAACGTCAACTTGTCGATCCGAGCCAGCCACCACCACTCAACGAAGCAAAAATTCGACAAGCCAGAAAACAAGCTTCGCGCCCAATGATAGAAGAAAGGTTGACCTTCCAGAAGTGGCGCGAGAATCAGCTACGTGCAGCGTGTGGCCAGGAGATCGTGGATCAAGTGAGGAAGGAGGAGGTCGCAGAAGCGAAGAAGTCAGAAGTCGTTCAGCCCGTGCCTCATCTTGTAGTCACTAGCTACGATGATGAGCAACTGGAAGCTGCCAGAGCGGCCGAGGCTAGGTTGAAGGCTGTTGAGACAGAGCTGCGATCAACACAAGCCAAGCTGTTGTCAACCACTGCATCTCTGACGGCAACAGATGGAGCACTGAGCGCCAGTAAAAAGAGCTTGGAGGCTGCACAGAGATTGGTTGCTGTCAGGGACATGCAACTCAACGCTTAAGCTGAGCAGCTTGCCGACGTCACGTTGGCTGAGGTCGTTGCGCCGGGTAGTGGAGAGCAGAAGTCAGTCGATGGTGAGGATACTGTGGAGACTTCGCTTGATGAGCAGCATTTCCAGCCCAGCGCTCAGGCTGGTCGATCTGGCGACCAGACCATCGACGACACTGCAAGCGTTGTTGGCGCTGAGCAGACACGATCCGACACCTTGGAAAGCCACCACAACGGCGTCTTTGGCGCTTCAAGTATCGCCACGCCGGAGCAGCTTGGCAATCCCGCAGGTCATCTGACCCATATCAATACTGGGCTTGGCAATGCAATTACACCACGAATTCCGCCGCCGCCGATCGCACTATCTCAGCTTCTGCCAAACGGTAGTGGATTCTGGCTTGGGCAGCCATCAGCGCCTACAGTGCCTGCCCCAGATGCATTTGATGACTTCGTCGAGGCGCGCACAGCAGATGAGATCGCCAGAAGAGAAGATGCTGCACGCGGTGGTGTTGAGCCGTTGTCGACGGATGATGCTGGCCCTGTCGCTACGGCTGTCTCACCAGAGTCCGCGGACCCAATGGACCTGGATCGGCCGTTGTCGACAGATGTTGAGCCGTCTCAGCGGGATCTCTCGGTGGCCCCGAAAACGAGATGGATGCCGCCCACTGAGCCTAGAGCGATGCGCATACAGGCAGCACTCAAGGCGCATCTCGAGCGTCACAAAGCCAGAAGCGTTCATTCGGGCTCGAAAGTGGACAACCGTCCTGACCAGTTGGCGGACCGTATGCCATCAGAGTCCATGGTCCTGGATAATGAAGACGAACATATGGCAGACGGCGAGCATCGGTCTCCACATCCGACAGCCGTGCATCCTCGTGAGGTTGACATGCTGTCGCCAACTTGGCTTAGCGATGGTGTTGACGGGCACAACCTGTCCTCCGAGATGGACGTAGATGTGCAGCCAAGGATTCAACCGAGTCCGGAGACCGAGTACGTACAGAGGACGGCTTTTCACCAGCCTCGATTTCAATCTGGAATGACTGGTCGTAGACTGGACGCTCCACGTGCTGCGTCAAGCCAAGGCATACGAGAAGCTTTGGACGAGGATGTGCTCGACAGCATAGAGCCAGACGAGATCTCCTCTCTAGACGACGAGAAATCGTCCCTAGAGGACGAGAGGAGGGAGAATGCGGCGAAGCGCATGAAGGCGAAAGGGTATGACGCACCTCGCTCGGAGTCTCTCATCCCATTTCGGCTCGAACAAGATCATGTTAACGGCTATCGTTTCCTGGGTGCCCATGGTCGTCGTGCCGGCAATGATGACGGTCGGCCCGGCGATGCTCATTCCAAACGCCGAGGGGAGCGCGATAGCCTTGGCGACATCATGCCACGTGCTTTCCGCAATGCTCTCAGGCCCGCCAGGGACGGCAGACTCCCTAACGATCGTTTCGATGGCTTACGCAGCCTTTGAGCAATGCGTTCATATGAGTCTCTCATTGTTGAAGCAGGCGAGTGCTGGAGCAGGCTTAGATTGGATGCTACATGAGTTAGCAAGCTGGAAAGAAAGCAGAGCAAAAGAGTGCAGGCACCCGCAATTACTGCGTGCGTTGGATAGCACAGCAGATTTATGTTCAACCTCAACATGAGCCCGCCGCAGCCAGAAGCAGCAGAGACGATGTAACGAGATGTACACCCGCCCAATGACACTCCGGCGGCAGCCGAAGAGGAAAGCACAGCGCACCACTGGTTCGTGTGCTGAACAGCGGTCTGAAGACCACTGGTGTCCAGTACCGTCCGTCGACAGAGAATCAGAAGGCCAATGTTGCCTTCTCGACCTGATGGACCCTCCCAACGACCCAAGTCGTCCTGGATGCGAGCGCGTTTACGCCTTCACGACTGGCAAGTAGGCGCGGAGCAAGGAGTTGCCAGCTAGTTGACCCCGAGAGGTAGGTCATGGCTACGGCTCGACAGTGTCAAACCCAAGCCGTCCTGGTGGCAAGGTGCGTTTCACAGTCACAAAACTCCCTTGCTCGGTTCCGATAAATCCTTTTGAGCTGAGAGACAACATGAGGCAGTAGTGCGCGGCTGGCCCAAAAGGGTTGCGTGGCTTCACCAGGAAACCATAGTCGCCGCCCTCACCCCTTGACAGCTCGGATTTTGGAACCCTGGTACTGATTGCGGACTGCTTTCCTGGACCTGTGTATCAGCCGAGTACCCTAGGAGAATCCTAGACGCGACGGCAGCAGGTCCGCGACCTTTCGACAGTATCGGCCCGAATAATTCGTCGGGTCACGAGTCGGAGGCGCAGATTGGTGGTGCACTTGGGTGGGTGTGAAGGTAAGCTCCTGAAATCAATTTTGCTGTGGAGCATGACTGACCTAGTTCAGATACAGCAAGCTGGCTGTGGCGGCTATCTTCGATGACAGTCGTGCATATGACTATTCTTCAGCAGGCTGGAATATTTTGCTCAGCTCAGATCGACCACTGCTCCGCCCCCTCGACTACGGCTCTGCTCTATTAACCACGGCTCTGCTCTGTCGTCTACGGGTCTGCTCTATCGTCCACTCGTCACTCAAATTTTGCCACGACTTCAGCACACCAACTCATCAGCGTTCACACATCGCTAAAGCCTTACCTTCCAGATCAGCAACACAGCATCATGCGACAGCTTCACTTACTGTCATTTCTCCGAGACGGCCGTCGTGGCTATTTCGATTGCTGCTGGGCATTGAGCAGGAGTAAAATTTCATTGCGTTCAGTACTGTATGCTACATGATATTGGGGCGCTTATGTCGTGCTGTAATTTGCGCATAGAATCATTGGAAGACCTGGAATATGCCCACCCATATGCCATAACGATTGCGTCTGCATGGCTGGAAGGTTGGCTGGCGTCGATGGTGGCGTTATCAGCGCCGGCGGCTGGTGGGCTATCTTCATGTTGACGCCGCGGTGTTATGTGGTCTTGCAGCGATGTTATAGCAGTAAACCACTCGTCAATGCGCACTGCTGTTCATTAATAATGTGCATGTGAGCTGAGTAAGATGCAAAGTCATACTTATGGCCATGCAAACGTGCAAGCTTATTCCCCACCCGGTGAGACGCCAAGGGCGGCCCCTGCATCCGCCCGCCATTGCCATCGTGTGGAGACTGTTGCACCATCGCGCCTAGCACTTCCTCCCAGGACGCAGAATTGCGGCTGTCATCCGGTCCGCAGCACCTGCGCCTAATATCCCTGCCTTGTATAATAAGGTACCGCCTCAGAGGGGCAGCCACGCCCAGGCGTGACTTCCGACAGAGTACCCGGACCCCACCTGAGAGGAAACCAGGAGTCTCAGGCTGGAATGCCCACCACATCCTCCAACAGCTCTAGTGTGTTTGGCCGTCTCACAGGGAGGAAATCGCACGTATTGGAGATCAAGGACGGCAACAACCAGCAGGAGAGGTTCAATCATAGTCCGCCAGCCGATGCATTGAGCGATAGCGACAGGAACAGGCTGCTGAGTGGGCATAGAAGGGAAAGCAGTATCCCGAGCATACGGAACAGTGTCACAGATCTGGGGTCCAGTGTCCGACGCAGTGTTTCACTCCGCTCACATCGCACACAGCACTCTACTTCTACTCTTGGCCGAGGACCTCGACAACCATCCTCCAGCAACCTGCTCAGTCAGACGTCGCCAACGGAATCACCAACGAAGGAGGACGAGAAGAGCGCGCCGGTCGAGACACCGGTCCTCCCTAAGCCGGACGAAGAGCCAGCACCGCCTGCACAACACCCGCTAAGGTCCAGAGGGAAGCTATCCATCTCGGCAAGGTCTTTCTCGAATCGCTTCAAGAGTACAGATACACTTGTGATCCCAGGACAACTATCAGAAGGTGCCGAAGGCCAACCGCCATTGCCAAGTCCGGCGATTGACCAGCCAAAGAACTTCTCGATGTTGGTCGCGGCACCTCCACCTCCTCCTGCAATACCCAAGCGTGCACCCCCAGATCGCCCGAGTCTTGCTTCCCAAGCAAGCTTTGCAAGTTCACAATCGCAAGCAAATGGTGTCCACTTGCAGCACATTCCGTCTGTACCGATAGTACCATCGGGAGGACATAATCCGAACCTCATACATCAGAGCATAAACGAGACCTCGAACAAGCGTATGGCCACGATCGACTACCTCCGGAAAGTGCACGAGGGCAATGTGTTCTACTTCAGTACGCTACACTACACCTCGAGTTCCCTCAATTCATCGATACCATCATTGCATCCGCATAAGCAAGGCAGAAGAGCAACAAGTTACCTTTCCCTAGGCTACAGCTTACCCCTTCTGCTCGAAATGAACTCTGGCTCGCCTACAGAGTATCTGAAGGCTCTGTCAGCGCTATTATCAGAGTTCGAGACATATCAGTCTCTTGCAGGCAACGAAGGCGGCACGAGTAGCTTAAGTAGAGCTCGAGTGGGCCAAATGTTTAAGACGGGTATGGGTCTCGGCAATCGATCAGGAATGCGAAATGGTAGACGTTCGAGTGCAGCAACTGATAGTATTGCGCTGGACACTTCGAAAGCAAGCATGCTGAGTATACCTGGGTCAGCATCGGATGGCGGAAGCAGTCCATCCGAGATGGTGTCACCCATCGGGCATGACTTCAACCATCTACTCACTCCTCATTTGCCCTTCGATCCAGACTTCAATACCACGTTCGCCACTCTGTGCGATACCTTGATCGACATATACGCGAATCTGCTGAAATTGGTCTCGCAACCGGAAACATGCACGCCCCTTGTCGGTGAAGCATTTTCCAAAGCAGACAAGTCAATACGGAAGATCCTGGTAGCGAATATCACGCGGGAATTCGAGGATACTACAAGGCAAGGGGTGAAGACTGAAGTCGCAGGATTGGGACGACTGGTTCTTGGTGGACTTATGTAGGACAGAGTCCATCATAGGTCTAGTGGTCCTGATCCGCATGTTATGAACATGGCGGCATTCGGTCTTTGAGAGCATTGAGGACAATTTGGATTTATGTGGCTATTATGCGCTGGCTGCCAGGCTGGAAGGGAGTCAAGGTTTAGGGTTGTTTCGTCGATGATACCCACTCACTGCATGATGGCGTTCACGATCTGATATGGTCTGCAAAGGATGAATCTAGTCGATAGACATTAGTATGATTTAAAGCATCGTTGGTGCTGCTTTGAGCTAAATCTGCCATGTCGTCTCGTCTTGTCTCGCCCGACTTCGGAGCTCAGAATATTCTAAGCCGAGCGGGTGCAATCGGCAGCGTACGGCTTATCCTCTTTGCCAGAACGCGTACCTGCATTCGAGAAGATTTCAATACAGAAAAAGTCTTGATAACGGAGGCGAGTATCCGTTACTGGCCAATGGTAGATCGCAGCGACTGTCGACAGTCGATGTATGCATAGGGCGTGTAGGGCTAAATCGATGTACGGTGCCAATCCTCCCTCAGCCCCTGCTCTCGATGTCTCTGGCAAGAGTCATCAGTTGTGCTTGACCGCTTTGCCTTCATAAGGTCGTGAATCACACTTTCTATTTGCCATTGGTTTTTCCATTTTCACTTCCTGGCCATTCCGCATCCATACGCCACTCTACTTGTCACTTTTACAATCATACAGCCATTGGTTGACACTACTCACTACTCGGCATCCGAGTTCCGTGACTGTCCTCGCAGACATCGCAGTTATACTCCAATCTCTTCACCATCATCTGAGGCCTGCAAACATGGCGCCGGCAATGATCACGCCAGAGTCGTCTGGGACTAACACTCCCACGACCATCACAGCGACGAAACTCACACAGGCTGGTATCCAGCACATGCTGCCAAACAGTAATGGCGATCTCCCTAATCTAGGGGCATTGGATGCGTCCAAGATGGCCGTCACAATCACAACCGCCCCACGAACTGTCCCAGAATGGAACGGCGCAGAAGCGAAAGCACAGAAGACTTGCACCGACCACATGGTCACTGCCCGCTGGACTGCGGAGGAAGGCTGGGACGCTCCTGAAATGAAGCCTTATGGGCCTCTGTCTATCATGCCCAGTGCGTCCGTTCTACATTACGCCACCGAATGTTTCGAAGGATGCAAGCTCTACAGAGGCTACGATGGAAAGCTACGATTGTTCCGCATCAGCAGGAACTGCGCACGCATGAGGAACTCAGCAGAGAGGATCGCTCTTCCGGACTTCGAGCCCAAGGAACTGGAGAAGATGATTATCGCTCTTTGCGCACGAGATGGGCCAAAGTGGTTGCCAAAAGACCGTGCCGGCTGCTTCTTGTATTGCCGCCCTACTTTCATTGGCACCGATTCAGCTCTCGGTGTGCAGCGACCACGAGAAGCACTGCTCTACGTTATCCTGTCATGCTTCCCAGATATGTCTTCTAGCCTGGCCACCCCAGCACCACCAGCGATGCAGGGCAAGGCGGACGGCAAGCCCAAGTCGAGTTCAGGCCTCAAGCTCATCGCTTCTCGAGAGGACACCATCCGAGCATGGCCAGGCGGATTCGGATATGCTAAGCTTGGCGCCAACTACGGTCCTACTCTAGTAGCACAGGGTGAAGCCAAGGCCAGGGGTTTTGATCAGGTGCTTTGGCTGTACGAGAAGGAGAACTGGGTGACTGAGGCAGGTGCAAGCAACTTTTTCGTCGTGATAAGGGAAAAGACGAGTGGCAGATTGCAGCTCATCACTGCGCCATTGACCGAGCGTATCATCCTGGAAGGCGTTACGCGTGCATCTGTGCTAGAGCTGTGCCAGAGCAGATTGGCGCAGTCACAAGATGGTGTCGAAGGTCTGGAGGTTGTGGAGAAGCGTTTCACTATGGATGACTTGCTCGAGGCTGATAAGGAAGGACGATTGGTGGAAGCTTTCGCGGCTGGAACAGCGTTCTTCATTGCCCCTGTTGCTTTGATACACTTCCGTGGCAAGGATATCGAAGTGCCTACCGATGGTGGCGAGGCTGGCGTCTACACGCGCTTGGTCAAGCAGTGGCTGGTCAACATCATGTATGGCAAGGAGTCGCACGAATGGGGTGTTGTGGTGGATGAAGAGGCGTGATGATCTGTGCCTGTAGTCTAGAGATTAGCATAATAAGACAATGAACGCCAATGAAAGTTGAATCTGTACCAGTAGCATTTCACCCAACTTCAAGGTGCTGCTCTCTAAACGCTTCAGTAGTCGTACAGATGCTTCATTTGAAGCCTGGTCCTGTCACCAGGAGGCAGGACAGGTGTGTCATGGATGTCGATACGTCGCAGAGTGCACTCATGTCACTCTCTGCTCCCTGTCATATGGTGAGTAGAAGTCGCTGAGAGAGGACGTGGCGATGAAGCTTACCCATACTCCGCACGAAGCTCCTTAACAGGCTTTTGCGACAAATATATTTTCATGATAGGGACGTTCCGCTGCTTTGTATCGCCACCAGGCTGACCCATGACTTCGAAAGCGGCATCTTCTGGATCTGAGGTTACTTCATGAGCATCGCCCTTGATGGTTCTGTCGACGGTCTGCTTCTGTCGAGGTATCTCGACTATCTGAGACGAGAGCGCAGTATATTGGTAGCATCTTGCCCCAACAAGTACAAGCTGTCGCTTTGCTATCTCGACTACCGTGATAAGCTTTGTTGTTGCTTTCGCATGTGCTGTGAGATAGAGGAGCTTCGCTTTCTCATCGACCTGGGCATCCTGGCTGAGACTCGCAACGATTCTCTCGACACGATCCGAAACTTTGGTGGACGAGATAATCCTCCAGGCGATAATCTCATAACCCAGGCTCTCCTCGTCCAAGGGCATGTTGGTCGCAGCAGATCCTGAAGTACTTGTCCACGTGATGCTTGCTTTTTGATACCAGATACTGTCCGGAATGCTATCGCTTTCGATCAATGCCGGAAGGTTACGGGATCGCGTGACAGCTCAAGGAGAGCTCGACAGGATAACGAGTCGAGTCGTGGCGCACGGCATCTGAGTGGCTGAAGTTCGGGTGTTTGCTCTTGCAGCTTACAAACACTATCCGAAGAAGCTCGACAAACGGTACCCGGTCGCTGTACCACACTCTTGCCACCCGGAATGCGTAGCTTGTAACATCACCGCTGTGATTCGTTGATGTGCGTACTCGTCGCATTCCACAGACCTTTCCCAAAGACTTTTCTGGAACACCTAGGCTGGCCGCAGTGATCTGGTGTGGCGCTCGCAAGCCAATAGGATTCGCGCCAGCTGTCTCGTATGCAAGTTAAATCGACTGTGCAGCGGCCCCCTGTTTAGTGCACGGCTAGTTGCAGCATGACGATTCCATTTCCATTTGGTTAGGCTCCACTCCTTGTACGAGGCGGCTGTCGCTCTCCCATCTCGTCTTCGAGAAACTACAGCGACACCTTCTTACACCAACACCTCGGCCTTTGCACCAACACGGCCATTTCTTTACTTCTATTACCTTTCTTTCTGCCACCTTAAGCTTCTTGTCCTACTAACCTTTCTTGTTATAATACACATAGAGTTTGGCTGATTTCTGCCGCTCCTGCCCGCCGAATTCCTGCTTACGACGGCTGCGACTGCCTTCCAAAACATTCTCTACGTGCCAAAACCGCTCTTCCAGCTCAACAATCACGATCAAATCCCACTCTAGAACAACGCGCCACTGATCACCGGCGTCAGGAGTACTTGAGTAGTACCTCCCTGCCGACATACTGAATGCGACAGCAGTGACTCAGGCTTGGTCGCAAGCTCTTCGTGGGAAATTGTATGGAGGAAAGGAATTTGGGGAACTGTCGTCCGGATCGGCGACAATAGACGTGCCCATCATGCACAGCGTATTCCGCTTGCCATGGTGCACCGATCAGATTGCACCCAAGATGCAAACAGGCAAGGCGGCGTTAGATCTCATGCGTGCATCGCCTGTTTTGGACTTGACTGCGTTGAACAAGGCAAAGCGAAAGCGAGCCGAGGACGCAGAAGTGCAGCGTGTGGAGACGACGAAGAGGCAGTGCGGTGGTGGTGAAGCTTTCAGGCAGTCACCATCGATCGACCTACCCGCCAGGTCGATGGAGGGCAAGCCAGTTGTGACTCCTTCCGCTGTCAACACATCGTTGCTCCAGATCGCGCAAATCTCCGCAAGTAATGGTGCCAGTCCAGCACCATCGCTCGAGCTCAAAGCTGAAGTTTCGAAGATTTCCTCAGCTTCTGCCGTACAGCCTTCTTCAGCAGCTGACAACAAGATCGCTCAAGCAATGTCTTCTGATGTTGAGATGAAGGATGCCATCGGCTGCAGCGAGCTGAGTCCACTTCAGCAGGTCATCGAGAACGAATTCAATATGCAAATACTGATGAAGCATAATGAGCTCCGTCTGATTGAGCAGGAACTTGCCAAATGTCAGATTGGTTTGGAGCAGCTCCGTCGAATCGAGCTACGGCCTTATCCTGGCGCGGAAAAGTTCTCGTCTGATGTATCTGCTGGTATCGGCGCATCGCTAGCTCCACCTGCTAGACATTCTCGACCCATGCATGCCGCCCCTCACGGCGTGGCAGATGGACCTTACTCGCGACATTACCGCCGTTGGCTACTTCACGACACCACATTCGATTCAATACCACTGCAAGCGACTTTTGTAAACTCTGCTCCTCATATTGATAGCCGACCAATACGACATGCTAGTACTTCGAGGAAGTCTGTTCAGAAATCACCAGCAGCTCCAGCACCTGTCACAGAGATGCCAAAGAGCTTACCAAACTATCCCGCAAGCACCCGCAAGATCAAGTTGGCAGTGGTGAGGCGGTCTACGGATGGACTTCTGGTCAAGCTGGTCTGCAATCACTGCCACCGAAGCGACTTCTCTAACTCGCAAGGTTTTCTCAATCATTGTCGTATTGGTCACAAGCTGGAGTATAAATCTCACGACCACGCCGCTATTGACTGCGGCCATCCGCTCGAGGAGCACGAGTATGCGGCCATTCCGCCAGAGGTCCAGAACACTCCCGTGGCGAAACCCAGCTCTCACAGCAGAGCGGCGTCGACCAATGTGACACCGCTGAAAGCAAGCGGTCTAGTGCATCCGCTAAACACGAGCGGTGGACTTGCTTCATTGAACACATCCAGTCCACAGCCTCTGTTGAAGAAGGCCATTCCGCGAGCACATCCAATCTCTGGCATGTCTGGAATCAAAGCGCAGCCACAATTCACAGCATCAGCACAAGCACCTCGTCTCTCTGCACAGTTTGCGAAGCACAACTTTGGTGGCGATCTGCAGGCTGCGATCGCTTCTGCGAAAGAGAGGGTTGATTTGGGTGCAGAGGCCGAGCTCTCGCCCGATATCCTGGATTCAGCTTCGCCACGAGCATCTGGCGCTGTTGGCGGAAAGGGTGTTTTTGGAGTGCCTCGAGCCGGCTCTCTGGCACCACCCAATGGTGCTGGTCCTCCAAGCCGTAAAGGTTACAGGCAGCCAACGCAGCATTCTCGCCCTTCGCCTCTTGTACCCGTTGCTAATATTGGCCTCGCGCAGAGTCGGAGGAACTCTCACCACGAGATGCCAGACTCACCCGATGACCGATCTCTCAACCTGAGCCCGCATACCATCGACAGCGAGCCTGGCTTGGTCAGCGATCACGAGGACGACGATCAGGGCTCAGCATCAGAAGACGAAGTGCCGCACACCACCATCTCACACCCTCTCAACGTGGGTGGTCGGACCTGTGCGGATAACATGGACATTGATGTGTCTGTGGACGACACCATCGACGAGCATGGTGTGATTATCAGGAGGAACAGCTTACTTGCTAGCGAGAATCATGGCCTGGGAATGGCTAATGGTGTGGCTAGGAAGTAGGCTGTTGTGTAAGGATATACGACGCAGGGATTGCGTAACATTGTAGGATTGCATACGGCCGAGTCGGATGGTGTCGAGATACCTGCTCAACCTTGGTCAGACTAGCTCGATACATCAATACACCTCTTCACTCCGACCATAATATGTTTTGACCACTGCCACCATTGTCTTCAGCGCTTTCTAGTCCCGCAGCCTGAGCTGCTCGCGTATCCACGGTGTCCTCGTCAGAAGTGAATGGCCGAACTATGCTTGAACAATTCGTGTTTTTTTGAAGCAAAAGGTGAACCTCCCAGATCGTATTTGCGTTCCAAATCGGTTAGCGTACCCGTTGGCGCCCACTTTGGGCGTGCAAAGTGGCCAATAGCGATTGCATACATACGCCAAATTGCAACTTCACGCAACGGAATAGTTGACAGCAACAGCCAAATACTCAGCAGACATGGTCTCTTGGCAGACGTGAGTTGTCTCGGCTTCCCATAATTAAGATGGACACTGATAACATACCTCAGAATCCAATCGGCTCTGCTGTTCTTCGGACCCTTGCTACTTCCACGGATACTCGCCACGTACCGCTCAATACGATCACGGCCAGCCTCTCAGATCCGAGCATTACCTCCGGCGACTTCATACGCGCTGGCGATACTCTTCGCGTCTGGCTTAGTAGCATTTCTGTTCACCTTACCACTCTTCGCAGCACCGAACATCTTTCGACAAACACAATCGAGGATCCAGACTCCCGCTGGTGTTCTCCTGACCCGTCTCGCAGCTTTGCGACCTATCACGCCAGATGACGAGAAGCTCCGATCTGTGCTTGATGCCGGCGGTCTGGACGCACGACTCCTCTACGTTCGGTATGGACCTAAGATTCTAACCAATTGCACTTTCGCCAAGCCTGGAGATCTGGATGCTAGTCTGATGTATTTCCTATACGCTCTTCCTACCATCGTGGCATCGCATCTTATTCATCTAGCTGCGCTCGGCGTAGCGACCTCCGGATTTCTGAGCGGCAAGGAAGGTGCTCGGTGGCGTACAGTAGCAGCAATTGCGGGTATCGTACTTGGTGCAGCAGAAGTCTGCTTTGTAGCGTACTACGATGACAAGCAGAACATGCGCAGCACACGAGTGAGCGAGATCGACTTTGTCTTCTGGAAATTGCAAGTCTGGCGTGGACTGGCTATCGCAGCTGTGGACGGCTTGATAGGTTGGGTGATCTGGCTACAAGCCACCAGACGAGCATTCCTCTCACCACCCGCTGCTGCGGAGAAGTTACAGGATCATGCACATGTGCTCGAAAGCTTGCTTGGGAAGACAAGAGGGCTTGGTGTGCTCAGAAATGGCACGGTGAGGGATGCAGGCATGAGAGCGAAGACGGATGCGTACTGGGTGAAGGAGGGAGAAGTGATGAAGGATGTTTTCGAGGAGCCTGAAGTACTGGAGGCACAGAGAAATGCTTTGCGGAGGCTTGATATCACGAGGATTGGTCGTGAGGCTGAGGATTATGTAGACAGCGTTTTGGGTCCGCTGCCAATGGCGAGAACGTCGGCACTTACATGAGTTTCTAGCACATATACGGAATACACTCTGCCCACGTGAAGCACTTAGATTGCTCGTAGGACTCATGTCGCATTGTTCATCGCACCCTCCAGCTTTGTACGCAGGCTCGATACCTCATTCATGCCCAGGTTCGACCATACCTCCGTCCCCTCTCCGTCGTACAAAAGCGATCGGAAGAACTCACCAATTGCTCTCTCCGTCTTGTGATGCATGTTTGCTGCCATGGTGTGATTATCAAACCTTGATGCTAGGCCACACCTCACGGACAGGACCTTGTCACGTCCAGCAACGCTGAGAGACCACTCCGCCTTCTCCTCCGTAACTACCCTCGTTCCTACAGTCCTATCGCCAGTAAGCTCCCGTATCGCCGACGATTGCTTCGGGAAAAATGTCGTCTGTTTGACGTATACGACACGGATGTGGCGTATCTCTCGCAAGACACTTGCAGCATTGACAGCGAAGAAGTGCAGTGTATGCGCGTCAACAGTAAGCCTGGTAGGTTGAATGGAGTTTCGAAAGCGATGTCGTCTTGGCATGCCAGTCTCGTAATCACTCACCTGTGTAAGTAGGCGAATGTCAAAGGGTACATGTCTTGAAAAAGGCTGGGAGCATGTCATGGCGCATCTGTCGACTGGTACGAGCAAGTGATGGTATGGTGGGCGAGTGGAGTGGTCGGTCTGCGAAGGCTGCAAAGTAGTGATTTCCGATGGCACGTCGAAGCTCTAATGGAAGGTCCATGAACCTGAATACCAGATTTTGGTCATTCTCCTCCAATCGTGAGATCAGATGACTGATGATCTCTTCTTTGGTTTGTCCACGTGAGATCAGGGGCATGGACTGTCTACGTTCCGTCCGCTGTTCGATAGGGACCGGAGCATTGTGGTAGCGGAGTTGCATACGGTTGAGCTCATCGCCATCCATTATTCTACGAGCCCGGGCCATGTCCCATAGATCCGGCTTTCCAACCGCAGGGTCTGTCCACTTCCAGTAGCATGGCTTGCTTTGATCTAATCGGGAAAGTTGATTCTGGTAGAAGGTAGCGTCGTGACGTTGCGGGAGCATATTGTTGTAGCCTTCGAGCTTCTTGAAAAGCTCTTTCATACTTTCCTCTGGCTTCGAAGGAAAGTCATCAGTTTCGAAGCGATTGACGTCAAATCGCCAATATGAATCGTGCGTCAAGCTCATATTGCCGAGAGATAGCCGTAAGAGACTGACCGATAACTCTGACGGCTAGAAGTGCAGAAGCTCTTATATCCATGGCATGCTTGCTATGTCCTAGGGGAGAACAATGGAGGTATTTGATTCTGCTTATTCCAGGAAAGTCATCTTTGTGATTATGCTGTAGTGCTATAGAAGCATTCCATAACACCATCCAAACTGCATAGTAGGCCACTACGTAGCTTCTTCGGCAATGTCATCAAGTGCCCTAGAGTTCATTGGGCCATAGTACACCACATCGAGGTGGGAATTGTTGATCAGGCTCGAAGCAGACAAGGAACTCCGATCCGAGGCTGGAGCAGCGCATCTGTTGTGCATGAAACTGTGTTGTCCAAAGGAAGCGGGTGTTACGGGACCGTTCACTGCCGTGTACTCCGTGGGCATGGCAAAGCACTTCTCATGACCAGTGCGGATGAGCTGACCGCTGTTGAAAGGATAGAGAAGGATGGCAAGCACAATGAAAAAGGTGGTGACGCCTAGGACCAGGCCAGAGATGATGGCCCAGTGTATGAGCAAAGACAATCTGATAGACTCCTTCAAGCTTGGCAGCAAGAGGAGAGAGATGCTCGGGAGAAATTCTGTTGACATTCTTTCTAAGATACATTCTGTCCCTATCAATAAGTCGCTGAGATGGTCAGATTACTCACTGCAAGTACCATCACCAAATTAGTACAGCACCGCGCCACGGTAGTACCTTACCGCAGCCATGTCTTAACGTGATGCCGGTGTTCAGGAATAGCAGGTCTGGCTCATCTTAGCAGCGGCATTGCCATAGATTGTCTGTGGAAGCGAGACATGCTCCCTGTGACTGTGGGCTTTTCGCCCTGCCCCATTGACGCTCACTGGGCAAAGATCGTGAAATCGTGTACGATTTTGTGGTGACAAGGGCAGCCACTTGGCGCGGCTGCGAGGATTTGTGAGCGAAGACGGCCATCATATAGCTCCGGGCGAAGCCGAACAAATCATATACATGTTTTTGGCGCTAGTGTAACATATGCGATCTTTCACAAGCAAAAGTTCAAGCAGGAATATAATTGGCCTTTTAAATTGTCCAAAGGAGCACCGAAATCATGGACGACGACCTGTTCGGAGTATTCGACGAGACGGCGCCTAAGCAGAATGGTGCGATTGGAAAGAAGGAGAAGAAAGCCCGGAAACGATCTGCAAATGGTGATGTGAAGACAGAGGCATCGCAAGGAAATGGCGACTCGGCCATGCAAGATGCGCCCGATGCAGTCGGTGCCAATTCAAAACACGTCAGCAACGGGAACGGAGAGGCCGTGGACGAGGAGCGACATCAGAAGCGTCAGAGGAGAGACGACGAGCCCGAGCCTGTCGTGACAGATACATTCGAGACGGAGCAGTCGCGAGAAGTGGCGGCAGCTGCTGGTTTGCAGGCACAGAAGGATGACAAGGCTGTAGTGCTGTCACATCAAGTGCGACATCAGGTCTCACTGCCGCCGGACTTCGAATATGTACCGATCTCACAACACAAGCGACCCGAGAAGCCTGCTCGAGTCTGGCCTTTCACCCTTGATCCATTCCAGGAAGTCTCCATCGCCTCGATCGAACGCAACGAGAGTGTACTGGTCTCGGCCCACACGAGTGCTGGCAAGACAGTCGTGGCGGAGTATGCGATCGCACAATGCTTGAAGAACAACCAGCGAGTCATATACACCAGTCCTATCAAGGCATTGAGTAACCAGAAGTATCGTGAGTTCACTGCCGAGTTCGGAGATGTTGGACTCATGACTGGAGATGTCACGATCAACCCCACTGCGACTTGCCTGGTGATGACAACTGAGATTCTGCGATCCATGCTGTACAGAGGTTCGGAAATCATGCGTGAGGTTGCTTGGGTGGTGTTTGACGAGGTCCATTACATGCGCGACAAGTCAAGAGGCGTGGTGTGGGAAGAGACGATCATCCTGCTACCAGACAAGGTGCGATATGTGTTCTTGTCAGCCACGATCCCGAATGCTATGCAGTTCGCAGAGTGGATTACGAAGACGCACAACCAGCCCTGCCACGTTGTCTATACCGACTTCCGACCTACGCCTCTACAACACTACTTCTTCCCAGCCGGTGCAGATGGCATACATCTAGTCGTCGACGAAAAAGGCGTGTTTCGGGAGGACAACTTCAACAAGGCCATGACATCGATTGCCGATAAGGCATGTGATGATGGTTCCGATCCGATGGCTAAAAGGAAAGGCAAAGGAAAGGAAAAGAAGACAAACAAGGGTGGCAAGAAGGAGGGACCAACGGATATCTACAAGATTGTCAAGATGATCATGATGAAGAACTACAACCCGGTCATCGTCTTCTCCTTTTCGAAGCGGGAGTGCGAGAACTACGCGCTGCAGATGAGCCAGCTTGCATTCAACGATGAGAGTGAAAAAGCCATGGTCTCGAAGGTCTTCAATTCAGCTATCGAAATGCTATCGGATGAAGACAAGGAGTTGCCACAGATTCAGCATATCTTGCCACTTCTGCGCCGAGGTATCGGCATCCATCATTCTGGTCTGCTACCTATCTTGAAAGAGACCATCGAGATTCTGTTCCAGGAGGGCCTGATTAAAGTCCTCTTCGCCACAGAAACATTCTCAATCGGCTTGAATATGCCTGCCAAGACTGTCGTGTTCACTTCTGTGCGGAAGTTCGACGGCGTAGCAGAACGGTGGGTCACGCCATCCGAATTCATCCAGATGTCTGGGCGTGCCGGCCGAAGAGGTCTGGACGAACGTGGTATTGTGATCATGATGATCGACAACAAGATGGAGCCGCAAGTCGCCAAAGACATCGTCCGAGGAGAGCAAGACAAGCTCAATTCGGCTTTCTACTTGGGCTACAACATGATTCTCAACCTGCTACGAGTCGAAGGTATCAGTCCGGATTTCATGCTCGAGCGATGTTTTTACCAATTCCAGAACGCTGCAAGTGTGACAGGACTTGAAAAGGAGCTGAGCGAGTTGGAGCAGCGGAAGAACAACATGGTGATTGAAGACGAGGCCGACATCAAGGATTACTACGAGCTGCGGCAGACGCTGGATGGATATGCGAAGGACATGAAAGCCGTAATCACGAATGAGCAGTATCTACTCAAATTTCTACAGACTGGTCGCCTGGTCAGGGTGAAGTACAAGGACTACGACTTTGGCTGGGGTGCGGTCGTCAACTTTAACAGAGTCAAGCCAAGCCGCAACCAGACTCCGGAGGACATCAAGCCTGGTCAAGCCGTCATAGTAGATGTGTTGATGAATGTGGCCGCAGACGTGACACCTCTGGCGATAGGCAGCAAGTCCAAAGATGACCTACCACCTGGTGTCCGGCCACCTGTACCCGGTGAGAAGGGCAAGATGGAAGTCGTGCCCATCACGAATGGCACGATTGACAGCGTAGGACATCTACGGATCTTCCTTCCCACCGACCTTCGCCAGCCAGAGCAACGGAACACGGTCCGCAAATCTCTCGAGGAGATTAGCAAGCGCTTCCCGGATGGTGTCGCCATTCTCGATCCAATAGAGAACATGGGCATCACAGACGAATCGTTCAAGCGTCTCCTCCGCAAAATCGAAGTACTAGAACACAAGCTCCTCTCAAACCCTCTCCATAAATCTGAACGCCTACCACAGCTCTACGACCAGTACGCTGCCAAAGAAGAGCTCAAAACAACCATCAAATCCAAACGAAAACAAATCCAAGACGCCCTCTCCGTGCTCCAGCTCGACGAACTCAAGAACCGCAAACGTGTCCTTAGGCGCCTCGGCTTCATAAATGAACAGGATGTCGTCCAACTCAAAGCTCGCGTGGCCTGCGAAATCAGTACCGGCGACGAACTCGTGCTAAGCGAACTCCTCTTCAACCGCTTCTTCAACGAGCTCACGCCTGAACAGTGTGCCGCATGTCTCAGCTGCTTTATCTTCGAGGAAAAGAGCCAGGATGCTCCGCCACTGAGGGAGGAGCTGGCGAAGCCGTATAGAGAGATCCAGGCGCAGGCGCGACAGGTGGCGAAGGTGAGTATGGAGAGTAAGGTGCTGGTCAATGAGGAGGAGTATTTGGAGAGTTTCAAGAAGGAGTTGATGGAGGTTGTGTTTGCTTGGACGCAGGGGGCTAGCTTCGCGACGATCTGGTGAGTTGTTCCTTTCTTGCCTACTTGCTGAGGTCGTGTGGGTGTGCTGACTTTGTAACTGTAGCAAAATGACCGATGTCTATGAAGGTTCCCTGATTCGCTTGTTCAGGCGACTCGAGGAGCTGTTGAGGCAGGTGGCGCAGGCTAGTAAGGCGATGGGGAATGAGGAGTTGGAGAAGAAGTTTGAGGAAGCTTTGGGGAAGGTCAGGAGGGATATTGTGGCTGCGCAGAGCTTGTACCTGTAATTGTAGATTGCTAATATGAGAGGTGGTGCAACCACGCGGCATGGGCATGAGCTGGTGTAAGTCCCGCAGCCTTCATCAGGACGTGTATTGTGTAGTCTCTCGATGGAATAGGATCGAGGAGGCGCGAGGGTGTCATCTCCACTGCCACAAGACGATATCACTAGGTGAAATGGTAGCAGTAGGCAGCTGAAGGGTAATAATTTTCAAGCCATGAACGCCTCATCGCCTCTCGGGTTGGCATGATTTCGTTGTCACTTTGGCATGGAGACGACAGCACGGACAGCAATCGAGGTACGAGAGGGAGAGCAATTATAGAGGATGACGAAGAGGATAAGCAGAATGTGTTTGCAGTCATACAAAAGCAAGCACTAGAACGCCATGCGAAATGCAAATGCCATGTTCGTGTCCTCCGTTCCACCGTCCCATCGTTTCATCAGTCATACTGCATGCATTTCCATTCTGTCATCCTATCATCGGGCGAGAGCAATGAAAATCAAGATGAGTGCATGGTGATGGTTGAGCACCACGGCGCCTTCGTTGTAGATTACTACAGCGAGGCCACCACAACAAGACATGCGATTCTCGTGAGAGCTCGATCCTGTGAGGGCGACATCAGTATATTGTTCTTTCATACGACGAGTCCCCGATGGCACTTACCAAATCACGCTCCTGTCGTGCCTCGTCCTGCCTCGTAGCGCACCTGTCTCGCTGGAGAGATCTGGTGGTCGCGTCTCCATCTGATCTTCGACTCCCTACGAGAGGCAACGGCATATCGCATGTCGTAGTTGATGATCTTTGGAACCTCTTGGTAGGCACCAGTCTTCAAGACGTTGATGACAGTGGCGACCATGTCCGAGAGAACGGTCTCGAGTCCTTGCGCCCGACGCTCATTCATCTGTTCGCATGGACAGTCGGGCTCACAAGAAGTATGCGGCAGTGAGCCCATGTTCCTCAGTGCGGCACAGAGGGTGTTGTACATTGTCGACGGGCGGTGATGTTGGCTGTACACACGCTCGTTGCGGAGAGTCTTCTCGATGGTGAGGATGGCTTGCATAGCCAACGGATGAGCGACCATACCGCGGCTACCATTCACGTTCGCCGCGAGGAAGCGACGATAGTACCCATCTCTCAATACCATCGATATCTCATCGACGTCAAGGCTGTGCAAGCGAGTGTACGTGCCGTTCAGGGGGTTGCCGAGGATGCGGACCATCTGCGCGTCAACTCCACCGTGATAAGCGGCATCATACATGGACAGCGAGATGTTAAGCTCACCATCCATGTAGACAGCAGCACAATGCTCGAGCACCGTGCGCAGAGCCTGCTCATCAACGGCGTGGAGAGGATCACGCCACCAGAGGTCGCCGTGCTGGTTGTTCTCACGTCCGACGTATCGGAGATCACTACTGAGCAGCCTGTCGTCGAGGAGGTCAATGTTCTCATGACGATCACCACGCTGGATCTGCTCGATGCGGAAGCGTGTCAAGCGAATGTGGTCCTCGGGTGTCAGCGCCCGGACCACATCATCGTCGTCTTCTTCCTCCTCCTCATCGGACACCTCATCTGGCAGCAGGAATAACTCCAGACGACAATAAGGGCACACGTTCTTGCCTTGCTCGTCGTCGTCGTACTGCTTCGAGTAGCATTCATCGCATATGATATGCAAGGTCTCGGATCCGCTGGAGTGCAGCAGGATGGGACGGACGGAGTCGGTGAAGTACTCCTTTGCGCAGACGACGCAGTCACCATCTCCGATAAACTTGCCTGCCGTCTTGAACTGCTGCAGACGGGCTTCGTCGATCTCCTTTGGCACACCGGAGAGCTCGTAGGCCTCTTTATTGGCATATGGGAATGCCATGTTGCTGCGGATGTCTCGAAGTTGATCAGAGAACAAAGAGTATACTCGTCTGGATCTCAAGTAGACGGTCTTTGTGGGTGTCTGTAGTTTGCAGAGTGCTGTAAGTGAAGCTTGCTTGGTTACTGACAGCGGTGTAGAGCAGAGTACAGATGAAGAGAGAAGGAGAAAGTGCGCACCACACGCGAAATACATACTGCATACTCGGTCTGAGTTTTCCATCTACTCTTATACAAGCTGCTAAGCAAGCACATGTCTCAGAAGCTTGAACATGTCTTCAGATCGAGATCGATATTCGGACGATTCGTGCTGCAAAGGTTGTATACCGAGCCAACCAGCTTCGAGCCAGGTGATAGTGAGTTTGAACAAAGCAGACGAACAGCTTGTAAGCGTTCAGCTATAGGTGCTGGCGAACTTGACTCGCCGTCCTTGAGCATAGACCAGATCGATCGGAAGCGATCTCACAGATGAGTCGACATAAGCTACCGGGACGCATTCCGGGTGCTTACATTGGACGAAAGGCTCCTGGGATCCCTATGTAGACTCGAGAACCTGACGATCCAGACGACATGATCCCGTCATGCCATGAAGTGGCATGATCATACGGAGCGGCATGGAACACAAGTTGCAGTACTGCGACCGATGGTGAAATAGCGATAAATCTGACATTGAGTTGCAGGCCGAAGCATTTTTATGAGCTGTGAATGCTATAACGGCTCAAAGGGGCCTGCGGCTCAATCGAAAAATCTCGAAAATCGCCAAGACCCGCGACTTCCTCATTTTCCTGACCATTAGGATGACGTCCAATCCTGGGATGTAGTAAGCAGCGGAGTCATACATGTATCCATGGAGACGTCCATGGGGTTGGGAAACCTTGAGCACGGAGCCTGGAATTCTTTGGGTGCCCGGATCACTGGGATGCAAAGTCAGCAAAGCCCGGCAGAAGTCGGCAGTACGATATAGGGGCAACCGCGCAGGGGATAGCGTAGCCTTTGCAAAACTTCTTCCCCAACAAGGCGCACAGCGCCAAGACTGCTTCGCGATCAGCTTCGCACTCTAGACGTGTGTTACGATTTTGAGGAAGGTGGCGAGCCCCTGAATGCACAAGACGGATCTCATCACAACCAATTCTTTTGCAGTCTTGCGCCATCTACGCCCTTCCCATGTGCTTGAGACGAATGATAGACCATAATACAAACATAGCTCTTCTATCGTGCCTCTCCTATTCGTCATACACGATTTGCCACTTTTGCCAAGCCTTCGTGATCTTTGGGCACACGGAGCTGCTTCCGTCGGGGCTGCGCCCAGTGACTCCCACCAAATTCTCTCCACCGAGCCTCGGTCTTCAAGAAATCTTTGTCCACGAGCTTGTACCTCATTCGGTCCACCAGTCTGATAGCAAGGGTCAGACAGCTCCGGACCCCAGGATCTTATCTGCAGCCGAGGTATGTGATGGCTGCAATATGTCGGCGTGGTATTATGGGATTGCACCTAAGTCGAAATCTGAACATGGCAGGTTGTGCTCATGTTTGCGGCTGCCTACCTCCTTTTGCATCGTGACACTCGCGATACGCCCTCGACTGGCATGACCACGGGCTTCGCAGCCTCTGTATGCGGCCTGCGCTCGCTAGTAGCCATAGGCCGCCGAGCCAGTACAGTTGTGTTGCACCCAGCCATGCCCTCAGTGTGATCATCGCAATATGCAAGACTCTTATGCTTCAACATGATCACCGACTCCTATCATTCTCAGGATACACCCTCCTCTTCTTCAGACCCTCCTCATCGCTAATCCCCTCATCACCCTGCTGCGCCAGCTTCTCAAACCTCCCAACCATCTCTTCCAACTCCTGATCCGCGTTACCCCGATACCGCGTGACTTTCGCAATATTCGCAGCTGTCATGTCGTTGATCTGGTGGCCCTTCGCTCGTATGCTCGCGATTGTCTTGGCTGTGAAAGCGAATCGCATGTCCTTTGGTCCGTCCACTAATTCCAGGATCGCCGAAGCTGCTTGGTCCTCCTTCAGTGGTTCGATACGTAGGACTCGGGTATAGCCTCCCTGGCGCTCGGCATAGCGTTCTCGTAATGGTCCGAAGAGTTTCGGCATCATTTCTGGTGCTCTCTGCGATTCATGATTAGCTATCCCATCGTAAGTCATCCTCACGATTTCCTGATTTGCTGGCTACGCACAAATAAGAATTTGGTCGCCTGTCTCTTGCTAGCCTCCGAGTTCTTCTTGCCCAGTGTGATCATCTTCTCTGCCATCCTCTGTGCTTCTTTCGCTTTGTGCCATGATGTCTGGATGCTCTCGTGCTCGATGAGGGAGGTCACAAGGTTGCGAAGGAGGGCGCGGCGGTGAGCGGACGACCGCGACAAGTGCCTGTATTTGACAAGTCCTCCGGCCATGATGAAGAGCTGTCAGAGGAGGATTGCCGATTTGTGCTTGAGATGAATTCGCGAAACAGAGGTGAGATGGAAGGTGCGGAGCGGATGTTCTTCCCCATTAAGAAGTCACGAATCCACTGCCATGCTTGCTCGACTCGTGCAATACCACGAGCCTCAGGCCTCAACTTGTCCTCGTTGATGTGTATCACGGCTATTCGACGATCACATAATATAGCAGCTCACCCGGACACCACATCCTCGCCTCCAGAAGGCCGACATGGGTTTCACGACTGGCCTCGTAAGCATAGCCCAACTCTCCCCTCAAGATCCTCACTAACACTACCCGCACAGCTCGGCGGCTTCACTCTAACAACCACTCTAATCTACCTAAGCATAACCCTCCACACCCGCAACCGCATCCAACAAGCCGCCCTCCTCCACCAACAAAGCTTCGTCCTGAACAACCTCGTCGAGCCCGCTCCCGCATCACCGGAACCCACAGCCCGAGAAGTGCCGGCGGGATTGTGGGAGACCGCGAAGGATAAATGGAATTCTGAGCTCGAGCGGGGGGTGAAGAGGATCTGGAGTACGGATTGGGATGGTGCGAGGGATCAGGTAGAGGAGGGCGTGAGCAGTGTGTGGAGGAGGACGTTTGCTGCGGCGAGAGAGAAGGCGGATGAGGTGACGAAGTGAGTAGGATGTGTCGCTGATTGGATGAGAGTCTGTGACGGGCCATTGTGCACTTCTATGATTTTTGCTGCGTTCAAGCGTGTGTGGTTGGCTTGTACATATTACACCTCGTGTCTTCGTCCTACCACTGTGCCGACACCGGATATTCCAATCTTCGATCTACCTCCATGGCTGTCTCCTTGGCTCGCATCCGATCTCGTTCGTACCGGAGCGCTGATCATTGTACATTGACTTCTACTACATGGTCGTCCAAGTTGAAGAGACTCGCAGCTCGCTACTTTACAGAGGAACTACGTGCATTGAGATAGATTGTACTACAGAAAGACGCCAGCCATGCCTCGCGCCATGCTTGTACACCTCACGATCCGAATGATTTTCGAGCCTGCAAAGTAAAACCCCTATGAACCCACCACGTTCAACACACCACCATCAACAGCCAAGATCTGCCCGTTGACATACTGATTCTTCGTCAAGAACAAAACAGCCATGCCCATCTCCTCTTCCCTCCCACCCCTGTTCAAAGGCACGTGTCCCTTACTCTGCACGTTATCGTCGGGGAGCTTAGACTTCTGGTTACCATCGCTCTCCTTAGTCGTCATCTCAGACGGGAAGTAGCCCGGTGCGATGGAATTGACCCTTATCCCTGCCTTCTGAAACTCAGCGGACATGAGTTTCGTTAATTGGACGGTAGCGCCTTTGGCTGCGTTGTAGGCGAAGTGGCCTTGGGCGTGGCGCATGAGACCGGACATTGAGGAGGTTGTGATGACGGAAGGGGAGAAGCGGTCGGTGTTGGGGCTTTTCTTGTGGGTGAGGGAGGCTTGGAGGAGAGGGAGGAAGGCCACGGTTGTGAAGTAGACGCTGGTGACGTCCACGTTGTACGTCTCGTTCCAGGCCTCCACTGACTCGTTTTCCCAGAGATTCTTCTTCAGGTCGGAGGCATCTGTTTGCTCTGGTGGTGCTTTGGGCCCGCCAATTCCAGCATTGCACATTAGCATGTTGATATACCCCTCCCTGCCCTCGACCTCTTTCACGATCTTCTCCAGCTCGTCCTTCTTGGTGACATCGCAGGGTCCGAGAGGAACGATTTCGCCTCCACTGCCACCGTCTTGCTCAGAAGAGGGATGATGCGATTTTGCTGCAGCCTCTAGTGCTTCGATTCGTCGACCGACAATGTAGACTTTGGCTCCGTTGGCTGCGAGGGCTTGGGCGGCCATGAGACCAATGCCTGTGCCTCCGCCGGTCACTACGCAGACATACTTGGGCACACCAAACAGTTTGTGGGCGTGAAAGTGGTGGGTTTGAGCGCCTCCAGTTGCCATGGTTGTGATTGAGAAGTCGTCAAGTAGCAGTTGTCCTTGAGGAGCTTTCCCTTGAGTCGATCAGGTCCTCCTTTCTCGTTATCTGCTTGGGGTCCGAGAGTCCTTTATATAGGTGGTGAAAAGTCCTTTCGTCGTGGGTCAATCAGAAAAATGGTCGCGGGGCAATGGTGTTGTGGCAAGGTAAACTTTTCGACGTCATCTTGTCGTCAGGTAACACGAAAAGGAAACGGGTCATGTGATGTCGCGTGGTAAGAAACGGGAAAGGAAAGCACGCAGACCGCAGAAACCTGAGAGGCTTGCAATATTGAAATGCCAGTCTTGCGCTCACACTGTACCAATGCTTGTATGTGCTGACAATGAGCTCGGCGTGGGAGCCCCTCCGTGTGCTTGGCTGGAGACCAGCATCGAGATGAGGGTATCGTGTCATTGCGTAAGAAACTTTTCCTCATATGCGTCACCAAGCCCTCCCTCCTCGAGCGGCTGGTATTGCGTTCCCACGGAGACCATGCTCGTTGTTGGTGGTGCACGTTAAACAGATGTTCTTTGCGGATGAACGATGTTTGACTTTCATAACGCGCCGGAACTTCTGCCGACCACGGACCACCTCACGTCGACAGACAAGGCAATCCATGTTCAGTGCAACTCTGCCCGGCCATGGGCTATGAGCTAATACTCTAATGTCTGGGCCAAGGAAAGCATATATCCAACGCGTGAAGTCGATAGTGAGCTCACACACTACCGAGCACACACACAACCATCTCCAGCGGCAACGTGAATAACGGATGACCTATGTCTCTGAGCTCGCGTGCTCACCAGTCGCACCTACCAACCTCGTCGGTTTCATAAGTCATACTATAGCACGTCTCCCGAACTGTATCGCGAACGAGCCCGACTGCCATGACAGTTCCAACAGATAGACGATACAGACGCTGCAGACCTATACAACATCAACAACAACCTGGCCAGCATCGGGACAGGCACGTGCTTGAGGCGTCATGCCTCCACCTCCTACCTCTCCAGTCACAAGTCGGCAACAGTCCAGTACCAAGACGACAAGCAAGCCGTCGACGGTGACGAAGCGACCAGGCTCGGCAGCTTCTGTCAAACGGGCACCTTCCTCCGTAGCATCTCGAAACGGAACGCCCAAAGCACCAGCCCATGGTGTCAGCACCAGAGTTCCGGCGACGAAGGCGAGGGGAAGCGCAGACAAGGAGGGCAGTGGTGGGAGCAGGAGTGATGTCAAGCCTGCGAGGAGACAGTCGTCTGCGGCAGCGATGCGAGACAAGCCTCCTAGCAAAGATGGTACGGCGCAGAGGAATGCCAAGGAGGTGGAAGGACTTAAGGACTTTGTAAGTGGCTTCATCCCAAGAGCGCGGAGGATTGGATATCAGAACCATGGATGAGGAACTCAAGAGAAGATCACATGGCGTTCATGGCCCGAGACAATGCTGTTTCAGCTGGACTGCAGCTGTCCTTCTCTACACCGCGTCTACCTTTCGATAGTATTGCTGAGGTAGAGCTTATAAACATGACTGACATCTCGCAGCAACTAGGCGACTGCCTCGGTCGCGGTGCCTTTGGCTCCGTCTATCGCGCCCTCAACTGGAGCACCGGCGAGACGGTTGCCATAAAACAAGTCTCTACCTCCAACCTCGCCCGCGCCGAACTGACGGTGATCATGCAAGAGATCGACCTTCTCAAGAACCTCAACCACCCCAACATCGTCAAATACCACGGCTTTGTCAAGAGTAGCGATAACTTATACATCATCCTGGAGTACTGTGAGAATGGAAGTCTGCATAGCATCTGTAAGAACTTTGGCAAGTTTCCAGAGAACTTGGTCAGCCTGTACACGGCGCAGGTACTGCAGGGGCTATTGTTTCTGCATGAGCAGGGTGTCATTCATCGGGACATCAAGGGAGCCAATATATTGACTACCAAGGAAGGACTGGTGAAGCTGGCAGATTTCGGTGTTGCGACAAAACAGGCTGATGGGAGCAGTGTGGTGGGCACGCCATACTGGATGGCGCCGGAGGTCATTGAGCTGTCAGGTGCTTCTACTGCAAGCGATATCTGGAGTCTTGGATGCACTGTCATCGAGCTTCTGGACGGCAAGCCACCGTATCACAAGTTCGCACCTATGCCTGCACTTTTCAGGATTGTGAACGACGACCATCCACCATTGCCAGAAGGTGTCAGCCCACTTGTACGAGACTTCCTAATGCAATGCTTCCAGAAGGATCCGAACTTGCGAGTCTCTGCGAAGAAGTTGCTTAGACATCCATGGATATTGTCGTCGAAGAAGGGCGATACCAGCAAGGCCGTAAAGCACGAAGAGGCTGTCAATCTGGTTGAAGAGTGGAATGCCGCTCTGAAGTTCAGTCCAAAAGCTGAGATGACTGGCAATGGGGCACGGCGTGCCTCAGCTAAGCCTCTGTCGCGACCTGTGTCGCGAGCCAAGAGCCAAGATCCGAAGGCGAAGCACGAGACATCAGCTACAGTTGTACGTAGTGGCTTCCAGCTGGGGGCCAAACGCGAGCGACAGAATGCTACATTGTATGCTTCGCCGGACACGGACGACAAGCGCGACAATTGGGACAATGACTTTGAGAGTTTGTCTACAACTTTCAAGGCTCTCCAACTGCCGGACCATCGCAAGCCACAGGACAACTTTGCCGGTCTATTCACAGCAGAGAAGTTGAAGCGCTATGCTACTGATCCAATGCCTGATATGGATGGCAAGGTAGAACAGTGGGATGAAGAGTTTCCAGATGGTGAGCTGACAGTCAGGTCTCCTTTACAACTGGCCAAAGGCGATGCACTAAAAACAGTACGGCCATTCTATCCACCACGAGCGACAAGCGATGACATGAAGCACAAGCCGCCCACTGGCTTGGCCAGTCGCGGTGCATCTGCTGACAGGCAAGAGCGTAAGGCAAGTAAAGACTCACAGCCTCGAACACAGATCTTGCGGACTAAGCAGATATCATCTGTCGCGGGAGTAAAAGCTGGACATGCAGCCCCTGAGAACACGAAGAGAGCAATGACAGCACCCACGACTGTCGACCGCAACCGCTACCGCGAGGATGAAGAAGAAGACTACTCCGATCTTGTGGCCGAAGACGAATCGGCTTTCCAGAAGAAACTCGCTGGGTACTCACCCAGTCGCGCCTATAATCCGCGCGACATCAGAAACATCCAGACTAAGATCGGCGGTAGTGTTCGCAGACGGACGCATACGCCTACAATGCTCGTGCACGACGCGGCGGCTATGAAGCGCACGCGTAGTTCGTTGGAGATACAGAAGTATGCCGAGGACGAGGAAGATGAGGACTTCGCTGATGTGGACTTTGGTGAGGATGCTGGCACGCCGATGCAGTTACAGCCTGTGAAGCAACGTTCGCCACAGTCTGTGTCCGCTGGTAGCAGTGAGGGGCTTGGCGACGGCTCAGAGCAGGGTACGCTTAGGCTTGTTGGGAACGGTGGTGGTGGGTTCGGGTCGTCGTGGCCTGGTGATGACGACGAGGATGATGACGAGGATGATCCGTTTGCCGCATTGGAGGAGGAGCTTGATTCGGTCGATCTGGAATCGAATGTTGCAAGGGACAAGCATGCAAGATTATGTATGCTGGTCGAGGGTCTGGTATCTGAGCTCAAGGTCTCACAATCCGATGAAGTGCTCATGGAGATCGTGGACCAGCTCAGCCAGGTCTTGGCCGAGTCGCCAGACGTGAAGAACGTGATCGTGGCAAGTCACGGCATGCTGCCTATCTTGGAGATCCTGGAGACGTGCGCACGACCGCACACTATCCTCAGCCTGCTCAGGATCGTGAACTACATCATTGGCGAGAATGTCGAGGTGCAGGAGAATTTGTGCTTCGTGGGCGGGATACCGATTGTGACGAAGTTTGCGCATAAGAAATTCAGTTCGGAGATTCGACTTGAGGCTGCGGCGTTTGTGAGGATGATGTATCAGACTTCTACACTGACACTGCAGATGTTCGTCTCGTGTGGTGGGCTGAACGTCCTGGTCGAGTTTTTGGAAGAAGACTACGATAGCGAAGCGGGTCGTGAGCTTGTTTTGCTCGGCGTCAATGGCGTACACTCCGTCTTCGAGCTGCAAGGTCCGACACCCAAGAACGACTTCTGCAGGATCTTCTCGCGTAGCTCGGTCCTCTATCCACTCTCCCTAGTGCTAAGCCGCATATTGGACGAAGAGGACGACCTCGCCGAAGTCTTCGAGGGCAGAATCGTCAATATCTTCCTCTTGTTCAGCCAAGCAGAAAACCACGTCAAGGAGACTGTGGCTGACCGCATGGTATTGAAGCGGGTCTTAAAGGATTTGAAGCGCATGACACCACAACATCAGATCACTATGCTGAAGTTCATCAAAAACTTGAGTATGCTCGCCACAACTCTAGATGCACTGCAAAACAGCAACGCCATCGAGTCATTGACCGATCTGCTAGCCTCGAGCATGAAGACGCCACACCCTCTACACCGTGAAGTCAGCAATCAGGTCTTGAACACAATGTACAACCTCTGCCGCCTCAGCAAGTCACGACAAGAGGACGCTGCACTGAACGGCCTCATACCTCTCCTCCAACGCATTGTCCAGACAGAACGACCATTGAAGGAGTTCGCCTTGCCCATATTATGCGATATGGCGCACTCCGGCAAAGTCGGCCGTATGGTCCTCTGGCAGAACAAAGGTCTTGGCTTCTACGTAAAGCTCCTATCGGAACCCTATTGGGCTGTCACGGCGCTTGACGCGATCTTCGTGTGGTTGCAGGAGGAGACGCATAAAGTTGAGCAGCAACTGCTTTCGGAGAGTACTAATTTCACCGATGCTATCGTTGGATGCTTCAACGAGAGTAAGGCCGATGCTTTTGAGGGTTTGCTCGAACCGCTGCAGAAATTGTTGAGGTTGAGTAGGGGTGTGGCGGAGCGGTTGGCCGAGAGGAGGACGTGGTTTGAGAGGTGCAAGGTCAAGATGCATGCGAGGAAGCCTCTGGTCCGATTGAATCTACTGAGGATCCTGAGGTGTCTTTGCGAGGCTCATGAGGAGCAGGGCGGTCTTTTGAGGAGGTATGGGTTGCTTGAGGCGGTGCAGGAATTGGCGAAAAGTGATCAGGCTATCCTGGTACGCGAAATGGCGAAGAGTGTCCTAGAGCTGGTTGAGAACGCTGGCTTCAATGGTAATGGCACGAGGTTGCCCGGTTTGAGAAGGAGCTCGAGTAGTGTCGTTGTGATGACGCCTACGACTGCGGGTATGGGCATGGGTGGGCAAGCGGGAAGTTCGCTTCCGCCCACGCCTGGTGGTACCGGAGATAGACATGGCAGTCGTGGTGGCTTCTTCGACTTTGGTCTTGACGGTGCCGGACCGAGAGCGAGACCAATGCCTGCTTCTTCGCCATATCGCCCCGTTAGTGGCGGCGCTGCTTCTGGCTCTGGATCCGGTTCAGGTGGGAGTCTTCCCGCCATGCAACCGCCGAGTGCGAATAAAGGTAACGGCACGACACGCCTTGCTACGCAGCCACGAGCGAGTATGGCAGGATCGGGCTTGAGGAACCAGCAGAGTCGGTTGAGTCTAGCTACGGGTGGTCGAGAGGGTAGTAGCAGGTTTAGTCTTGCTGGCGGAGGCGAAAAAGCGAATCGAATCGAGGAGGACGTGGTGCAGTCTGCGACTACGCCAACGCATGTCCCGCCTACGAGAGGTGCGAGCGCGGCTGTTGCCAATGCCAGACGAAGACGACAGACTAGTGGTGCTGAGCTCGGTGGCAGAGGGACGTGAAGATCTGATTCCGGTGCTTGACGGCGATTGCATGGCGTATGGGCTGTTCGGCAAGGTTATCTGTATGTACTGCATGGCATTGATATGAAGGCATAGCGTTGGCGTTTGCTGGGACACATGTTCAAAAGTCTGCTTTTTGTAGAAAAAGTCTGTATAGCTTGACTGGCGCCTTACAGACGACCACTCGCTGCTCATTCCCCATCGACGTGCATGACTCCTGCAGCAAGCCATCGGGTCCTCACATGACGGACCATGGAACGCCTGATGTCGTACCTCGCGCCACATACCTGGTTCCCTCCTCATCTGCACGGGCTTACATGCGCGTGGTGTCTCAGCCTTGTCTCGTTTGTGCATTGGACGGCGTCTCAGTCGTGCTCCCTGGTCTCGGACCATCGTCCTGGAGTGACTTCACCTCATGTCACCTCTTACCATCCATGCGCGTCAAAAGGTGGGAAAAGTGTGGAGACTTGGAGATCTGTACATTCCTGTCTGGCTGTGTAGCTGTTCTGCATACTGTCGACACTCTTTGTAATGGCGGACCCATTGAATCAACACGCCGCCCGTATGCTTCATCCGGAAACGCCATACACTCTTTTACGTGACATCGCCACGCAGATCATTCATAAAGCAGTCTGTACACCCAAAAGCAAGCCCCTCACGTCGCAGTAGCATTAGCAATCGTATTCGCACCCCCCGCCTTATCAACCGTAATATCCACCAACGGAATAAACTCCGACCACTTGGGCAAATCATACTGTGAGCTGGGCGGCTGAGCAGTAGAAGCAAAGACCGCGACCTCGAAACCTGGGATCGTCGCTGAATCGACTTCAGTCCCGTTGGGGCCTGCTACGCGCCACATGAGATTCGACTTGAGGTAGGGCACTACTAGTGCTTCTGTGAGGGCGGTCAGGAGACCCTGTCTGACGACGCTTGTGAGGGTGCGGGTGAGGGGGATGGAGCCGGCGGCTGTGAGGTCGTGGTCGGTTTTGTTGGCTTGGGAGAGGACGCCCATGGGTCCGATGAGTTTTTCGTCGTGGATCCAGGTTGTGGGTTCTTCGCTGCTGGGTGAGCCGTTGAAGAGGTAGATTTGGTAGGAGCCGTTTAGAGCGTAGCGGGGTGTCTTGATATTGGCGACGTATTGGAAGAGAGAGCCGTTCGCGGCGACTAGCGGGCTGGATTGGCGAGGAGCGTTGTAAGAGGCTGGTGCGGCTGTGTTTCGTGCCCTCCATTCGTTTCGTGGCTCGGGAGCAGCTGTGCGCTTGGATGAGCCAGCGGTGGCTGTTGCGCTTGGGCCATAGAGTTTGTTGATGAAGCTGGCAATGGCGCCTTGACTGCCATCGCTGTCGGCAAATTCAGGATACGTATATTGGAATACAGTCCAGTCTTTGACCTGGTTCGTCGTCCAGAAGTTGCCATTGCCGTCCTTGTAGAAGGGAGTCAAGGGCGAGTTCTCGTCTTGATTCGTGCCCTGAGCAATGGTCCAGGTGTCGTGCGGTGCTGGCTGCGAACCACCGTAAGAGTTGGGATGTTGGCTTTGCCACATGGCGAAGATACGATCGACGTTGCAGTGATGAAGCCAAAACATAGGGTCAAATGCGGCAGTAGCAAGATATGTCATGTGGCCACCAGAGACAGTTGCGGAGCCGGGACCTCCGCCAGTCGTGTGGATAGTGTTGTGGATGCCTTCCAGACTGTTCGAACAGCTGGTAGAACTCGATCCGGCATCGTCATTGCTGAAGTGCAAGTAGTCACTGCAAGTTGAGAAAAGCTGGTAGACTTGATCCTGCATGCTCGTACGGATGTTGTCGAATGCTGAAATAGCTTGGGATTCTTGGCTACTGGCGTCCCATGCATTGCTGCCAGGATAGCGTAGAGTCACATGCCAGTCCACGAAGGGGCTGTAGTACATCCCACTTGGGTCTGCGAAGTCATGGCGGAATAGTGGATTGATTATGGTCTGCGAGCCACTGGGTCCATTGACCGTGACGTATTTCTGGCTGACAATGTTCGGTAAGGTAGGATACCCTGGCCGCGGAGCAGCAGCCCAGTCCCAGAATGGAAACCTCATGGTCGAAGCAGCACCGAACATAGCAGGTTGTTGCCATGCAGGAAACTGTCCGGCAACCTGTTGGACGACTGACAGAAATTGCTGTTCGAATAAAGCCATGTAGGCACGGTGCCAACCCGGGAAGAGCACGGAGTCGTGGGTACAATACCCATCAGCGTCGCCGCATGTGCCGCATTGGCCAACACCGTTATAGTTGGCTCGTGGCACTCCATGGATACCAGCAATCTGGTGGTAAGAAGTCGCGGAGTTTTGATCTTGTGCCTGGAACTGCTGCATAGCCAGTATAAGAAGTGTCCATTGATTGGGCTTGTTGAAGAACATCTGGCGGACTTCTAATCGAGGGTAGATGCCGCTACCGCCGGCACCAGTAGTTATGACATTGGACTGTCGTTTGGCTTGCCGGTCTTGAATCTGTTTCGCCGCCTCCTCCAGACTTGGGATGACCACGCGAGGTGTGGCTGCAACCGCATGAGCGGCCAGCAGACCTGTAACGAGCGAAAGTAGCTTCATCTTGGTCGAGCCTGGTTGTCAACGATGAAGTTACAAACCACCAAGAAACGAAAGTGGTCGCCGGAAGAACAAAGATGTCACCCCCAAAAAAGCGAATGTCGAAATCCGGACGTAACAAGACAGAACAATAGATTAATGGATAAAGAAAGAAGGTCGATCGTCAACTCACCACTGCTGACGGAGGAGTAAATTTGACGATCAGTGACAAGGGACGAATTTGGTCCTCCACATGGGATACACGCTGCTGCAGAGCCAAGTATAACCTTTCATGTCTCACGCGCACCCGCACGAATCAGACGGAATGGTGCTTCTGATGGCGCGCCGAGAGACAGTCATCAGGAACGGACGGCGGCTCTGACGGGGTTACCATAGAGTGGCCGGTTACGAGGTGGCTCGAGAGCCCAATGCCAGACTATTGTTCCCATGCGCCCGCTAAGGAAGCTCCTTCGAGAAGGTCGTCCGGGGTGGAGGAAGTCATACTGTAGGCTGGCTTTCGTTCCTGGTGATCGTCGCCGCCAGAGGCAAGTGCAATAATTAGCTGGCGCGCGCTGCTACAGTAGCTGTGTCGATGTAGCGTCGCTATTGGCCGAAACGTGGCGGAGGCAGTTAGTCCTTTGTCCCAAGGAGGCAGGTCCTGGTATTGGTTGGACATGTCACTAAGTCGAGATTACCCCGCCGAATGCTTGGACCAGGACAAGCGAAACGAGAGTTCCGGGAGCCAGAAACGGCCACTCCCAAAGTTTCTTTTCCTCTGCCTGAGACGACTTGGCGGCGTGAGCGATCCACCTCTTCGGAATGGGTTGTCAGCTGTAAAATATAAGGCTCGTGTAAGACTGTTACACACTGCTACAAACAGCGTCTCGCTTGTCTCTCCCACGTATTCGGGAAGGATGATCAGCATCGTCTCGGCGAAGAAGCTCAGTGACTAGAATAACCGGCCATACAGCTAGCACTGGTCTGCAAGAGGGAAAGCTTCGCTCCACGCTGTGCATGCGACCACGGCACGACTGCAGGTACCTGTCATCGTGGACTGGGATGCATGAGGGGCAGCATATATTTCGAGCTCTCGAAAATGCTGTCAGATGATCTCAGTAATGCATTGCCAATAAATGGTAGATGGCCATGAGCTCCCCAAACAGGCGGACCTTGACGTCACGTCTCCACCGAGTTCGTATCTCTTCACAGAGAGAGAGAGAGAGAGAGAGGGAGAGGGGGGGGGGGAGGGGGAACAGAGAGCGAGCTCGTAGGGTCGCAATCGTCGACCTCAAAAGTGTGGATTTTCGTTATGCTGGCCCACAGTCCTTCTTTGAGGATCGCGCACAGTTTTCGCGTCCCGCTGCACTGGACACATCTCCTCTTCCTGCCCAGGACCACCTACGGCTTCCTCTGCTAAGCCTAGCGAAGAAGCTGCAATCCAAAGCATACCACAAGCAAGAGCCCAGGAACCCAAGCTTTTCCAGGAAAGATCTGCAGTCCAACATATGCTTCATCGACACCACAAGGCCTTCCCCAGAACCTATTGCTTCAAAGAACCTCAAAGAGAAAAGGCTATCCCTACTTACTTACTATATCGAGGGACCTCCACAACCGATTCCCGTGGGATATACAACCCCTCAAAGCTTCTCCTCCAGCCATTCTTCCTTCTTGCCTTTCCACGACCCACAGGACACACTACACCTAATCTCTCCAACCCATGTCCCTATCCTTCCTTCCTTCCTTCCTTCCTTCCTTCCTGCCTCGCATCCCTCCGCCCTTCGCTTCCCTCCCACACCCTCTCCATCCCCTCTCCATCTCGCCAACAACCCAGCCCCCTTCTCAGACCAATCCATAAACCCGTCCCATTCCACGTCAACCCACACAGTCCCCAAGGAACCAAACCACGACGAAAGTAAATTCCCCCAAAAGCGTCGTGGCGAAAGGGGGTATCCCTGGCTCCGGCTACGAGCAAATCCCACACTTTCCACAATACCATAGCAGCAAGAGCGACGGAAAAGCAAAGCTTGCGATTAGAGTGCCACTGCACCCACCCATGGCAAAGCTTTAGATGACAAAACTTGCGATTAAGCGTTGACAATACGTGACGATAATATCGACTCGCTAAGTAAAGCAATCTAATCCCCCCCCCCCGGCCCCTCTGCCGAACCGAAGGCGGGTTCCCAAAGGCCAACCATCCCATCCCATCCCAGCATGAAATGCTTCTTATCCCCAGTCAAGATGTCCAGAAGATGAGCAAAATACCATGCATGCATGCATGATATGACCTTGATCCAGCCTTTGGAAAGGTTTCTGGGCTATATTCTGTATCTACAGCTACATGATCGAAACCCAGCCTGATGCTACGCTCTGCTATGGCTATGCTAAGTCTTGGGGGGGGGGGGGGGGGCCCCGGCCCGCGGCCCCGCCCGGGCGCCCGGGCCGGGGGGGGGGGGGGGG